GCCTGGCATTGGAGGGACCAACAAGTCATCCGTCATTTGGCTTGTTGTTGTTGTTCTACCCCGTCCTCAGAAGCCATTCAGCCGTTTCCCGTAATACAGCCGCTGAGAAATGATCTGAACGGTCCCGCGCCTTTTGCCTTGACTACCCGCTCCCCTTGAGACGGCATCGATAGTCCCTCAGAGCAGTAAAGTATCACACGCAGTATCATTCTAATCAGCCCTATTCCGCTCGTCACACGGAACCAAAGTGAATGAAGGCAAAAACCATAGATGTCCTTCTGCAGCACTCGCCAGATTGCCGCCGCAGCATGACCAGGGAAATGACCCAACCTTGCAGCCTTCCGAGTCTCAGATCACACTCTCATTGGCAATCTCATCCGCAACAGAGCCTCAGCACGAATCAGAAGCTTGGCAAGCGCCATCATGTTTACATACATGTATCTTCCATTCTCCAGGAAAAAAAGACTTTTGCCTCAACACCCCCGGGATATTTAACTTGCGGCAGAAGCATGCTAACATGGACACTATCGGCTGAGATGAGACGCCTCCAAAACGTTAAGAGATATTATTGAGGCTCTATCGTCTGTTCAAAACGACCACAAAGGTAAGCAGCAGCAGAGGTTTAATCATCTTTAGTTCCTCGCCACCTGCGTTTCCGTGCCTGTAAGCAACTCAAAAACAAGGTTCTCGAAATACGCCCCAGGTCCTCTTTGCTCGGCTCCGTAGCCGTGGGCTGCATGTCTCAGTTCAACCCTACTGTAGGTACGAGCAGAGAGACTAATCATGACGGGTTGAAAAACTGTCAATTGCTTCACTGCGATGAGGCTCTTCGTATTGCGGGGGGGGGGGGGGGGGGGGGGGGGGGGGATAAACCCCCCCTCCATGTTGCATACATGTACCTACCTACGAAAAGACAACTTTGTATGTACGGGACCGGAAAAGTCGTGTGCAGAGTATAAGTAGGTAGGTAGGCATGGCGTTTATGGGTTTGTTACTATATACCAGGTAGGTATAGTAGGCGGTGGGCGGTAATACATGGATACAGCTTTACCTTTATGATGGTTCGTTATGAGAAGAGCTGAGACATCAATGACATCAGAATAAGGTGTCGATTCTGGGCAGTTGAAGAATGAAGTCAGAGCATGGCGTAGCTCTATTACTCGACGATTCATACGAAAACAATCACTTCGACATTTTTCTCGATTTAATCTTTGTATATCTGGAATTAGACTCGTAAGATGTAGACTGGTAAGCGGGAGGCAATATCGAGCCGAGTGAGTCACCCGGACAACACCGCTCAGTCAGTCCGGTGAAATCACAATGTACATACAACGGGCAACGCCTGTCCCCAAAGCCGTGATCTTTCCGAGAGCCACATACTAACAATCCTTTGCACCAAACAACAAACGCAGAACAAAACAAGAAGGGTGCAGGGCAGCCCGAACCCGACAGCCGATTAGCGGCTCTTGCGGTCCGCTCACGCCCTTGCGAGCTACCTAGCGCGGAAAGGAATCTGATTTGAAGCGCTTCTCGCACACACACACACACACACACACACACACACACACACACACACACACACTCACAGTCCATCACGCCTTGTTGATGAAAGGGGAGGAGGGGCGTAATGATAATATGCCGACTGCAAGATATCCGATCGGACTCGGCCGTGGGTGGCCGCCGGAAACAAACATGTGCGTACATTTACATATCCGGAGTTGTAGCGTGTGTGCTCGTGTTGCGGGGACACTGCCCAGGTCCGACGGCTGTAAGACTTGCTTTGCAAACATGGGAGAAAGCAATAGATGGATGGGTAAGATCACATCGACACAGAAGTGTTCGATGCCCTGTTTTCTGGGAATGATCTGGATCTCCAGATGTATGTAGTTTCTGTGGAGTGCACTTGTACGCTTTGCCAAGGCATATCGTACATCGGCATAGAGTTACACCCATCACGAAGGTTATCTGACGAGCCGCTGGAACACAAATTAGCACCAACAGTGAGCCGCCGCCCAGCTATTGCGACGGAATCATATAGTAAGCATTAGACATTGCTGGCTCGAGTCCGGTGAAGAGTCGGAATCTGTAGCGAGCTTCATGTTCATGTTGACTGTGGATTTAGTAATACGAAGTGAACAACTGCTAGCTACTATGTAGGTACCTAGGTGTAATAGTTGGTGTGGCCAGCAAAGTGCCTTGCATGGCACCAAAAGTTTGACACAAACAAGGGGGGGAGCAAAGGTGTGCCCTTTCACGCTCGACGACGCTACGGCAACCGGAATTAAATCACCACAAGCAAAACAACTACTAGCGGTGGTGGCCTTTTCTTCCCACCCTCTGATGTGGTGGTTGTAACACTAAAGGCGATTTAGTTCGTAATAGGGAGAGCCGATACAAGAGTAGAGTAGAGAAGCTGAGGGAATGCAACTACCACGCCTTGCCCACTACTACTATGCATCTGCCGACATGTGTGAGAATAGCGGCAGACGTTTGCGGACGGATTCGCACCGCTAGGACGGTGACCAACTAGAAGAATTCATGATGCGACTCGAGCTACTGTAAGGTAGGTATGCAAGGGCTCCGCAGATAGTCTTGCCATTTCAGCCTCTTGGGTTCGACTGAATTCCAAGTTGGAGATTGGTGAGAGTAAAGACTAAAATACATGTAAGTTGTTCCTTCGGCGTAAGCGAACGCTTGTTCTGTCTATGTACTATTGTCGAAAGCCATACGTCATGAGCAGAACCGTAGATAGATGCGATCTTTCACGTCAGCCTCGATAGCTTCGGGCAAAGACTACACGAGACAACAGAGGGCGGGATGGGGGAGGCTTTTGGCATCTATTCGATGCTCGGTGAATTTTGGCAATCACGTAAAGGAACCGAAAAGATGGAAGTGGGTGAGTGAGAGTGAGATAGCAAAGCGAAGGAGCTTGATTGCGTGGATAACGACAAGATTGGACGATTTGAGTTAAAGCTTGAAGGTGAGTGTGACGGTGAGACAGGAAAAAAAAGTACCTAAGGTAAGAAGAGATGGTGAGTGAGTGAGTGAGTGAGTGGAAAGAAAGAAAGAAAAAGCAACCTACCTCTACTTAGGTACCTTGAAGTGCATGTGAGAGAAAGAGAGAGTGTGTGTGACAGAGTCACTCTCCAGGCCCGACGCCGTCACGGCTACCTCTGCGATACCCCGGGCTGGAATGCAGTCGCCTGCGGCAGGCCAAGTAGCGTCGCCGGCCAGTGGACCTGCGCCCACCGGTCGGGCGACCTGCGATCCACCCTCGCCTGCAGGTTCCAGGTCTGCATCTGCCCTCCCCCCGATGCCGCCACCGAAGGCCGAAGCACCGCCAGACCGCAAGCCATGAAGATGCCGGGCAAATAGTACTTTGGAGTGATCTGATGTTGATAAGAGAGAAGGACCTGCAGAGGCGGGGGTGGCTACCTACCTACCTTACTTACCGAGGTTGTTTGTGTATGTATCTCTGTAGGTATCCCAGGTAGTAAGGTAGTACCTAGTAGCTGGTAAAACTTAAAAGCGATGCATGTCGATTCGAATCGACATCAGCTGATTCCTCTGCTAACGAAGCAAGGCCCTTGGTCTGCAACTGGTACCTTATGAAATAGCGGCGCGAACGAAGGAGCGGGCATGCAGCAGAAGCAACCAGGCGAGACCAGAGGGTACTGGACTGTCCTCGCAGCTTGAGCTAGCAGCTGTAAGAAGACGGGCGATTGGGCGCTTTGACTCGGGAGTGCAGCAGTACATACTACTACGACCTAAGGTATACCCAATGTTAGGTACCTAGGTAGGTAATAGGCAGAGAACAGTTCTGGACCAAAGCGATGCATGCGAGCAGTCGAACTGGTGTTGCTCTTGTCAATTCGTCAAGCTGCTATTGGCCTCTCGTGTGTCTGCCGTCATCGTCATGATGGCTTCACAAGCGCGCGCTCAGCAGCGAATCGCCGTCCCTCCCCAGCTGTACCAAGGCACATGCAAGCTTTGGTAGCGCAAGCTCGCCAATTCCAGGGGCTGCGCCGCCAGAGACTCAGGTCGGCTTCGTCTCGCCTCCAGCTGGTGGAAAAGCCATTCTCCAGTGAGAGCAGCTGGAACCCTTACCCATCTCCAGGCACCGACCGTCTTGGAGTTTGCTGCATTGCCCCTCCCTCTCTCTATCATGAGAACGCTGCATGATATTCAAACACTCCCTTTGATCAGCAAGTCCAACTGGTCGCTTGACAGCTCCTGTTTGCACAGTAGAGAGCAGATAATTGCCGTCGTTTCGGACACCTTCTGCTGTCCTTGGGCCAAGACTGGGTGACTTAGGTACATGTAGATGCGCAAAAAGGTGCCGCTTCTGATAGGGCTTAGAACAGCTTGTCTGCTGCCTCTGGCCAATCAGAGCCCGCAGCTGGCCGTTGAAGATGAGGGGCCAAGCTCTTGCTGTACCTAGGTACTTAAGGTACTGTAGAATGCCAACTGCATGGCTTGACTCCTTCATGAGAAAATCACGACCAGCTTCGGTTTTGCTAACATGGCAGGCCCACCGTCTCTCTGTCTTGCCGCAGTTACTCAGCATCTAGTCTAACATTGCAATCCGTGCGATCGTTGGTCCTCTTTCGTCTTGGTCCAGGGCAACTTTGCCCGCCCACAGCGCAAGACCCGTCTCCATCTGCAGCAATTTCACCAACGGGGGCCCTTCATACGGTAATATGATTAGGAAATAGAGCCATATGTATGCTTGGGAATATTTCGAGTTGCACATTCAAGAGGACAGTGAGCGTGAGAATGAAGCTTCAAGGCTCGTTCGCCGATAACCCATGTACGTGAATCTCTTCTCGTAATGCGGCCATCTCCGCCTTACAGTGACAGACGGACAGCCTCGTCTCCTCATCCTTCCTACTGCTTATCTGATCGGCCTCGGGCCTCATCGCGTAATCCAGCGGTAATCCTTCCGGCACAGCCTGATCGGGAAACCAGCAGCGAGTGCGAAGTCGTTGCTGCGAATCTGCATGGCGAGCGCCCAGTTCGGCAATGAGCCGAGGAGGGTTGCGCAGTTCCGCACTGCTCTTGTGATGTATTTTGTGATACTTGATATTGCGGCGCAGAAGTCATCCATCACGCAAGGCAACATTACTAATGGCTTCTTGCTTTGCAGCCTTCACAAAGAGGGAATGAGAAGCACGTCCGAAACCGACCACGGCGCTAGATGGCTTATGATGCCCATTACTCGAAGATGGAGTCACAAGTCGCAAAGTAGGTAGGTAAGTATGGGCTCGGAACATCCCATGTTCGTGGTGCTGGAATGGATGATGAGCGGTGCATGATGCTGCCCGCCAGAGCGTCAAACGTCACCCCGCCTATTGCTGCTCCTCACTCTTCTTTCCATCGACCTCGTCACTTTTGGCCATATGACAGACAGACAGACCAGAGGACGGGACTGGGCCAAGCTCAAGTCCGCTCGCTATTTCGGCGCGGACTTTGGAATGGGCACAATGCCTAGCTCGAGCGCCCAGGACGCTGGGCAACCCTGGCTATTTCGAGCAGCTCCAGCTGGGCTAGCAAGGTGAGCAGCAGTGCTTTTTCCTTCCAGTCGCTGTGCCCTAATACTCATACATACCTAGGTACCTAGTAATCCCAGGATTACTCACGAAGCACAAATGTAATGTATACTCCTTCGTAATCGCCCATGCCGTTATGGTACCTAGGTATAGTGCTTCTCACGCTCTGTTACAAGTAAGCCCTTGGGTCGTTATGCTCTGGGCATCCAGAAAGCCAGTACTACTGTACTAGTATCTCTGCATTGGCTGCAAGGCTCCTTGACTGGACCAAAGGAATACGATTGCCGACAGAGACCGCGGCAATGAGAAGAAGGAAGAAAAAACAACTGGGGCCCGTCTGCGGTGATAGGTGGTTGCTTGGATACCACAAGAAGCCGTTTTGATGCCATCATTCTCTCATCTGCCGCCTCATGGAGGAAATAGCCCAGTGATTTGGCTGCGCTTCGGTCGCGATACCTGCATCTCGCCCGGCTAAGCACTGCAGCTGCCCGTACTTGTACCTCTTGCACAAGCTTTGAGCCAGCTGCCGCTAAGCCCACGCCTCTCGGTGGGCCCCGCCGACCTGCCACGGGCGACCACTAATCCCCTTGTGAGCAGCAAACGGCCCCAAGAGGCTTAGACACCCCCGACCCCCTGTGGCCTAGCGGGCTCTCGCGTCCTCGGACATAATGCCGTTGCCGAGCGTGCTATTCACACGCCCCGGACCCTGTTTTCCCTCGCTCTCGATCCGCAGCCGGAAATAGGTACAAGTGACAAGGTACAAGGAACCGGCAGGCTTTGGGGCGCCGCCATGGCCATCCCACAGGAGTTGTTGCGGCACGGGCGAAGCACCAGCCAGCACCTGAAAGCCACCTGGGCCAGAACGGCGGCTTGGGATACTTTGGATCGTTGATGCGTCCTTCTCAACATGAAGTCAGCTCACAGCGATGCCTGGAATCCACCTGCCGTGGACCAAGACAGGGAAGGAAAGACTACGAGGCCCCACCGCGGCGCTCTCCACGCTTCCTCGGCCATTATTCAGCACGACGTCCACGGCCATCTCAGACGCAGCTCGCAATCGCCTTGTCTGGTATATATTCTGACCGTCCCGTTGCGCTGGGTCGTGGGGGACTCTGCCCTACTCTGCTTTGCTCTGCCTCTCTCCAGTCCATTACCTGATATTACATTACATTCCATTACACGTACTCGACTCTTGCGTCGTCGTCGTCGTCGTCTTCTTCTTCTCTCCATCTTCGTCACTTCTTCTCCTGGTTTCCACATCTTCCAGAACGCTTCAGATAACAAGGGCATCCATCACCCACCCACTCATCTCGAACTCGACTTGCTCCTTGCTTGAGGATACTACCAACATCCCATCAAGGTCCCATCTGCTCATCACGTCAACTTGACATTGGGTTATACCGTCAACTTCTTACTCACCCAGAAATACATATCGACAACCCCAAGCACAAGCACGGGCACCTCGCCCCTTCTACATGTGAAGCTTCACCTACGAACAAGTAACACCAAGCCCACCAAGCCCACCAGCTCCCCAGACGTCTTTCAACAATGGTAGCACATAGTCTACCCTCTCCTCCTTCAGAGGACAGCAAATCTTCAAATTCACCCCCCGTCAGCACAATCCCCCGGAAAAGCTCTGGCTCAAATACAAAGCCCGTCAAGGGCACCAACCGAGCGTCCAAGCGTGCCGGGTCGGGTGCTGCCGCCGTCCACCATCACGAGCAAGTCACACACGGCATGGATGGGAGGCATAAGCGGGTCTGGAAGGCCTGCGAGAGGTGTCGAATGAAGAAGACAAAGGTATGTATGCCCTGTCTCACGTTGGGCTTCACAGTCCGGTAGTAGCTGACCTCGAGTGCGTCTAGTGCGACGGTGAGTTCCCGTGTAAGCGGTGCAAGGACGACGGCCTTGTTTGCACAGCTGGAGTCCGCAAGAAGATGGAATACAAGCAGCTGCCTCGAGGGTAAGCAGTTCCCTGATCACGAGACTCTTGTATATAAGTCAAACTTGGTTGGCTGACTTGGGTGCTTCTCCAATTACAGATACGCCGAGGTTCTCGAGAATACCCAGTTCGCGCTCATCGCCACCGTCCATAAGCTCTACCAGATGGTCAGGACGAACCAGCAGTGGGATCTAGGGGAGCCTGAGCTCAACGATCGCGGCCAGCCCGTCATCCACAACATTGCGCAGAAGCTCGGCTGCATCCGCCCCAACAGCGACATCGACCTGCCCGTGCACTCCATCTTCCCCGAGAACACGCAAGACCTCGAGGAGCTTGCGCGGCAGCTCAACGATCACCACGCCGACGCGCAGAACAAGGATCGCGAAGCGGAAATTGAAAGCGAGTCGCCCTCGGCCTACCGGCGCACCGACCGCGCTTCGTCCTCGGATCTCGACCATTCCGACATCGAGCCCGCTGATTACCGACGAACTGCATTCGGCGGCCTCAACAACAACAGCCATCCGGTTACCATGTCACCGCAGAGCTACGCCGGCAGCAGCACCGAGTTTGAGTTCAACCAGTCGGCGCCTTCAGACCTCGACGCCTCGGCCGCGCTCTTCTCCGCGAACTCGCCCCAGCTGCCCATCTTCCCAGAGTGGGCGATCAAGACGGCGCCGTCGAGCGACGTCGCAATGCATTTCTTTCAGCAGCAGGCCATGCACATGGGCCAGCCCATCATGGATGGCTACGAGACGATCAAGCCCCAGGCGCTGTCCACCGCCGGCGGCGTGATGATGGGCATGAGCGACCCCATGATGTACACACCCTTCGACGTCGACATGGTGCCGATATGAGATGTCGACCACGTCATTTCATAAACCATCATCTCATATGAACGCAAGGGAAACGAAAGCAGAAGTCGCGTTTGGGTATATTGCCCCCATATTTCTCCCTCGCAGGAGGAGGGTTCCTTCTCACATACGCCATGAGCCGTCCTTTATAAGGCAAGAGTGGCATTGCGACACATTCCCATAATGTGCATACATTCACTTTCACCAGTTTACATACTCACCTTCCTTTCACGTCACATATTTCTGCACACCTTCGTTCATATCCCTTTCTTGTGCATCTCATTCAGGAGTCTTTTTCTGGGTACATACGGTGTTTGGGGGAATCGTCAAGCGTGGTGTTTTATCTTGTTGGAGTGGTTCGGATTCTCATATAGACCGGTTTTTTTCTTTTCTTTCTCTTGCATGAGTTTTTACTGTATGAAGTTTATTGGTACATATCCAGGAGGGAGGGAAGGACGGGTTGGATGAATGGTTTCATGGGAGGTGGAAACGGCTGGCTTGGGTCGGGATCACTTGAAGTAATTGGGCGCGTTGGTGACAATGTTCAACGAACCGAAGCAAGCAGGCAGGCAGAGATTTTCTATAGATGTCTCGGCACCAGGGTGCCACGTCTGGAAACATTCAACTTGAGTACTTTTTTTTACTTCTTCAATCGGCTGTGTTGTCGACATGGGGTCAAAGTCACCATCTGTGGCTTTGTTTCTTGCTTTGCCGTTGTGATTGAACGAGTGCATCTCTTGATCGACCACTCACTTATGCCTCGAGGCGGCACGTAGGGCTTACAAGCTCCATGCCTGAAGCTTGTGTTAGCCGATGGATGATCCTTGAAACGCAGCGCAGCCTTTTTTGTTCCTTTTTAGCTCCAAGCAGCACGGCCAGCCGCACATTCTTCAGGTGAGATTTGGGTTGTCGGGATAGCTACCTTACCTAGGTACTTACCTAGTCATTCTGCTAAACCATGTAGTAGTATGTAGTGTAGAATCCTACCGATACTTGGCGACCTCGTAAGCTGTGTCGACACGTCATTGAATCCGTCAACCCCAATTCTTCTACCTGGCACCTAATAACCTACGAAGGTTCTACCTCAGTCAGGTACTTCCGTGAGCGTACGGATACGAAAATACGGAGCATGTACCCAGCCCAGCCCATCGCAAGGCGTGACCACTGCACCTTTGTAGGTAGCTCACCCTGAGCATTGCATGTTACGAGTCAAAGCCCTTGTTCGATGCGCATCGCCAGATTAGCATCTCGGTTTCGTCGTTTCGTGGGTTGCGTGTAAGTGCGAGTATGTATGTATGTATGTTGTGAAGCCTAAGCCCCCCTCCCCTCCCTCAGCCACATATCGTCGTCGTCGTCGTCGTCAATTCAAATTGTGTGTACACATGATTTGAAACGACTCGTTAGGGATGGTTTTTGGGGGGGTTCGCTTGGCTAGAATCGCAAGGATGGTTCTAAACAGGCACTGCCTACCTACCTAGTACTACTAGTAGGTAGGTAATCAGGGAGAGATAATGGATGTCACTTTATCTCTCTGTGTAGAGGTTAGTTGACAATGCCGTGATTTCACAGTGGATGACCTTTGACATCATACACTTTCTGTTGACCTTACCTTGCCTTTACATGGTAGTGCTCTTTCGTACCTGGCCACACCACAGAAGATTTGACATCCAACACACAATTACAGAGAGTAGTCCTATTTGAACAGTCAAGAATCTCTATTTGAACAGTAGTGGTCTGTGCACCTACTGAATTTGCTGCGCCTACACCAGCACTTCCATGACCACACACCCCTTTATAGTGTGCCCTGATGGAAATGCCCGTAGCCCACACAAAACCACGAACGTCAATGTCGCGATCTCTAATAGACTCATTATTATTGTTATCATCAACCCAGAATTAAGGAGCGTGCCGGCGGCGACAGGCGCGGCAGCAGCAGAGGCAGCAGCAGCAGAGACAGCAGCAGCAGAGGCAGCAGCAGCAGAGACAGCAGCAGCAGAGACAGCAGCAGCAGAGACAGCAGCAGCAGCAGAGACAGCAGCAGCAGCAGAGACAGCAGCAGCAGAGGTGGCAGCAGCAGCAGAGACAGCAGCAGCAGAGGTGGCAGCAGCAGCAGAGACAGCAGCAGCAGAGGTGGCAGCAGCAGGGCTGATTCCGTAGTCGTGATGTTCAGCGCCCTCTAAAACGACTGCCAGTACGGAGTATGCTACACTGTATTCTGGTGTACAGGTGTGGTAGAAAGTACTAAGGGGGGTTGCTCTAGCTGGTGGCACAGACCACTACTGTTCAAATAGAGATTCTTGACTGTTCAAATAGGACTACTCATTACAGAAATAACGGGCGCTGTTTTATGCCCTACGAGGTGCTACTGCAGGTAGTAATTTGCCTAGGTAGGTAGTAGTAGTCAAGTGCTCAAGGTACAAAGGGGGTGGGAACACATCGCATCGTCGTCCGCTTTGGGGAAATGGTCAAGTCCATCGGAGTTTGTGTCAACAAAACACGGGCATGGTTTGTCATCTACCGGGGGGGACGAACTTTCAAAACAATAACTGCCTCTCGTACTCTATAAGCCAAGAATTCGAAAGGAAAATGATGTATCAAAGAGGCAAAAAGGCATGAATTGAGCATGAGCGGGCATTTTTTTTTATCTCTCTCACCTCTCACACACGCCCCTCTCCAGCTGCTGCCTTGGGAGCTGCATCTCATGTGCATGCGCACGCCCTTCGAATTCACAAAAAAAAGAAGAAGAATCAAATGGATTCTGGGGGAGTGCGAGGTACTACATGAATAATTCAATGTAGGGGACCACAATTATTACTGCGTGTAAACGAATGGGAAACGAAAAAAGAAAAGAAACAAAGGTCCACGGAGTTCTGCACGGCAAGGCGAAAAGGTAAAAGAGAATGAAGGGGGAAAAAAAAGACAAGGCGGGCTGCTATCCCCGGTCCGTTATGCCCACCTCAAGTCCGGAAGGCTATCGATGTGACTCTTTCGGAGATAAAGAACACCACGGACTACAAGTACGTACATACCTCCCCAAGGTTGCACGAGAGCAGACATGGACATGACCGACATGTAGAAAAAGAAGAATCGAACGAAATAGAAGGGGGTCCCCGTCGAGGCACAGAAAAATAGAAAGTAGTTGTGTGTGAGGCGGACAGGGCGCTGGCATACAGGATTAGTATTAGAGCTGACAAACTACATATATCTGCCTTTCTCAGTCACGGAGTATGGAATTATGATACGATTGCCCTCATCATTCGGAAATATTTTCCACGGCGCCAGCATCGATGCGTGAATGGATACCATGGCGTTTGTCTTCTATAGGTAGTGCTATGAACATGGCGGGATGCTATTGGCGAATTGGACAAGTTGCGAGGTTCCATTTAGCATAGAGCTTGGGCAGGCCAACGGGGTTTAATCGAAAAGGGCAAATGCTTGATTCGATTTCACGATGACAGCTGGGCCATCTGTGAACAAGCACCAAAGGTAGATATCTCACCCATCGGGCAACCAAGCTTGACATTAAAGCTGCGGTCTACACGAAGTACATACATCGCTACCCCTTCCCCTGAGAAATATCGGATGAGAGCATGAACAGACCAACAAAGAATGTATTAACTGACTCATACTAGGTACCTGATAGATGCATCACCAGCACCTCGATCCGCGTATGTATAAACAAACCCTCATGAGCGGATCAGGCCCTTTGATATGTCCGAAGAAAGCAAAGAACCCCCCCTTCGACCCGCAAGGCCCGCAATATCCGCGGTCTTTTTTCTTTCTCTTGCGTGACACCCGCAGCTATACTAGAAGTACAAGGCGACGGACTTTTTCTTCTTTCCAATCTTTGGGAACCTTTGGGAATACCATGAAGCAAAACCCCCCAAGCATGGATTTTTGTTTTCAAGGTCGTATTGTAGATGGCCATTCTGATGTTATACAAGCTTTTTTTTCTTTTTCTTTGTGCCTGATGCAGGACGCGGGCAATTCAACTCCGAGGTCACTTCAACTCCGAGGTCAGATTGCCGTGTAATACAGTAGCTTCTCTTGAATACACCAAACGACACAGGCGTATCATCGCATGGGCTATGTCACAAGGGCGATGGATCTCAAAGTAGGTAGCACCAGCAATTCTTCCCCTTCCCCCCCTTTTCCCCATTTCTTCAATCCCCATCTACCTCCCTGCTACAAACTACGAGCAAAAGTACTCCGCTCCTCTCAACGCACAGCAGCAAAAAAGGAACAAAAGGAATTGAAAAGAAAGAACAAAAAATACGGGCGGCTTCAAAGTCGGTTCCTTGAGCCCGGGCCACGGAGCTTCGCAAGACTCCGAACGCCGGGGGGTGTGAGCAGAAGGGAAGTCGGGGGGTTATTAGCAAAATAATCAGAAAAGAAAAAAAAACAATTTAAGTGGGCATTTTATTCTTTCTTTCCAAATCTGCGGGGTGTGTGCGATGAGATGCGGTGGGAGGGGGGAGGATCATCAGCCCATGTTTGAGAGAAAGTCGTACATTTCTTTCATGTATGGAATTGCTGCAGTTATACGTGTAAATGCGCATGGGAATCAAGTGCGTTTGGGAGCAAATACATGGGGATTTGACAGTATGTAGTATAACTGACAAGACTTCTTCGTGGTGAATGATATCTGGAATGAGGCGTTTGTAGAGCTTGATGAGACGAGACTCAATGACTGTAGCGGACAGAAGAGTAAAGGCAGCCAATTGGACTTGCATGAGCACGGCGCAGCCCATCATACACACACCCAGAGCGTGTGTGTGTTGTTACCTGTAGCGTCCTCTGATATATCAGCAAGAGAAAGCCGCAATCGTTATTAACCCGCTCTGACTCCGTCTCAAGCGGATAGATGCCACGCCTCAGACACGGAAAGACGTCCAGCCAACACTGTTGAAGTTGACAGCCTTGCACATGCCACGGAGCTCCAATGCGCACGCACCAACATCAGACAACGGGGGACAACACAGAGTAATACTACTTACTACTACTAGGTAGGGGACTCGGCGATCCCAAAAGGATTGGGATCTGTTAGTAGCCTGTAGCTGAACGTGCCTTGCTTTGCACCAACCCGACTCCTCGGGAGACCTGCCAACTAACGATACTACATACCTACTTACTAGTAACACATGGATAGTAGGAGCGTACAGTAATACTCGTACACCTCGTACATGGCGTTTTCTAATGTGCGTGCCAAACAAGTCGGTTTGGTTTCCTTACCTTTACACATACGCATCGGAATACGCCCCGTGGGATGCGCCGAAGAGGAACAAGATTGCGTTGCGCCGTGCCCTTGTAGTATGATGATACCCAAACGGACACGGAGTGTGCCGAATACGCCCCGTCCGCTCGCCCAGCTTCCTTTCCTTTCTCTCGCTGCCCTGCTTGCTTTGGCAGCAAATGTTGAGGAAGTCCTTCAGGACCATACGCGTGTTTATTCGTCTATTTCGGTGATCCGGGGCCTACAAGCAGAGGGATCTCGGATACATTGTCGCTCTTTTTTTTTTTTCTTCTTTTTTTTTTTTCCTTTTTTTTTTTTTTTTTTTTTTTTTTTTGGGGGGGGGGGCAATGTCCGTCGTCTGCCCAGCTCGCGTTCTCGGACGAGCCGTGTTCCTGTGTCGTTGTAAACCCGAGAAGGGGGGGGGATAGCTGGGAACTCGGTGTAAGCCAAGAGTTGCTGCCATCACCGCCTCATTATACTAGCTACTACATACCTAGATGGGATATACTAAAACTAACCTACCAGCTGTGATGATACACCCATCATATACAAGTATGGCCTCCTGCTTGGCATAATCACCGCCAAAAAACAACCCGCAATTTGCCCTCTTTTCCCGCATCAGCTCCCGCCCGTGTTCTTTTAGCGCCTGCTTGGCAAATCCGAGAACATTATCAAAATGTTCAAGAAAGAAACATTTCTTCCAAGGTTTGTCATCACGAAGTTGCCGCCCGCGGGCGCGCGGTAAATCAAATCAAAATACTATCCGCATTGGAACTACTATCCGCACAGTGATGTGTATCGAGGTGCGCCCTGGCTGTCAAAAGTTGAAGTTGGCGCCGCCGCGACCTGCGTTAGTGAGCTGCGCTATTGGAGCATGAGGAGACTTATAAGTTCATGGGTTGTGCCTTTGTCATGTGTTGTTAATCAACGATCGTATCAAGATGATTACTAGTACTAGTAGCAGTACATAGTAGCAGTATTCTTCCAACTCATTCCACCTCTTATCTCTCTGGAGCTCTCCAGCAGCAAAATGGACCCTTGGGTCTTGTACTTCATCATGACATGTAAGTAGCAGCAGCAGCAGCAGCAGCAGCAGTATTACTAGTCCCCCCTTCGACCTGGATACTGTGGCGTCTTGGTCGGCGATTAACGCAGCCCCTCTCCATCCCCCCCTCCTCATCCTTGCCCACTGGATTTGAGATTCCATAAGCTCCAAAAAAGCTTACTGGACGGGACCCCTGCTTTTCGGGTCATGGCTGGCACGTGGATTGCGTCGTTGACTCAGCGGAGTTTGGGGCCGTGGTTCACTTTTTTTGGTGGAACAGCTGGGGGGACTTTTAAACTCCGTGGCATTTTTATTTGTCTAAGATGAGTGGTTTGGATTAGAATTCCGCAGCTGATGATTTGTCCTAGAAGAGTATTTGCAAGTTTTATGAGTCGACATTACAGAGAAATTCGCTCAGACCTCCCTACGAATGCTTGATATGCCTATATTCGGTCACCTCCCCAGCAGTCCATCTCCTTTTTTCGTGACATGTGCCTGTACCGTGTACGCGTACTCCGTATCTGTACGCAGTGGATACGCGTATTCCGAGGCGGGCCATTGGTGCATCCGCTTGACAGCCCCGCAGAAGCACGGGGAATGGGTCGATGGGCTAGTAGTGGTAGGTACTTGTTTGTTATTGCAGCAGGAGCATGTCGTGCAATACTACCTACCTTAGTAATTCTCGTAAGTACCTTCAATAGCACCTCAATTCCATCTTCACCTTGTTCCATCTGATACTCGCTGCATCGCCAAGAATCGCCCTTCTCTCGTATTTCGAGGTCCATTCGAATTTAAATCAAATCAACTTGCTCACACAGGGGCTGCAAAGGCACGCCCCTCCCTCGCTCTTCAACTCATTAACCCTAATTCCATTTTATCATTTTATTTCTTCTTCTTTCTTTCTCCTGCCCCCTCCATCAGGCCATTTATCGCCACGGCACCCAGCAGCCGGGCACCAATCCAAACCGCCTGTGGCGTCTTACAAGCTCCCCAAGCGAGCGAATGGCTTTGCGGGAGGCGGGCTAAAGAAGCTCTCGACTACTTGCCCAGCTCTACATACAAGGCCTTGAAGCACCACCACTGCTGCTGCTGCTGCTGCTGCAGGGGCTATAGTTTACAAGGTATGCTCGCTCGCTCTCGCTCCCTCCTTCACTGCAATGGCTTGTCGCGGCTGCTGGTTGATAGGCTGTCATCGGAATCCATTTGCCGCGGCTCATGGGCCCGTTGACAGGCTACCGCAGACGGGCGAAAACGATCGATTCGACTCGCCGCAGACAAGGGAGGGAGGGGGGCGCCGCCTGGCTGATGAATCCGTCGCGCGTCGGGTTTCCAATCAACTCAAGGCCGGTCCCCCCTCGTCAGCTAGGCTGTTTGCTATCTCGTAGTTCGTTCTGTGTGGTTGTGATGTTCGGGCAATCGCGAGAAGAGCGAAGGACAAAGCATCCTCTCGGCGACTCCCACCACACTGACGAGCTTGTCTACCGACCGGGCGGTGCCAGCTCTTTCAGCCTTGTCAATCGGGCTAGCATGGCTCAGGTGCCCAGTGATGGAGGTGCGCAGAGTCGTTGAGTCCTAGGGTATTCCGGTGGAGACGAGCTCAAGGACGAGCAGAGTCGCCGGCGCCGACCTCTCGTCAAGGCTGGAAGGGAAATAGTGCTGGGGGCTTCATCAGACGGAACTGGCTCCTCCACCTGGCTGCCAGAATATAGATAGTCGAGATGAGTATCCTTGTTCTGGTCAGTTTGCCGTGTCGGATCGGCAATCTTCATGATACCGTTCGAGGAGTTGCTGACAGCTGCTCCCAGTGTGGCATCAACTCGCTTCATTCCGACGTGTCTGCCCGCAGATCACCGTTCTAGCAGGTCTATTATTGGAGCTCTCCGCGCTTATCACACAACTTGACAAGCAAGCTCAAGACAAGTCGAGAGCGCCTCCACACGAGTGGCGCCTTTGAGTCAGGAAGCGCGGGCTGAGGATCACCAAAAAGGCGCTCCCAAGAGGCGCAATCCAGCGGGATGGTTGGATGAGGCGCTAACCGAACCTTGATGGCTGATGGGAGAGCAAGATACCAGAGTAAATACCTTCTTGTGCCGCTGCTTTCTGCCCAATCGCCGTGCCGCGCTCACCCAAGGAGACGCCTCCATTCCATCCATCCCAATCAGCTGGCTTTTGTGGCTTTCGCCCTTAGGCCTGGCTGCTCACTCAGCGCCAAAAGGGGGGAGTAAAAAGCAATCAACTTACAGAGAGACAAGGCAGACGGGCAACCCACAGTCTTCCCACCCTCACTCAGCCCTATTCCATTTTGCTTCAAAACGAGGCAAAAACCCATGAGTCTTGAAATCTGAGGAATCAACACACCTGAGGTCTTTGCCGTCTGTTAGCATCTGGGTCCAGCATAGCACTAGGCGCAAACTCCTTTGCCATTGCCATTTGCCGCCCTTGTCTTGCGAATCAGAATATTTGCTGAAAATAATATTCCATTTGATCTTTTTATGTTGATTACCTAGGTACTTCGTTATCTCCATTCTCAAGTTCACTCCCCCTCCATCCATCTCCCGTCATACCTTCTGCTTCTTCTTCTCTCCCCCTCGACGCCCGCTTTCTCGAAGTTCAGTATCGGCTGATGAGGCGCTTCTTCCAGTGCAAATCCGGCGTTGCTTTCCAACCATGTCTTGAACTTAAACATACCAAGGAACATGGATGGGCACGGGCTTGGTTGGCCCTGACATCACTGCTTCTCGGCCAGGCACCGTCCCGTATCTTCTGCTATTGGTCCTGATAACCTCGGGTTTCTTGCGCAATAGAGTTCCATCACACTTGATGTACCTACAAAGAAATGATATGACGAGCACACCAGCGTCCCGTCTGCAAGTAAGCATATAGGCAAAGCGGCCTCTAGACTGCAGCCCATTGGCGTGTAACCGGCAGATCTTGATCCTCCATATCATACAAAACCCAAGACCCAAACATTTACGCAAGCAAAGGTGAAGACAGAGGGGGGAATGTGGCTGCTCTCTTTCCCCCCCTCAATACCCTTCATCCTCCATCCCTCCATTACCTGGCACATGGTAGTAGCTAAAGAGATTGGCCCTCCCCCGTCTCCTTGCACAAGCCCAAAAAACGTGCCTCCCAGCATTGCGGCACGTGTGACCAACAAGCCCCAAGCCCCAAGCCCAAAGCCCTCCCCCCATCTCTGCCCCTAAATCTGCCACACCTACATACTACCTATCTCGCGAGGTTTGTGTGGCACTCTGCTAGACTGCCAGCCACGCCCAGCGATAGAGCGCGATCCAGATCGTCGATAGGCTGCCCTTCCCCCCCCTTTGGCGAGGCGAGTTCTGGCGTGACTTGGGGTTTGTCAGGACATCATACTTTGCGGGGTAGTTTCGAAGCCAAAAAAGCAAAGCAAAGAATGCCCCAAGACTCCAATGATGTGTGAGATGGCAAAAAGGCAAAAACAAAAGAAGAGTGTGTGCCCGACAGGTAAAAGTTGGTGGTGTGTGGTTTTGTTTAGTTGAGGCTTTGCTTGCCGAATTGTGATAGCCAGGAGAAAAAGCTGATTTCTCAGCTGAGGTTTTCCCCTCTCTTGTGGCTTCGATAACTTGGCTTTTTAGTAGATTTGGCTTTTTGTTTGTTTGCTGGTTTCATTTAAGGGGGGGAGGGGGACGCTTCTTGTGGTGATTGGATGAGCTTACGATGATGTTGCCCGTTTGGTCTGAGTTTGCGAATGATTAGTATGATGAAGAGGGGCCGAAGGAGGTTTGGAACGGTTGTGGATGGCTTCGAAGGGAGTGAGGAGGTGGTGTGTTCAGCTTGAGGTCAAGCAGGCGAGAAGTTGCTGTCTTTGGGAGTACAGGTATTCGGCAATTGACGAGCTGCTATTACATTGTGAAAGTCTCGCAATGCTATTTTGTTACGGTGGAGGAGAGCAATTGTCAAAGTATTGCTAGAGAAGTTGGATAATGGTACGATTAGCTAGCACAATCCAATCTACAATCTCGACTTGGACCAGACATGGCGTTGAGGGAGTATCCGTTTGTTGAGCTGGCACACACAAGCAAAACGAATGCCGTGGGCAATGGCGATTCTTCTATCGACTGGAACATGAGATGCAGCTCCAAACTCTTTGACTTTGAGATGAACTCTCGTGGTCAAAGGGAAGAGATGCCCGAGTAGAATGCGAAATATGGCCGAGATGTCCCCCCTCAGGAAGACCGAAACTCTCACCCACGCCCTTGAAAGTATAGCAGAAGGCAAAAGTATCTTCATTCAACCAGCCGCATTCCGCCCACATGCCAATTTGAATCGCAAATTGCCTCTGCTTGTGATATGGCGCCCGGTTACTAAGCCGCGTTGGTGCTCTCAATGCTTCATATTTCATCATCTGTCCGAGTCTTGGATGGCGAAGTTGCTGCATGTCCCCGCGAGACGATGAACGACCTCTGGGCCTGTAGTGTAACTCGAGAGAATAGTCACTCTTGATACAAGTCAAAGAATTTCTGTCAAGGGATTGTGTCAGTCTAGCGTTTTGAGTACAAGGGTCGGACTTTGAGATATGCATTGTTCCAACATCTTGGTCAGTGAAGACATGGCTAGCAATGACGACGGGCTTTCAGGCTTTGATGAAGCCATGAGGCAGCGTTTGGCTTGGACATGATTATGACTACACTTATGTTGCTCATCTTGTCCGCGTTTGAACACTAATGAATGGTAGCTTGTGAGCTTGTAGAGCGTTGGTTGTCCTGGTATTGAGCGAATCCGTGGTGTACAAGCTGCTTTCTGCCTTTGCTTTCTGTCCGTATGAATTCAGACCCCAAGAGGACAAACTCTCTTCACAGGGATAGAGAGAATCCAAAGTGGCCATTCAAAATTACGATTACTGACCCAATATGGGTTTGGATGTCACATATTCGGCATTTTCGGTTCCACGTAATTCATCAACCTCGAGAACAAATAATATCTCTTGTAGACAAGTATAACTGAATGTAACAGCAACAGTTGACCACGGGTCTCTCTATATATTTACCTTCAATGCTTTCCGATTCCATGTAGCCCTTGCAAACCCCATGGGGATGCCCCATTCAACGCCATTTCCCAGCTCCCAATATCCCGTCCAATACCCTCCCGTGAAACGCCTGATAAAACACTTGAGATCCATACATCATACCCTCACGATGTCGTCAATTCTCGCCATCGTTATTGCTTGATATCGAGCACCTGCTTCAACATACTCTCGCTTGCCCTCCACCACCGAGCCCTCTGCTCAAGGTCATCCGCAACGCCCCCAAGAGCAGCCTCCTTCCTCCTGCGAGCCTCCCGCGCCGCAGTGGTGCTGCTTTGCCGTTTGGCCTCCAACGGCAGCAGCTCGGCTCGCAGCCTTTCCGCCTCCTTTCTCTTCCTCGGGACCTTGGCCTGTAGAGCCTCGAGCTCGCGCGCCAGCTCTTGCTGCTCTGCTTTGCGCTTCGACACGAGGCCGAGCGTCTTTGTCAAGGGCAATCGAAGGTTTGGATCCGACTCCGGGGACTCCTGCTGGCTCTTGAGCTCCTTGATGCGCTTCTCCAGCTCCGCAATCTTTGCGGGCAGCTCTTCCAGGCGCGCCGTCTCGAGCTGGATGTTTTCGTACCGCTTGCTCAATTCCCGCCCCCTTCTCTCCAGGTCAGACACCAGGTCGGCCACCTCCAGTTTGAGATTCTTCAACTGCGCTTTCGCCTCGGCATTTTCTCGCTCCAGGTCCAAATTTTCTTGCAGCGTGACAATGAGAGGCGGATCCCCGACGATGGCGCGGATGAACTTCTCCTTGGTCACCTGCTCGACGTAGGAGAATCGAAGCTTGGCAAAGAGCTCTTTGTAGTGTATCAGATCTGCGTCCAGGCTGGTGGGAGAAGGGCTGTCGAGAGACGTGTTGGACGCGTCAGAGATGCGCTGAGGGGCATCGTTTGGTGTTGGATTTGAGATGGATTCACTGAGTTTGATGATGGACAGTTCATTGCTCGACTGCAGCCGACGCAGGGTCTCGAGGACCTGAGCTGGATCTTTGGTGCTCATGATGTAGCTTTGCGTGCTTTTTGACGAACTGGCGCTATGACGGGAGGGTTTGGCGATGCTCAATATGAGCCTGGACTCCTTCTCCTGATATCGCAACGTGCATGTGAGAAGTTGAATCAGAGTGTTTACATTGAGCCCGATGCAGTTAGCCCAGCAGCAGGTTCATGCGAGCTTATCTTATCGGCAGGGGGGCATCATGTGCGCTGAGTCATCATTTGAGGCTTCCCCGAATCTCGGCCATTCACCGAGCCTGCCAAAACATCTTCCTCTGTCAACACAAACCCTCTATGCTTGTTTGCGCAAACCTCGCCGATATCATTGCTCCCTAGACATCGCCTTGACATTGCCTTTGCTATGCCCAACGACGAGCTCCTCACAGACGACTATGTGGCTGGTTTGCTGGCCCAAGAGGCCAACGACTGCTCGATCAAATATTCAGCAATGGGGTTAGAGGCCTTCAACACCAAGAACAAGTAATGGAGCCCGCCGTTCGTTTGCAAGGGACATTATTCTGACGGAGTCAAAAGGCCGTCCAACGTACCAAAACCAAACACGAGGTTCCTCAGAAACATCATCAAGGATACGGATTCGCATAACAAGGCGCTGCTGGCCAAGGAAGCGGCTGAATCGAAGGCGAGGCTCAGGGATCTGGAGCGCGCCGACGATGTGAAGCGACGCAAGGCGAATCCATCAGATGGAGATGTGCGGAGGCGGCAATTGGGCAACATCCAGTCTATTCTTGGTGGATCGAGACACAAACGGGACGATGTTACAAGATCAGCAGACGAGAACGAAAAGTCTAGGAATAGGGGCGACAGCGACCGCCATTCCCGCCGAACTTCGCATCGAGAAAAGAACCCAGACAGCGATCATCGCAAGGCAAGAAGGGATTATGGCCGATTGTCGCGCAGCCCCGAGAGAGACGAGCGGAGGGATCACCGCGAAGACCGACCACGGACCTCACGAAAACGACACCGCGATGATTCCGAGGATAGGCACAGACATGGTCGCCATCGCCACAGAGACCGGTCCAGGTCACCCCGCCATCGACGCCGTTCTCGATCGCCTCGGGCCAAGAAGAGCAGGCACCGGAGTCGATCTCCCTTGACTGCGGAGAAGCGCTCCCCGCGAGATTCGCATGCCAGAACCGACGGCGACGATTCAGATCCTCTAGAAGAAATCATTGGGCCTGCGCCACCTCCCAAGTACCGCGGCCGGGGGACTGTCGCAGGAGCCGCCAGCCTGGATCGACGATTTTCCGAGTCGTACGATCCAAGCACGGAGGTGCTGCCGGATGACGAGGGAGGAGACTGGGACGATGCTGTGGAGGCTTATAGGGATCGCCAAAAGCTGCGTCAGATGCAGGAGGAGCGAATGAAGGCCGCAGGGTTCGCAGATCACCAGATTCAGAGGGCCAATAATAGCCAACGAGAGAAGACAGAGGAAGACGTGGTTTGGTCCAAGGCTGGGGAGGAGAGGGCATGGGATCGAGGCAAGAGGGACGACGAAGATGGCGACGGCGACATCATCTTGCGTGGCATACTGTCGGAGGATTCATGAAGCAAGCAACTGCTTGACCAGGAGCGTTATGTTGGGAGCACAGTGAATAGCCAGTGTAATACCTGTTGCTGGATGGGTGATACGGGGCCGTGTACGTATTATATCCTCGGTGTCTGATTACATGAAGCCGACACGCATTATGAAGCATGATAGAGCACTTTATACCTTCAAGGTAATCGGTAGTAGCTGCTGATTATTGATCGCTTGTTGTTGAAAAAGCTGAACGAACCGCATCACTGCGCAGATGCGACGAACCGAAATGTCAAAGACAGAGGCCTCCTCATACCTGTATTCCTAGACTCGCGCATCTGCAAGGGGTCCCAAACAGGCGATATGAAAAGAAATGTGCCGGGACCGCACAGCGCTTTCGTATTCGCATGAGCCTCCTTTCGGCCCTGTCATGAGCACGTGCTGCTCTGATCATGGTACATACCTACGTAGATGACTGCGCTTCACTCTTGATACCTTAGGTACCTACCTACAATAACCTGTACAAGACAGATGGCATGTCTCATCTGTATCCTGCAAGACGGGATGTCTTGTCGGAGTGTGATCACAAGCCATGTTCTACTGCAAAAAGAGTGAGGGAAAAGAAGGGCAGAAGATATAAAAAAAGTCATGCCATCTCCACATAATGTCGTCACGGGCTGTTGCGTCATGCAGCGTCTCTGGACAGGGGCTATTTTTGCACCTCCAGTGGATCGGGAGTGGTCCCTATCAGAGCCTAATCCCGGCTGGCCCTCGAGCTGTTTTCGGTGATTGAAATGATATAAGGAGATGCTGGTGTTGGGCGAAGTTGGTGGGAGATTCATAGGTAGCGGACGCGAGGGCGCTGCATAAGGTAGGTATGTAGTAGTAGGTAGGGAGATGAATAAGCAGAGAAGGATGATCTCTGTCTGTACCTGAGACGATCGATTCTGCATCCTTCACTGCCATCATCATCGCCAGCATCAAAAAAGCTTCGCGTCAAAAGGCTGGGTCGAGCTCCACCAGATCAAAATGCTACCTTATTATACTAGCTCCCAGCCCGTCGTCCCACAGACAAGCAGCCGCCAGCACTAGTTCGTCTTATCGATCCTCAGCCCGCGATGCTTCTCTGCCTTGTTGGGTTGGGTGAGTGCTGAACCAACGAGTGCCGTAGGCATGACTACTACTACGTATTGCAAGCAATGGTCCGATCTGGATGCCATCTGCAGGATCTCGTGTTTCTAGGTTTCACGCTGGTCAGATGTACTCCATGTAGATAAGATGGATGTGCATGTAGGTAGGTACTTACACAAGAGGTCTGGTACAACTAGGAAACCTTAGCGACAGACTGCCCGACATTCCAGCTGCTTCGACCACCTGAGCTCGAATTTACAGGCGTGACTTGGCGACGCTTGGCGGCCTCAGCCCCCGCCAGCCGAGCCCCCCCACTGCCGGCCGCTCCCTAGAATACAGGGCAGCCCAGCGTCCTACTACTGGGTACATGTACCTACTAGCACTGGGTGCTCACCTGCACGACTTTACCCGCCCCGCCTCGGCCGGGCTGTTTATTCCTCAGTCCATATTACTACTACCTACTACCTACACACCTGCGTTCATCGTTCGATATCGACTCTTCTCCCGCTCGCGCGCTCCTCCTTCTTGCATCCGTCCTACGTTTGTGTTGTCTTCTGTTCCTTTCAACGTGATTGATTCCCTGTTCTTCTGCCGCGTTCGTGCTCTTCTTCTTCTTCTTCTCCTCCTCCTCCTCATCCGATACGGATCTTCTCCTGTTCACCTCTCGTCCCATGACGTGTCTCAGCTCGCCGACGTCAGCCTCTCGTCCCTGAGGCGGCATTCCTTTGCGGGCGAACAAAAACACCACCCGGAGAAAGCATAACAGACCCAAACAAGCCAGAAAACCCGCCCCCTCTGCTGCCGGCCGACCAGCCGCGCTCCTCACGATGCGCACTCCACGGATCGTGATCCTCGTTCTTTGCATATCCACGTCCCTCTTCCTCCTTTTCCGCGCGGCGACAGCTTCCAGGACGCCCGCAGCCTCCCGATACCCCACCAGAGTCCGACCGACCACGTCCGTATGGGGCCTCATCTTCTACAACACGCCCTTCTCTCTCTTCCCCCCCAACGCCGCCATCAGCTTGACCGATGACAACAGCACCTCCTTCGCGGCCCGGCCTGCTGCCTTTGGGCCCCGGCTGCTGCCCAGCGGCCTGAGCGGCCAGCTGTGGGTTGGAAGCGGCTTCACCGAGGACAGCCTGGACGGCAACGGCGAGCTGGGCTGCAGCGACCTGCCCGGATGGGATGCTGCGGGTGCGAAGCATGTGCTGAAGCCGTCTTTTCACGGAGCTGCGCAGCACGGAGACGTCTCCAAGTCGAGCCGTCGCCCAGGGCGTGCCGGAGAGCTCCTCGGCTTGGACATACCCAAGAAGGACGCCGGAGCAAGCCTCGAAGAAGCTCCCGCGGACGACGGCACCGACAATCACCTCCACAAAGGGCCGCGCGGTTCCCTCACTCGGCGAGATTCCTCTACGTCTTCTCACGCCGATATCCAGTCGATCCAGGAGGGAGCCGAGATCAAGGGAAAGATTGTACTGCTGATGCGCGGAGGCTGCGGGTTCTTGGACAAGGTCATGTGGGCACAGCGAAGGGGTGCGATTGGCGTTATTGTTGGCGACAACATCAAGGGAGGCCCGCTCATCCAGATGTTTGCTCACGGCGACGAGGTCGACGATGTGACGATCCCCTCCGTCTTCACAGCCCGGACGACTGCGCAGCTGCTCTCTTCACTGACGCAACCCGGCAGCTTCATCGAGGACACGCTGGACGACAACGGCAACCCCGTCTTCAAAGTACAACAGGGCTCGAAAGCCAGGAAGAGCAAGAGCCCGGCTTCCAAAAAGAAGACACCATCCAAGAAGCCCAAGAGCTCAAGCAAGGAAAAGCGAAGCACAAGCGCAAAGAAAATAGAGGCCGAGGATCCGCCAATCAATTGGTTCTCGCGTCTCTTCAGCTGGGGCACGTCTTCTCGCGGCGTCCACAGCGAAAGCAGACCGCCCAGCAGTGGACAGCTGGACTGGGTCATGGTGGAAGACTGGAATGACGAGCAGGATAGCACCATCAAGCCCAGCACGGCTAAACCAAAGAAACAGCCAAAGCGACCCAAGGTGGAGGGCGACGACTTTGTGATTGGGGTTCAGGACTGGCGTGACCCTGATCTTCTGGCCAAAGCCAAGGTGGCGGCTGGAGGAGGCAAGGACGCGTCAGGCAAGTACAATGCCAAGAGCGGCGTCTCCGACCAGGATTTTGGCGCCGATGAGCCAAAGGGAGGAAGCATTACGCCGAGCAGCGGCGAATATAAGCTGCGCAAAGTATCTGCCGATGAAAGCGATGCTGATACAGCCACCGAGCTGAAGAGGTCTCCCTCAGCCAAGAGCCATGGCCTCATCTCGAGAATATTCGGCGACGACGAAGAGGGCGGCTCAGATGACATTGACGTGGCGGATGACGATTATGAGGACGACGCACCAGAGAAGGACGAAGACCCTGTGCGTCATGAAGGCCTCTGGGTTACCATCACGCCGACCAGCAGCGCTAGCCCATTCTTCGACACTCTGCTTGTGCTTGTCATCAGCCCCTTGGTGACGCTCTCGATTGTGTACGCCCTCTTGGTCTTGCGCGCGAGGATTCGAAGGAGGAGATGGCGGGCCCCCAAGTCCGTGGTCGAGCGTCTTCCAGTCAGGACCTACCACACCGTTGCCCGCTCGCCCAGCATGTCTCCCAGAGTGCCTTCTCCGGGCAGCGCAACGCCGACGACGCCGTTGTTGCAGCACAACAACAGTTCCAGCCCGCCCAGGTCGAGACCTCGCTCCAGGACGACCACTGGGGTCTTGGAAAGTGCAAACTTCCTGGCCCCGACTCCCAGTGACCTGTCACTGGCGCCGCAGAACCCTCGCCCTAGCCGCTCAGGGCACGAACGAGGAGCCGTCTCGGCAGAGTGGAAAAAGTACATGGGAAGGCAGGTGGAATGCGTCGTCTGCTTGGAGGAGTACATCGACGGCGTGAGTAGGGTAATGAGGCTTCCTTGTGGCCACGAATTTCACGCCGACTGCATGTGAGTTTCCCAATACTTTTTTTTTCTTGGTTCGCTGTGCACATGATACTGACAAGACGGGAAGCACCCCTTGGTTGACCACTCGTCGACGAACATGTCCCATCTGCAAAGGGGATGTAGTCCGCTCTTTGGCTCGTGGCTCGTGGGCTGGTCCTCGATATGAGCCATACCGTGACGATGGCGACGACGAAGACGATGACGACGACCAGGTAGCCGAAGGCTCGGGATATCGATCCTCCAGCGGCGACGAGGACGTTGAGCAGGGCCTCGCGGAGGCGGAGCCCACGGGGGCGCGTCGAACCAACTGGCAGGACAACCTCTTTGGCATGTTTCCCAGCGGCATAGGGGGCAGACGCCGGGCGCGGTCTCCATCCCCGCCGTCAGATGATCTTCGAGTTTGATTTCGTCGTCTTTTCACTGTTCAGAGCAAGGCTTAGATGGAGTTTTTCTTTGTCTACCTAGTGAACCACTGCACGCTACTCCCAAAAGCTGGCAGAAAGCTCATGCGAGCGCATCTCTCCTCCAATCTCAACTAAGCGAATATGCCTTGTTGTCAGGAACAGAAGCAATCACACGCTACGGCGTGTGGGCACAGGGGGGACCGGAGTTTTTCTTTGTATTTCCATTTGTTCATTTGGGACCAAGCAAGCATCGGTGGAATTCGTGGCCATTGATGGCTTTTTTTTTTTCTTTTTTTTCTATTGGGACGGCAGTATCGTTATAGGTTTCTCTCTCTCTCGTGTCCTTGCCGTGGTGGCAAGATGGATATGGCTACGTCCTCCTTGTAGGAAAAGAGTCAGATACAGGGGTGGCGAGGCGGCTTGTCGATGAGCGCCTGTTGGGGGATCGAATGGAAAGCTCAGATTATACCCCTTGTTTTTGATGATGGCAGACGGAATCTGTAGTTGAACTTGCGAATACCCTGTTGTGGTAATGGACGGGCATAACTGTGCGTGGGCTGGCTGACGTCTTGTGGTGTAATGTGAAGTTGTGGCCTCATCACTGCTGCTTGCTGAGCCGTCAGGGGCCAATCAGGAGGAGCTTTCCCAACATTGAACTCTTAAAGTACATCCATCGTCTTTCCATGGAACTGGCAGCACAGCCACGTCGCCGCTTCGGAACAGCTTGCTCGGCCGTGGACAACTCCTCTAGCTTGGGAAATCGTCCTATAATCATTCCGTCTCTACTTAGGTAGGTAGGAACAAATGATTATGCACAGCCTCTTCTTCTTCGGCTACGAAAGTGAATGGGAAGGCAGGTAATTTCGCGGGCCACGCGGCACGCACCCGGGGCGGAAAACCCGGTGTCTTGGTTTGACGGGGAAGGGCAAATCTGCCGTTGGGAGAGATTAGAGTTATCTAGAGTTTTGACCTTGGCTCTCTCATCTCGATTGTGGCGGTAATAGCAAGACAGCGGCCCCTCGCCCTTTTTGTTTTGGTGTGGTTGGATTTTGTTTGACAGGAGGCTTGGCCTTTACGATTTCTCGAGCATATTCGCAACCGCCAGTAAGGTACCTCTGAGAATTGGAAGCAAAAGGGGGGGGGGGCTGCTGCCTGTGATATAAGGTAATGAACGCCGAAAATGGGACATGCTCGGGGGGGAGGGGAGGGATCCCGTAGCTCCGCGCGGAAGACACAAGATGAATGTTGTCTCTCCCCGTCTGACTAAATTCTCTCTGTGTAAAGCAACTTTGTGATTTTCTAGCTCAAAGTATTAATATCCGTATGCTGGGATTCGGTTGAGCAACATGCATCATGCCAGTCCAGAAAATGCGCCGACTCGTTTCTCTCTCCTGGGGTTGCCAAGCAAACTCCGTTCCTTGACCATGCCATATTCATCAGCGGCACAGCTGTTCCTGGTGTGTTGGATTCGCAAAGTCAGAACGGATGATTGATGATCCATATCGTACGAGTTTCCCTCGTTTTTTGTCTTATAGAGTACATAATACCTACAGGTACCCATGCCTGGCCCCATACATAGTAGCAGCTTGTATAAGGTGATACAATTACTTTGTACATACCTCGGCGCAAGGGGCAGCTTCGTTTGAAACCCCTCCACTTTTGCAAGTATCCAGATTTCAGCCAATCAGCCTCGCAGCGCCCCCCCCCCCCCATTGGCCTCGCGCAATTGTTCTGATAATAATAACAAAAGGGGGGAGAGAGAGAAAATCGCATCCATTGCTACGTAGCAGAAGGGAAAACGGGGGGCCCAGCCCAGATCGACGGGGATAGGCAGAGAGGGTTCAATTGCTGTGATTGCCGACCCCCAGATGACGACAATGTCCAGATTCCAGTCCGCTACTTTGCATGTACAAGAAGGTACATACATACAGTACCTTCTACTTACGGTGGTAGGAGAACTGGGATTCGGAGGTCCAAAGGCCGTGCTCGTGCTGATGAATCCTGCCTGCAATGCAGCTGTGTTCATGTAAGAATGCGGTAGGTGCTGTAATATGTATATACGAAGCAGGGGATAGGTAGAACAAGGCGAATCAAGCGGTAGGGCTTTTCAGGGGAGGGGGGGGGGGGGAAGCGGAGGGTCCAGTTCAACGGACGGGACCCTTGCACACACACGTCGAGGAGACGAACAGACCCTCCCATCGCATTTGCGATCCATTCCATATTGCATCACGCTGCATGTAGTACGTACATACAGCTCCGTTCAATGCTGATGATTTGACACGGGTCGTTGTTTTGTGGTGGGTGGCATTCGCTTGGATAATATTTCATGGTTCGGTGAGCTAATGGTATTACACAAAAGGTGCCCAAGTGTTTGTTTGGCGTCGTTTGAAACCGTCGCGTGTCAATACGTGTACATACAACTACGTGGGACAAGTCGAATGGAACGGGACGGGTTTGGCCTTGATTCCCTTTCCCTCTTTTTTACTTGGAACTAGTAAATTAGATGGGCTGCTGTGACCGTTTGCCAAAATGCGGGGGAATCTAAGGGACCTGCCGGCTAAGATATGGACTGTATGTCTGGACAGTGGCTGCGACTGTAAACGGTCGATTGTTGACTGTGGCTTTGAGGGGGGATAGACGGGTACGGCTGGACCGAGGCAGGTCCTGACATGCGACCTTGACCAGTTGCATGTTTGACTCCCAACAGTGAAGCAGATGTAGATGAAGCCAGTTCTAAAAAGTTGTTGCTCCTCCATGTCGATTGATGCCGTCTTGCCGTTCCTCGATCAAGCATGAGCAAATGCTTGATCAAGTGGCAGGATCTACCTTGTCAGCCAGTATTGCCCATGTCCTGGATACTGTATGATCAGAAACCCCCCCACACGCGACGTTGGGATCCAACGAATTGCAAAGCAAGACCAGGCAAAATTGCACAGCAATAATACCAAGACAAGAGAAAAAGCAACGCAGCGCAAAGCCTCCCCCTTTGAGAAGAAAAGCAGCCCAGGGGACCATTGCCGTGCGAATAAGCTCCAAATGTCTCAGTTGCGCCCTTGCCCAGCATTCAATTGCACAAAAACACAATCAAAGAGATACCTTTCAGTGGAGCTGGGCTGTCCAAGCAATGGATCCAATCAGTGCAAGTGCAGGCACAGCAAGTGGCAGAGGGGGGCCACCTGACCGCTTCCGAGAATAGCGCCCCCCCAGTGCCGTCACTCTGCCCACTATCAGTTGTCCCCTCTACCCACTGTCAGTTGTTCCCTCTACCCACTGTCAGTTATCCCTCTACCCACTGTCAGTTATCCCTCTACCCACTGTCAGTTATCCCTCTACCCACTGTCAGTTATCCCTCTACCCACTGTCGCCGCCCACTGTCCACTAATTGATCCCCCCCCAGACCCCCTGTCCGCGCCTGGCGCTGCTCCGCCCGTGAGCAGCCCGCCTAACTGGACCCGGAGATCCGACGAGATCGAACCATCTTCAGTGGCCATTTTCGCTCTACTGCCGACGCTTGTCTCTTCCCTCAGCTCCAGCTGTTTCTCTTCTCCATCTTCCCTCTCCTCTCTCTCCCTACCATTGCCTTGCCTTGCCTTGCCTTGCCTTGCCTACATACACCTGCCTGTACATATTGCGTCTTTCGCCGAGGGCCCAGTGAGCCTTCACCGGGAACAGACTGCCAGTATTTCCACTCACCAACCGCTGCATCTCCTTCCTTGCTCCTCTCTCGTCCATGCCCGGCTCATGCGTCCTCGGCCGACCTCCTCCTCCTCTTCCTCCTCCTACTACTACTACTACTAGCACCTAGGTAGCTCACTCCCAGATCCGCAAGCGAAGGAAAGAAAAAACAAAAAACACACCCAAAGATGCAGGCCGTCGCGACGTCCCAGTTCCTCAGTGACGATGACATTGAGAAACTCTTCTCCGGAGCTCCCCAGTATTTTGCCCGCAGCGAGAGCTACTTCCCCGGCGCGCCTCACCCCAGCGTAGCCTTTCCGTTTGACGAGGAGCTCGAGATCCGCGACCTGACGGACCATGTCCAGATCGAGTCCAAGGCCTGGAGCGGCGTCACCGTCTGGCCGCACCTCACCCGGGACGTCGACCACGACCCCGAGGCCAAGAAGGAGGCCGAGGAGACGCGCAGGGCCCATTTCCACGTGCGCTGCGCCGAGCGGCCCAACATGCTCAGCATGCAGGGCCTCGAAAAGGGCACCATGGGCTACCAGGCCGCCCTCGAGCTCGCCGTCAGCGACTCGCTCGAGGAGGAGCAGTTTGGCTTCGAGAGCCTCGGCACAAAGGCCCGCGCCGTCGTCGAGGCCCGCGAGCGCATGCTCTCCCGCGATGGCTGGCTGCACCGCCTGCCCCAGACCGAGCTGCTGGACCGGCTCAAGCGCAACGCCGACGTCTACCGCAACAACAATCTCCGCAAGAAGCCGTCGCTGGAAACCTACAACGACCTTTTTCACGTCCTCATGAGGCCCAACAAGATGGTCATTGTCGACAAGAAGGACCCTCACAGCCTCGCCAACCAGATCAGTGCCCTCCTCAAGTGCCTGGGAGCTCCCAATGTCTGGATCGACCTGTCGCATGTCGAGTGGCGCGTTCGCCTCGGCCAGATCCTCTGGGGCACGCCGCACGGCGACGAGCTGGACGACGATACCGCAATCGTCGACGCAGAGAGCGCTGCCGAGAGGGCCGAGGAAAAGTACTGGCTGCTGCTGCAGATTCTGGTGTCGTCCGAGTTGCTCGTCCGCCTCGACGCAATCACGGACGGCGAAGAGTACGGGCAAGCAAGCTTCAGGGCCATTGACGTAGTCCAGTTCGAGAGAGCCGCGAATGCTTCCGTCAAGTGGTCGCTGCTCTTGGCCCGCAGCTGGTTGAAGAATATCGAGATTGTGCGCGAGGAACATGCATCGCCCGTGCAGCCAGAGGTCCGGCGTGGAAGCAGCGGCATTGCGCCCGGGTGGCTGGCGTCTCTGGCCAGCAAGATTTCTCTCCACGACCAGCACAAGCACGGAAACCGGCCGCCGTCGCCGCCTCACTTTTACACCATTCGAGGCAGATTCGGTCAGCGCCAGGTCGAGGGCCTGACTCACTTTGCCAGGAAGCTCCAGTGGCCGGGCATCGACGCCTACGAGAGACGCATTTCGGAGAGCGTACGTAAGATGACAGCCCCGTCGTCTCTTATGCCGCCGACGCCCACACCCTTGAAGAAGGTGCCGGAGCAGGACTCGTACTTTGGCGCTTGGGACGTGACATGCCAGCGCGGACACCATAAGGAGCGAGCCCACGCCAGGCGCCGCCGGATGGCCGCGGCGCTGCACGAGTCCGGCTGGCTCTCCAAGTCGTACGTCTTTGGGTTGATGATGCCGGGTGATGCCGTGAGCCACTTTCTCATGGCGACGCTGCTGGAGAACGATAGTGAGGCCCTCTCCAGGATCGGGTCATTTGCCAACCTCAGCAGCGGCTTTGTGTACCACGAAAAGAGTTTCTGGAGCACGTCGTGCATTGTTGGCAGAGTCCTGGCCGCCGGGAAAGGGTCCGCCGAGTGCATGGGATGGATTTCGACGGATATAGTTCCCGAGGGAGTAAACGAGGGATGGATCAATATCGATGTTCACGATGTCGCCTGTGAGTGTTGACCACCGTCAGCAAGATGTCCCCTATACTAAACTGTGAACCAGCCGACATCGCGCAGCTTGGAAAGAAGGCCAGGCTCTGGGGCAAGAAGCGAATTGAGCGCGAGTCGTCCATCCTTGGAAATGGCCAAGAGGAGTCTATCCTGCCCGCAGATTTCATCATGCCTCACGAGAACAACTACTTGTCGTCTCCCCCGGGGGTAATTATCGAGTTGCAGTCGCTGGAGCTGGGCACGCCGATAGCAGAGTGCGTCCACCCGACGCCTCTGGCAGAAATCGTCGTGACTCCCATCCATGAGAACCATCGGGCTCCGGATCTGCCTTCGTATCCAGCCAAGATCAACTTTTTCGTCTCCATCGACGGAGAGAAGACGGAAACGGCCTCCTTTTCGCTGCTGTACGACATCAACTTTGTCACGGCACACCCGTGCTCCCCTTCTTCGCGGGTCAGGGTTCTGAAGAGCCCGTCGAGCCCGACACTGCGACAGATTGACTTTGACGGCTCCCAGACGCTGGGTGTCGGGTCTCGGTCCATGTACCGAGCAGGTTAGTTTATGCCCTGAGGAACCACGGCATGTGCTGCCCATGCTAACGAGAGACGCAGGCCATCCCTTGCACAAGTATTACAACTACACGGTTATTCACATCTCGGAGCTCCTGCAGAGACGAAACGCTGAGCTGTCGGATCTCCTCACGCCGCCCAACGTGCAAGCTGCTCCGAACCAAGTGCTGGTGATTGACTGCATCACCAGTTTTTCCTCGGCGCCGCAGTCGCCCGTGCTGGATCGCCTGGAGTCGCCTGGCAGTTCGCCTATTGAGCGAAAGGGCAGCTTCTCCGCCGCGGCCAAGATGCACTTTGAGTCGCGGAAGCGCCAGTTTGGATCCGACATGGAGATTCTCATCCGGGCCCTGTGTTCGGAGAAGGGTTGGAACGCCATCATCAGCAGGAGGAAGCGAGGGTGCCTGGCCTGCGCAATCCGCGAGGCTGGCGCTCTGGGCTGGAAAGTCATTATCCGAGTGCCATGAGCGTCTGCATTTCACAGAGAGAGAAATCCCCACAGGTCATTCTTCCTCAAGGAAAAAAAAAAAAAAAAAAAGACAAAATGGAGAAGAAGAAGAAACAGGCAGAATACCTGCCGCAAGAGGAGGACAAAAAAAAAAGAAGAAGAAGAAAAGGAAGAACGGAACGAGCAAGAAATACCCTTCTCTCACGGAGTTTTTATCTGGGCAACGACGGGAGTTTTCGGAGCGTCTGTGCAAGTCAGCCCTGGTCTTGTCTGTTTTTCTGTCTGGGGTCTGTTTTATTTTTATTTTTTTTTATTTTTTTTCCCTCTTTCATGTGCTGAGCGAGCGAGCGCGCGGGCAATTTGATGTACGATAGGTAGCAGCCTCTTGCGTTTGAGCCGTTGGCCGAATGATGGGGTCGCGGGAACGACTTGTGTGTAACAATGAACCTGGTTTTATCGTTTGAAGACGCGCATTTCGCATGTCGACTGTGCAAGAGAGAAGGAAGAAGGTCTTTGTCAATAGGACGCTGAATGCAGAGTATCAGATTCAACTGGGATGGACCTCCGAGTTGATTGTTCCGTGTCTCGTGAAATCTCGGAACCGGCCGTGTGAATCTGGAGGAGGTTTGTGGAGCATCCGAGACCTGGATCTAACCCGCAGTGCGCTAAGCCCTGTCTGGACGGGCAGGCTTAGTCAACAACAGCCTGTTGGAGGGGGACCCGGAACTTGTTGAGCTACTAATACTACTAAGATAAGATAGTACTCGCTGGTGGTTCTTGAGCTTGTGCCTCGTGGCCCATTGGCGCAGCTACATCTCCAGACCCCCAAGACTCTGCCTACCTACCTATTTGTCAGTCTCATCTGTCTATCGCGAGCCATCACAAGCCAAGTCGGACACCATGGCGCCTGGAACCAAAGACATGCGACGGGCGGACCTGAGTGAGTATCTGCCAATTGATTCCCATCTCCCGTCTCTGCGCGAAAGGCAATACATACGGTTGCGATGCTGCGACGCCGAGATCCCTACCAGAGCAGTCGCCTCCAATTGACTTGATGGAGATGGAAGGATAAGATGGAGAGACAGAGACAGACAGACAGACAGAGAGAGACATGTGCTGACGATGAACTCGCATTGCAGTCGTCCCGTATCAGGAACCCGTCGTCAAGGGCGAGGTGACGGATTTCTCGTCGACAATGTCCTCGACGCTGCCCATGGCGGCCATGTTCATGCGCAACAAGTTTGTCGGATGGTATGCGCCCCCCCCCCTTCCTTCACTTGCCGCACCCACGGAAACAAGACGAAGCTATAATAAGACTTCGAAATAAAGACAAAAACGATGGAACAATACACAGGGGACACGATTAATAGGGGGAGGATGGTCTTTGATCTGATTTAGGGCGCCAAGAGGCTGACGGTAATTTCTTTTGCAGGATCGCCGTGGTGTTTTCCATTCAGACGTGGTTGGGCGAGAGCGAGGATAGCAAGAAGAGCAGCGGGACGCCTGGGTACTTTTCCGTCGGCATGTCTCGTACGTTTTGGCCCTTTGAACTCTTTTCTCTCTCTCTCTCTCTCTCTCTGACTTTGACGATGACAATAAAAACGGTTGTGCTGACTGTGGTGGTTTGGTATAGTCCTTGCTCTGGCGGTGACGTATCTGCCCATGTTCATTCCTCCTCCCGGCGCGAAGACGGCTCCTCCGGCTCCGGCGCCGCTGCCATGATTGACATACACATGTTGGTTGAGGGGAGATTGATGAAGAAGAAGGAAGAGAGGAGAGATGCAGACTGCCATCTGGTGGGGATAATGTTAATAGGGTAACTGGCTCTGGACAAAAGTTCAAACGGCCTGATGGGAGGCGTTTTCGAGGGGAATAAGGGGGGGCGACGAGCGACGAAGCTTTTGATGCTTGATGATGCGCCATCAATGTACATATAGTAAGCAAATCAGACTTTTTCCAATGTTCTACCTACTTCATTATAGGGGTATCAACGTATAACGCCAGCAAATCAATTCCGAGTCAAACACACAAGTCAACCGTATCAAGACATTTGACCCCTTTTTCAAACCTCTCTCCTCCCACAGTTTCTACCCTACTCCAACCCCAATGGAAAGCGCCTCACCTGCGGCTCTTCACCCAGGTTCATGGCCTCCCACTCCTTCACGCCATCTTCCTCCTCCTCCCTCTTCCCCAGAGCAGCATCACAGACGTGGTCCCACGGCCCGCAGTCTGCTCGGCAGACAGTGTCTTTCTTAGGGACGACGCCACTATGCAAGTAATCCGACACAATCTTCCACGTGCACCGGCTGGGGGCACTGCCCCAGGCGCTGTGCCCAAGCGACTCCTGAACGACGACAGCCGAGCCGGGATGCTCCTTGGCCATGGAGCGCGCGGCCTTGAGCGGCGTGACGGGATCGAAGCGGCTGCTGAGGAAGAGCAGCGGCGCGGCGGGCTTCCCGCTGAAGAGCGGCCGGGCGCTGTGCCTGGGCGTGGAAAAGGGGCCCCGGAAGGACCAGCTGGGGCGGACGGGCCAGGAAGAGCACGTCATGCGGATGGAGGCCCAGAAGACGCCAAAGACGTCCGACTTCTTGCCTTGCTTCTTGGCGTACTTTCTCCAGAACTTGGTGTTGCGGTCCGTCACGTCCTCGCCGTCGCTGCAGAGCACGGCGAATCCGCCCTCGTCCTTGGGATCCGGCAGCAGCGACAGGCCAGACGCGCCGTTATGATGATTCTTGGCCGCGGCCGCCGCATGGCAGGCGTCTGCCACCTTGGGGATGCCCGAGTCGGCCCAGCTGGCGACGCGGGTGAGGTTGCCCTGCATGCCGTGGAAGAGGGCGAGGGCGAGCGGCTGGAACTGCTGCCGCGGCCTGTACAGGGCGCTGCCGACGACGCGGAGGACCTGCTCGCCGGTGAGGCGCATGAGGGCGCCGTTGGGGCGGTAGATGGGCGCGGGCGACTCGTCGAGCGCCTCGACCCAGGACCAGAAGCGCTTGCGGGCTCTTTTCGCGTCCTTGTCTGTTTCGCGGAACGGGCAGAGGGCGTTTTCGGACCGGAAGCAGCCGTCCCAGAACTCTTCAAAGATGGCGTCTGTGTCTTGGAGGTTGGTCATCCAGCCCTATATCATCATCATCATCATCAGTCTTTTGTTACTTTGCCATCATTTTTCTCATTCATGGGCTTTTTCAAAAGGTCAGGGATATTTTGACTTACGTCGCCTTCAAAGTAGTCCGTCGCGTCTGCAACGCCGTCGAGGACCATCCTGCCGACGCGGCCGGGGAACATGGACGCAAACGTGTTGCCCAGGACGGTGCCGTACGAGAAGCCAATGTACTGCAGCCTCGGCGTGGGATCGTCGTCCTCCTCCGCGCCATGTCGCGGCTTCTTGTTCTTGTTGTTGTTGTTGGCATCCTCGGCCTTGGGAGCAGGAGGAGCAGCAGCAGCCTTGCGCTTCCGCAGCTCGGCAATCTTGTCGACCATTTCGACCATGTCGCGGGCGACGCTGGGCGTGTTGACGTACGCCAGGGCCTCGCCGGCTTCCCGCTCGCAGCGCATGGAGAGGGCCTTGGCGAGGCTCAGGCCGTTGATGATGGCGCCTTCGCCCGAGGTGAGGGAGCCCTTGGCGTGGTCCTGCAGGATCCAGGCGGCACGGGCAAAGTCGTTGTGGCCGAAGCAGTCGACCGGGTTCGTCCTGCCGATGCCCCGGGGATCGAACGAGACGAGCTCGTAGTGGCGGACGCCGGGCTTGTCGACGAGGACCCTCTGCAGGGTGGCGCCGTTCTTGACGAGGTGGTTGATTCCGGACGCGCCGGGGCCGCCGGGGTTGACAAAGACGCTGCCTCCAAAGGTCGGGTCGTCGTCTGGCACGGCGGCAGGCAGCTTCACCATGGCGATGGCGATGGTGCGGTTGTCCCCCGCCGTCTTCCAGTCCAGGGGGACCAGCAGGCGGGCGCACTGGAACTTTCCATCGTAGCAGTCGTGGTAGTCGAGCTGCTGGCTGGGGAGGATGGAAGACCAGTCGGGCTCCTGGATAGACGACAAGGGGGTTTGAACGGAGGAGGATGGGGCAGGCAAGGAAGAGATGCCGCTGTTGTTGCTGCTGCTGCTGCTGTTTGAAAATAGGGGGGCGAGGGGGGATGCGGAGAGGCTGGCTGCGTTGAGCACCAGAGGGAAGAGGAGGTGACGCAGGATAGCCATGGCGTTCGTTTGACTGTGAAGATGGGAAAGAAAACAAAGAGAAAGGCAAGATGGAAGTGATGGAATGTGTGAGTTTTGGTATTGTGTGTTTGAAGAGAGGCGACAAGTTTCCGATCAGTTGCTTGTGAGGGTGAGTTTGCGGAGACAGATGTCAAAGAGGGAGAAGATGGGCGAGGGCTCCCCCTTTTTATATCAATGTCTCCGGCATGGCTTGGGGTACAATCATTCATGTGTCTAACCATGCCGCGACGCATCAAGGTAAGGCGGCATTGAGGCTATACAGACTTTTTATACTTTGAGGCTGGTGGCGGATGGGTAGTGAATGATAAGGGGCATATGAAGAGAAAAGAGGCGGATGGTATCAGCCAAAGTAGGGTTAAACAGACATTTAAACAAACTCAATCTGTACAGCTCAGTGTACTTTGGTTTCCCTTCTTCTCTGGTATAAATTGACTTCCGTTAATCAAAGTCGCTTCGCTTGGGCAGACTCGTGTTTCTCTAGCTGGCCAATCTCCTCCTTTCTTCGGGAGCGGTACGTCGGAGGACTCAAGCCTTTGTGATAACCATCTCTAATCGAAAGCAGAACCAGGCAAAACGTCGAGTGGAACGCGTCTCTATTCAACTGTCTTCTCATGTCGTAATGCATAAATTCGTGTCTTTGTCGATCGCGTAGAACATCTCCTCCTGTAGACTGTCAACGGTGGCAATCGGCCCTTCAGCCGTCAGCTTGGCTTGCATGATGGCTTCGACCAAGCTTTTACCGCCTCAAAGCATGCATGAAGCGCCATTCCCCCAAACCAGAATAGCACTCAATTCCTCTCCCCCATCCTCGCCTCACTCTCCTCCTCCTTCTTATCATCATCATCATCATCATCATCATCATCCGGAGGCAACTCGCTCCCGAGCTCAATCCTCTCCGCCCACGACCATCCCATGCCCCCTTGCAACGTCTCCTCATCCATCACCAGCTCCCCCTTTTCTCCAAACGTAAAGACCCGGTAATCCGCGTTAAAGTACCACCACCCATTCACGCCGTTGCGCAGAAACGCAGAGTGCGTAAAGACAAGCACCAGGTCCTCGGGCCGCTCGCGCAGCTTCTCGAGGCACCGCCGGCCGCGGCGCAGGACGGCAGAGCGCGTGTACCCAAAGAGGTGCCTGGCGAGGGGGGACGCCGTCTTGTCGGGCCAGAGGGGGTGGATGGCGGAGAAGTCGTAGCTCGGGGAGGCGAATTGGTGGGCGGTGTGGTTGTCCGGGATGAGGACGAGGCTGGGGATGGGGGTGCCGACGTCGCAGGGCTTGTCTGAGATTTCTGTATACGCGTTTGTATGTTGGTCAGTTCTGTGTGCTCTTTTGATCATCTTATCCTTTGATATTGACAGTTTCATAGAAGAGAAACTTGATGGCTGCCTGGATATGAGAAGTAATCTACGAGACCAAGTATTTCAAACACAAACACAAACCTTGCCAGTCGGCATCAGCCTCAATCTTGATCCCTCGCTCCTCGACAAGCCAGCCAGCCGCCAAGCTCGCCGTCTGAAGCGTGCGAATCATGGGGCTCGAGATGATGGCGACGCTGCCCTTGAAGGAGGAGAAGCGCTGGACGAGGCTCTGCCGGAGCTGCGCGCATTGCTCGATGCCGACGTCTGAGAGGACGGGATCGGGGATGGAGCTGTCCTGTGCAAAAAAGACTTGCGCGTGTCAGCTTTATTGTTTGTCATCCATGATTTTCGGGTCATGTTGGAGGGTTACGTATTGGTTTGGTTGTGCAGGGCCTGGGCGTGCCGGATGAGGACGACTGTGGGCGGCATTTGCGATTGGTGGTGGTGGCTGGTGATGTGAGATTCGATTGGTGTCTTGATGGTGTTTTGATATGGTGAAGGTTGATTGATTGGAAAGGAAATGAGGTGTGTGAGGTTGAGTCACTGCACGGTGACCTCATCCGCTCAGGCACACGGCCAATGACGGCGGCCACCTTCAGCGCTGTTGGCACCTTCTAGCGGCTTTCCATATGAATTGATTGATTGATTAATTAATACCAGTAGAGGTGTGATGCGACGTCACTTTTGGTCTCGTTTTACCTGCATGTACCTTATCAGATGTGTGTGTGTAGACCAATTGAAGCTTTCTACCAAACATCACTCACTGATAGACAACTTCATGAACTGCTTCTGTGAGACGAATGATGGTCAAGAGAGGCAGGAGATCAATGTTAAATGGAGCTCAACTTTTTGAATAATGCTCTTTCTTGGACGAGTCTATGGTACACATTGTGATTCTACATCCGCCAATCCATAACCCCTGATACAAGACATATCTATACAGAAAACCACACGCCTCCAACTCTACTTGGACAAAAAGCTCTGGAAAGCAGACTGATCAATCACCACATTGCCCACCGCCCGCAACCTCTTCCTCCCCTCCTTCTGCTTCTCGAGCAGCTTCCTCCGCCGCGTGATATCGCTCGCGTGCAGCTTCGCCAGGACGTCCTTGCGGAACGGCTTGATGGTTTCGCGGGCAATGACCTTGTTTCCTACCACGGCTTGGATGACGACCTCTAAAATACGCCAACAGACGTCAATAACAAAACAGAACTGCGTAATTCCGCTGGAAGAGGAGGCGAAGAGGTCATGCAAGAGATGGGGCGAAGGGGGGGGGGACGAACCAAACATTTGCCGGTCGACGTGCTCTTTAAACTTGGTCACCCACTGCCGGCCCAGACGATCGACCTGCGTGGCATGGACAACTCGGCAGATTGCGTCGACGGGCTGTCTGTTGACGAGCAGCTGCAGCTTGACGAGCTTGCTCTGCCGCCAGCCTGCGTCTTCGTAATCGAGCGTCGCGTATCCCTTTCTATCCAGCCATCAAGTCAGTATCACCCGGCACGATGAATCCCAAAGAAAAGGGCTTGGAAGAGCGGAGAATGAGAAGCTTACGAGACGCCTTTCAACTTTCCAAACAAGTCGTCAACCAGCTGCGAGGCCGGAATGTCGTAGACAAGAATCACCTGGTCCGTGTGGAAAAACTCGAGGCTCTTTTGCTCTCCGCGGTTGCCCTCGCAGAGCTCAATCACGCGGCCAAGGTACTCTTCCGGAACGGTAATTGTCGCCTTGACATAGCTAAAATCGAGAAGCAAGAAAAAATCAAGTCAGTTATAGGAGGCCAACAGCTGTGGCAGGTAGTAGTAACTGGTGGGCCTCGTCAACTTACGGCTCGTATAGCGTCGCGGCTCTGATGCGATGATCGCTCGCATCCGGAAACAGCGCCGGATTCTGCACAATCTCCTCCGTCTCGTCCGCATACACAATCTTGGTCGGCACGGTAGGCTCCGTGATGATGATGCTCCGGCCGTGCTCCTGCCTCAGCCGGTCCTGGAACACGGAGCAGTGAAGGCTGCCCAGGAACCCCAGCCGCCATCCGGACCCGAGAGCCTCCGAAAAGTCCTTTTGCAGCGTCACGCTGCGGTCGTTGAGCACGAGCTGGTTGATGCTGTCGGCGAGGCGGGTGTAGTCGCTCTGGTCGGTGGGGAACGCCGCCACGAACACCATGGGCTTGGGCTCCTCGAAGCCCGGGCACGGCTCGACCGTGTCCTCGTTGCCAACGGTGGTGAAGGTGTCGCCCAGCTTGGCGTCCTGGATCCGCTTCATGCCCGGGTTGAAGTACACGTAGCCGACCTGGCCTGCGCGGAGGACCGTCTGCGGCGTGGCGTGGGGATACTGGATGCCGACCTGGCCGACCGTGTACTTCATCCCCGTGCCCAGCGACACGACATTGTCGCCCGCCCGGATGGTCCCGTCAAACAGCCTCACCAGCAGCACCACGCCCTTGAACGTGTCGTACCACGAGTCCACCAGCAGCATCTTGAGCGGCTTCCTCTCGTCCCCGACAGGATGCGGGATGCCCTCCACCACCGCCGGCAGCAGCGCCGCAACCCCCTTGCCCGTCTTGGCGCTCACCAGCACGGCCTTCTTGGGGTCCAGCTCGAAGCTCGTCTCCATCTGGTCCAGCACGCGCGGGATGTCGGCCGACGGCATGTCGATCTTGTTGATGACGGGCACCAGCGCCAGGTCCTGCGCAAAGGCCAGGTGGAAGTTGGACACGGTCTGCGCCTGGATGCCCTGGCTGGCGTCGATGAGCAGCAGCGCGCCGCCGCAGCTGGCGTACGACCGCGTCACCTCGGCCCGGAAGTCGACGTGGCCCGGCGTGTCGACGAGGTGCAGCAGGTAGTCGGCGCCCTTGTGGTTGTAGATCATGGTGCACGTCTGCGCCTTGACGGTGATGCCTCGCTCGCGCTCGACGTCGAGTTTGTCCTATATAAGCAGATAATTAGCTTCCTTGCTTTACAACTCTGACTCTTTGGATTTGCCTTGAACCCACCAGAATCTGCTTGTTCGCATCGCTGGCCGAAATCGTCCCCGTCAGCTCCAGCAGCCGGTCGCTCAGCGTGCTCTTGCCGTGGTCAATGTGCGCCACGATGCAAAAGTTGCGGTACCGCTCAATCGGGATCGCGGCGATGCGCGCCTCGAGCTGCGCAGGCGTCGGCTTTGCCTGCGAGGCGTACGTTCGCCAATGTCGCAGAGTCGGCAGCCGTCGAGTCGTCGTGCTGTTATAAGTGGTCCTGGTCTTGTTTGAGTAGAGGCCGAAGCTGCTGTTGCTGCTGCTGCTGCTGCTGCTGCTGCTGCTGTGCCCGCCACGGCTGCCGATGGATTTCGCACAGCGCAGCCATTCTCGAGTCCAGGCTCGTCCGGCTCTTCCAGCCAGGCTCATCTGGGCATCCACGAAGCTTGCATTGGGCGACTTTGCGGTGTCACCAGGTGCGTTGGCTGGAGTTGAAAATAACTAGGCAGGCAGTTCGGCTTCGGAGTCGTTGTTAGCAAGACACAAAAATTGAGGTCAAAGTGGGCGGATTAGTTCCGCGCTGCCCCTCTTGGCTACCGCACTCTTAACCTACAATATCATTCTCCAGGTCAATCACCATCATTGATACCTATTTCATGACCATTTCTTCAGATTAAATCTTTCAGATGTCTTCTCGCTTGCTGTTCGATCATGTATCCCGTCTCTTCCAGAGAAAAGACGCTTCAGGAAAGAGAGAGATATATATACTATAAAATACACACATGTATGCCTTTCGATGTCTGGATCACCAAAGCAGCCAACCTCCTCTTGATATATAGCAGGCTGCCGCATGTCCGCAACTGAATTCCGAACAAACGCGCCTTTTGCTGCTTCTCATCGTTCCGTCGTCATGAACGTTATACCAAAATCTCAGATCAATTATCCCGCCTCTTGCTCATTAGGTATCGCATAGGATAAAACACACAAGCTTGCTTTCAATGACAAAAAAACGGTCTCCTTCTCTTTCTTCATGTCATGACCCATTCGCTTCCTCGTTTGAGGAACTTGTCCAGCAACAGGCCGAGGTCGGCCAAGACGAATCGGCAAATGTAAAAGCCAAAGAACTCAGCGGCGTGCCGGGTGCAGAGCTCCAAGCCGACCTGAGTCTTGTCCGCAAGCCGCAAACCGGGGTCGTCGACCTGCCTTGCAATTTGATCTGCATCATCGTTAGCTTGCCGTCACTGTAACCGGTATGCGTATCGCAATATGCTTACCAACTGCCTGCGCAGCGTCAAACAAGCGCGCGAGAGAGCCCATGTAGCTCGCATTGGGCCCGATGAACTGAACCTGGCTCACGTCTCGCTTGGCCGAACGGCTTGTCGGTTTCGGCGTCATGGGCACCGTTGCCAGCGTTGAGGCCTCCTTCGTCTCAGCACTGGCGTTGCGGCTGCTGTACGACCCTCCCAGCCCGACGCCCGACGTCTTTGGCCGAAGCCGTCGCCAGGAAAACGCAGACGCCTTGCCAGACACACTTCCTGATCGCGGCACGGCTGAACCGGGGTCTCCTTCCATCATCGAGGCGTCTTTGAACAGCAGACCGGAACCTTGAACGCCCACTTCGTTTCCAAGCTTTCGGGCCAGGACCGGCTGTATCTGCTCCAGAATGCCCTCGAGGGCTTGCATCTCCTCCAGCACGGCATCCGCATCCAGAGTGTCCACTTTGGACAGCTTCAGCAGGGCTGCAGTCAAAAAGTCGCAGTTGGCAATTTTGTCCTCCACGTTCTTGATCTTGACACCTTTGACCCGCCAGACGTCTCGCGGCACGAATAGCTTCGTACTGATGTAGCCACCCTTGGGATGCACAAGTGTCTGGTATAGGCATCGCATCAGCCAAAACGGTCGCAGCATGAAGTCGTTTGGACAGGGTTCCAGAGGCACAGGGACGTCCATGGAGACAACAACGGGACTTCTGGGACTCTGCGGGCTTTGGGGGCCGGCAGCCGCCGCTGCATGAAACTCGTCGTCAAACAGGTGGAAGCCAACACCGGCCGCTGCCTCCATATGATCTTTGAACGACGCGAGCAAGGGGGTCGGCAGCGCGGGCACGGGCACGGCAGGTGCCTTGTTGAAGGGGTCATTCAGGGGGGTGCCGGGGGAAGCATCCGAGCTGTCGTCCAAATGTGAGACGGACATGTTCCTGTTCTTCATGCTCCTCAAGCTAGAAGACGAAAAGTTCTTCCGTAGCCTGTGGATAGAAGGCGAGGCATTCAGCACATTCTCTCCTTCCAGAAGCCTCTTCTTGGCGGTTGGCGATGCGGGAGCACTGAGTTCGGATGGGAAGCTTTCTGTCGGTATCGGTGGCCTTACAGGCTGCGCGCTCGCCGTCCGGACGAGCGTCTCGGGCGGCGGCTCTTGCGTGCTTGGGGAGATTTCGTCGTCGTCATAGACCGACTTCTGGGTTTGTACAATGTTTGCCGTCTCGATCTTGAGTTGCTTTGGATTTTGACCAGGGCGTCCTGGTGGCAGGTCTGGCAATGCGGATGTCGGAGGGGGGGCTGCTGGCTGCGAGGCGTTGGCGGCGTAGGCCTGAGGAATGGGTGGCCTCTGCGACAGGGCAGAAAAGGATCGGACGCCCGAGATGAAATCCGGCCTCGTCTCGTCCTCGTTCCATGCATCCTGCTGCCTAGCTGACACCTGTGTGCCATTCGGGTTTTCCATGGTAAAGTCCTCAATGGCAAAGTCGCGTGTAATCTCGTCCAATAGTCTCTCCTCCTCTTCAGACGAGTCGTCCTCGTAGAATCCCTCGGCAGTATACCTGTCCTCCTCCTGCTGGTGCTGCGGATTCTGTGAGTGCGCCTGTCGGAGGTTGGCCAGCTCGTCATAGGCTTCCTGCTCCGTCTGTCTCGCTCGTTCGCGCGCCATCTCCACCTTGTGCAATACGCCTGCCATGCTATTGTCCCCCCCAGCATCAATGGTCCCATAGTCTACAGAGTCCATGGGCTCGTAGCCGTCGTCGTAGGCAGCCTCGATAGCAGCGTCCAGCGCCGTGTCAAACTCGGCCTCGGTGTTCCCGCTCACGGCCCGGATATGGCGTCGACGGTAGCCAAGCGAAGAGGTGCGTGAGTGTACAGACGACGCTGTTGAGCCTCCCGACTCGTCAATTGGATCTAGCCATGAGTTTTGGATTCCTCCATCCACATGACCCTGGAGCTCGTATGAGGATAGGACAGTCTCGCTGGGCTGTCGTTCGTGATGGTGGTGGTTGTGATGGCGGTGATGTTGATGGTAGTCTTGATGGTGGTCTTGATGGTCGTGCTCTTGCTGGTACTGATAGGGCTCGTGTGGTGGCAGTTCGGCAAACATGTCGTCGTCATGGTCATGCGTCTTTACCGGCGACTGCGAGCGAGGCGAGAGTGGGGGAGGCGCATACTGGCCCTCCTGATGCTGTGCGCGAAGATCATCGGTGGACTGCAGCCGCCTGGGCGACCTCGGGGCCCGAGAGAAGGACGACTGTAGCAGACCCGGTTCCAGACCGCGGTTGGGCTGCAGCCGTTCAGATGCCGTGTGACCTCCCGACTGCTGCCACTGGTTGGGCGCTGCTGCAAAGGGAGACGCGTTGTCTCCAGCGATGTAGCTCACCACCCGTGCCGTCTCAATCCTGGGAGCTTCATCGCCCATGTCGTAATCCTGGGGTATGAATATGGACGCGCTGTACTCCTCGCTCTCTGGCCGCGCCGGCAGAGCCTTGACGGTCTCAACCTGCCAAGGGCCCAACTGATCCAGCTCATCGATGCGGCTGGTGTAAGTTTGGTGCTACAGATTGAAATTGTCAGTTCCAAGTGATCTACTAATGACAGACAACGGGCTCGACATTCCGGTTGCCGCCGTGACTTACAATGGCTTCGAGCTTCCGCTTGTCCTCATCTCCCGGTGTTCGGTCAAGCACCTGCTGCAACAAGTCGCAAGCCTCGGCGTACGCTTCTCGAGCGCCTTCGAAGTTCTGAGCATTGTCGAGCTGAACTGCGGTGTTGGCCTTTTGCAGGGCACGGGAGAGCATCGCCTTCTGTGAGGGATTCTTCTGAGCTCGGGGCTTGCCCATGTCTCTGCTGCTCTTCCCCGAGTGATCGCGAGAGTGGCCGCGAGGGGCGTAGGGATCGTGGCTCTGCTCGTGCGGCATTCTGGCAGTGGACGACGTCGTGGTGGCGGCAGGGGTTCCGTAGGGGTTCGGCGACATGGAGCGTAAGGGGCCGCTCTCGTAATGTCTCATGGACATGCTCGACTCTGCCCTCATGAAGTGCGACAGGGTGGGAGTTGCGCTGCGATCTGACGCGCCAAAGTGGTTGCGATCCGGTCGACGGGGTTTCGGCGGCGCTCGGTGACCTGAGGGATCGGGGACGGCACCGACTACGGCCTCGATGCTGGCGCGACTGGTAGTCGAGCTGGTGTGGGAGTGGTAATGCTGGTGTTGGTGCTGATGATGGTGGTTGTGCTGCTGGCGGGAATGGGAAACTGAGGCCTGACGAGATGCATAAGGAGGCGTGCGACTCGCCGGGGACGAAACGGGCGACGTCGACGAGCGGTTTCGGGAGCTGGCGCCCTGCTGCGGCGATGCTCCGGTGCTGGCGCCCCTGGTGGGATGCGACGACGGGGTGGATGGCCGCTTGACGGGGGGGTGCACGGTGTCGCGATGCGTTTGACGCAGCAGATTGCCGCTGCCGCTGCCACTGCCGCTTCCACTGCCGTTGCTGCCGCTGCTGCCAGAGGCGGAATGCGAGACGGGATGGTGATGGTGAGCTGCGGCGGCGGTCCTGGGCGAGGGCAGGACGTGCGACGTCTGGACCAGCGACGACTTGCGCGGCTGGTGGACAGAGGCAAAGACGGAGCGCGGGACTGGCGTGATGCGGAGCACGGGCTCGACGCCAGGAGGCTCTCGCGACGGGGGATTCAGCGATATTGGCGGCCGCGGCGGTGGCGATGTCGGTGCCGAGGGCGCGCTGGTGACGGTAGGCGAGGATGAAGAGAGATTTGGTCGGCTGGCTGCGTCTCCCAGGCCGGTGATGCTGCGGTCGCCAACTAAGGAGGGCGGTTGCTGCATGCTCTGGCGCTGGCTATGGCCAAATCAGGTTCGTACGACGTGCAGCACTTGCAGTTGCGGTTGCTGGACTGGTGCGGGCTGCCGTCTCAGCCAATGGTCGCCTCTTCCGGCCAATCTTACTCGTACAGCGTGGGTCGGGGGTCGCAGTCGTGGGATTGGATGTATTGCGCGCGTGTGGCAGCCGGCCATGACCTCGAGACAATGGCGGGTTCTTCTGTCTTTGCGGTGCTCACGAGGCTGATGCGAAGGAGGAGAGACAGAGAGAGAGAGAGAGGCCACTCAGCGGATCGACAGCACTCCCAGCAACGGGCCTGTGCTGAGCGGTGCGGTGCGGTGTCGTGCTGTCCTCTGGGATCCGTCAGTACCTCAGTCGTCCCTCAGTCAGTCACTCACTCACTCAATCGCTGCTGGTCCTCGACTGGGAATACTATCGGGGATTTGGACGTCCCTGGCGCTGTGGATCGTGGGGAGGCAAGCGTGGGAGTTGCGGAAACGCAGGTCAGGCCGTGGTGGTGCATCCAATTGGCCCGGCCCAGGTACCGGTACCTCGTGCCTGAGCCTCTGTGCCTGTGCCTGTGCCTGTGCCTGGCGATGGCCCTGAACGAACCGCCCACAGCGCTGATCCATCTCGCTGCAGTGCTGGTGAGCTGCAGTGAGGCGGGTGCCTGTCTGGTGGCTCACCGCCCGTGCCGGCCACCGCCCTGGAGCCGCCAGTGTTTAGTGCATCAACGGACCTGACTGTAATTTCGATGCGATCGTAGAGGTACGCGTCCTTGCTTGGGTCGTACGGTAATACTGTACATAATACCTCTTGTACTCGCACCCATGAATGCAGTGCTACGGGGCACCGTGCCTGTAGCAGCGGCAGAGCAGTACCTACCTAGGTCGTGCGATGCATCTTGTGCCGCTCGCAATCAATGGAGATACCCATCAAGGTCATGGATCGCACAGGTACAGGTACAGGTGCAGGCACATTGAGGCACTCGTACAGGCCACTGGTCCGCCCCGGCTAGTGCCATTACCGCTGTCAGGCCCGCTGCCAGGCCCCGGAAGCCCCCCTGGATGGCGCCCAGTTCGCTTGACGCTGCGCCAGATAGTGCTGCGCTCTAGTGGTGCCACAGGCTAGGCGGGCAATCACCTCCACCTGCGGGCAATCAATTGCACCCACTGCCGCTTCCTGGAGCCCTTAAAACCGACCCCTAACCCATCGCGTCTCGTCCCCTTTTTCTAATTCTCGACCCTCGACCCTCGACCCTCGACCCCTGGACGGGTCCTGGTACATGTTCGTATGAGTACCGAGAGGGAAATGCCAGCCCAGCCTATCGCACTCCCCAATTGGATCAATGCGGGCCCTCACCTGTTTGCACCTCATGTTTCCACCCGTTTGGCAGGGAGAGTGAACCAGCCCTGATTGGCCCTAGCGCCCCGTTAACGAATAAGTGCTCTCTTAGTGGACACAATCCCCCATACAGTCCTATCGCTCTTTGCCCAATGCCGCAAGTGAAGGACAGGGGCCGCGATAAAGACGAGCTGATGCCGATGCCGAGCTATGCCTTGTCGGAAGCTCACTCGCATACTGAGCAGCGACACGAGGTTCGGCTCAGGCATACTAATCACACGAGACACTTTGCCGAAGCAGAATGGCGAACGTTGACGATCTCTTCAAGGTACGAAACAAGGATTTCTGATTCGTTTCAAAGTGCCAATTGCAGATGAATCTGACCGCCTGCACAGGCACACGGCTCCATCAGCAAGCGTAAACTGGACCAGCCCATCCGTGATCCCAGTCAGTCCATCACTGCCTACAGAGAGAAAGTGTGAATCCGCCTTGAACAAGATGCTGATTTGTTGGTGATTGCTGTCGCAGATGAAATCTACAAAGCCAGCAAGCTGAGCGACAGCTCCCACCCCCATGCGCAGGTCGAAGACGATGTAGACAACAACAACAACCCCCCTCCCGCCGATGATGACGACGGCGACTTCGGTCCCGAACTGCCGCCAGACGACGAAGAAGGCCGCTTCTTTGGCGGCGGCATCTCCAAGCAAGAGTCGGAGATCCTCGACTTCGTCGACAAGGCGGACGCGGGCGGCGACGTGGACAAGCTGGACAGCGCCTGGCTGCGGAAGACGGTGCTCAACCTCGAGAAGCTCATCAACAAGAACGCGGAGCTGCGCTCGCGATACGAGGACCAGCCGCAAAAGTTCATCGACAGCGAGGCCGACCTCGACGCCGAAATCAAGAACCTGTCGCTCCTGGCCGAGGCCTCGCACCTGTACGGGGAGTTTGTCAAGCTGGGCAGCGCGGCGAGCCTGGTCGGCCTGCTGACGCACGAGAACACGGACATTGCCATTGACGCGATTGAGATTATCGGGGAGCTCACGGACGACGATGTCGTCACGGAGACGGAGCAGTGGGATACCCTGGTCGGGGCCCTCATTGACAGCGACCTGCTGAGTCTGCTCGTCTCCAACCTGTCGCGCTTCAACGAGGACGACGAGTCGGATCGCAACGGCGTCTACCACTCCCTCAGCGTGCTGGAAAACCTCAGCTCTCAAAAGGCCGTCGCCACCCGGATGTGCGAGGAGGATGATTTGCTAAAGTGGCTGCTGCAGCGCATCCAGCGGACCGAATCGCAGGTATCCCAGAACAAGCAGTACGCCGCCGAGATCCTGGCCATTCTCACACAGGCAGCGCCCGAGAACCGGGAAAAGCTCGTCAGTCTGGACATTATCGACACCATGCTCCAGCTGGTGGCTCCGTATCGCCGACGAGACCCGGAAAAGGGAGGCCCGGAGGAGGAGTTTGTGGAGAACCTGTTCGAGTGCCTTACCTGCCTTGTAGACACGCCTGCGGGGAGGGCCAAGTTCCTGGAAGCCGAGGGAACCGAGCTCTGCCTCATCATGATTAAAGAAAGCAAGATAGCGAAACACCCTTCGCTGCGCCTGCTGGACCACGCAACCGCCGGCACCGCCAGCGTCGAGATATGCCAGCGCATCGTCGAGTCCGGAGGACTAAAGACGACATTTACCCTGTTTATCAAGACGCACGACCAGCGGCTCGTGGGGCCATTGCTCTCGATCTTCTCCTCCATGCTACGCTTTCTGCCGGCCGATTCCGCAGAACGCATCCGCCTGCTGGCAAAGTTTGTCGAAAAGGAGTACGAGAAGACGGCGAAGCTGGTCAAGCTGCACAGAGACTACACCGCGCGGATCAAAGCCGCCGAAGAGGAGCACCGGCAGGAGGCCGCACGCTCCGGCGGCGACGCGGAAGAGGACCGCGAGATACAGCTGCTGTCCCGGAAGATGGACGCCGGCTTGTTCAATCTGCAGCTCGTGGACGTCATTCTGGCGTGGCTCGTTGCGGAGGACGGGGGCGCGAAGCAAAAGATCCAGAAGCTGTTGGCGGAGACGGACGATGATTTAAGGGCGATTCGGAGGACGCTCAAGGAGCAGCTGGACGAGTTGGATACGAGTGAGGAGGATAGCAAGGAGTTGGGCGAGATGCTGGGCACGCTGATAGATTTCCTCGACTGAGGGGATCTAGGCAAGACTTGGATAATGTAGAACTAATAATGAGCAATGCGTAATAATCTTTTTTTGTTTCTTTCAAACTCGGAGTCTAAAATTTATGTAACACCTGACCAGACAGAGTATCCCGGACAAGCCATCATCTTCGTCCCCATCACCTCCTCTCAACCAGTGGTAGTATCAAGTATCAGTCAATGTCCCCCATCCATCGCATTCCAAAGAAATTATACGCTCCCTCCAAAAAGTATCAAACAGCTTCGTCCCCGTGTGTCCACCCAGCAGCAGCAGCATCATCATCTTTCGAACCCAGAAAATCACGCAGGCAGAGGCTTCACCTCAAACACGGCATCCAGCAGGTGCTTCACCACCGTAGCCTGGTTCTTCTGGCCCGCCTGCTTAATCACCTCAATCTGCTTCTCGGCCTCCTTGTTGGCCTCTTGCTCGGCGGCCTCGTTGCCCTTGCTGTGCTGTTGATCACGGAGAAGCGTTAGCAACTCTGATGTCACGGCCTTCCTTCTCCTACACCCTCCCTTTTTGTTCGGCGACTCTTCTCGTATGCCTTGTGTGGTTGTGTCGCTGGAAAATGGAGAGAGTGAGGGAGAGAGTAGGGGTAATATGGTGTCGTATATACCTCGGCTTCGAATTTCTTAAACTCTTCTTCCTTGCGAGCCTTGTACTCGGCGATTTCCCGCTTGGCCTCGTCGCGGGCCTCCTTGACGCGCTTGGTGCGGACTATAGGAACAGATGGGTCAATTGTCTGTCCTCATCTGCTTTTCGATGTGTTTGTATATAGGCTTCGTTCTGGCTTCGGAACGGGCGGCGGTCGATTGGGATGCTAGAAGCTACTTCGTGGGAAGTACTCACATTCTCGAGCTATGAGCACACAGAGTCAACGTTAGTGCCCTCCCATCATCCATCGAAAGGAGGCCTGGCAAGGTTGTTTATCAATAACGTACCCCTCTGGACAATCTTGGACGCCTCCCTCTCGGCCTACGCAAGACACGGAATCAGCACGTTGCATATCCACCATAATCTCGCACCGGTCTTATCGGTCGATAGCATCGCCGCAGGGGAGAATTGTTGTTGGGAATTCGTTTGAAATACGTACGTCGAGGAGGGTCTGGATACCGGCCGAGTTCTGCGCAGACTGCAATTCATTCTGTCAGCTAATAGGTTCTGACCACCCCCGATAGCTATCCTCTCCCCCCAATGTCGCAGCTCACCATCTTCACAGTATAACAACTCGCTCAAATCAGCTTGAAAAAGAGGACGATGGAAGCCTGAAATTCAGTAGATAATCTTGTTTGGAAGCGCAGGAAATGGGCAAGTCGCAGCTGTTGATAGCTCAGGATAGATGGAGAGTCGAGAGTAGAGCGACAGACGAGACAAGGCGGCAGGTCATTCATTACCTAAGACTGGCCGCTCTTGTCTTTCCAGGTCTGTCGTCACAAGCTCGGCCTGGCTTCGGCGTTAGAAGTGCGCTCCTGACGTACCCTTTTCCAGCTCCACTAACTGTACACAGGCAAAAGTATGGTACAGAACTGTTAATGCAGGGCGCCAGATGTACTTTGTAGCAGGTACCAAGCCAACAACTGGAAGTCTGACCACTCACAGACAGACAGACAGACAGCTCTTTTCAACGACTCTGAAATTCTCGATCTTCATAAGCCCGCGATACAGGTGTAATTCAACGCCTTCGATTCATCAATCACCACGCCATCAACTCACGAACATTCTCATCATCCAAGAGACTCTCTAATTCTCAGTCAATCCACCAATTCTCCAAATTTCTCAATAAAATCACCCACCCAATAATTCCTCGATCGTAAAACCACCACATCAACCATGTCCTCCGCATCCAAAATCTCCCTCGCCGCAACATCCCTCTTCACAGCCGGCGTCATCGTCTTCGTCCACTTCCAGCAAAAAGCCGACCAAGCCGTACGTCTCTCATCACATCATAATCTCGTCCCATCACTTCTTCATCCCATCTTGTCTCACTCAAATCCCATCTTCTCATCCAACTGTCCTCCTCCTCCATCAGCTACCTACCTCACCCCCCCCTTCGAGCGGTCTCAACCTCCCGACTCAACCACCTACTTCTCAAGTCCCCCTCAAGCTTCTTCCAGCCCCCCCTTTTCTCTAACAAAGAGCAGGCCATGCACGCCGGCGTCGTCCGCGACATGGAGCAGCAGCGTGTCAAGCGAGAGCGCCAACTTGACTTTGACATGCAGCGCGCCCTCGAGGAGGAGTACAAGCGCGAGCAAAACGTCCACAGCTCACTAGAACCGCTGGACAAGGCCTCTTCAACTACGCCCACGAGGTAACAGCAACAGCATCACTAAACATGATAATTTCTCTACTTAATCCCTTGTAAAACACTACGACAAAAGGACGAGCAGGCTCAAGGATATAGATGCTAGATATCACTTTTCTTATTTTTTTTTTAAACTTCTTCTTTGTATTATGTCTTTTCTCTACTTGTACAAATCATACTTCTCCGCTCAGCATTCATCTCGCTGGGCGCAGCAATAGGGGCATCAAAGGGCCCCCGTATCCATTTTCTCATAGAGCAATCTCAACCCATCTTTCCTGTTTCTCCAAAACGAAAAAAACAAAAAGCAAGAAAGCAGAAAAGACGTCCGCAAGATAACGTATTGGGATGATGATGCGATGAAAAGGCCGCTCCCTAGCCATATTCTTCTATTCTTATCCTTTTTCCCTCCCCTTACTTCATGTTTTACCTGACAGACGCGCCGGACCGGTCAGTAAACATTCGGGCGGCAATGTTCATCGACTGGAGCTCCTGGAACAAGAGCTTGGCCGCATAAGGGATGTGAATCTGCGCAATCTTGGTCTTGTTCTTGCACGGCCGGCACTCGAACGATTGCTTGGAGAGGTTGCTAAAGAGACATGTTAGCGTCAAAGTCAATGGATACAGAAACAAGAGACAAGGTTAACGTACGCAATGGGCGTCATGAGTCCACAAATCTCGCAAATGTGAACTCGGAAGGCGTCAGACACCTCAAACAATCGCTCCTTGAGGAAGGACGCGGCTCCGTGTGCAATCATGCAATCACGCTCCATTTCTCCGAATCGGAGACCACCGTCTCGGGCACGACCCTCCACCGGCTGTCGCGTCATGATCTGCACCGGACCTCGGGCACGAGCGTGGATCTTGTCGTCCACCATGTGGCGAAGTCGCTGGTAGTATGTTGGTCCAAAGAAGACCTGGGCCCTCAGCTTGCGGCCCGTGTGACCATTGTACATGATCTCGAAGCCTCGGGACTGGTAGCCGTGCTTTCGCAGCAGCTCCGAGACCGAGTCGACCGTAACATCAGTAAAGGGTGTCGCATCACCCTCCATGCCCTCCAACGTAGAGACCTTGCTTAGGAGACACTCAATCAAGTGAGCGATTGTCATACGAGACGGAATGGCGTGGGGGTTGATGATGATGTCGGGCGTGATTCCCTCTCTGGTGAACGGCATGTCCTCCTGCCGGTAAGTGACACCAATAGTGCCCTTTTGTCCGTGACGAGACGCAAACTTGTCACCAATCTGCGGAATCTTGGTCGTGCGGACCCGGACCTTGACATACTTGACATTGTCCGCGTTGACCGTCACGATGACAGAGTCCACGATGCCGTTCTCGGTGCTGCGCAGGGGTGTCGAGATATCACGCCTCTGGTGCATTGTAGTTCTGGTGCCGAGATCTTGCGTGTCGGCGTCAATCGGCGCAGTCTTGCCGATGATGATGTCCTCTCCTGAAACACGGACGCCAGGAGCGACGATGCCGTCCTCGTCCAGCTTGTCGTATGTGCCGTGCTTCATGCGGAGGGTGTTCTGGTGGAACGGCTTCTCAAACACTTCGGTGTAGTTCAAGCCCACCTTCTTCTCCTGATCCGAGTAGGATCGGAAGAAGAGACTTCGGAAGAGGCCTCTGTCGATGCTACTCTGATTCATGATGACCGAATCTTCCTGGTTGTAGCCAGAGTAACAAGCAATGGCTACAATGGCGTTTTGTCCAGCCGGCAGCTCGCGGAACTTTAAAAACTCCATAGAGCGGGTCGTACCCAGCGGCTTCTGGGGGTAGTAGAGAATGTTGGCCATGGTGTCCATGCGCCGGGAATAGTTGGTGAGGAAGAAACCCATGGCTTGTTTACCCATGGCAGATTGGTAGGTGTTACGGGGGGACTACACGCAGTCAGCACCTGTTCAATAGGGTTCAAAAGAATGGACAAAAGATGTGGGTGACATACCTGGTTGTGATCGGGGAAAGGAATGATGCTCGCGCAGATACCCAAGATCATGCTTGGATGAATCTCGCAGTGCGTGTACATGTGCGTTGTTGGGTTTGTCCTCGTCTTGAGTCGCTTGTTCGGATCGTCGCCCACGTCCTCTTCGGTGGCAATGCCTGCCTTCTGGGCACGATACAGCTCGAGATCCTCGGGAGTCATGCAAATCATGGCCGTCTCCTCTTCCTCGGCGTCGAGATACTCAACCGCACCAGCCCTGATGAGCCCCTCCCATCCAATCTTCATGCTTGGGTCTTCTGGCGGCTCGGCCTGCTCTTGGGCCAACTTATTAACGAGGTCTTTGGTCAGTACCAAGTGGCCCTTTGGAATGCCAGTGTCCGACTCTTCATCTTGCTGGACGGTAAAAACGGGTCGCATGACACGGCCAGCATCCGAGAAGATCTTGAACTCTTGGTCTCGAATTTCTCTGACGAGGGAGACCTCGTACTGCAGGTAGGATTTACGACGAGTGTCCACGACCTGCTGGACGAGATGCTTAGGGTCCTGGTGAATGCCCACCCAGACACCGTTGACGAAGATCTTGGTCGCGTGAGGATAACGCAGTGGCTCGTATTCCTCGACCACTTCCATGCCCCTATTGATCATAAACTCAATCAAGGGCTCTGACGGAGAGCCGACACTGACATAACACATCAGAGACAGGTTCTTGACAAGGCCACAGGCCTGTCCTTCGGGTGTCTCGGCCGGGCAGACGAGACCCCAATGGGTGTTGTGAAGCTGTCGAGGCTTCGCCAGCTTGCCATCTCTTCCGATGGGCGTGTTGGTACGCCGCAAATGCGAGAGGGTCGAGGCAAACGTGTAGCGGTTGAGCACCTGAGACACACCTGCGGTCGAGCTCATGGCCTTCTTCTGATCACCCCAGTTTCCAGTGGCGAGCGAGTACTTTAGGCCGTTTGAAAGCGTGCCGGGCTTGATGCCGACGGCGAGATTGAAGTGTCGGTTGCCCTCCACGCACCGTCTCAGATAATTGGCCAGCTCGGTGTTCATTCTTCGCATGATGCCACGGAACAGCTTGGCCAGCAGAGGACCCGCCAGGTCCAGCCGCTTCTTTCCAAAGTGGTCACGATCGTCGGGTTCTCTTCTGCCGAGTGCGCACTGCAGCAGTTTGTGCACCATGTAGCCCAAGAAGAAGGCCTTTCTGGTCTCGCTACCTTCTGTCTGGGAAATGTGAGGCAGCGTCTCCTTTTGGAGGATATCCTTGGCCACACGGACACGCTTCTCACGGCCGAGACCCGCTTGGTCTCGGTTACCACGCTTTCCGATGAAGTCCAGAGCGACCTCTCGGTCCTGGACACAGAACGCCTCCTCAATGCATGGCCGAAGCATTTCCAGCATCTGACTGTCGTTTCGGTCGTAGCAAATATGGTTCAGGATGTCCTCATCGGAAACGACACCCAGGGCGCGGAAGACAATGGCGACAGGAAGATCCGACTTGACAAAGGGCAGGGTCGTGTGAATGGTCTGACCAAAGCCTCCGCGGGCAGAATCTCCCTTGCCGTACAGCTTGAGCATCATGCTTGAGATGAGCCTCGAGCCCTTTTCGAGCGCACTTCGAATCTCCGCCGTATAGGTGTAGGCACTAGGCTGGGCCTTTTTGAACACTTGGACGATGTTGGCAGCAGATCTCTCCTGGGCGATGAGGACCTTTTCACTGCCATTGATAACAAAGTAGCCGCCCTGGTCGTAGGGACACTCGTTGACGAGAAACAGGCTGTCGTCGGTCTCGCGACTCAAATGACAGATCTTGGACTTGACCATGATGGGCAGCTTGCCCACGAAGACCATATCCTTCCAGTCTTCGGACTTGCCAATGTTGTGGTCATCTTCGCCAGCCTCTTCCTCCTCCCACTCGAGCTTTGTAGGGGCCTCGCCGGTCCTTGCGTACTCTTCCTGCTGGGCGTCGTCCATCTCGTGCAACGGAATCTCCTTCTCGACGGCGGCGGACAGTTTCTTGGTAATCTTAATGTACAGCGGACTGGCGTATGTCAAGTTGCGATCTCGGCACTCGTACGGAAGCAGGGAGGTGACGGTTCCGTCCGTCTCACTGATAGTGGGGCGTGACACCATGACGCTTCCAAACTTGATCTCATATCGACGAAGGGCTATTGTCCGGCCGGGCGGCGAAGGCGGGTTGGGCTGGTCGAGGGTGATGGTGGAGTATTCGTTTACGAGGTCCTGGATTGTCGTCTGCGTGAACTCGTCAAAGGAGTCTGTCTGCTGCGAGACGAGGCCCTTGGTCTCGAAGAAGGAGGAGATGACGGTCCAGCAGTCCTCGGGGGTGATGCCCTCGTCCTCGTCTCCATAGTTTTCGTAGTCGTAGTCGTCCTCGTAATCAGCCATGATGACAGTAGGCGATGCTTGTCAGGGTCTTTGATCAATAGAACGTCGGTCTACCCAAGTCTCCTTCGAGAAAACTCCTGCAGCTCCTCACTCGAAGCAACTCTCGCGCTCGTGGGTGCAGCCTCGTCCTCGCGCCTGGGGAGGGACCGCTCGAATCCGGGAAGCTCTCGACGAGTCAGCAGCGATCCGATGCCTGTCACCAAGCGAGCATCCGCGAGCGATCCCGGCAGAAAGAGCCTCCTCGACACAAAGAGCTCCTGCGAAATTGGCGGGTTGCGCACGATGAAGGTTGATGGCGGAGAGCAGCAACTTTTTCGTGGTGATGATGGAATTTCTGAGGCGAAAAGGATCCCGCCAGATGCTGCGGCGCGCGACGTGCTTACAGAAGCCTCGAAGCCTTGGGCTAGCACCGGTTGGGCTTAGCGCCTCGATACAACAATTGCCACTCTGGAATCACTTTGCAATTACATAAGCAAGAAGAACTGGCCGACCTCTTGATGCTCACAATTAGAAGCAGGATGTGTATCTAGACCCAGCTAGACCTCTCCAGAGCATCCTTCAATTGGATGGGTTAGCTGCCTCTTGTAAGCTTTAGTGAGAGCGTTGGATATACAGTAAACCTTAGTATGGATCCATGGCTGCATCTGACATCTGCTGTAAATCCCCGCCATGCATTATGCGATACAGCCATTGTTCCCTAACAAGTCGGGTACATGAAATTCGCGGCAATGCTTCACGGTCTTAGATTTGCCCATACAAGTGTCTCTAACGCTATGCAAGATGTTCTCTATATCCAATTGAAAAGACGCCCACCATCCTCAAGCCCATTGTAACGGAGGAGGATCCTACACAGCTCTCACGTTGGAGGCATCAAAAGTCCCATGCCCTGCGCAATCTTGCGTGCCAGAGCCTTCTTCAAATACCACTCTCTTGCCAGGGACCGTGTCATCTTGGCAAACGCGGCGGGCGATATGCGACCTCTCTCAACCGCGCGCCCCAGCATGAAGATGGCGTCGCCCAGTGCTCTCTCTTCCGCCACGACCCTGTACAGCTGATTGGCGACTACCGTCGGGGCCACTAACAGCTCGTCGATATCAGGAACAACGTAGCTCCTCGAGCCTTCGATCACGGCATCTGCCTTACGCAGAGCATCATGAAGAATGTTCGTGTTGGAGGTAATGACGTTGGATAACTGAGTGAGCTGCCCCATCTCTGCTTGTAGGGCGGACATGGCAGACAGCATGGCAGACTGCTGTGCCTCTAGTCCGGCCATACTGGACTCATTCTGCTGTCGACTGCGTTGCCGGATGGACGCCAGGGTCTGGGCGAGCTGTCGAAGAAGAGCATCCTTCTCGGGATTTGGAGGAATGGGAGGGGGTTCGATACCATGAGACGAGATCTCCAAATTCAGCGAATCGTCGAGGAGATTTGGTGGAGGCGGTGGTTTCTGCTGTACGGGTTGAAGTGGTTGCTGTTGCTGGTGCGGCGGAAGTGGAATTCTATCCCATGCCTGCTGCTGCTGGGTTGGCTGCCACTGCCCCTGTGGTGGTAACTGTCCATGTGGATATTGACCTGCGAATGGAGAAGTTGGCCCCAGAGGTGGCTGAAATTGCGGCAGAGGCTGCGGATGCGTCTGAGGAGGTGATTGGGGGGGATAAGGCCCCTGAGCGTTTGCGTACGGAGGGAGTGATTGAGTATGAGGCTGAGGTTGGTAGGGTGGCCTGGATACTTGAGCCTGCGGCGGGAGGGGGGGAGCAGAATCATATCTAGAGGGTATTCCAGCGCTGGGTGGGCTAGGAGAGGAGAGATGAGGGTGTGGAGGAACCGGCGGTGGGCGAGCCTCTTGTCGAGGCGTCTCTTGCCGAGGAACTTCTTGATGGGGTTTCGGGGGCGGCGGTGGTGGACGGGGTTCTTCTTGACGTGTATGAGGCGGCGCAGGAGATGATTTCGGGGGAAGCGGCCTTTCTGGGGGATGGGGGGCAATCGGAGGCGGCTGTTGGGGGGGAGGCGGGCTCTGGGCAGCCGCACGAGCCTGCTGGCGCGCGATAACCGGAGGCTCTTTTGCAAAGATGTCGGTCAAGACGGAGAGAAGGTCATTCAGGGTCGATTTCTGTGCGAAGCCGTCAGCTGCGTGTAAAGGAGAAACTGGCATGACGGCATGACCTACATCCCAAAAGTCCACCCAGCCAGCCAGATACGGGTGATAGACCTGGCCCTGGGGGTCGACATGCTGGCCCGGGCGGACCATCATCGTGTCCGTCGGCGTCACATACACCAGCGGCGCCTCGCGCGGGTACGCATGCGGCACCCATATTGAGACTGGAAACCGGTATGTGGCGCCTCGGAAGAGGACGGGGATTGTGCCCTTTAGGTGCAACAGCAGGGCGCTGGCGCCATTGGGGAAGGCTGTAAGCCGAATCGTCAGTTCTGGGAGGACGAGAACAGTTACGAAAGTAGAGGGAGAGGCGCAATCGTACTGTGAACATCGGTCCGTGGCGCAAGCGTTGGGTATCGAGCGAGGACAGTGGCGACGTCGTTGTAGGTGCGGTTGACGTCGTGATATTCCTGGCCATGGTTGCAAACGATGGTCAGATGCGGGGTGTTGCTGGTGTTGAGACTGCGCAACAAGAGGCAGGACTTGCGGGAGGCAAGGAGGTGCTGTTCAGATGGCGATGGCAGGGGCACTTACGCTCGTCAGGACGCTGTACAGCCAGTTAAGCACGTGCTGTTGGACGGGCATCGTGGAGGCGATGCTTGCAGATGCGCAACAGCAGAAGAGCAGACACGAGATGCTGGAGTTGGAGGAGCTGCAGGTGAATGACGGCTCCGCGCATGACGAATGAATGGCTCAAGCAGCTGGAGAGCTCCGGGCAGCTTGGGGCTCCACTGGCAGGCGGTTACATGGATATGTAGGTAGGTAGTGGGGTGCCGCAGCCCTGTAAGCCCTGTAAGCCCTGTAAGCCCTGTAAGCCCTGTAAGCCCTGTAACTGCTCTGCTGTTGCACCTGACGACATCTTCACGTTGGCCACGTAAGGACTGTGCTCCATCATTTCAAGAAGCTACATGAAATGCATCCAGCTTGTTATCGAACACACGAGGCTCCTATTATCTATCAATCGTCTACATTGGAAGCTGTTCGAGCATCACCAAATCCTGCGCCGGCCACGTGCTCCCCAGGTTGAATCCTGAATTCTCACTCTACACTCTAAACGAAAAGGTATCATATATAAAAACAGTCATCAGTCATCCAACGCAAAGCACCGCTCGCTACTCTCCGCATTGTTCCCCCACCAGTTGGGCATCTCGATAATCTTGCCCGCGCCAAAGCACAGGAAGATGAGCAGCATGTTAAAGTTGAAGCCGGCATCAAAGGCCGCCGCCAGGATATAGTTCCACCGTGCCCACAGGTCATAGCGGTAGCGGTACGCCAGGAACATGACGACGAAGCCCCCGATGAAGCTCGACGTGTAGCCCGTGCTGATGTTGCCGTAGAAGATGGACATGGCGGAGAAGAAGATGGTGGTGTTCCACAGGTGGAACTTGGCCCGCGGGAACGCCTTGTGCAGCAAAAAGATGACGACGGGGCACACGGCGCCCACGAGGAAGCCGTAGGGCACGGGCTTGTAAATGTCCTGCTTGAAGAGGCGGCTGGGGCCGACGAGCACGTACTGGACGCCCGACGTCAGCGACGAGGCGAGCGCCTGGCCCGTCCACTGGTGCGTGGGATCCTCCTTGGCCCCGGACAGGTAGTCGCGCTTGGTGTCGATGACCCAGCGGATGACGGCGTAGTCGATGGGGATGCCAATGGCCGAGCCAAAGACCTGCGAGAAGAAGACGGCCTTGGGCGGCACGTGCATGTAGTGGCCAATCTTCATGTCCTGGAGGTTGAGCTGCGCGCGGTACCAGGCGTCTCCGGCGATGGCGCCGTACGTCGAGGCGCCGCAGGGGTTCTTGAAGCCGGACACGGCGTTGACCATGACGCCGTACAGGAGCTCGTTTGTGGTTCCGATGGGCTAAGAGAGCCATGGGTCAGTATGACAAGACACCGAGGCGGCATCGGGGTTGGGGGTTGGCCATTCTTACCAGCTGAAAGTTGGACAGGGCATACAGCCAGCCCAGCGGCACGACAACAAGAGCACCCGTCGCAATGGCCACAAAGTACGTCCACACGGGGATGAAGAGCAAGTTCTTGGCGACCATGACAATGAGCATGACAAACGACACCAAGAACAAGGCAGCGAACCACCAGAAGGGGATCTCGTCGTACGGCCGCTGCAGGATGTTGATTTGGTCCTTGTACTGCTCCGTGATCTTGCCCGAGTCCTTCTTGGTCGACCGCTCCTTGAGCTTCCTGAAGCTCTCCTTGATCTGCGGCCAGCCAAAGAGCACCATCCAGACGAGGGCGGATGAGTAGGAGGCGTAGTCGAAGAACATGCTCCAGAGGCTCTGGGTGCCGACGTAGAGCTCGCCATACTGTTCATACGCCGTCTCGTTGAGCTTGGCATCTGCAGTCAGGAGGTCGGTCAAGGGGTACGCTGTTCCGTTTTCTATATAATTGCCAGTCAGCTTTCAAACTTTACATCGCCGCGCACCAATAAGAAGGGGAAGAAAAAAAGAAGAAGAAAAAGAAAAGGGGGGGGGGGGGGGGGGGGGGGGGGGGGGGACTAGGAACATACCCAAAAAGACACGGTTGGACATGAGAGCGTGATGCCAGCTTCCGAGGCCGCCAAACTTGGCCGCCGGAATGAGGATCCAGCAGTTGACGACAAAGGCGGCAAACAGGACGACCTGCGTCCACCAGGGCGTCAAGAACAGGCTGCCGTTAGTCGAGATGCTCGACCAGTCCAGCGACAGGTTGAGGAAGCCCATGCCGCCGAAGCCCGCGCCAACAAAGTTGGCCGTCTTGTTGTGCGGCGCGACCCAGCACAGGAACGCCAGGGAGCCGAGAAAGGGGAAGACGAACTCGGGCAGGAACTGCCACAGGATGACGGCGCCCATGACGGCGAAGAAGACGACCATCTGCTTGCGCGAGGCGCGGCTCGGGCTCTCGCGCTGCTTCTTCTGCGTCTCGAAGAGCGCCGTCTGGCACAGCGACTGGAACCAGGGGTACTGCGGGTCGTAGATGAGGAACTGGCGGGCCAGCGCCGCGTACGAGTAGCCCGTCCAGGTGATGGCCAGCATGAAGAAGGTGGCCACCGCGCCGTTGACGGGCTGGTTGAAGTAGAGCTCGGACATGGAGATTGGGGTGTAGCCCAGGTTGTACGTCGCGCCCGACGCGGCCGAGATGGTCACCAGGACGTGCTCCTTGGTGCTGAAGGGGCCCGGGTTGAGGCTGAAGCCCCATCTGGTCCCGGGGATGCCCACCCACCAGGCCGGAAGCACCTTGGCCAGCCACACGCCGACGTAGTTGGACGCGATCTGGACGAAGAAGACCGAGTACGGCGCATACGTCGTCCGGTAGTGGGCCATCTGCGACAAGAAGGCGCCGGGAGCGACGAAGAGGATGGTCAGGAGGAAGTACCGAAACGTCAGCGTCGGCTCCGTGGGGTCGTCCTTGAAGCTGACGATGCGCCTGACGTACGGCGGGATGTCCTTGATCCGGGGGTCATCCTCGTCGACGACCTCTTCCTCGCCGTTCTCGTTGGTCAGGGTGTACAGCGTCTTGCCGGCAGTGAGGTCCTCCTTGGATTCGACGTCGAGGTTCGCGCCGGCCTTTTCGTCAACGCCGAGGATGTCGGCGTCTTGTTTTCGGCTGCGAGGCTCCTCGGTGATGATGGGGCCGGCCGAGACGACTTCGTCTGTCTTTTCCAGCTGAGCGGACGCCATGTTTGGTAGAGACGGGGCCCGGACAACGCAGCCGGAGCTCTACAAAGCGCGCGACAGAGACTTTGCGACGGGACGGGGAGAGAGAGAATGGCTTCGATTACTGCATCATGAGAGGAGGGCAGGCAAGGGCTTATTTATTCAGGCTCGCAAAAGACGGAGCAGCGTTACGTTAAAGAAACTCGCCATCTCGGACATCTCGCGGGGCCCCAAACCAGCACGAGTAACGCCGTCGTTGTTCTTGTCTCTCCATCCGACTGTCACCACCAGTCACCAAAGAGAGCAGCAACTGCGGCATCACAACGAATGCTGACAGTGGCAACCTGCGGCCAAGCTCATCGGCACGAGAGATCCGAGAAAGTGGAGGGCCGGGGCAGCACGCAATGGCAGGGGCTCAAGACGAAGCTTAATAAACAGACATGTGCTCGATACAAGAGGGCGTGAGGCGAATCCCTCGCTGCAAACGGACCAAGCTTGTCGTACCAGGGACGCCCTTTACGGGTAGAGATGGGCTTCGTTCAAGGTTGTCAAGACTAGGGTTTCTTCGTATAAGACGAGCAGAGAACGGTGGGGGGGGGGGGGGGAACCGGTGTTGGTGACCGGGCTAAAAGCGGGATTGCCATCGAGCGCCACATCGTGAAAAGGTGAAGGACTGCCGGCTGGGCAAAAGATTCACAATCCAGAGAGAGAAATGCTCTGTAATAGTCGGCAGTGAAGCTATTCGCCGAGGTCATTGGCACTGACATGCGACAACCAGACCATGAAACGTCTGCCTACAAACAGAGTTGTCTTATTCCATCCAACTCACATTCACCAAGCATATACCTAAGTTGCTCATCATGGCCTCTCTAGCTGGAGTTGCCCGCGGCTTACATGGCTCTTCTTCTGTCGGCATCGTGCCGCAATCCGTCCCTCCAACACAGACCCGGGATCTTTTGCTTTCAAGGCGCCCAATCAGTCCAATCCAGACGTAATTCGATGCAGCCACTTGCTCCTAATCAAGGTGACTATATGACTGTAGTTTCATGGTTCCCGCTCCATCAAGTCGGTCCAATCGCTCGGAGAAATTGTCTGCAATGGTATATAGACAAGCAATCAAGCGTCGGCAGCAAAAAGAGAGAAGCAAAGGAAAAAAAAAAAAACGACACGGACAAGGGTGATGGTGTCATCGGGGGCTAGTCTACAACAGGGCATACCCACGTGGGAATGGAGCCATCGTTATTGAGATGCTTAAATCCTTGATCTCTTATGTTCTTTGACGACGAAGAATGGCTGAGGGTGTTGTTTCCAGAGGCCGGTTGTGCATGGAGAGAATCGGATAATTATAGTGCCAGTCGGCCCTAGCACAAAGGTCTTTTTTTGAGGAAAAGAAGAAAAAAAGAAAGGTTTGGTATCCCGGCAACTTACTGGGGGAAAGGGTAATGAAGAATCCGTTCTCCAGACGAAGCCGGAGTGATAATATGGAGCTTCTCACCTTCGGGCCTTGTGGAGAGCGGCTCGAATGAGGGGCCCTCGTCAACGCACCAACCGGGACTATTTTACCACGAGGAACTTTTTTCTTTCTCCTTGTGTCTTGCTCTCATCCAAAACCTGCTGATGCGGATGCGGTTCTTCGGAATGTCAGACGGTTTCGCCTAACATCGGATATAGCTACCGAGTCGTCGCATGCTTCTCGAGATTGACCCGTTCTAGATTACAAATACGAAGTTGGAGCATGAATGTGACGCCGCTCCATTCCCTCATGCTCCAGCCTGATACTAAGGCTCCAAAGCGCATGTCGTTGCCAGGAAATCTTCGAGTACCACTAATTGTGTATGTCCGTGGCTATCGTCTCATTCCAAGGCCAAAGTGATATATGGACATATCTAGGAAACGCCCATAGCCGAGTGCCCAAGAGTACCTAGTGCCTCTTATGCAGTATACCTACCCTCTTGAGAAGCAAAGGCAAGTCCTCAACATGGAGATACGTCTAGCAGAGCATGCAAGTACTATCTGCAGCTATCGAGATCGGATCCATTGTCAGTACCACAGTACTCTCGGTAGATTTGCCTAAAGATAAGTACATAGGTATGCACGACCCGGTATTTTGGGCGCGCTTGAGCGAGAAGCAACAAGGGGGCCGGCTTCCTTACCGAGTGTCGTTGCAGACGATTTCTCTGGTCAGTCTATTAACTTAGCCTTACATTAATGACTTTGCCTGGTGTCTGATATGAGTTAACGGAATTTCACACTGATTGTTCACTTGTAGGGTAGGAGGGAGGGTATGAGGGGCAGCATCTAGTGCTTTACGACAAAGAGTTAGCACTGGCACATGGAAGCAGAAATGGACCAGCAAACATGTCATATCCCAACAAGAAAGCATCGCTATTTCTAGAGAAAAAAAAATAGAAAAGGAAAGAAGTTGGTCGCTCTACCCTGCATTGTCAATACGCCAGAGGATTTCCCAGAGAAGGTGATAAAGGAAACCAGTCGAAAAAAGCAAAAAAAAGAAAGAAGCGATTGGATGGCACTAGAGCTTTGCTCCCGGCAGGGCTTGAACCTGCGACCTTCGCATTACCAAAGACTTGTGGTGCAAGTATTAGTACGAAGCTCTAACCAACTGAGCTACGGAAGCCATTCCGAATCAGAAAGTAGTGGAGAAGATCCACTGTCGAGATTCACTCGCTTGTTGAGCTGACGGCGGCTATTTGGATATATAGACCATACTCATGCCCTCATGATTAGAGTCTCTGACAACTGGCGATACGCAAGGGTTGGGATTGCAGTTGGAACGACTGGAGAATGAGTTGAAAAAATGCTACCTAGGCTGGGGATGGAGATGGCTCTTGGCTTTGGCAGAGATATACCCTGCGACACTTTCTTTATGCATCAAATAGACAGGAAGGTGTAAGATTGTGCTTAAGAGCAGAGGTACTTGAGCCTGTACGACGAGATACAGCGAATGTTCCAGTGCTGTATATATACAGACATCATGGCCATCTAAGTCAAAAGAGATACTAGGTAGGTAGTAGTAGGTGTAGGTATCAAGGCCCGAAACCTGTGGCTGCTCGGACATGCAAGGTACGCTTAGTCTCTGATTGGCTGCGCAACTTAGCCGAGCCAGTTGACAACTCGAGCAGGGGTCCATTTCTGGGATTTGGTCACCTTAAGCAACCACTTAATCCTGCCGTCAGCTGTGACCTTCTTATATCATCCAGCCCTCAATCTGGGGGTAAAGAGGGCTCCTCAGCAGTAAAGACTCTCCAACAACTGTCTGATTGAGGAGGCTGAAGACGGAAGTGCACCGAGAGCCAAATGCATCACCTGTCGATACATCACGTGCCAGTCAGTGCCTGTGGAAGCCTCACGCCGAGAAAAAGAAGGAGAAGAAGAAGAAGAAGAAGAAGAGAGAGAGAGAAAGCACCATCCTCTGCACTAAAAAGCAGCATCATCTTGGTCCCCCTTCCATCAAACGTCTCCCGCCTTCGCCCGACCTCTTCCAAAGCCTCTAGTGCCCGCCCAAGTTATTCCATCCGGTGGCGTCGAACGGCCTCCCGACCGGATCGTCGGATTCGCTCAAACCGCCCAACGCGAACACAAAACGGCGTCGAGCTAAGTAACGAGGGACGACGGAATTACCTACATTAATAATTGGACAGGCCATCCCCCGAAGGCCCGTTTTCGCCACGAAAAGAACAACGCTTCGAAGAAAAAAATCGGACCACCTGGTCGCTGCGGACGTATCATCTTTTCCCGCACCAACGGACATTTCGATCCACTGGCCCTTTCGGAGGCATTCATTCTCCATCCTGGTTCTTTGTTCTTGTGACACCTGCATCTCTTAATACAAGTCATCTACACTCTCAAGAGATCCTTTTTGCAGTCATCGGCAGCTGGTCTGCAGATTTGTGAGCTATTATATCCCGCAAGACGAGAGATATCTCGGCAGCATACCATATACATACGCGTTCCCCGCTACACAGCAGAAAATATTTGTCAACCCGCGACTTGTTTCAGACTCACCCAAGAACTACCTACAAATCGGACCCCAGGTTTTTAATAGCTCTCAGCTTCTCCATCTCCTCTGCAGCTCCATCTTGATCTCTCCACCTCGGCTTCATTTTCTGTTATACCCAGAGTGGCCTTTTTTTTCTTTAAAGGAGACAGGACTCTAGTCCGGTAGTCCGAGAAGGGAAAAGAGAGAGAGAGAGAGAGAGAGTGAGAGTGAGAAAGAGAGCACAAGGGCGTCGACATGCTGCCCCCAATCCCCGTCCTCGCCGACTACGGCATCTCACCAACCCACGGCTTCCTCCCCGGCACTCTCCCCCTGACCCGCCTCCCGGACCCTTACTACAACAAGTGGGAGGCCATCGTGGCCAACCTGCAGGCCCTGATCCTCAGCCGGCGCCTCCGCGGCGTCATCGACCGGCTGCCGGTGCTGTCGACGATCGGCCTGGAGCACGACGCCGAGTGGCGCCGGGCGTACTCGCTGCTCTGCTTCATGGCCCACGGCTACATCTGGGGCGGCGACTCTCCGGCAGACCGGCTGCCGCCGCAAATCTCGATGCCGCTGCTCGCCGTCTCGCGGCGGCTCGAGGTGCCGCCGGTGGCGACGTACGCGGCCGTGTGCCTGTGGAACTTCAAGCCGCTCTTCATGGACGAGGACATTGACAGCCTGGAGAACCTGGCCACGCTCTTCACCTTTACCGGGGCCATTGACGAGTCGTGGTTCTACCTCGTGTCCGTGGCCATCGAGGCCCGGGGCGCCCCGATCATGTCGCTGATGCTCACGGCCATGGCGGCCGCGCGGCAAGACGACTCGGCCACGGTCACGCGCTGCCTGCGGACGTTTGCCGAGCGCCTGACGGACCTGACGAGCATCCTGCAGAGGATGCACGAGAGCTGCGACCCCGTCATCTTCTACAACCGCGTCAGGCCGTTCCTTGCCGGCAGCAAGAACATGGCCGAGGCCGGGCTGCCGTTTGGCGTCATCTACGACGACGGCACGGGCAACGACGAGTATCGCCAGTACAGCGGAGGCAGCAACGCCCAGAGCAGCCTGATCCAGTTCTTTGACATTGCGCTGGGCATCCAGCACCGGCCGACGGGCGAGAAGAAGGGCGACGCCGCCGCCTCCTCCTCCTCCTCCTCGCCGTGCGAGTCGGCGGACCACCGCGGCCGCAGCGCGCGGCACAACTTCATCCAGGACATGCGCAACTACATGCCGGGCCCGCACGCGCGGTTCCTCGAGGACGTGTCGCGCGTGGCCAACATCCGCGAGTTCGTCGAGGGGCACACGGGCGACGCGCAGCTGTGCCTGGCCTACGACGCCTGCCTGGCGATGCTGAGCGCCTTCAGGGACAAGCACATTGCCATTGTGACGCGCTACGTCATCACGCCGTCGCGCCAGATGCGCGCCCGCAGCAGGTCGCGCAGCCCCGAGGTGGCCCGGCGGCCGCTCAACCTGGCCATTGCCTCGCGCAAGAGCGAGGGCAAGCACCAGAAGGGCACCGGCGGCACGGCGCTGATTCCCTTTCTCAAGCAGGCGAGAGACGAGACGGGCGACCCGGCGGTGGAGGAGTGGACGAAGCGCTTCATGAGGCGACAGGTGCGGCAGGAGGGCAGCGGCGACTTCTTCCTGGGCAAGGAGGACGACGGGGCGCCGTCGGAGACGGAGGATGTCGAGGTCAAGGGGCTTGCGTGGACGTGGACGATGGAGGACGAGGTTGGCGGGCTCTGCTCGTATTGATTTCCGAAAGGAACGACGTTGGGTTTGTGTGATTTTTCAATGGCAGTTTGGCGGGCGGCTTACTTCTTATTTTTCTTGTCTCATTTCATCTTGATTCGACATTGCAGTTTGGCTGGATCTACCTTGGACAGGGACGCATACACACCGAGGGTGATATGAGGCAATGATGGACGACATTACAGAGACTGGATCAACTCATAGACGGGTTTTTTTTTTGGACAATCTCAACGATTCAAGCTGGGAGCATCAATTCAACACATAGCCTGCTTCATAATGCTATCTACTTGATGACTCTTGTTTCCCCTCTCGATTCCATCTCGCAAGACAAAAGTGCTCCTCGCCAAGTGATTCTCTCAGCCGCAAAATGTGCCATTCCCTATCCCCCCTTGAACAAGGGTCTTTACCCCCCAGCACGAAACCATTGAAACAAGCAGCAAACATTCCACTGCTATTTTCGCCTTTTTCTCATGTTGCTTTCCCACCTCGTGATTCGCCTCCCCCTATCCTGCTTTTGTTCCTTCTTTTTTTCTTGATTCGACAGCGGCCTAATGCACCTCGACAGGGGACAACAGATGGAGAGTTCCGGGGAGACCATCCGCGGGGTGACACAGCCTCTCTGAGCGGGCGTCAGATGCAGGAATCCTCCATCCCTCCATCCATCCATCCATCGCTCGCGGCTTGATAGTGGACGATGAAATGAGAGAGGGAGGGTTTGCACATTGTTTGCAAGACTATCGAATCCTCCGGATGGATATCCCCCCGTTGGCGACGCGGGATTTTATAGACATCAACCCAATTTAGCAGTACTGAAGACGATGTGTGGTGCTGGAGCTTTGTAGTATGTGGTATGTATGTAGGTAGTATGTAATCTGGGGGGATTCCGGCAGTTGGAGGCTGTTGGTCGTAAGCGCTCGGCTGCTTCCGTGACACCGGCCACCATGCGGGCAGTTCCAGCTCTTGACAGCTACAAGTACTTATTCCTAGTGTTTTCTTTGGCAGCTCTTGGATGCCGCTTGAAGTCGTTGACTTTCTAGTGATATCGCGGCAGTAGTAGCATCGACATCCATCTAAGGTAGGCATTGTAATGTCATCCATCACTCACAGAAGATATACCCAGTAGGGATACCTAGTACTACCTAGTAGGTAATTGAAGCCATCACCACGCCACCCCCCCCCCCCCCCCCCCCCAAAGCAACCGGAAAACAGCACATACAACCATACATACAAGGGTTCTCCCACGTCAAGCAACCCGAATACCAGGAAACATGACTTGGAGCTGCACACCACCTTCCACATAAAAACCCCCCTGCATCCCGCAAACATGCCCGATTCCACGCCCCTGCCGCAAGCCACAAACCAGAGAACAATACTAAGCCGGCCGCACAACAATACTAAGCCCTCCCGCGACCTGCATTTAATCCCTTCCCTTCCCACCCCTCCACTCTTCCACCTATCCACCCTCTCTGGTTCTACTCTTTCACTTCACCTTCACCTCTTTGCAGAAACTCCTCCCCGGAACGTGGAGCTGCAAAAGGCAAAGCAAGCTCCAGATTCAGCCTACCATTCCCAATGAAGACAGCTGTGATTGGAAACAAAGCTCGCTGGGATTTGGCCATTCATTATGCCGCGCGAGGACAATGCTGGCGGGCAAGGGGTGCTGGAATGCAGGCGATTCGCTCTGGGTGGTGGTGGTGGTGGTGGTGGTGGTGGTGGTAGTTTTCGTTTTCCATATAAAAGTGAGAGGTATGACGAAGAATCTGGGTGAATCGCCTTGGGAACAATGGCTTGAGAGTGCGATGCTTCAGACGAAAAAAGAAAGAAGGCTGAGATTTTTCAATTTTGTCTTTCTGCTTTGCTTTGCTTTGCTTTGCTATTGCTGTTGAGCTTCTCTTTAGAGTAATTCTGTTGTTCTCGTCTCCTTCTCCGGATATACCATCTCCCAACATCTTCAACACCAAGATTGTCAGCATCACCACTTATACACACCCAGAAATCCAGCTTCACCACACCACACCCTTATTAAAATCCTCACCACCAACCACCACCACCATGTCCTCCTTCGACCCGTACACCCAAAACATCACCATCCTCGTCTCGCCCTCCTCCCCGCCAATATCCATCCCCATCCCCGTCATCGACGCCTTCAACGACGAAACGGCCAGCATCATCACAAACTACGCCGCCCAGCTCGGCGCCGCCCTCGCCATGCTGCTCGTGCTGCTCGCCGCCACGCCCACCGCCAGGCTCCTCCGCGCCGACGGCCCGTCGCTCCTCCACGCCCTCGCCCTGCTCGTCTGCGTCGTCCGCACCGTCCTGCTCATCTACTTCTTCCTCACCCCCTTCTCGCACTTCTACCAGGTCTGGACCGGCGACTTCTCCCAGGTCCCCGCGTGGAACTACCGCGCCAGCATCGCCGGCACCGTCCTCTCCACGCTGCTCACCGTCGTCACCGACGCCGCCCTCGTCAACCAAGCCTGGACAATGGTCTCGCTCTTCGCGCCCAGGACCAAGCGCGCCGTCTGCGTCCTCTCGCTGCTCATCACCCTCCTGGCCATCTCCTTCCGCGTCGCCTACACCGTCATCCAGTGCGAGGGCATCGCCGAGCTGGCCGCCCCGAGGCAGTACGCCTGGCTCATCCGCGCGACGCTCATCTTCAACATCTGCTCCATCGCCTGGTTCTGCGCCCTCTTCAACTCCAAGCTCGTCGCGCACCTCGTCACCAACCGCGGCGTGCTGCCGTCTCGCCGGGCTATGAGCCCCATGGAGGTGCTCATCATGGCCAACGGCATCCTCATGATTGTTCCCGGTAAGCATCTCTTTACATATCTCATCAACCCCCCTTACCCCCTTTACCCTCCCCCACTTTTCCCCCCCAGTCTACACAAAATGAATCCCAGCTTAACATCCAACACAGTCGTCTTCGCCATCCTCGAATGGCACCACTTCATCAACTTCGAAGCCGGCTCCCTAACACCAACATCCATCGCAATCATCCTCCCCCTCTCCTCCCTCGCCGCCCAGCGCATCGCCAACACATCCTCCTCCTACTCCTACCAGCAGAACAATCACAATCACCATCACCACCCATCTTCCTCCTCCTCCTCCTCCGCGGCTGCCCGCTACAAGGCCTCCTCCCGCCACTCCTCCTCCCGCCACCCCCTCAACCCCAAAACCGGATCCCTCTTCTCAACCACAACCTGCAACAGCACCACCACCACCACCTCTTCTTCCTCCGCCGCCGCCGCCGCCGCTGCCCAACGCACCCATTCCGTGGATCATGCCTCAACAATCCCAAGTGCCGCACAGCACCCTGCTAGAGGAGGAGCAGCACGAGGAAGCGACGTTCTCGACCCAATCGAGCTTGAGCTGCGACAAATCGACGGATACGCACAGCCGAGGGAGATTCTCACGCAGCAAGGCCAAGGCGAGCAGTTCCACGAGTAGTGCTGAGGAGAATCTGGGCCAGCCTCTATTCAACAACTCTCTCTCTCTCTCTCTATCTCTTCCCCCCTTTTATACCTCTTTTTCCATTCTCACCACTTTTTTTCCCCCCCCTTTTTCTTTTTCTCTATTTTTTTCCCGACACCATTTGGTCACTCTTCTGCCTTTGTTGCGTACCGTTGCATAGCACGCATCACGATATACCCCCCCCCTGAAAGCATTTCGCTGCATTTACATACCCGTCCATTTGCGCTTCATATGCGATACTAGATAGCATCGACAAGCAAGAAGCATGGCGTCAACAGGGAATCCGGTTTCAGAAGAGACACCATACTTCTCTGTTCCGGTCTGGATTGTTCTTTAGGCAGAATATATATGATGACAATTCAAGCTTACTCAATCTCTTGCCTCTTCTCCCCATCAAGATTGTCTCCGCATCATGAACCTCACGTAGACTTGGAAACATTCACACATACATGCAAACAATGAGGAGCATAACATGTGTATTCCACTATCTTGCTAAACCCAGGATACTCCAGTGCTCCATCACATACATAGGTAGGCTGTAACCCCCTACTCCGTCTGCGCCCGCCCCCTCAACGCAGCCATCCTCTCGCGGCAGAGACTCGCAAGACGCCGCATCTCCCTCCCCCGCACAGGCTGAGGCTGCTCAAGCGTGCAGCGAGCCTGCGAAACAAAGAACAAGCCCTGGCTGCGAGACATCAGGCGCCGACTGAGAAAGCGAAGCGAAGGGTGGCGGCTGACAACGGTAGGACCCTCCTGGGTAGGCGAAGAATCATTGCAGTCTTCGTCCGGCCAAGCGCCCGGGAACTGCATCTCCTGATATGGCTGCTGCTCAAGGGTGACCCCTCCCTCGCCGTCGACATTGTAGACCTGGAGCGGTGCTGCAACATTGCGCTGTCCATCTTCAGAGCTCCCCTTGGTCCTTCTGAGCCAGTCTGACCTCATCATTGCCCCCTTGACAAGTTAATCACTTGAGACATTACGAACGGGAGCAGCCGGGTGTTTCCACTTACAAAGCTCTTCGTCTGGCGAGTCGGCTTGAGCAGCGATGGCTTGCTGTAGGGCAAGGGCTTGACGTCGATCGTCTGGCTGCTGACACTGTCCACAACCGGTGAACGGCTTGACGAGTGTCGAGATCCATCATCTGCCGAAGACGTCATTGGAGAAGGTGCTCCGTCAAACGTCCTGATTGTTGCCTTTCCCTGCCCCTGCCCCTGGCTGGCAGATATCCTCTTTGTAGTGGCAGCTTTCGAAAACTTCGGAGGCAGGGCCGTCCTGGGGATCCTGGATTTGCTTTCTCGCTTCTCTTGCTGGCTCCTCGACTCCCACAGTCCAATCTTCTCTTTGAGGGTCCCGTCTTTCAAACGCTGTGGAATCTGACGGCCATCTCGCCTGGGACCCGGGCGTAAAGAAACCTGCATGGCAGATGAAGGCCGCACAGGCGTCTTTGTGTTGAGTTGCTTCGTGTCGGCCTGCGAGCGCCTCTTTGAGACTGCCGGCATCGAGACTGACGAGGGCAACGTGCCGTCAAACTTTGTCCGGAGATTCGACACCTTTGACTGCGGAGACGGGATCTTGGAGGTGGCCAGAGACGAACCGCTTCGCTCTTTGAGCGCTTGCAGGGCATCGCTGGCAGACGAGAGAAGTACGGCCTCGTGACATGGGTAGCAAAGAGTCACCTCGGACGGCGTATTCAGATCCTTTTCCTGCTTGTCGGGAGAAGAACCGGAGGCCTCTTGGGGGTTGGTTTTCACACTGCTGCTTCCAGACAAGACCACCTCGGGAATGGTGTCAGATGGCTTCGAGGGCCAGCCGCCCACGTCGGTCACCACCATGCTCTTGAGCGGAGAGGGCGGCTTGGGTAGAAATATGCCTCCCTGCAACTTGATTCGGGGCTCGGATCCTCGCTGCGATGTGTCCTTCTTGCCCTGGGCGCCAGCTTCGCTCTCCTCCTGATTCCGAGAAGAGGGACGGCTCGAGGCGAGGGGCGGTGGCAGGTATTCCGGGTGCGCGACCTGGCTGGTAGGAGTCATTGAGTCCGGAACGACATCCTTCTCGTCATGGAGGCCTGATAGCGCCTCGTCGACGCCTACGGATATAATTGAAGATGCTTTCGCGGGGCTGTCCGCCAAGGAGGGCGCTTTGTCATCGAGGGGAGCAGGTGAAGCAACGCGTTTAGGTTCGTAGGTATCTATTTGCAAAACATCTGCAAACATCAGTACTCTTGCAGTAAAAAATGCATGCGGCCATCTTTGAAGGAGTCGTAATAGACAAGAATGCTACGCACTGGGAGCAATATTCTCATCAAGCCCTCGCTCAAACAATCTCCTCCTCTGCGCAACCACCGAGCCCCCTTGCGCAACTCCTGCAGAAGGCGAAGCGACGGCATTCCCAACACGGCGATGCTTGACAGGAGACTTCAGTAAGCCATTCTTGACGGGGAGAGCTTTCGCGGGAGCCAGAGATGACGATGTCACGGATCGAGGGATCGGGCCAGTAGTTGTAATACGCTTCAGCCTTGGTTCCGCGGACGAGGAGGGAGCAGGAATCTTGGAAGCGACAGGCGGACGGCCTCGAGTCTTTTGTGCTCCTCCAACTCCGGGTCGCGACTTCGGCGAAGCATCGAGGCTCTCGAATCGCGACACCAGCCGTGCCAGTCCTCCCTGAGACGACGGGGGCGCAGGTCGAACACTTGCAGAAGACATTGTTCCCGTATCAGTCAAAACAGCTTCACCCGAGAACAACAGCCAGAGGTCAACAAGGGGTGATTTTCTTCCCCGTCTCTAGGGATTCAGGCTGGCCAGGTGAACTGCGCGCAAAACGGAGCGAGGGTGGGAAGAGACAGAAGACAAAGAGCGAGGGGAGATGAGGAGGGCAGAGCGAATAACAAGTGTTCTGGGTGCGTGAGGGACGGAAGAAGCCGTATAAAGAAACAAGCATTGATTGATCTGTAGACAGATGTAGTCAGAAGCAGAAGATCGGTCGTTGCCTCGGCATGAGGTCGCGCCTAAGATAGAGCCAATGTTTACCGTCGACCTCGTCTCCTGCTTCTCTCGCGAGGCTCTGGCAACTGCGACTTCCCTCTCTTCTGGCTTGGTTTGGCAATTAATGGCCAGCAAAAGTGAGTAAACTTGTGCTTTGGAAGTAGCAAGCTTGTCCTGTCCAGACACGTCGATTTTGTCTCGGCCGGCCAGCACAAGTGATACTGAAGAGTGTCTTCTATTATATGCAACTGTTTGCATTGGTTCCTTAGGCAGTCCTACGATTCATGTCCTATAAAGGATGTTTTCCCTAAGATATCATCATCTCCATCCCTGTTGCCTGAGCTCTCATCTTCCTCTGCTCCTCGGCCTCCACAAGTCCGCGAATGAACAATCCCGGCAAATGCCCCCTGGATGCATCGCCTTCTAACATGGCATCGACCGCTGTGGTATAACTCTTCTCAAACGCATACCAAACCTGCTTCTTAACTGCGCTCTCTCCCAGCGGCCTTAGAAGATATGGGTGGCCTGATTGTCGACGGGAAACAGACCCTTAGGGTTGTTACTGCTTGCTCAATGTGAATCCCTCTCCTTCTTCTGTTCTTGAGCCTCGATAAGCCCGCGGATGAACAAGCGTGGAAGCCATAACAACTCTTGGCTGTCTGCAAGGATCAGGTCTGCGGCCCAGATGTAATGTTTTGCAAATGCATTCCAAATGATCTTCTCAGTACTAGAATCCCCTAGTGGCTTTGGAAGGTATGGGTCATTGATTCGAGCAGCTTCAACGGCCTGCGAAACTCCAGCTTCATCCATAGTAATCGTTCTGACTTGGTTGAAATCCAGGAGCCAAAGATCCGTGGATCTATGGAAAAAGTCCTCGGTGATGTAGGAGGGTGGGCCAGTATAAGTAGGACGTTGGATCTTCTCGAGTTCCTCCAGACTAAGCCGAGCCGAGATTTTCTTTGAGGAGCTGCCGAAAACAAACTCGACATCTCGGGCATCTGTCCTCGCCTCCCAGTGCATGATTGCCATAGCCGTGCCCATGCGGCTGGCAATGGATTTGACGTCGAGCTGGAGATCCACCATCTGGTTAAGATGCATCTTGAAGTTTCTCAGAGAGAAAAAGAGACCTCCAACCTTGCCTTGCGTTGAGCCAAGATAAGGCCTCACCAAGCAGTCTCTGTTTGCCGTGTCGCTAAGAGCAGCTTGCTTGATTCTTGGTGCACAGTATTTCTCGATCAAAAGCTTGCGGGTAGGTTTGGCCAAAGGTGGGATGCGTTCAGAGACAAGGACGTTGGCAGGTAGATTGCAAACTTGTGAAGCCCCTTCCGCCAGCTCAGGATTCTGTTCGAGATATCGAGGGTCATCGTGTGGAACAAAGAAGTATATCTCCGGGATTTTGATCTCTGTAAATTCCCATTTTCCGAACGCAGATGAGGTGCGAGTATGCATCTTGTAATCATTCCACAATGACTCGTCATTTGTTTTAGACAACTTGAACACGAACGATTTCCCATCCTGAGCAAAGATGGCACCGCAGGCGCCAGCGCCGATCTTCTTGAAGGCTGAGATAATCTGGGACTGAGCGGCAGTGTGCTGCTGGGCATTGGAAGAAGTTGTCGAGACCCGACTGTGTAAAGATAACATCCTACTGAGCTGCTGCTCTAAATCGCCTAGTTCGCCAGAAGCCTGGATATTGTCTTGCTCTACGGTTGACAAGAGAGAGTAGAGATGAAGATTGGCGGCTATGTCTTTCTCCAGCGTTGGTGAAACTGGGTATGGATCGGAGCTGGATTCGAGGCGGCGTTGGTTGGCTGACATTTTGAAGCGGATGTTTGTAGAGCTGAATACTCGGAATTAGCTTCACAACCTCCAACATTCAAGATGTGCATATAATGTGATAACCTAGGTGAGTAGGATGGAGACTTACCTTTGGAGACGTGGTTTCGGTGGGCTTGAAGAGAGAGGGAAGAAGAAAGAAGTTGGAGAGAGAGGGAAGAAGAAAGAAGTTGGAGAGAGAGGGAAGAAGAAAGAAGTTGGAGAGGGAGGGCTTGAAGAAAGAGGGAAGAAGAAAGAAGTTGGAGAGGAAGGGCTTGCTTCTTGTACTGCTGAAAGTCATGTGAGGCGGTCAGGTACCTAAGTTGTTGAGCTCTGATGTGTGAATCACTCTCACCCTGAATTTTTAAAGTTTTGCTATTGAGTTTTCACTAACCTGATATAACGAGGGCTACAAGATTGTGAGGGCGTGGCCGAGGTGGCTTGATGAGCCTGTGACGAGGATATCATACTGGATGTCTATACCAGGTTGCATTATATTAACTTATCGCCTAAGATCGAGTTGATTAGGAAGAATAAGGTCAATAGACATTTAACATGACGGACACATCATGCTTTTATAACATCGTGAACCCAAGTATCAGCAAGGTGCTGGCAAGGGACTTTATTAATCTCTGACCTATCTTCTTTCTAGTAGCTATTATGCCTTCTTATAGTTTTTCCTTATGCCCGTTTCTTTAGAATAGCATCCCTTGCGTACTAGCAGCGAGGGAGTTGCATCCCAGGAGCAAAGCGGCTGCATTCTTGATAGAGGTAAGGTATGGAGGGCGTTATAGCTGCGGGATAGCTGCGAGGTCCCTGACATCGCCCTTCTATTGTACACTGACTCATTCGTATGAAGCCTTGATGTTGAGTAATTTTGTCGATTTATTTTTTCATTGAAGTTGGATCGTGAGAATTCGTAGGAAGAGCGCCTATCGCTTATTGACTGCATATCATCCACTGTTAGCAACAGATGCGCGCGTCGCACGTTGGGGTCTCTTGGGTGTGAATAACGTACGGAGGCAGCAGGATCTCGCCCCATGAGCTGGAGAGAAAGGTAACGGCGGCCTGTTCAGACTCGTCAGCTTCCGTACACAACAATCAGGTCATCAATAGTGGAAGCTCACGCCAAAGATGGCAATGCTGCGAACAAAGGCGGCGTTCTCGGCATTCGTCAGTGTGTCGTACGTTGACGCAACGAAGCCCTTGGGCGCGCGGCGTCCGCCCTTTTCGCCGTAGATTCGCTTGGGAGGCATTGCGATGATGTTTTGATCTGGTCTTGGGGGGGCTTGACGTGGAAGCGCAAATCAGAAAAAGCGTAGGGAAAGTTGCGACAGAGAAAGTTCGAGGCGAGATCGTCACCGAGGCCGAAAAATCGGAATAACGGCCCCGCCATCGATTGCATTGCATGCGGTAGGGCGGGTCACATGATTGAGTTTGAATGACGTAACATGAGTGCAGATTGGACACGGTTCTGTCAAGCGAAACAGCTTCTGGTTCCGTGGTCTAGTTGGTTATGACATTTCGTTAACAGTTCAGTTGACACCACCGAAAAGGTCCCCGGTTCGAGCCCGGGCGGAATCACATCTTTTTGCTTTTTATTTCGCACTTTCTCATGATCAATCAATCCATCAATCACGTCAAGATGACTTCTTCACTTAAGGCGAATCGAATCATCTTGGCAACTCTCAATTGAGTTGTTGAACTTTTTTTTGAACTCACTCGCATCTTATTTGTGGCGCAAAAGACCGTTTCGCCCTGGAGTCGCTCCCTATTAGTAGTAGTAGTTACTCATAGCTAATTGTCCCAGTCTGTCTGTCTGTCTGTCAGTCAGCCATCAGACGTCACAATATTGCGTCAGGCAACTTGGCTGCCCAGTGATGAATCACAATTCAAACCTACACCACAAGAACGTTGAGCCTCAAAGTTACTTACTTGCCTGGCAATCAAGTCACCAACCACCCTTGATCTCACCAGTTCAGAGCGGGTTGTAACCTGCATTGCATCCATTCTTTTTTCCAGACATTTCCGTCAACCCTCCAGGGTATTCAACACCCCGCCCCCCCAGCCCACTCACTTATCATCATCATCACCCATCAATCTGAGTATTACCCATATCAGCACCTATACAAACAGACGTCAAATCACCATACAATTCAATTGACCGGCGCAACATCCATTGATAAATCAGAGACATCACCACCACGATGATGGAATCATCCCGAGAGCCAGGCGGCTTCATCCCTCCCCAAGGCGGCCTCCCCTCGCCCGCCCCCTCCTCAGCCTCGTCCCGCGCGGCCTCCAGCCTGCCGCACCCGAGAAGGACGCCGCTGCGGCCCGGCGGAAGCAAGGAGGAAATGGTGCGGCGGTACGCCGAGGAGAAGCTCATGACCATTTCGCGGCGCTACGTCAAGAAGTTTGGGGGCACGCAGGAGGGAGACGACGTGGTTGGCTTTCGCACCTTTGGGGAGGTGTGCAAGGAGCTGGATGAGGTGGTTAATATCCTGTGGCAATCGGGAACTCGTACGTATTATTTGCCCCTCTACCAACGTTGCTTGATTCTACGGTTTCAACTTGATATCACGGGGTGGATGGAGAGAGGGTAGATAGAATAGGGCCATGCTAACTAATATGCTACGAACAACCAGCTATCCTGCAGGTGCAGTTTCTGCTCAGGCTGGCCAGCGATTTTACGCAATACGTCCGGTCCTTCCCGCCATCCCCCAAGGCGTCGTTTGACCTGCTGCACAAGCTGGACCACTGCTTCGCCAGCCTGCTCTGCGGGCAGGACATTGAGACCAAGGAGACGCTCCCGGGGTTCGAAAACGGGCTGCGGATGGGCATGACGACGACGGACATGGTGCGGTGCCGGAGTCTGGTGGAGCAGACGCGGTTGCTCATGGTGGAGATTATGAGCAGTGGCGAGCCGGAGGATGAGGAGGATGAAGATACGGATGAGGAAGATGAAGGGGACGGCGATGATGGTGATGAAATTGGTGGTGGTGGTGGTGATGGTGGTGGTGATGGTGGTGGTGGTGGCGGAGGTTGGGGAATTCATGATGACGACGATGATGATGACGAGACGTGTCTGGACGCTGCGCGGGTCTACCAGCATACGATTGTGCAGCTGGAGAAGAGGCTTGGGGATTCGCTGGGGGGAAGCATTGGGGGATGGACAGCGTGAATCCGGAGAGCGTTTGTTGATGGGCATTGGGAGTTGATACTACTAGTACTACTACTACTATGTACGGACCCCTGCCTGCATGGAATGTTGGAGGAGGGGAATGGGGGGGTTATATGCAGGGCAAACGGGATACAATAATATTTGGGGGCTTTGGTTCGACTTGTTTGCTGTAAGGGACTGCAGGGCTTACCGTGAGCTGAAAAGGCCTCGGCCGGATGGGTGATATATGGATATCGATGCTTTAGCAAGACAGATTTTGCAGTGAAGAGATCCTTTATATTGACGTGAATCTACTCATTATTATTTAGGTACGGTGATAACATACGATAAGGGAGGCACCAAGCGCCGCTCATCGGCAGTCAGTCCTACGGCGGCGATCTCGTATTTTATTCTCTGCGTTACGAGGACTAGTCGCACGATCAATGCATGCTGGGGGATTTCCCTTGCCTTGCCTTTTCTATTCGAGCATCTTTTCTTCTCGTCTCTTCTTCTCGTTTGCCTGTCCTGTTTGCTTGCGTGTTCTAGATGGATCCAGGTGGCGGGCCACTACCGTTTTTCTCTCTCCCCCCCCCTTGGCTCGGGCGGTTTTTCGCCTCTTTTGGTGGTTTGTGCTTCTGGCATGTGGAAAGGGATCCGATTGGGGACGCGGCGGGGATGATGGGGAAAGATGGAGGGGACCTGTTTGTCCACGTTGCTTTTGCGAGACTTTTACGATGTAAATCATGAGCTATTGGTAAGTGGAATTACGGTGAACAGCAGCTGTGACTTGGCTATTGGGAATCTTATAGAGCATGTCCTGCAGATGCCGTTTGCCGTAGTCAGTTGATGGAGGACCGACCCCCCTGGTCTGTCGGTCTATCTATCGCGTTTTGGCCTGCTCTTCAAGGCGATGATGTGCGGCGATCGCCTCACCTCGACTCGGACGCCAGACAAAACGGTCTCGATAGCTTGATAGATAGTCTAAACAGTACTGTCCCAACTATGTATCCTAGGAATTCCCTCGGCTTCAACCAGACATGACAAGGTTTCCTACTGCAGCACTCTCTCAACTGCAAACGCCCGCATCCGGCATCCCTGGTCTTCACCAAAGCACCCAATCTCACCCAACCAACCAACCAACCATCCAATCCAGCAGCATCAATGCACGCATCCTCACAAACACATACGAGTCCTTTACTTGTACTTGTACTGTACTGTAGGCACTGTAGCATCAAATCAATCACCCGCGCATCTGACTCGACACCAAGAAACACCACCAGCCAATCCTCGGCCCCCCCAACCATCACCAAGCTACTGCTGTAACTACCAGCCGCGCTACTGCACGAACCCCTGGCGCTCTCTTTTGACCTTTGTTTCAAAACTTTTCTGACTTGCCGTGATCGTGCCTTGTGCCTTGTGCCTGGCCCCCATATCCCACGTTTCTTTTTAGGCTTCTGGTAGTATTGAGTAGGTATTATCGCCCACCCCCCCTGGCTGCGCGCTTGAGAAAAAAATCCCCTCCCCTCCCCCCTGAATCCCTGCAAATCATGCTGTTTTTTTTTCACTCTCTTTTTGCTCGCCTATCACTTCTCATCAAGACTTATTCTCGACTATCGGCACTGCGTCTGATTCTGCCCAACGATGCGTCCCGCTCCATGCTCTGACTGGCTGCCCTTTCTCGGCATCTTCCCCCCTGAACTTTCGTTTACTTTTGGACTATACGAGTAGTATCATCTGTTGCCACCCCTCTCTTTTTGGCCCTCCTCATCCTCCTCCTCTTCCTCAGGGTCTCGTCGCTTTTTTTTTTTCTTTTTTGCCGGGCAAGCGCTTGGGCCTCTGTGGATCTTGTCGCCTGCATGCATGGCATGGCATGTCAAGGCAGAGAGGAATGACTGGATTCTCTTTGTCCCCTCTGAGATAGCATCTACCTGTGCTGTACATCGCCAGCACCTCCATTGCAACCCAACAGAGTAAACGAGCGGCGGGTATCACAATCCAGAGAAAGAGGTACCCCGTAGCCGCGCCCAAGCACATGCCAGTACCTCTGCCAGTACACCCCCGTAACCCATGCTCGTGATATCTCGCCATGTCCCCTGTCCATCAGCAACAGTCAGGTACTGTACCTTACCGACCATACCTTACATGTAGGCAGGTACCTTACTAGGTAGTGACTGACAGTGAGCCTCGCCGAAGCACATGATTCAAGCAGCGAGCATCTACTTAAGCGGCCTTGTTGCCACCATGCATCTAGAATCCTGCTCCTGCTTCGCTTCTGCTCTGCTCAGCTTCTTCAGCTTCTTCGTCTTTTTCATCTTCTTCTTCTCTCTCCTTTTCTTCTCTCGCAACTCCATTCCCTTCTTCCAGGCCTGTGGCCGGTTACTTTCCTTATTTGACATCTTCGCTGGTTCGATATTGCGCACACACTCCTTTTCTGTTGTGCTTTGTTTCCTGATCCTGTTCTTGGTGCTGTTGAACAGACAAGACAAAAAGCAGACACGCAGGACAAGAACAGACACTCGTCCATTTGGCTACGTCTAGCTGCCATACATTCCCTCGGTTCAGATCGATTCATTCATTCTGGACATCAGAGCAAAACAAGCAAAACCAGTCCTTTAACCCCAGAGCTCATCTGATCACGACATCCTGGCCGTCACTCCCTGACCCGGATATCCCCCATCAAGAGAGAGACGCAACTCAGACAAGACAAGGAACACAAGAGCCAGTTCCTCGACAAAAATGCACTTCCAATCCCTCGCCTCGCTGGTCCTCGCCCTGGTGGCCGTCCCCTCCGCCAGGGCCACGCTCTCGCCCAACATCTCGGGCATGAACCTCGTCTGGCAGGAGACGTTTGTCGGCAACCAGGGCGACATGGTGGACCTCACCCAGTGGACCGTCGTCACGGACCTGCACAACAACCAGGAGCTCGAGACGTACACCAACCTGCCGTCCAACATGCAGCTCTCGGGCGGCCAGACGCTGCAGCTGGTGCCGCAGAAGTCGCTGCTGGGCGAATGGACCTCGTCGCGCATCGAATCCATCCAGGCCTGGACCCCGAGCCCCGGCAAGACGATGCAGGTCCAGGCCGCCCTGCGCGGCGGCGACAGCGCCATCGACCAGAAGGCGGGCATGTGGCCGGCCTTTTGGATGCTGGGCGACTCCATGCGCCACGGCACGCCCTGGCCGCTGTGCGGCGAGCTCGACATCTTTGAGCAGATCAACGGCCAGCTGACGGGCTACGGCACCGTCCACTGCGACCACACGGGCGGCGGCGCCTGCAACGAGCCCAGCGGCCTGGGCGAGAGCATCGCCATCCCCCAGGACGACAAGTTCCACACCTGGACCCTCAAGATCGATCGCTCGTCCAACTACTGGCAGACGGAGACGATCCAGTGGTTCATGGACGGCACGCTCTTTCATACCCTGACCGGTGCCCAGATTGGCGACGAGGGCCTCTGGGCCACGCTCGCGCACTCGCCCATGTACATTATCCTCAACCTGGCCGTTGGTGGCACATGGCCCGTACGTTTCTTCCCTCCCTCTTGTCTATATATTCGTCATGAGCATCGGACTGACTGTGGTGCAACAGGGCGACCCTACCGAGGCGACCTTGTCCGGCTGGGGCAACATGTTTGAAGTGCAATACGTTGCCGTCTACGAGTCTGCTTAGAAGGCAATCTCGACGAAGTTATGAAAACCCATTACTGAAAGAAAAAGCAAGACAAGGAAGAAAGAAGAAGACGAAGGAAAAATACCCTTGAAAATGCAAAAAGAAAAAAAGATGTTGGACATTTTTTGGATAGACTTGTCGGATTCCATGTTTGAAAAAGCACATATATATCACGGCCCCCCTCTCTCAGCGCGGGGGCGGGACCATATTCACTTCGCTGTACATATATGGTAGATTCGCTATACCCATGACCGTTATGAAAGACGTACCTTTTGTCGTTTGACTTTTCTCTTTCTCTTTTTTTGACAGCTGGGTTGTGTGACTTGACATGTTGTTGTAGCACCAAATAGGTACCTTACAAGTGTGTGTCGCCGTCGTGGGGAGGAGAAGTGGCTGGTTACACTTGGCACGTCGGCATTCAATCTTTTTGTATCACACTACGCCCTGCCACGCATCAAGCTCCTCCATTCACAATATGACAATTTAGCACGGCGCAAGACACAGAGGCACAAGTCAAATACCAGTGAAATTGGTGATGAGATCAAAAGAAAACTCCAGGTTGGTCTTTTACAACGGCGGGGTGGTGGTTCACTTGTCGACTAATATGGTATGTGGAAAGAAAAGATAAAAAAAAAAAAAAATTGAAAAGAGAGAGAGAGAGACCATTATCGAAATCGTCGTCAAGACCAAAAAAGATCAAAGGAAATGATGGAAAAAAAAAAGGGACGTTTTACACAATGAAGGAGAAGGCCTGTCATACCATTTGGAGGGCCTGATGTGGAAGATGTAGAGAAAGATGATACATAGGTAGCCACCTTTGTCCATCCACTTCCCTCTTATTCCCCATCCGCCCTCCAAAACGGCCCAAGGCCCTCTCCAACAGAACAGCATGGGAAACATTTGACGTGGACGGACTACTTGAAGAAATGACAGGAGAAAGAAAAGACCAAAATACAAAAAAAGGAGAAAAAAAGGGGGGAAAAGAAAGAAAGGACCAAGAGGTGTGCGTTTTAAAAAAAGAAAAAGAAGGAAGGAAGAGAGTCCAAAGTCAAATCAACCCTCAGGGACAACAAAACATCTCTCTGTTTCTTCTTTTTTTTTTTCTCTTTTTGTGTGCCCGTTTCAAACCATCAAAAGTGAAGAAAAAAAGCCCCTGGGGAAAGAAACCGGATCGCCGCATGACCATTTGATATAATTAATCCACCCTCAACGCCAAAGTCGAATGATGCCAGATTAGAGAGATAAACCCTGGAAAACCACACAAAGGCACAAAACGTGAAAGCGCAAGCAAAAGAGCTCAATGAGCTGCCGACCCATCTCCAGAACTGCACTGGCTTGAGCGCAGGATTTCCCTACCCTACTCCGCACTGATCTCGCCGCCCTCCATCCCTGGGTATGAGCCGTTAAAGTCAAACGGCTCGTTGTTACCGTCGCCGTCGTTCAAGAACGAGTCAAAGTCAAAGTCATTCAGTACATTGTCCGAGTGCAGCGGGTTGGCCAGCTCCATGGCAAAGTCCTGAGGGCAAGCGTTAGTGAAACTGAAACCTATATGGATAATGAAAGGGGGGGTTAAACAGGACATGACCTACCGTCATCGCAAAGTTGTCCATGCCCAGGGTGTTATTCTGGGCAAGCTCATGCGAAGGCTGAGGCACAGGAGCGGCTTGAGGGGGCACCGGCGCGCTGGCTGCGGCTGTCGGGGCGGGGATTCCTGTTGTGGCCGCTGCAGCTGTTGCGTTGGGCACGGGGCCTCCGCCCTGGGCGTTCTTAAAGGCCGGGTTGACAACGGGCGTGATGGGAGTCGCGGGCGCTGCCGCGTCGGGCTCGGCGCCGTTCTCCGCCGAGGCGGCGGCGGCGTTGTTGATGTTCTGGTTGGACTTCTTCTGCGCAGCGGTTCGCTATAAGATCCGTCAGATTGCAAAATGGGGGCTGTCTGGGATGCGGCTCTTACCTTGTCCTTGGCATTCTTGGTGTCCTTCTTCTTGGGCGCCGCCTTGTTTGCCTGGCTAGGGGTGGGCGGTGCTGCCGCAGCCTGCTGGGGCGACGCGGTTGTCCGGTTGTTTGCGTTGGCGGCCGCGGCTGCTGGCGCCGACGGAGGAGGCATGGACCGCTGCTGCGGAGTGCCCTGAACCTGCTGGCCCTGCTGCATGCCCTGCGGCACCATCTGGCCGTTCATGCCCGGCTGCCACTGCTGCGGGTTGCCCTGGGCGCCCTGCTGCTGCTGTCGGGCGGCCATCATCTGCGCATTCATGGGACCGTTGAATTGCTGGCCCGGGTGCGAGCTGGGAGGACGCATGCCGTTCATCTGGGCCTGCGCCATGTTGCTGCCGTCCACTCCCTTGTAGAAGTGAGGCGCCATGTTGACGTCCACGTGGTTGCCCAAGAAGTTCATGGCATTGGGCGACTCGCGAGACTGGCCGCCGTCAGGGACCGGCGAGGGGATGCCCGAGTTGTTCATCTGGGGGGTGCCGCGCTTCATCTGCTCCGCGGGGTTGGGGGAAGCGCCGGATCGCATTGCCTGGGGCGACGTGTCGGGGAAGCCCGGTCCGTTGGGGCCAGACGGGTTTTGCTGGCCGTCTCGGGGCATCATGTCGCTCTGCTCCTGGCGGGCCATCATCAGGCGCTTCTTGTTCTGCTGCTCAAGCAGCATGAGTTGCATCTGGTAGTCCTGCAGAGCATGGTTGCTGCCCGGAGCAGCCGCCTGAGGGCCGCCGGGACCCGGTCGCATACCGCCGGGACCATTCATCTCGGGGTTGTAAAAAGCGTTAAGGGAGTTGCCGTCGGGGCCCTGGGGCATCATCGGCGAGCTCTGGTTCTGGGGGCCGCCCACGCCAGGGATCTGCTTGTTGCCAATCTGGTTGCCATGGTGCTGCTGAAGATTGTGAGAGTAAGTAGCAATCGACTTTTGCTGTGCGGCTGGCGGCGTGTTGGCAAAGTTCTGCATCTGCTGGGGGTTGAGCTGGGCAGGGTTGATGCCGTTGGCGGCGAGAACCTGCTGAGCGTTGGCGACATTGCCCATCTGCGGACCGGGCATGCCTTGGCCAGGGCGGCCGTTTGCCATCATGGCGCCGGGCTGGTTGCCGTTGAAGGGACCGCCCTCAATGCGTGGGCGCTTCGAGGGAGACGGCGCATTCTCTCCTGATGCGGGGGAGGTTGGCCGATCCCGGTTGCCGTCCATACCGGAAGGATCTCGCTGCATCTGATTCTGCTTTGCTTGCAGCATCTGCATTTGAGGGCTGCAAAGAAAGAGGATTAGTTTCGAGGCTCTGGGGTAAATGCCACGCCCGCATTCGCCGCTGCTTACTTTTGATTGTTGGCCATGGCTGCCCGGGCCAGGTTGTTCTTGTTTATGGACATGGCCATGGGGTTTTGCATGTTCCTCAAGTACTGCGCCTGGTACTGCTGCTGCGCCGCCAGGTCAGGGCGCATTTGACGTAACAGCTCTTGCTGCTGAGTCTGCTTCATTCTCTGTTGCTGCTGCGGCTTTTGATTAGCAAGGATATGTCTTTTCCCAATGCCAGTACAGTAACACATGGGGCAGATAATTCATGGCAAAAGCCATCTATTGCTCGTACCTGGGTGTGCTGGACGTATTGCTGCACCGTCTGGCTTCCGCCCTTGCCGCCGCGGGCAGTGTAAATGTCCCAGAAGACGCAGAACCACTCGTAGAGAAACGATGTGTCAGAAGCTGGCATGGGCAGCTTTGGCGGAGGTAAATCGTCGGGCAGCTTAGAATCGCCGTCGTCCTTGGAATCAGTGTCCATAGGGTCATCAACGCCGTTCATGCCACTACCGTTTTCGCGACGACCAGCGGCTTCCTTGTTGACGTTGACCTGTTGATCGCTGTTGAGGAGGGAGCGGGCACAGTCGTACATCTGGTGTCTCAGGAAGTACTCGTATATATATGTGTTGAGAACGCCACGCTGGTTCTCATTAGCATGCTGCTGTTGTCGTGCCGCAGCCGCCGCGGCGATCTGGGGGTTCATGGCGCCATTATTCATCATGGGCATCGGTGCGCTTCCAACCGGGCCGCCCATTGGATTCATGTTTGCCATTCCAACGTTGGGATTCATGATGTCGGTTAGGGAAGCTTCTTGCCGAAGTGCTTGCGAGGAAATAGCTTTGGCAATAATCGAAGAACAGAGAGAGAGAGAAGAAAAAAAAGGCGTGGGTTGGGTAAAAGTATGTCTTGATCAAAGTTTTGTGCTTGTAAGCCACTGATGTCTCTCCGCGTGAAATCCCACAGGCTAGCCAGTGTAGGCGAAAGGCACTGCTCAAGAGAAGACAAAGGCGAGAGCGCAGTGAATTCTTCGCGAACCGCGTCGGACCGGGTTGCTGTCCTGCGGGAGGCGAGAAACGCGCTTGTCGAGGTCTGGCGGTTGGCGAAAAGTGGCGATGGTAAGCGGTGGTGGTCGGTGACGGCGGAGGATGTCAGAAAAAATACCAGCGGCTGGAGTCGCGGAGCAGCGATGCTTGCCGCACTTTGCTGCAGAGGTGCGGTGCGGTCAGCTGCTGGTAAAGGCAGCAGGCAGTCTGCGGAGATGGAGGATGGAGAGAGGAGAGAAGAGCTTGACAGGTCGGGCTGAGCAGGGCCTCTGGCTTGGGGGCTGGGATCAGTCCGATTGCAGTGCGGCGCACCACAGTAAGTTTGAGGCCTTGTAGCGGTGCTGCGGACCTACACCGGCAGCGCGGGAACACAGCACAGCACAGCACAGCACCGCGCCGGCAGAGCAGCAGCGCTTCCCTACGTATCGATGGCGTCGGGTCGCAAAGGCAGAGGAAGAGTTCGAGGCGCGGCCGTGTGGCGTGGGCAAAGATGCTCGCCCGCTGCGACGAGGCTCGGCGACGGGCTCAGCAAGAGCAGAGCTGAGCAGAGCAGTGCGGTGCAGCTCGACAAGAGAGGCGGCGGCAGAGGCAGAGGCAGAGGCAGCGGCAGAGGCAGCGGCAGCGAGAGGCAGCGCAGCAACAGCGACAGCGACAGCGCCAGCGGCAGAGGGTCTCGAGGTCGTCCAGGCTGTGAGGGTCAGCTCTCGCGCTGGGCCGTGGAGACAAATGTCGCGATGGACATCAGATTAGGCTGTGGAGGTAGTGAAAGGTCAGGCAAGGTGCAGGTCAGTCAAATCGAGTCGATGGTGGTGCGCAGACGCGAGCTCATACAGTACGGCGGCGTCGCGGGCGGGAAAAGGAGTGTGGCGGTTGCGGCCGTGCGTAGGTGGAGTCTGCACGGTACAGCCGCGTCCTTTTGGTGCGCGCAGCCTCGCCGTGTCTCGCCCGTCGCCGCTGTCTGTCCCGCCTTGCCTTGCGCTGGGGCTGGTGCCGCCGCACGGTACGGTTAAGGCGCGGGCGCGAGATGGCACAGTGCGCGGGGACGGCGGCGAAAAAAGTTATTCGGGTGCGCATAAACTGGCGGGCTGCTTCGGGGGCTTTGGCGATCCCAGTATGAGGGACCGGCATCTTGGTGCCTGCGTATGCGTCAGACCAGGTGCGTACTTTTGGGTCTGCGGCAGATGTTGGCGCCTGAGGCACGAAGCTGGGGTCTGGACAGGCCCTGTGTGACAGCCACGCTAATCGAGTCCGCTGAGGTAATACTTGCTGCAAGCATCTTGAGCTGTTATGAGGACTGCCCAGGTCAGTTTCCAGTTGCATGTTATTGAACCGTTGCTCTTGAATCATATCACTACCTACAATCAAGCTACTGTTACCATTAGGAGGCCTGATACTTCTGCTCATCTGTGCAGTCTCAAGTGCTTTTCAAGGAGGAAACTGCGGCACCAGCCAGAGCTCTGCATTGAGCGCCGTCGTTCGATGCCATGTCCGGCGCTGATTTGGAATTGGGTGAAAAAATAAAAACAACTCCTCCAAGCTGCAAATTGCACGGGGCTGCGCTGTCACGGCCACCGTGTCTCGCCAGCAAGCTGTGCAAGGACGGTAAAACCCCCAGTTCTGCTGCCGCTGGTCAGCTGCGCCGACAGCAGCAAACACACTTCCGACGTCAAACTGTGGCGTGGCTCCGCGTCTCCTCGTCCTCGCAGCCCGGCGACTCCATCCTTTTCCATGTGTCTTGCCGTGTGCCGTCAGTGAATCTCCAGCTGTCACGGCCACTTTAATGTATTCCGTCGGCTTGTGACGTGATTGCTCATACCACGTACAACGCGAGGTCCGGCACTGGGCCAGTCGTTGACCTTCGCGTTGAATCACTCCACAGGCTGGGTGGGCTGATTCATGGAGATCAGGCAGGCCTGCTTGGTTTAGTTCCCGTCTGGGGCAGACTCCAGCTTGCTACTACTGTCTAGTGGGAATTGCGCCTAGTATTTGGGTCATTCGTCTTCATGTATTCAAGAAGGTTGGCATCAATTGTGTGTATTTCCATGCTGAAAGCTCCTAGGAACCTGGTAGATGGTACGATGGTACTCCTAGGTAGTATGTGATACACATGGAGCAGCTTGTCTTGTCCCCGCGTGTGCTCATGGCATCCCTGGTCTAGTTCAGCTGGCCGACTTTGACAGAGGCACCCGTCTATTCATCCCTGCCTGTCCATCTAGATGTATATCCACAGGATTACGGAGTAATTGCTGCATGCGTCTGCATTGATCTGGTCAAGCATCGAATCGAGATAGCTCGGCTTGATCCATGGGTATATCCCGCCTTTTGTTTCCTCGACGACCGGTCCCGGATTGATAGTCGCTGCTGTTGATCTTTGTCTTTTGCCAAACTTTCTTCAGCGGTTTCAGTCATACGCTGCACATTTTGGCTAGCAAATTCTTTTTTTCCAACACAAGAGAGTCTCTTTTTTCAGTCGTCTTCCGGCGGCAACTCGTCGTCAATGTATCGTATCAGGGTCACCCGCATCTCCGTAGTGTCGTTGCCTCTGAGGACGTCGCTGATAAAGTGCGCCTCCACCTGCATCTGAACCATCTCCAGGGCGCCTCTCAAGACCCCACAGAGGATGTTGGAGTACCACAGCTCGTTTTGCGCCCTTCCATCGTCTGGCAGCTCGACAAAGTCGGCAAAGGGGTTTTCATCAAATACCAGAGAAAAGGAGTTGTTGTCGGCCGTCCAGTTCGTCACTTGCGGTGTAATGTTGAGGAAGATTTTGAAGCCCACCTAGTATTCGAGCCACGGATTAGCACAGACATAATATCGAACAGAACGATATACCCCTACCCTCGAGATCATGTCTGCCGTTTCGCGAAAGTTGGAGCAGCGCTTCATTGTGTTCGACTTGGCCAAGTAATCCTCAATGAGCCGCAACCCAATGTTGTAGCCCATCTTGTCGAGCTGTCGGTTGACCTCGGGATAGTCATCTTCGAAATCCTTACATAGCTGCGCGACGATGGTTCCGTACGTCAAGGTGACTAGCTCGGCGTTCACCTTGTCGATCCGCGTTCTAGCGATGCGATGTAATTAGATCGGATGTGCAGCTTCGTCAAGTAACGGCGATCTTACTTCCAAATCCTGCACGTCTGTTAGAACAGCCTCAGGCGCATCCTCTTGTGTTGAAACATACTCTTCCCCAATGCGGGACGCCTTGCTAGCCGCCATTGCGGCGGTGGTTCAGGCTTCAAGGGGCGGAGAGACGCCCTCAAGCAGTAGAATCTGGTTGTATAGTTGTTCTGACCGAACAATAAGCAGACAATATTGCAGGCGAGGACTGCAGCTTCGCTATCGGCCGATCTGATATGGAGGAGGGAGTGGGAGGCTGCGATTTGGTGTCATGTCGCAGCTCAGCTTAGGCGTGGGGTACGGAGTGACCTGGCTGGCGATTGACAAGCCGTGGCCACTCAGCGAGGAACATCAACGGGCCGAGAGCCAATAGGAGGGCGGGACTGGCAACGCCCAAGTTCGCAACTTTCAAGCTTCGCGATCGCGACACGGCAAATTCCCAGCAGCTCATGCTTCGACTGTGCTGAGCATTTGATCCGTTTATTTGTCGCATATGAGAATCCTCCACGATTAAAATCCATTAGACTCATCACCATGTCAGCCGAAAAACGCCCTGCGGACGACGATCCCAACGATCCTAGCGTCTCCCAGTCGCTGGTCAAGAGACAGAATGTCAACGCTTCAGAGGGAGCGCTGGCTCGACTCAATGCATCCAGCAATGCATTGGTACAGACGGTAAGCTATAGAGACTGGCTTGCTCGGGGACGAGACTGACGGTGTATGTAGGCGCCGAGGACCAGCGCGCTCCAGGCTCCGGTGATGGAGCTGACGGGACACTCTGGGGAGATTTTCGCGGCCAAGTTCGACCCGACAGGCAACCTGATTGCTTCTGGATCGATGGACCGAAGTATAAGTACGAAATCGATACACTTATGCAGAATGTTGACCTTTTCTAACAGTGGATAGTGCTCTGGAGGACGTACGGCGACTGCGAAAACTACGGCGTGCTCAATGGCCACAAGGGAGCTGTTCTGGACCTGCAATGGTCGCGAGACTCGGAGATTCTCTACTCTGCCTCGGCCGATATGCATCTGGCTAGCTGGGACCTCACTTCGGGCACACGAATACGAAGATACATCGGACACGAAGAGATTATCAACTCCCTGGACATTAGCAGACGAGGCGAGGAGATGCTGGTCAGCGGGAGCGACGATTCGACGATTGGCATTTGGGACCCACGGACAAAGAACGCTGTTGACTACATTGAGACCGAGTTTCCCATTACAGCTGTTGCCATATCGCAAGCCGGCAACGAGATTTACACCGGAGGCATAGACAACGACATCCGGGTGTGGGATTTGAGAAAGAAGGCGGTGGTGTATTCCCTGCTGGGCCACACAGACACCATCACGTCGCTGCGAGTATCACCCGATTCGCAGTCTCTGCTGTCCTATTCAATGGACACGACGGCGAGGACGTGGGATATCCGTCCGTTTGCGCCAACAGAGAGGCATATCCGTACCTTTGACGGAGCGACGACGGGAGTGGAGCAGAATCTGCTGCGCGCCAGCTGGGATTCAGAAGGCAAAAAGGTTGCAGCAGCTTCAGGCGACGGCACAGTGGTGATTTGGTCTGCCCAGACCGGCAAGCTGATGTACAAGCTGCCGGGCCACAGAGGAACGGTCAACTGCGCCGAGTTTTCGCCGGGCAAGGATCCTATTTGTAAGTTGGCTCTTGTCTCTTTTCCCTGCAAGATGTTGCCTGACACGGATTGGCAGTGCTCTCCGCCTCATCGGACCGGACTATGCTTCTCGGTGAGCTGAAGTGAGAGGAGCGTGATCATCATCCGCACTTACTTGCCTTCTCCAGCACTGGCAGAGGAGCTGTGGTTATGCGAGGCGCACATAGCGAGGGCCAGTTGATCGGCACTGACCGCTGCTTCGTGAATCTTTGCTGCCGACAAAGTCAGATTATTAACCTCTCAGAAGCCATGCTTCCGTCGTCTCACGATCTACTAACCAGTCACATGGCTGAGGCCTCACATCTGCCATGGCCATCTCAGACAATTATCAACATACTCAGACCCCTGACCCTTCCCGTTGAAAAGCCAAACATATGGGAAAGGAGGAGAAAAACAGAGAATTTTAATGGAAAGGAAAGCTATAGCGACATTGGCATGTTGTTGTTATTGTTCAATTGTGAGAACAGACTACATATACCGGAAGTCGGGGCAAAATATAGAAGCGGGGGTGCAGACAAGGCGAGCATTACTGCGTCGCTCGCCAATTAACACTGTTGCAGAAACCCTTTCTCTGAAGCAATTGTTCCATTGAAAGGCATGGCAACTCTTGTCCGTTTGAAGCCGTGATATTTTTTTTTTAAACAACCCTTGTCTTGGATTTTGTTCTGGGGATACCTACATAAGGTACATGATAAGCGCCGCTGCAGTGCGCGAAACGTCTGTCACGAGCGACTATTACTAGCCTGGAACAACCTTGAACTGACCAGCATAAGGTACGGGCGCGACTGACGGCGAACCCTGGCAGCCCACGTTTCCTTCCTGCGTGAATGACTTGTTGTCTGCTTCATGCAAGACAGAGAGGCTGCTGTCAACGGTCAGCTCGAGGCCATCAGCAGTGGCATCCACTGGAGAGCGGCGCTCCACAGCAAGAGACCTGGAGAAGCGGATGGTGTGGCCTTGGCCTTGACCTCTGGCCTTGCAGCTGAGACCGCCCAACTGCTAGTAACCTGAATGCATCACCATTCGTGAGTGCACTGAAGCCTCTCCGCGTCCAATCCCCCCTCTCAATCGGGCATCAAACAGTCGGCGCGCACTCGCGAAACGTCCAATCTGTCCAGGGAGCGACGCCGGGTCGTGTCAGGGCAAAGGCTCCAGCGCATCCATTGGTGGCGGAGCTGCGTAGGCTGAAACACGGCCTCTGTTTTTAACTCGCCCTCTTCACAATGTTTGCGAGTCCTGGAACGTGCAGCAGCCCCTGGTTTTGGGGCAGCCCCCCCCTGCACGGCCGCTCGGGCTCCGGATCAATCAACGACGTGGCCCTGCGGTCTTTGGGGAGATGACGACCACTGGTGTTAGTAGTCCGCAACCCGGAGCTTGGGGGGAGGGTGGGAGGTAACATTTGATACTGGCGATGCGGGCTGGCTTGATACACGGTGGCGGGGGGCTGGACAAGGAACAGGACGGGACGGGCGATACGAGCCGGCCAGAAGAAATACCTAATATTGGGGTTCTCTCTTTGGATGATGCGATCTGCCCTGCCCTGCCCTGGTCTGCCCTGGTCTCTCTCCCTCCTCGTGATTGATTGATTGATTGATTGATTATTCTTTTCAAAGAGGTTGATGCGCGCAGGGCGGCTTTTCCGTCTTACACGTCCAGTCTGAGAGAGAGAGAGAGTGTGTGTGAGAGAGTCTGCACGGATTCTCGCAACGCCTGTGCTTCGTTCGTCGGGCGAGGCAAACGAGAGAAACTGACTGACTGCCCTTTCCAGCTGGTTTCTGGATCGGAGTGTGCGTCTTTGCGCTGCTGCTGCTTGCTTCTGTTGGCTCTCTCTCTTCTTGCCTTCTTCCTTTCTCGACTTTCTCTGTTTCCTGCTTCTCTTATCCGTTCTGTCTCTATCAATGTATTGATTGCGACACCTCAGCCTTTCCTTTACACTTGTCTCTTTTTTCCCTTTCAATTGTCTTCCTTTCCTTCTTCGTTTCCCTTGCCTCCTCTAAACCTATTTGCCCTGTCCTGCTTGTAATCTTGGCGCCGACTGGATCTCTTCTTTTCTTTACTATCCCGCGCTCACACATACTCGCTGTCACTACATCTCTCTCTGTGCCTTTCCTTCATCCTTTCGTGCGTTGAGCAGGCTCTCGATCCCTCGGAATTATCGACCATCACTTTCTCTCTTTCTCTTTGATGTCCAACCAAATCATCAATCACACATTCATTGCCGATCCTCTGCTTTTATCCGACGTCACACGAATCTTCCAGCAGAATTGCGGCTGTGCCGCGACAGAACCCCAAGGAAACACACCATCACCTACCGGTTTCCAACTCACATGATTACACAAACAACAACTTAAGAAATAAAAATCAACATGTCGTCAGACCGCAGCATGGAGCAGCTCCGGAGCGAGCTTCTGAGACGAGCACGAGGGGAAGGGCAACCGAACGCCGTGGACGACCAGGTTCTGGCCTCACGCCGACAGACCATTATGCGAGAGATGAACACGACTCGAACATTTCCCAGACGGCTCCTGCTGCCCAGCCTGGCTCGGGGACGGAGGAGGGCATCCGACGAAGAGGCTGCTCTCGAGAGCCCAAAGACGCCCGTTGTGCCGACGAGACGAACAAACCAGCTGGCTCCGTTCCGATTGAGCGTGCATCCTCGCTCTACAGCTGGAGATGCTCTGCCGGCCCCTCAGCCGGCTGTCTTGGCGGGTTCGAACGGCAGTGATGCGACTACAGATTCGACGCCCGCCGCGTCCACCAACTCGCGACGTCGGGCAGACAAGAAGCAGAAGCCGAAGCGCTTCTTGTTCTGCTTCCCGTTCATCAAGTCGAGGCATGTCCGGGCGCAGCTGGCGGTTTGCTTCGTGGCTGCCGTGTTCCTGTTCTCGCTGCTGGCAGTGTGTAAGTGGATATCGGATATGGACATTACGACTTGTCTTGGTATATGTTTGCTGACATTGGCCTTAGACTTGGGCTTGACCCTGACAAAACATGTCGTCATTGGCGAGCTGAACATCATGTTGCTCATGATCATCCTTCTCGCAGCCGTCTTCTTCTGCTACACCCTCATCCGGCTGTGGCTGATCATTCACCGCGGCGACCCGCCAGATATCCCCCGAGCCGTCGACCCGCGCGGATATGCCGTTCCCCGGACCCCCATACGGGTGGTGATGGCCCAAGACGAGGAGGCTGCGGGCGCTGAGAACGAGACAATGACGATGAAGCCGCCTGCCTACGGACTTTGGCGGGAGAGTGTGGTATGTACAAGTTGGGTATCACAAGAGGCATCGCAGCCGAGCTGACAATGACATCCAGCGCGTGGACCCCAACCGCTTCTTCTGGCAACGTAACGATGCCGCCGAGCCCGCCCCTCCGCAGACGGCAACCGGACCGAGGCCGCCGTCTTACGCCTCTGATGACGGCGTATCCTATGTGGTTGATGCGGTGCCTCGGTCTGTTGCTCCATCGTCAGATGGCGAGCAGCAGCCGGTACATCCCTCGGAACGGGGTCGGGCTGGCCAGCCACCCCCCAACTAGACGATTAGACAAGTAGTGATTCAATGTCTTGGGTTTTGTTTCACAACCCTAGTGTTTCTCGGGAGGCAAAGGGTTCGAAAACTGGGGAATATCTGTGCATGGGGGTATGTGCAGGGCCAGGATAGGGCGGCGAATTGCACATTGCCGGTCGTGCAGGGCGTTCTTGGTGATATAGGATGCTGGCAGCAGGTCTATGGCTTTTGAATGCAATGGCAATTTCTCGCAATAGCCTCTCGCTTCTTTGCCAGCAATCTTCATGTGAAAGCCTAATGGTCCGTAAATCCTGGGAGCTTTCATGGATCTCGTACATCTCGAGGTGCATTTGACCGTCACACTCGGGCCACTTTTTCCAGGGACGTGCGTGTCTTGGCTTCTTTGGAACCTTGCCAGCTTCCTTGTCGAGGCGTTTGGTCGAGATTTGGGCCTTGTTCCCTTTCCCGGCGGGGGACGGCGCCGTGATTGGCTGTTGAGGTGCATGCAGATGTTTTGAAAATTGCATGTAACCTGGCGATGCAGGACGAGTGTCTTGCTTGTTGGTGCGCCTTGATAGTACTAGTAGTAGTAGTAGTATTGATGCCGGCAAGGGGGTCTGCTGTCGGTACGAACACGCTGGAGATGGTACCTTTGTTGTTGGGTGTAATTACAAGAGGGTGTTGATGCCTCAAAGGGTAAGCTCCGTTATTACTCTGTGCGAAGTTCCTCGGCGTCATTTGAGTTCTTGAGGTGAGTTGTCATGTGAATTGGTTCGTCACACAAGGACTGCCCAAGGTAGGTAGGGTAGAGGATGGATGGGCTCATGGTTGCCACTGACACCAATCTATACGGATGCTGAATAAATGACATCTGTAAGGGCAGCATGACGGGATGATACCCAAGTCAGTAACGAACGGCGCACTGTTGCATCGCGTCAGGGCTCTTTGATCATGTTCTCTGCAGCATTTGAAATCTTCCATGGCCATACAGATGCTTGGGGCACGTTTACTGGCCATTGTGCGTCTCTGTGCGTGTGTGTGTGTGCGCGCTTGGAAATGAACCACGGGATCGCATTGAATTACTACATGGAATACGATTTTGGCGAGGGTGGAGGAGGAGGAGGTGATTTGGTAGGAGTCTTTGTTCGCTAGGCCGGATGGAGAAGGACGGGGTACGGGGAGGATACTTTGGGTTTCGGGAGAGAAACGTGGAGGGACTTGTGCTTGAATTTGCGGTGTTTTGAGGGGACTGAATGTTGGGTTGGAATAATGGGATGTTGATGTCGATGTCAATGCGTTGGTGCGGCTGCGAGATGGGATGAAGGCCTGTCGACAAACGGTATCTTGAGTCTAGATTCTCTGCTTGGTATATAGAGATGATTGAGACAACGATGACAATATCAATGCCCTCAATACTCCCCTGTGGCCCAGCAAGGGATTGAAATTCAGGTTGATGCCAATCCCTCGTAATGCTGCTGCTCGTACCTTGCAGGTATCGAGGCATCGCAGCCAGCAGTGGCAAAAAACCACCCAAGTACCTCCGGGCAACCCCTCACAGCGGTGGGGCGCTGCTAGAGCGGGATGGAAGGGCCCTGCAGCGCTGCAGTGAGACCAGCCCAGACAGCCCAGTGCCCAGCGGTCGAGCTTACAGGGAGGCGATGCCCCCGGACAGCCGCTGAGTGGACGAACCGCAGCACCCACAGCCTGCAAGTCGCGCACGCACTAGTCCCGGAGAGGCACTACTGTGCTGCTGCCCACACCACCACCGTTGGCCTTCTATGCATGCGGACCTGCGAAATTGCTGCAGAAATCAGACACGATCAAATCACAGTGCCGCTATTGATGAGGCCAGTTTTATTTGAACTACCTACAGTACTAGTAGTGATTTTTTTTTTATTTCTTTCTCTTCCCCCTTGCCGCCTTCCTGCCTGCCTTGTTCGCCTGCTCGCCGTTCGCCCTCGCGTTGGCTGCTCCACTTGCCTATTTTTCCCACTTGGCTCGCTCTTACTCATTTTCCCCTCGAGAAACCTTTTAATACTTTCTCCTCACGAACGGTTACGAAAAATTTTCCCCTTCCCATTTTCCCGGATCAACCTCAAGTCTTGTTGGTGGACGTCGCTGTCGTTGTCGCTGTTGTCGGAAACTATCTCAGGTCGCTGAACGCAGAATCGAGAATCATCTACTCATCTTATACTTTTAACTTCTTCTACCACAAGGTGTGTATCTGCCCTATCTGCTTCCTTTCTATGCGGCCACAAACGGCAAAAGCCCTCTGTGCGAAAAGTGTTTGCTTTGCTCCGGCGGATTCCGAGTTGTGCCATCGTCCAAGTCAAAGTTCAGCCCGTGGATTCAAAATGGACATCGTCAGTTCCTCAACTCTTTTCACCTTTGCCATCGAATTACAATGACGCATCATGGGGGCCGACCGACCGGTGACTCTCCCGTGGCGGCTGCGCTGCTCGGTGCACCGTATCAGAGAGCGACGAATCAACGCTTTGTGCGACACGACCCCCCGCGGTGCGACCCCGATCTCAATTTGCGGTTCGATTCGATACCCTGATATATCTTTGCGCCTGTTTGGGTGCTTGAGCGCACTTTTGCAATGATACGGAGTTGCGTCCTCGTCATTCCACGGGTATTTCAGGTTTCGGTTGAGGGAACTCGCTGCATCGAATCTGGTGATTGATGGCGCCCACGTCTCAATTCAAAACAGGAGGGCGACGAAATGTTGGCTTTCCGCTGCTATAGCTTGGCGGTGGCCCGTTTCTGCAAAGAACGAATTCACCTCAACCGCATCTTGCTGCCATGGTGTCATTCACCCCATTGGCGCCAACATTCTCGTGGTGTTGGACTCGCCTTTGCGCCGAGCTGCCGGAGAGCCTTCTTCTGGGAAAACCTTCGTTACCCTCGGCTTCGACTTCATCCAACGAGCGATCGCCTCGACTGCGCTTGAGCCATGTCGCCACACGCACCCTCTTTGCACTGCCGGGATCTTCTGCCTTGGATACCCTGCCTGTTTAAGCGAGGGAATTACTTGCATCCAATCTAGCCTGGCGTCGACATAGCCCCCAACTCATCGGCCCGCCATACACGCCGTGTCGCTCTCAATGCATCGCCGCTCACCGGATCAATCTGCTCAACGACTGAACTTTAACTGGGCAATGGCATACGCTCTTACCACATCTAAAAAAAAAGTTGTTGCAATTCTCTGCATTCACTAATATTCAGCGTCACAGAACTCAACATGTCTTCTCTCTCTCGTCGTGCTTGCTACAAGTGTGGCAACGTTGGCCACTACGCCGAGGTCTGCTCCTCTGCTGAGCGTCTCTGCTACAACTGTGAGTGCATTCTTGATTTGCTTAAGAAAGGATGAAACTATAGGACTTGGCTAACATGCTCAATAGGCAAGCAGCCTGGTATGTATACCCACGAGCGAATCCGACAATTCGATATCGCCGGTACTAACAGTATCTCCCCATAGGACACGAATCCAACGGCTGCCCCCTTCCTCGCTCTACCGAGGCTAAGCAGTGCTACCACTGCCAGGGACTGGGCCATGTCCAGGCCGACTGCCCTACTCTCCGCCTGAGCGGCACTGCTACCAGCGGCCGCTGCTACAACTGCGGCCAGCCCGGCCACTTGGCTGTATGTTCCCATCTCCCACGATGCAGATTCCGTTTGGTGACGTGAGCTCACACATGACTCCAGCGTGCCTGCCCTAACCCCGGCAACCCCGGCATGGGCCGCGGTGCTCCCATGGGCCGTGGCGGCTTCGTTGGCGGCTACGGCCGCGGTGGTTTTGCCAACGGCCCTCGCCCTGCTACCTGTTACAAGTGCGGAGGCCCTAACCACTTCGCCCGTGATTGCCAGGCCCAGGCCATGAAGTGCTATGCCTGTGGCAAGCTCGGTCACATCTCCAGGGATTGCACCGCCCCCAACGGCGGCCCCCTGAACACCGCCGGCAAGACCTGCTACCAGTGCGGCGAGGCTGGCCACATCTCCCGCGATTGCCCCCAGAAGCAGCAGAACACCGAGATCAACAACGAGGTTGTTGACCTTGGCAACGTTCCCGCTCCTTCCGTTGCCCCCATTGCCCCCGTCGCTTAGACGTCTGGGAAATCCGTCTGAAACCCTCCTCCGTCTGCGGCTGGCTGGGTGACGGACGAACACTGGCCTAGGGTTCCTCGGCCAACCTTTCTTGACGAACTTTTTTTTCTCCCTTTTTGCCCGCAACATACTATTTCGCTGTACGCCTCGAGGCGTGCGGCCTTGACTTCAGTCCTTTTATCTTTATTTCCCTCTTTTTTTGTTTTTCTGAATCGGGTCGGTCGGCAACATTTCTTCTCATCATCGGCTAACACGGAGTCTTTCTTTGGCTTCCATTCATGCTGCGTCTGTCTATTTCCCACCTCAACTCACTCGTCGCACTGCATATTGCACCAGGAAATGGCAGCGGGAAGTAGTCTACACACTCTCTCCGCCTGCTGTGTGACCAGTGGATGAGCGAAATGACGGCGGCAGTGATGATCGGGAGCGTCAAAATTTCCTTTTATTCACATTTTCCCAAATTGAAGAGCGTCCGATTTTGTCGGGGCCCTTGGCTACGCATGGGTCTCTTCGAACCGGTTCCTGGGCCTAACCCCCCCATCTTTCGAACGGATTTGACTTTGGATCACATCACTCGGAACTACCTACATATTACGGACTGAAACGACAGACGCTGTCAACGTAGCTCTTGACGACTAAAGACTGAGGCACATGCGATGGATATACCCACGAGGCTGTGTGTGTGATGTTGTGAGGAGCTTGAATCGGCGGCGCTGCCCTGGGGGGGCTGCATACAGCATCGCGTGTCGTCGCCGGGCTCAGACCGAACCTCGGGGTTTGCCTTCTACTGGTGAACTTTGAGAGCTCTGGCGACGATGTCAGTGACGGCTGTTACCTCCTGGGAGTGTACGGAGCGCGCGCGCGTGCCAAGGCGGTGGATGCTGGATGTCTCGAAGAATGGGCAGTTTGAGGATGCTGAGAGGAGATTGGAGCTGTGCGATCCAAATGACTGTGGCGGCATGGAGAACACGAACACGTCCCCAGACTTGACAAGGACATATGGGATCACGAGCAAGCAGACGCGTTGCCCGTGGTTTCGGAGTGGTTGGCGTGGCTGCCGGGTGCAGAGGACAGCTGGGAGACGCGGAAGATGCAATGCAACAGTAAAGTATGACAAGCGGAGAGGCGCAGATGAGGAAGATGAAGAAGAAATCCTGTCATGAAACCTTCCTGAGGCGACGGCGACGCAGCAAGTGTGGACGCTGTCCGTGTGTGTGTGTGGTGTGATGAGTGTGTAGATGTGTGCATGTGTGCGCGTGTGTACGAGACGAGTGAGGAAGAGATGATGCGAGATGGCCGTCAGTCAGACAGACACAAGGGGAAGATGATTGATGTCTGAGGCCAGACGAATCTGCGCTGGCATCACTAGCCACCAACGAGTTGCAGGTAAGGGACGAGGATCGAAACCAGTTGTGCTGGTCAACCAACCGTTTGTTCCTGAGTCAATTTGATGCTACTGACTGGTTTGCAGGCTCGGTTTGATGAATCAATATTCGCCCTCCCTGAATGGAGATGCCTGGTCTCCCTGACTAACATGCACAAGAAACTGCACCCCTGGCGCGTACATTCATCTTGAGTCGTACGAAGCATCAAACATTGCAATGTCTGTGCCCGTGGTGCCTTGAGGCTGGCGGCGCCCTGAGTCCGCCTGATGGTGGCTTAATGTCTGAACTGCCACTCGGTGCATAAGACGATGCATACTAAGCACTGGAATCCACACATCCATCCAGTCATGTGTCCAATCGCGTTGATGGCCTCTAATGCACCGGGCACGATGACTCCAATCAGACATCGTACTAAGGTAGGTCTGATGCTATAGGCGGGTAGGCAGCACAGGTCTAGAACCAAAGGAAGGACTCGTGTCTACCTATGTTGATGGTACTGGTACTAGACATACTAGAGAGTACAGGTACGGTAAGGTAAGGTAAGGTGAGGTGTTAAACGCGGGGACTCGTGAGATTCGATGCGGTAGTAGCAGCTCATTGGGATTCAGTCTCGTCAGACTGCATGTAGATCTGAGACGGTAAGACGGAAGCCCAGCCCTCCACCTCGTACATGTAGACATAGATAGGGCTGTGGTGGCTGCCTAGATCATTGGCGCTTGGTGTTTTGCACCGTGATGCCCTCTGCTTCTGACCATCGCTGAGTGAATCTGAAGCCTATCTTCACCTGAAAGATAATCGACAAGACCTTGCATTGACAAAACATTAATTCCTCTCTTTACTCTGTGAACCACAGCTGGTTATCGCTGTTTGCAGCTATCGGTTCGCCTTACTGATGCCATTGGGATCCCCTCACCAGCTGAGACGAGACACTTCACGTTGCACAGTCCATCAGCTCATATAGGAAACCGCATTACACCCCTAAAAGGATACCTATATCACCGCCTCTGGCTCATTCTTGTCCTCGATAAAATCACATTGCTCGTTCCTTCCCTCAGCTGCACCTCGCTACACTGGCTTCAACCCCCCTCTGCCGACATGTCCTTCATCAACACCGACACCGACAACAGCAGCGCCGTATCCAGGATCAGCATCCCCTCCCGTCACCGCATCTATCGCAGGAGAGGCCACGATGACCGTTACATCATGGGCTCTCAGGATGCCATTACGCTGCACTCGCGGAAAGTGGTGAAGCCGCAGCAGACGCAGCAGGAGGCGATTGACGAGTTTTGGGCAAAGTTTACGACCAAGGCGCCGGGCAAGGGTGAGTCGCCTCCATCTATCGACTGAGCTGACGAGCCATGGGCCAGTCAGTCGGGTAGGGTTCATCGTTGCTGATGATTGCTGCAGCAACTACTGTGCTGCCGCAGAATCCATACACTGCCCGCGTCGCCAGGAAGAATGCCAAAGCCGCCTCATCCTCCTCCACCACGCAGGCATCCTACGAAACCGCGGCGGCTATGTGCCGGGCCAAGGTGGAAAAGATTGTCCGGGAATGCCGCCGAGTCAACAAAAAGTACCGCGATCCGCACTTTGACCTCGAGGCCGACCTGAAGCTGGGCCGTCGCGACTGTTTGGAGTCCCTCTCCAACTTTGACGCCCTCGAGAACCCCGGCAAGGACTTTAAGCCGGGCAGTGCGAAACGTGTCGTGGATATCTTTGACAAGCCGCAGTTCTACATTGACGGCCCGACGGCTAATGACGTGAGGCAGGGTCGAGACGGCGACTGCTGGCTCATGTCGGCGCTGTGCACGCTGAGCAACAAGAAGGGGCTGATTGAGAGATTGTGCGTGGCTCATGATCAGCAGGTTGGTGTCTATGGGTTTGTCTTTTACAGGGACGGCGAGTGGATTTCTGAGATTGTGGACGACTTTGTACGTATCCTGCTCTTGCTTGCGCGAGGGAGTTGCTAACACCTGCGATATCCAGCTCTATCTCACCAAGTCCGACTATAACGAGAAGCACTGGGAGAGAGTTCTCTTTGACGAATTGGAGCGCATCAACCCCGAAGAAGCCTACCGCAAGGTGTACCAGTCCAACAGCAGCGCGCTATACTTTGCTCAGTGCCAGCATCCTCAGGAGACTTGGCTCCCGCTGCTGGAGAAGTGCTATGCAAAAGCGCACGGGGACTACGCTGCCATCGAGGGCGGATACGGAGGCGAGGGCATTGAGGATCTCACCGGCGGCGTCACCTCTGAGATTTTCACGGCCGATATTCTCGACAAGGTGCGTTGCTTGATGACGATGCGTTGGGCATGTGGAATATTTGGTTCTTAACAAGTCCATGTAGGAATACTTTTGGAAAGAAGAGCTGCTCAAAGTCAACGAGGACTTTCTCTTCGGCTGCAGTACTGGAGTATGGGGGCCTAATGCGAATTGGGGGGAACGCAAGGGGATACTTGAGCTTCATGCCTACTCCATCCAGCGAGCGGTGGACATTGATGGCAAGCGGTTACTCCGACTCAAGAACCCTTGGGGCAAGGGAGAGTGGAAAGGACCCTGGAGTACGCAGAGCTGTTGTACGCAAAATAAAAAAAAAGGGGGGTGCTAACGTATGCTAGGCGACGGTTCCAAGGAGTGGACTCCCGAATGGCTCGAGAAGCTTGACCACCGCTTCGGCGATGATGGCGACTTTTGGATCGCATACGAAGACCTGCTGCAGAAATATCAAGCCTTTGAGAGGACTCGGCTGTTTGACGACTCTTGGCAGGTCTCTCAGATTTGGACCACGGTAAATGTTCCCTGGATGCTGGACTACCACGACACTCACTTTTCGCTGCGTATCGAGAAGCCTGGCCCGGTTGTGATTGTTCTGTGCCAGAACGATCAGAGATACTATCGAGGGCTTGAAGGTCAATATGAGTTTGAGCTGGCGTTTCGCGTTCACAGACACGGCCACGAGGATTACCTTGTACGCAGCCAAGCACCGTACCGCATGAGGCGGTCTGTCAATGTCGAACTCGACCTGGAAGCAGGTGACTATGATATTCGCATCAAAATCGACGCAACACGTCTCAACAGGCTGCTGCCTCTGGAAACGGTGGTCCGAAACAATGCCAAGAATCGACGAGAGAAGCTGACTCGCATTGGCCTCGCATACGACCTCGCACATAGCAAAGGCAAACTAATGGAATCACCGGAGGAGAGGGCTGCCAGGGAAGCCCACGAGAAGCGCCTCAAAGACAAGGAACTAAGTCAGATCAAGGAGAGGATCCTTGACCGTCGAAGAGATGATCATCATCTCAACAAGAAACAGTACTCTAGGCTACAGAAACGGGAACGGAAGCGACGGGAGAAACAAAAGGCAAAGAACGCCGAGAGGAGAAGCAAGAGTAAGAAAGGCGATGCTGAAGAAACTGACATGGCCGATGAATCTACAGACAAGACTGGGCCACTCCCGGAGGCGAATAGCAACGGCGACGGCCTGCCCCGTGAAGTCGACGAGAATCAGGAATCACCACCGTCGCATGATGGAGCCTCAAGGGCGAAAAGGAGAGCTCCCAAGTCTATTGCTCCGGCAGATAGAGTCCTCCAGCCATCTTCGCTGTTTGGAGACACGGATCGGAGGGAGCCAGCTTCGTCATACTATGAATCCGAGAGTGATGGCGACCTTGCGAGTTTGTCTTCGCTCTCTGAACTTTCCTCCCACGAGCTCGACCTGCAAGTCAAGGCTTATATGAAGAATCAGCTGAACAAACCAACCGTTGTGACGCCACCGTCTCTCAAGTTTGAAGATGAGCTGGATGAGTTTGAAAGAGACCCCTGGAATGCCGTTGTCGTCATTGGATTACGAGTGTACCATCAGGCCGATGAAGAAGACAGGAGCAAGGAAGTCATCGAGCTCAAGGTGGTGCGCCCAAATCCGTATGCAGACTCGGAGGACGAAAACTCGGACGCCACGCAGCAGGCCGCCAGAGAAGAGCAAGATTCGAAGAGCAAGGGCCTGGATGTCGACGACAGTGCCAAGGATGCAACGCTGGAGGGTGGCGTCAAGGACAGGAAGAAGAGCATCGTGGGTGGAGGAGGGGATTAGCCTTGGAAGATCTACTCTGCTGTAAACTGGTCCCTACAACTGCTCGTGATCCTATCCTCTGCCTTTTGTGTGAAAAGTTTGCTTCTGGCTTGGAAATGCCTTTTCTGGAGCGGCTGGTGTCATTCCTACGGTTTCTTCCTTGAATAGACCTACCTATATAATTTTACAACAGAGGACTTTGGCATGCTTAGATACAGAAGGATGGTGACATGCCTACACGTGGTCATTCACAGGAAAACATCGACGGGGTCTTTGGAGAGATGTCTTCTGACAAACTCGCACTCCTTGTCTTTACTATCTTGGAATACTAATCATACAAAGACCAATAAGAATACTGTAGGAACTCTCGCACTTTCAATGCCCAAGGCCGCCCACAAGCCAGCCCCGGACGCTGATAACCCCCGGCGCCACGAAATACAAACGCAAATCAGAAACGAGTATCGAATCAGCCGACCTTAGAACAGATTTCGGGGTATCATTACACCAAGTCTGTGAAAGCAAACAATAACGGAACAAGATAAGAACAAGGAAAAAAAAAAAAGAAAAAAGAAAAAGAAAACCAGGAGAATCCCGACAAGGGGCACACATCCTTTGGTCTCACCACTTGTGTCATTTGGAGGGGACTGCGTGCTTGAGCGCATGCCTCTTTGGCTTTGGCTTCGCCTTTGCCTTTATCTTCCTTCACCTTTAACTTCACCTTCAATCTCAGCTTCAATCTCAGCTTCAGCTTCAACTTCAACTTCAACTTCAACTTCAACTCCATCGTTTGAGTTCCTCTCAGTGTCCCCTAAGCTCTTACACTTGAAGTTCAACTCCTTGGTCCATAACATGAGGACTCGCCTCCTTGGGACCAGACTCATCCTTTGACTCCTCGCTGGTGGTACTTCCAGCAGCCTCCAGGCGCGGGGTGGGCTTCCAGGTGGTAGACTTGCGGGCGACCTTGACCTCGGCATAGAGCTCGTCGACCTCCTCCAGGCTAAGGCCCTTGGTCTCGTAGATGAAGAACCAGACAAGGGCGATGCAGAGGAAGCAGGCGCCGAACCAGACGAAGAAGATCTTGGACTGCAGGTTGGCGTAGCCCGGGCCGTAGTTGACGAGGTAAGGGGTGGAGTAGGCAATGGCCCAGTTGAAGAGCCAGTTTGTGGCCGTGGTCATGCTCAGGGCCTTTGCCCGCGTGGCCAGCGGGTAGATTTCGCCGGTGACGACCCACGCGAGGGGGCCCCAGGTGCTGGCGAAGAAGGCGATGAAGATGCAGACGAAGGCGACGGCCGCCTGCTGGCCGGCCAGGGACTTTACAAAGATTTCTCCGTTGGGGCGCTGGCCGGTGGAAACTGTGCCGACCACGGCGACGATGAGCTGGGAGACGCACATGCCGACGGCGCCGAGGAGGAGCAGAGGGCGGCGGCCCCAGCGGTCAATGGCCAAGAGACCGGGGATGGTGGAGGCGACGTTGATGCCCGCCGTGATCATGCCAATGGTGAAGCCGCTGGAGACGCCCGAGTTCTGGAAATACCGCGTCCCGTAGTAGAAGATGAAGTTGATGCCCGTCAGCTGCTGCAGCGCCTGCAGGGCCATGCCGGTGAACTGGCGCTTGAGCATGGGGCGGCGGAAGCAGTCTGCGTACGTGGCCTTGCGGACGCTGCTCTCGGCCTCGAGATTGGCCTGGATCTGGCCGAGCTCGGCGGCGAGAGCCTCGTGCTCCGGGGACAGGCGGCGGATGCGCGAGAGGGCGGCCCTGGCTTTCTCGAGCTTGCCGGAGCGGACGAGGAAGCGCGGCGTCTCGGGCAGGAAGATCATGCCGACGAAGAGGACGAGGGACCAGGCGAACTGGACGGCGATGGGGATGCGGTAGCTGCCCGAGTCGTGGCGCTTGGCCGTGGCGTTGTTGACGACGGCGGCGAGGAGGAGGCCGATTGTGATGGCCAGTTGGTAGGCGCCGACGATGGCGCCGCGGATCCATTTGGGTGCTGTTTCGGACTGGTACAGGGGGACTGGATTGATGTTTTTGTTTAGCTGAGAAGGGGATGACAAAAAGAGATGGAGAAAGGGGGGGGGGGGGGGGGGGGAAAGCGAACTTACTCAAGGCGGAGATGAGACCGACGCCGAAGCCGGCAAAGAAGCGACCAGCCAGGAACATGGGGATTGCCGTTGCGATTGTTTGGAGGACGACGCCCAGGTTGAAGACCCAAGTCGAGATCATCAAGGCAGGGCGGCGGCCCAGGAAGTCGGCCAGAAGAGGGGACGCAAGAGCGCCGAAGAAAGTACCAGCCGACAGGATGGAGACGATGGCGCTCTCCTGAGTGGCGGTGATGTCGAGCTCGCCGTTGGGGTTGCGGTATCCCGTGCTGAAGAGATCCTTGAAGTATGGCATGGCCATGATTCCGGAAATGGTGCCAGTGTCATATCTGTGACGGCCTGTGTTAGCGAGATGAGGGAGTGAAAAGTGCGATGCAGAGGGAGAGAGAGATATATATGTGTGTACCCGTAGAGGACACCGCCGAAGGCGACAAAGAAGCCCATGAGGATGGCGACCCATGAAGCGCCGGCCTCATCGTCGGGGCGCTTGAAGCCGAGCTTCTCGGAGAAACGCATTGTGCTTGCGGTGACTGGAGATTTATCACGAGAGAGAAAGGGGGCTAAAGTCTAATAGAGCCTGAGTGATACGAAGCTGATGGTGTATCGAAAAAGAAGTTACGGTACAAGATGAAGCAAGAAGATTCCTCTTGAATGGTGTGTGATACTCTTGAGTTCCAGAACCAAAAACTAAATAGAGATGGGTCGAATCACGGCTTATATAGATGGGCGATTTCCCCCCTTGGAGGAAGAGGGGGGAGAGTGCAAAAGCGGGAAAGTCTATGGCTGTAGGAAGGTTTTGGGCGATAATCCAGGTAGACAGCCGTTGAATTCAAAGCGAACGTCACTAGTTGACGCCCAACTCTCAATCCTTTCTGAAAGACAACGAACTCACACGTCTTTGAACTGGCAAGCTGAAGCTATGTCTCTACACCACGGTGGGGTGCATTGTCTTAGCCCCCGGAATGGGTCAAGAGCATGGAAGAGCTGGGGAAATAAGCAATGCGGAGAGGGTCCATCTGTGTGATTGAGGCTGCGAGGTTGTCGAGTCTGGATGGATTAAGCTTTCTTGAGATGGCGATTTGATGGTGAACGGGGCTGGAGTGGCGCCTGGAAGGACGTTGTGTTGCTAGGGATGGAATATTCAGCTTTGTTTGGTGATGCTTGTTGCTTTTGGGACTTTCGGTTGGTCAAGCTCAGACACACAGATTTACTAGAGTACAGGATGCACATGGATTCAGCTACGATGGAGACACCATCCTCACGATACGGAGAAGTCAATGTCCCGTCTCATTGGCCTTCTAGAACAATGAAAGCAAGCGAGCTCAGCGTCTGTGTGAGTGGTGTGTGTAAGCCAATCTCGAGCTCGGGAAACCAATTCCACTTCGTTCGGATACGCCTGGGAAATTTGAAGAATTTGTTAACTTGCCATTGAAGAGATACATTTCTTTTCTCAGGTAGTTGATAGGACGTTGGCGAAGCTCTCTCTGCAGAAATCGTGTCAAGCCCTTGGCCTCTGAGAACCAGCCGAGCTCTGGGAAGGAATTAGATCTGCGAATTTAGCAGCAAAGACGTTGTTCTCTTTTAGATAGAGTTGAGAGTTACTCCGAGATCTTGGGACGCTAACAAGGCTCTTTCGACGCCATCCGGTCTTGTTGTGGCTTCAAGCCATGTCGAATCTATCTGCACCATCTGCATCTTGCCGAGCCTATCGTGGTGGCTCCGCTAGCTAGATTATGGAGTCAAGTCATTGAATCCCGTCGTTGGGCTGCCATTTCGTGATGGCGAAAGTTGGTAGCTGTGTGCTGAGAAGTGTCGAGGTTCCCAGTAAGTCCATGGCTAAGTGAAGGTAAATACTATCTTGAATACTTGACGAGGGCGAAATCTAGATGAGTTTGAAGAAGATGGTCCTTCCTCGCAGCCGGTATCCCAAGTCTGCCCGCTGTCACTCCGAAGTGGCTTGCCGTAGAAGCTTTCCACCAGCCACCGACGAGGTCAATACGCGCGTTTGTTTGAAGATTGTTTGCACTCTGATGTTCTGAAAGAGGATTATATCGCACATAGAAAACAACTAAAATGAAAAGTGGCAGAGGAATGTTAAGAGGTATTGGATATACTGAGTTCGACATTGACTTGGCGAAAGCAACTACCCTACCATAGCCTGATATGAGCAGATATGCCGAATGTATACAGGAGATATTGAGCCCGGGGGGCTGTGAGTTTGGAAGATGGTGTTGTGAGCTTGGAACTGCTTTTAGTATAACTCTACGGTCGTCCACCGTCATCAGAGACTCGAAAGGGGGAGAGTTGCGATGCGGATATCCCGGCCTGCCACCACCCCTCACCAGTGATATGAGGGTTTCTTTTAGGATGCTATCCAGCATCGCAGCAGATCAAGATCTTTGAGCAAAGTACAATTCAAAGTAGGAGAGAAATCCAACTCCCTTTGTGACACAATGGCTATATTCATCTATTCTTGTCAGAGGCGTTCATCTGCAGTTCATAGGTATATGTCTTGTATAGGTAGATAGCTTTACGCTTCATATTCGTACAGATGCAATGCTCAATGACGAGTTTGGAGTGCTGTGTATCGGCCCTCTTTTCTTCTTCCACAGTCATGCGCTGATAACTGGAATTAGTTACCTATCTCCTCACCTCTTCATGAGGGATGCAACCTTCATGTTCCACAAACACCTGGCAGCTGATGCGGGGTAGCGTCGCCCACGGCTTGAACGGGCGTCTCTCCTCCATCCCCAAACTTGACCTCTAAACGGGGCTACCGGATAGGATGCGCCTCATTTCTTTCTTGATACTCACGGCTGAGAGCCTTGTGAGAGCGGTAGAGGCTGCCGGTGATTCGGCCAACCAACGCCAGCCCATCATCATCGACACGGATCTCTTCAGCGACGTTGATGATGTCGGGGCTTTGGCAATTGCGAATGTCCTGCATAACTATGGCTTGGCCGATCTAAGAGGCATTGTTCTCAATACGCCATCTCATTACGGAGCCTTGGCTGCAAGTGTATGTACATGCCGTATCAACCCGTAACAAGACAGAGGAGGACGCTGACAGCCAAGGCACTCTGCACTTACTATGGGAATGACGTTCCGATAGCAGCCTTTCGGCCAATCACCAATGACACATTCTTTGACAGCTTCTTCTATTTGTCAGTACTTGTCGGATATTCTGCTCTTGAATGAGTTCTGACCGTGTCAGGTACGGCGAATACGCCAGTAAGTTGGCATATCACTGGCCTCGAACGCTCAACTCATCGACTTCAACCCCAACTCCCGTAGAGCTATATCGAACTATCTTAAGCTCTGCCGAAGATGAAAGCATGCACATCATCTCCATTGGGCTTCTCACCAATCTTGCCGATCTTCTGAAATCCGAGGCAGATCACATCAGTCCCTTGTCCGGCTCGGAGCTTGCCACGACGAAAGTCGGCGAACTGATCATCATGGGCGGAGAATATCCTTCAGGATGGGAGTACAACTTCGGTGGCACCGATCCTGAAAGCACGGCATATGTTGTTCATCATTGGCCGCAGAGTGTCCGCGTCACGTACTCGGGCTCAGAGCTCGGCGGGAACATCTTTTCGGGGCAGAACCTCGTCCACCGGTTGCCTCCGGATTCTCCAGTTCTGAGCGCTTATCAGTGGTATGTTGGCCGGGGATCTACTGCTCGTCCGTCATGGGATCCCATCACCACTTTATATGGGATTCTGGGCCTCGATTGGGTTTCAAAGATTGGCATCCGTCCAATGCTTGAATATGCTAATGACTGTGGCTATAACACCATTACGGGATCTGATGGGTCGAATGCTTGGGTCAATGATACGGGGGTAACTAATCAGCATTGGTTGCGGCTGACTGATGGTGCAAATCATAGCATGGCTGCGTTGCTCGATGACTTTCTCTCGTGTGATCCGTCTTCGAAGAGCTGCTTCCTATATGAGGGACTCTCAGAGAATATGAAAGACATGCCTATGTTTCCAGAAATCTAGAGTATCAAGAAGCAATACACATTAGTTGAATGACTGATTTGATCGACATTATTTGAAGGAAACGCCATATGAGTTTAGCTGGCTTCTGAAGACAGTCCACATTATTGTGCCATAAAACGTACTGATAACGTTGATTTTTATATACTGGTATGATCCTCTAGTCTATGATACCCATCAATCTTCCCTCAAGTTGTCGACCTCGGGAATATAAAGCAGATGAACGAAAGCATGTAATAGCTTCAGCTACGCTGGATAGTCCGTCTATACGCAATTTGATATTGACCACAATTTGGTCGTTCGAAACATGAACGCTAAAACTCATTTATGGAACAACTCCCCCTTTCTCATCGCGAGGAATAGGCCTGTGAACATCATCAGTTAGCTAGCGTACAGCCTGCAGTAATGCGTGAACTTACAGCAAACAGTCGATGCGGCAAACATGACACCTGCAAAGATTTGAACGTCCAGAAACCCATTCGGGCCGGACTTTCGCAAGCTGAGCCCGATCGCCTCCGCAAAGGTATAGGGGAGTGACAGAGTCAAGATGGAGAGCGATATAGCTGAACACAGATTATCAGCACCTCTTTACCCAGCTCTTATGCGCTTTCTTTTCACTCACCGGCCGGCATCATTTTCAAACCAAAGACTTTGGCGGCCACGACCACGAACGTGGCCCACAGGAGGCTCGGAAACAGGCCCAAAAGGCCATACACCATTAGACCTCCATATGTCTTGCCTCCAAATATCCAGAGAAAGAAGGTGATTAGACTTGAGATCAAGGTGCCTATCGTCGTCACGCGAATCTCGCCAAATCTGTCACATAGCAGGCCGATAATTGGGCGGCCAATACCAGTCGACACTAGAAGGATTGCTCAGTTTCATTCGCCAAGTAGCCAGAGAGACGGGAATCGTTATACATACGGTTGAACATTGCAGAGACCAGGGAGCCCTGCTCAGCTGTGAACCCGACCTCCTGAGCATAGGCGGAAAGAGAAAAGACGACGACGACATAACCGAAGCTGGACAGCCACAGCCATCCGAGGAACAGCCAAAAGTCGAGCATCTTGAAAAGCTTCCACTCAATCGCCTTGGCCGTAGCCTTTTGTTTCTCGTTGCGGTCTTCGAGGAACAGAGCACTTGCCGTAATCACGACAAAGCAGATGATGGCCATGATTCGGAACGTCCACTGGATACCGAGGCGTGAATGAATCATCTCATTTGCGGCGAGAGAGTAAACAAGACCGCCCAAGCCAGTCCCTCCTGTGGCTATCCCGACAGCCAAGGATCGGTTCTTTGTAAAGTACTGGGGCACTATGGAGGCCGTGCCGATAAAACAGATGCCCATTCCGATGCCGTAGCAGACGCCTTGGCTGAGGATGAGTTGCCAAATGGTCTTGGAGAAGGACGCTGCGATGTAGGCGCCTCTGAATGAAGTCAGCAGAAAGCTTATCAGGAGTTAGAGACGACGACATACGCTATGAAGGCGCCTCCAATGATGACGGCTGCTCGAACGCCTAACCGGCGGGATAAGATGGCCGCGAACGGGGGGACGAGGAAAGCTGGGGAATGCATTAGTTATCGTTGCGCTTAGAAAAGTGTCAGCCAAGTAAGGTACACACCGACGGAGAAGCAAAGACCTCCGATGAAAGCAAACTGCAAGGGAGTAGCTCCGGGGTAAGTATTCGACTTGAGATAGAAGGCCAAGAAAACGCCAAACATCTAAACACAAGGCATCGTTAGCAAAGCATGTATTGAACTTGAATGGTGTTACGCACCGAATTGATTCCAAATGAATGTGCCAATATAAGGCACACTGCTGCTACAATCACCCTGAATGCCATACATAGGTATGTAAGCGACTTGCCGGTAGTCTTTGAGGAGGCAAGGAATCTCACCAGCCGTAACCGCCATCCTTGACCTCCTGGTCTTCCCCAGAAGTCTTCTCTATGTTTGCGTGTCCGTTTTGAGAGCCGAGATCTGTCGAGTCGCAGTCGTCGGACGTTTGGATTCCGCCTGATGGCGATTCAATGTTCTTTTCAGAGGCCATTCTTGAATGCACATGTGATTGATCTCGGCATACAGCAAAATGGTAGTCCCTGAAGAAGCCAGGTCTTATCATGCCCTTTATATCAATATGATACGGTATACCTCAGGGCTATATCCGCCTGACTGATATTCACTGACTCTGAGGCCGTCCAATCAGCTTTCATGGACACGTTCAAAGGATCACGAACCAATTACAAGCGCGTCTTATCTCCTGCGAAGTGGCTTCCGGCCAATCGGATTCTGGGCTTATCTCCTACACCTCCACAGCCCAGCCCGGGCTTTGCTTCCTTGTTGTTCGTCTCTCGCCATTCTCCTCGAAGCTCATCATCTCTCATACATTGCACTCTTCCCTTCTCCTCCTACGCGATACCTCCGCGCTTCAAAGCTCGCAAAGCACACTGTATCGCCGCACCTGGATCGGAAGACTCTCAGCCGGCTTCCTCGGACAATGGAAGAGAAGCCGCTCAGGTCCTCGCTGGGAATCCCTCCTCGGAGACGCAGGAGACTCCCCACCTCATGCAAGCCGTGTCGAGCCCGGAAGTCAAAGTGCGATGGAAACCGGCCGTCCTGCTTGGCTTGCTTGAGCAGAGGCCGTCCTGAACAGTGCGCTTACGAGAATGAGCGTCCTGGACCGCAGAAACGCATATCGATCCAGTGAGCCCACTCTGATCTGAAATTCAAGGCTGGCATAATCAAGTGAATCCTAACGTGCCGCCACATGAAGACAGGAGCCGTACTTGCCTCCAAGTAACTCGGCTTCGAGCAGCACCCCCGTCCATAGCATAGATGGCGATTCTCTTCTGGCGAATACCTCTGCAGGAAGCACAGCCAAGAGGAACAGCGCAGCTCCTCATCACGACAAGGTTGATGCAGAGAAAGTCAGCGTTTGTCAGGATGAAGCCGTGTTTGGCCCGCCTTCAACGCATTCTTTCATCAATCGAGTCATTGCCTCGATTGAACCGTGCAGCAAAGCCTCGACGCCCGCCAGCAAACCGGCTTCCAGCAAACCATTTCTCAATGACCCCATCGGGTTTACAGTTGCAAATTCGGATGATGTGCGTTTGGACATTGATGCGCTGCTTTTGCCTGAGAAGAAGCTTGCCGACTCTTTACTGGAAACGTACTGGCGATATTCTCACATCAATTTCCCAGTGCTTCATCGGCCAACGTTTATAAACAAGTACAACAAACTATGGCTATCTACGGAATCGTTCTCGCTATCTAAATATACAGGAAACGACATCCTATTACTTGCCACAATCAACATCGTCCTGGCTATTGCCTGTCAGCGGTCGGAACACTGCCCTGCCAACAGTAGGAAGCGAGACGCCGAGTCATTGTACAGGAGATCGGTCCGCTTGATATCAGCAGAAACACTGGACTCATACTCGTTCGAAATCATGCAGCTTTTTATTCTCAGAATCATCTACTTGCAGTACACATCCTTTGCCTCACGGTGCTGGAGCACACTTGGAATCGCCCAAAGAGTTGCCCATGGGCTTGGGCTTCACAAAGATGCTCCTGAGTCCATGGGCCAGTTGGAGCGGGAGATGAGACGCAGAGTATGGCATGTTTTGGTCATCATGGATAAGTTAGCCTCACTTGATGGTATATCTCGAAAGGACTTTCCTAACCAGAGGACAGGATATCATCGTTCACATTTGGGTGGAACGTTGTGGGCGAGCCCAATACGGTTCCAATACCGCAACCGATTGACGATGAATATCTGGCAGCTGTTGGTGAAGGATCTCAGCCACCAGACACACCATCAAAGCTTGACTTCTTCCAATACTATCGCCGATTATCTGACGTGCCAAAAGAGATTGCCGACAACCTACACCTTATTTTCCAAAGCCTGGCAGAGCAGAACACGACTTCGCTCTTGACGACATATATCAGCGAGATCCCAAAGTACTGTGAAAAGCTGAATGAGCTCCTTGTTAGCCTGCCCAGTCATCTGCAGGAGGCGCATGCACATGCTGTGGATGAATGCTTCCAGATTCAGGGGCAAATCATGAGGACACGGTAGGCTGACATGCTGTTCTGATACCGGTCTTTGAACCTACCTAATGTCTTTTCAGAACTCTATATGTCAGGCTCACGATTCTTCGCCCTTGCTTGCTCGCGACAGTTGCGAATCAAGCCATACGCTCGGAGCTACGGCGAGCAAAGGCTGGTCAAAGTTCAAGCTTGACCATGGGCCTTTTGAACGATGTCAACGAGCTTTGTGTCGCAACGGCACGAACCGTCATTGACCAGGTCTACAGACATGTCTCCACCGTGTGGCGTGTGTCTACATGGCACACGTTACGAGGTAACCCAGCATGCAGCCCCTAGTACCTGATGGAATCTCGCTGACACTCAAAAGTGACAATGGGCTCGGCAACAACTCTTTTAGCAGCTACATTGATCCCGGAGCTGAATGTGGACTTGAATCACGAGCCAAACAAGACCGCATGGGAGCAGGCTGTTGCCATCTTTGAATACTATGTCTCGTACGACATATCCGCACAGGGAGGCATCCAAGCCTTGTGGGACTACCGGCAGAAATTCGAAGCCGCCAAGAGCCGAGGAGAGCCATTGAATGAAGTCAGCCGTGCTGAGCCGCAGCAGTATTCTCAAGGCGACGGCGTTGTTGCTGAGTCCGATGAGGCTCCTCCGGTTATGGATGGTGCATCTCTCGATTCACAGTGGCTAGGGGGCGACTTGTCGCAGGCGCTGTACGATTGGAACTGGCTTGATTTTGACATTCCGGAGTTTATGCTGTCATGAGCGATGAGAATACGATGAATTACTGATCTTAGCGTAATGAAGATGTATACCGCTACCTTGTATCAACCTACCCTATCCCAATGATTATCATGCGGCTCTGATATGATTGCAGTTTGGTTAATCAACATGCATCGATGAGTGTCACCGAGCATTGAACAGAGCTCTCCATGTTAGTGTCCTGCTTGAGATGACCAGATGATAATGAAGCACCACCACACATCATCACCTCGGAAGTGGCCATCCAATACTTTAGCATGGTCATCTGAGAATTGCAAAACTAGACCTTACATACCATTCCGAATGACTAGGTAGAACAAGAGTCGCGGTTCGGATAAGGCTAGCTAGTGCAGAAATCGATTATATCTCTGAACGTCTCTTCCTTTTCCAACCATGGGAAATGGCCGCACTCATCATATATCACCAATTTCGACCCGCGAATCCCCCTTTGCGTCGCCATCGCCTGCGCTGGTGTGCACACTGGATCCGCCCGACAAGAAATAATGAGCGTCTTTGCTGTGACTTTTCCAAGTTCCGCCTCTTGCTGATGGACCTCTCGATCAGCGCCATTGACCGTCTGATAATTCCACAGAGGGACAGATTGCAGACCGCTCAATTCTTTGGATCGGCAAAAAGCGTCGGGATTGTAAAAGTAGATGGGAAGAAACGATCGAATAACCTGAGCGAATCCCTCGTCGGTGAGATTCTCATGTGACGTCGTCCAAGCCTTGAGGGGAGCGCGCATTTTGGGATTCTTTGCCTTTTCGACAATGGCTTCCTTCATTGACTTGCTGTCATCGAAGCCATCTAGGCGGTGGTTCAAAAGGATCAACCGATTTACTTTAGTCGCATATCTGATGGCGTAATATAAAGCAATGGTCCCTCCCCCAGAGTGACCCAACAAGCAAGGAATGTTGTCCAACCCTAGTTCCTGGCGAAGAGATTCAACGTCGTCCGCGATATGCCAGCATGTCATTTCAGACGCGGCAGGGCGTGAAGACTTTCCGTTTGCCCGTGGCTCGAGAAAAACCAGCGTGAATGATTGCTCCAACGGCGTGAGTGCCTCCTGCAGATAGCTCACCCCCAGACCCCAGGCGGGAGGCGTCACGATCATGATGGGTCCGATGCCGCACTTGAAGTATTGCAGCGTGGAGCCTGCCGCCGTTTTGAACACAGTTTCGTGCATGGTTGATGAAAACTGGCGCGTTGGTGAGCTGTGTGAGATTGTTGCCACCCGCTGTGTGTCTGTGTAAGAAGTATCGTCGTCGCTGTTGCGTGGAGAGAGCTTACAGTATGCCGCCAGCCGTAATGGAGCTCCAGGCTGAATCTATCTCTTTTTTTACATCTAAGTCGAGTCGAAGATGAGATCGCGGAGGTCTTGAGAGTTGATGAATGGAATCGTAAGGCTTTCATGGAGGGTGAATGCCAAGTCGGCTGGTTATACTGCGTTGAAACCTGACTCAGCTGGAGACGGAGTCTGGATACGACTGATGGGAAACGGTCATTTCATGGACTCGATTGTTCCGTTGAGAGGTTGCGATACGATAGGTGAAGAAAGGTCTACGCAATGATGAGAGCAAATACGAACGAAGTTGAAGTTGGCGTCTGAAGGCGAGAGAGACGAGGCGGGGCTCCGGGATACGGCCCCACCATCGGCCTTAACGCCGAACTGCCAGATACGGTAGGTTTCACGTTCTTCTCTTCATTAGAACTTCATTAACATTACATAGTTGCCTAAGCTATCGGATCTCAGCGTGAAGAGCAGCTTCGGTATTAGATGTAGAATGCAGCAAGCATCACCACCGCAGTGGCCTTGACGCTTGTCATCGCACCAGAAAACAGTCCCGGAGCCGCCGCATTTCCAGGCACCGTGGGGATCGAGTTTGACGGGAGGCCCGAGGAAGCCGTGCTGGTGCTGTCAGAGCTTCCAGCGTCTCCAGATCCAGCAGTTGAAGTCTCTTCGGGACCAGATGAGCCAGTCTCTCCCGTAGGACTGGTCTCAAAGCCAGGAGTAGAGGAGGCGACTTCAGAGTTTGGCGTAGTGGCACTGTTGCCGGGCGAAGATGGTGCAGCGGGCAGCGAGATTGTGGTGCCGCTCAGCGTAAGAGCAGGGCCGCCGGGAATCAAGGTCGTAGAGCCATGGACGAACTCGGACTGGGGGTTTTCGGTAAAAGTCGCGGAGCCAAAGGTGAGGATCGACGTGGGAGCAGCCCCGCCTGGAGTTGAGGATGAGTCTCCAGCTCCGGAGCCTGAGCCGCTGCCAGGGCTACCGCCATTGCCTCCGCTGCCTCCGCTGCCTCCGCTGCCTCCATTGCCTCCATTGCCTCCATTGCCTCCATTGCCTCCATTGCCTCCATTGCCTCCTGAGTTGCCGCCATCACTGCCCGAGCCGTTGCCCCCAGAGCCGTTTCCTCCGGAGCCGTTGTTACCGGAGCCGTTGTTACCGGAGCCGTTGTTACCGGAGCCGTTTCCTCCGGAGCCGTTACCGCCGGAGCCGTTACCACCTGAACCATTACCACCCTCATTACCAGAGTCGTTGGTTCCATCAGGTGGTGTACCACTGCCACCTCCGTTTCCACCCCCGTTACCACCACCACCGTTGCCTCCATTGCCGCCGTTTCCACCTCCATTTCCACCTCCATTGCCGCCCCCGGGAGCGCCAGAGGGGTTAGAAGGAGGAGCAGAGCTTGCGGGAGGGCTGCCGCCCACAGGCGAGCTGGAAGGATCTGAAGGGGGAGAACTGTTATTACCGCCGCCTGATTGAGATGTAGACGCAGGAGGAGGAGGAGGGGGTGGAGGAGGGCTACTGTTTCCTCCACTAGCTGGGGATGAAGATGCTGGAGGAGGTGGAGGGGGAGGGGGGGGAGGAAGACTGCTGCTACCGCCACCAGGCTGAGATGAAGTCGCTGGAGGAGGAGGGGGAGGAGGAGGAGGAGGAGGGCTACTATTGCCTCCAGCAGGTTGAGATGAAGACGCTGGAGGAGGAGGGGGTGGTGGAGGAGGAGGAGGAAGACTGCTGCTACCTCCACCAGGCTGAGATGAAGACGCTGGAGGAGGGGGAGGGGGAGGGCTGCTGTTACCTCCGCTAGGGCTAGAAGAGGACGCCGGAGGAGGCGGCGGGGGAGGAGCCGCAGTGGTCGTGTGAGGGGGAGGCGGAGGCGGCGTCGAGGTCGGCCGAGCTACACTTGTGGTAGGGCGGCTGCGAGCTGTGGTCGTGGCCGGCTGGCTTGACGCCGGAATAAGGGCAGTCACGGAGGTGAGTGCCGAAGGAGGATCGTAGAATCTGGCGCAAGGTCAGCAATGCTTTCACGGCAACGTACGAGGCACGGATGCCAGCAAAAGCTGACATGTTCCGTCATAGTTTGGAACATGAAGCAGGATCACACGGCGTCTGATTGACCGGGGATGAATGTGAATGTCCAATGACTGTTCCGCATACCGCCCCTCGTGTGTAAATTGGCTGGAGAGACTCACCCTGCTAAACCATCTGTAATGCAACTCTTCCAGGCTGGATCAAGTGAGCGGACTCGATCAGGAATGACGATTGTAGGATGGCATGGATCAGCTGCAGACAAGAATTAGCAAGTGGCTTTTGTGTGCAAGGAAGGAAAAAAAGACATACGTGAGAGTCTTCCGGAGTTGGAGGGATTGCCAGGAATGTATGAGTATCCAACAATCGTGGAGCAGTTCCTCTCCAGGTCGGTGGTCTGCAAGGGAGCAGCGCCAGCGGGAGACCAGACGGTAGGCGTGGTCACCGACACAACGCCAGAGATTGTCCCGGTAACTGGCGTGCCCGTCACTTGCACGAAACTGACAGTTGACAGCTCGTCCGGCGCAAAGCCAATCGTGGTGTTGAAGAAGGGCTGGCCAACCGTTCCGCAGTAGTCCACTGCCGAGAGGGCGCTGAAGCCGATGTACACAGAGGGCGACTCACTGTAGACTAGTTAAGAAGTGCCTAAGGGGGGAGTTGTCAAAGCTTTGAGTGTGTGTTGACTTACAAGACGACTCCATTGGAGGTGAAGGAAGTAACAGGGACTTCAGAGCCAGTCGTAGCGGTGGGAGTTCCAAAGAAGAAGACTTCCACGGTGGATGCCCCGATTGTGCAGCTATAACACTGATTGGTTGTGAGCATGCTCTCGTGACGAGGTTCAAAAGGTATGCGGTGCTCTTACACATGGCGGTTCGGCTGTGCCATACCAATTGTTCAGGTCCGGCAGAATAAAGTTACCGGTGGCGGTCTAGGTGCTTATTAGCATACCGTTCTTTACGCAGCTGGCCTCGAGGTTGAGGGACGGCGAGGAGGGAGAGATGTTGTCTTGTAAGTGCAGATGTGGTCTGTAGGAAATTGTATGAAGAGGTGGCTTGTAAGGGTATGGAGATCTGACCTGTACATCGACAGTGTTGACAACCGTCGTGACTGTCGATGTGGTAGTACCGATTGTTGTAGTAAAGGTCGTCACTCCTGTGCCAATGGTGCGGGTGAGCGTGCGTGTAGGAGGATTCGTTGTAGATAGCCAGCTATTGACCGAGAGCAAGCATTGGCATTGCAGCGCAGGATCCGTGGACAAGCCGGTATATTCTGCAAGCACGATGTTAGGGAAACTGCTGACGGAGCCGCACGAGACCGACGGTGGTGGTCCGATGGTCGAAGGAGCTCGAGTTACTGGCGGCTCAGTCGTCGTGTCTGTTGGTGCCTGAGTGATAAAGGTCGTGTTGGCGACGGCGACTTTGTAAGTATCGACGGTAAGTATATAGGTCACGGCTCAAAGGTTGAACGAGAGCCCATATTAGGCCAGAAGATCATTGACTTACATCGTGCTGCCCGCGCCGCGCCAGCAAAGGCGAGCAAAGCAACAGCTCCTAGACCAGCCATTATGCCACCCGTAAGCCCAGTCAGTGACTATGAGCTCAGCTGAGGATAACGAAAAGAAGAGGTTTAGACGTCCACGAGCGTTCCTGAAGAGAAAAATAAAGCGGGCTAAGTAAATCTTTGTAATTCTGCGTAGCACACCACTAGCCATGCACATCGACTCACAGCAACCTGCCGAGTTGCTCGCCCGAAAAGCCCAACCAGAGATCATCACGCCTTTCTTGCGTGAAGTGGGCTCGACTACATAGTACATTACTAGAGCAGCTAGACCCCTGTCAACCGGCAACCGGCCAGCCGAGTCCATGTGAAGAAGAGGCTGGGTTCTGGGGGTTCCTGGAATAGCCTGCTGCGGTGAGGCTTGGAAAGCGCTGAGGCGTCCAGCCAAGGCAGCCACGCGAGCATGCAGAGTATCACTCCTCCGCCCTCTATTCTGTGACGACAGTAGTAATCGTTCCTTAATGTTCTCGACCCCAGCAACCAGCTGAGCCGGCATGGCAAGCAAGCAAGCAAGCAAGAACAAGCACGACTGAAGTGGTTCCATCACGGCCAAGTGCTTACGCTCTAGTAGCACAGCTCCACGGTTCTAAAAGCCAGGGGTGGCAGCCCAATCAAGAGCCAAAGTGTCCCAGTCCACAGGCTCTCAGCCCTACAAAACCGTCCACTACTATCCTCACGGAAAACGCGTATCGAGCTGCACAAGTCAGACGCACCTCGCTAAAGGCGGCGTGGCGACTCAGTAGAGCTACTGTACCGCTACTACTATCACTCGTCACATCCTGTGCTCCGCGGTGGTGGTTGTCGTCTCTCCAGGCTGTATCGATCCCGGCTTTTCCTTTGGCTGTGTGGGCCGAGACAGCTGTCATTCGCGGAATGGACAGCTCCCGGGAAGCTATTGGACACGATAACGAGGCGCTGCTCAGTGATGCCGGCTAGACAATGACAGGACGTGTGCAGATAGCAGCAACGCCACACGCGGGGACGGGCCGTTGACTTGAGTCCCGTCAACGTGGCGTTTGTTAAGGGTGACCTGATGTGACAACCTTGCATGTGCCAGCCGTTGCCTACACAGCTCAGCACGATAGGACATTACAGTAACAAAGAGTTGACATAGTAACAGTAGCTTTCCGAGGATTGCGTTACTACTCTGTAATAGTAGTCATCTTCGTCCGGGAGACAAAGCTCCTGTGGAGCTTCTTGGGCTCCCACCCCGTCGGGACGCCGAAAGCCGCCGGCTCAATCTTCTGCAGTGGGCACAACTCCGACAAAAGGCCTCGTCAAGAGGGCATAGCTCTGATCGTCAAGACAAGCCAATGGCTCGTTCGACAGCTAGCCGAGGTGCGTCGCAGGGCCTCGATCAGTATCGACGGTGGATGCTCCTCCTTGTCTCTTTTTCCCACCTAAAATCTCACCCCCCCAGTGGGCTCTCATCCTCCAAGCCGGAAATGTGAGCCCGCATGGAAAACCACCCCTGTCGTGTTTGAATTCCTCTTTGTTTTTCCGTCATGCTCGACCGCTTCCGCAGGCACTGCCTTTCACTCACTTGCAGTCACACTCTGTCTCGTCGAACCCGAGGCTGAGGAAAAAAGTCACCAAAAAAAGAAGCATCAAGGGGTGGAAGCAGCGCATCGTCATACAGGTGTGATTCGGCAAAGACATACTGCCTACCTTGATCAAAGCACAGTACAACACACGACTTCTCCACCCGGCAGAGGGAGGTTCTTTGACTGCCAGTAGCGTTAGGATGCGGCATACTCGTTGAAGCATTCTTCATCTCCGGAAGATGCCTGCGCGGCTGCATCGTTTGTGGGTGGTGACGTTGATACCGTTTGCCTCAGCCTTGGGACTTGGCAGGCGAGACACGGATTCGTTGCCCTCTCCCGTGTCTGTATCGCCAAGTCAGTTCTTTGAGGGCATTGACGGCCCCTGGTCCACGTTTGAGCTGCGTGTAGGCACTCCCGCTCAGAACCTCAGGGTTCTTCCTGGGACCTCGTCAACGCAGACCGTCGTGGTGCTTCCCGAAGGATGCCAGATTATCAAAGTGACCGACTGCGCCAACAGCAGGGGCGGTCTATTCAACACCACTGCATCTAAGACGTGGGATGATATTGGTCTATACGGCCTAGGCATTGAGAACTCGCTGGGTTACAGTGATAATGGCGAGTTTGGACACGATACAGGTATGTCAACTCGTATCTGGAGCAAGACATGGCATTGACGTCGACAGTTGGGCTTGGATATCTCGGCAGTGGAGGCCCTGTTGTCAATCACTCGGTCATTGCAGGAGTTGCAGGCACAGAGTTCTATCTCGGGATGCTTGGGTTGAACCCTCGTCCGACCAACTTTACCTCACAAAATGATCCGCAGCAGAGCTTCATGCAGCTTCTCAAGAATGAGTCTGCCATCCCGAGTCTGTCGTACAGCTACAATGCAGGGGCTCCGTATAGGTTGAACAAGGCTCTCGGGAGCCTGATCTTGGGCGGCTACGATACATCAGCGTATCAAGACACCAACTCTTCATACAAGTTCTTCAGCGACCAGTCGAGAGACCTGACGATTGGAGTCCAGTCCATCTCGACAAACGCCAGCGCGGAAGACACGATACTCCAGTCCAGCCTGATTTCCATGTTCATCGACTCGTCTGTGGCAGACATATGGTTGCCCGTGGATGCATGCCAGGCCTTTGAAAAGGCATTCGGTTTGAAGTACAACTCTACGCTTGAGATGTACTTGGTGAGTGATTCATTGCACAAGTCACTCGTGGATTCCAACCCGTCCGTTACCTTTACCATTGCGACCGCCATTACCGGCGGCTCAACCTTTAACATTACCTTTCCCTACGCTTCTTTTGACCTGACGTTGAACCCACCGCTCGTCAAGAAAACATCCCGATACTTTCCTCTCAGGAGAGCAGCCAACGAGACCCAGTACATCCTGGGACGAACCTTTCTACAGGAGGCATATTTGATCGTGGACTATGAGCGAGGCAATTTCTCCGTCCATCCCCGCGTTTGGAATGCCAGTGCCGAGTCCAACATTGTCACCATCCTGCCTCCCGGAGTCAAGGAGAGCGTGCCCAACGTCGGCAGCAGCCACAGCCTCAGCGGCGGCGCCATTGCGGGCATCGTGATTGGCGTCTGCGTTGTCATTGCCGCCGTAGCACTGGCTGCGCTGCGTTACCTGGTGGTGACTCGCCGGAAGAAGAAGACGACTGCCTCGGATGAGGTTGAGATCACGGCCATGTCGGCGCCAGACGCCGTTTCGACGACAACGCCCAAGCCTGAAGCCGCAGAGACCGATGCAGGCGTCCGAGAGCTGGAAGGCGACGGATCGGCGAAGCCTACGCCAGAGGTCGAAGGGCGAAGCCTGGCAACGAGAAGTCCCATGAGCGAGCTCGAGTCGTCCAACACTCCCGTAGCAGAACTGGCTGCTCCGGCGCCGCTGGCGGAGCTGTTGTCGAATGAAATCTATGAGATGCCTGGCAGTGAAGTCCCGGAGCTGCAGGGCAGCCGTGTGGCGCCTCCTTTGGTGCTCACGGACTCCGAGTCGAGCGACTTCAGCTTCGAGGTCGAGCCGGGCGTGATTGGGGTGATTCAGCAGACGGAGGAGGACCGGCGGCTCAATACGGCGGAGTCTCAGGGGAGCCAGGCGAGGGAAAGCAGACCAAATACAGGGGAGCGGAGAGGAGACGCAGCAGAAAGCACGCTGCAGTCTTGGGTAGCTGGTGACGATCGACATATTCAAGGCGAGCCACATACACGTAATACCTAATACCGGGCTATATAGCACATAGAACCCTCTATTTGATAATGATACCTCTTTATACGCCGAGATGTAACCAGACATTGGCGTGATGGCCCATAGACCTATATCAGAAAAATGTATCACTATATACAAAATACAAGACCAGCCAACCATGTCAAGGCTCCCGCTGTGGATATCTGCAGAGCATTTCAAGGAACAAGCAGCTCGTGTTATGCATGTACCAATCTGGGGCTGCCGAGATGCAGTTGCCAAGAGAGCCATGTGGAGGACAAGGGAGCAGGGGGGAGGCTGAACACGAAGCGGTCCATAGTATCTGGCATAAGTGTCTATTTACAAGGAGCGGCTAGCCAGCACCCTTTAACGGCTCTTCAGCTTCACAGGTTTCTCGATATAGAAGAGAAATGCTTGCCATAATCTACCCAGGATACTATATTGAAAGAGAAGGATACACAAGACTAGTACTTTAAAAAATGTCCTCATACGCTCTTTTGCTGCCTGGCATTGGGAAATGTGAATTTAGCCGTCCTGTCCAACCGCACCGAGTACCCGGTAACATTCGGATCCTGGCCGAGGAAGTTGAGCGGGAACCCCAGGTCAAACGGCTTCACGCTCTCGAGGTACTTGATCTGCTCATCGGTGAGCTTGATGCTCAGCGCGCGAATATTGTCCTGCAGGTGTTCGATCTTGCGGCCACCGACAATGGGAAAGACGTTGGCAGCCTTGTGCAAGACGTAGGCCAGGGCAATCGCCGTGACAGACTCGGTGCCGTGCTCGGCGGCCACCTTGGCCAGGGCCTCGCTGACTCTCTCCTCGTCCGGCGTCTGATCGCGGGCTGGCGTGAAGCCGCGGAGCGTCTCGCCGTTCTTCTTGCGCTCCTCAATGGCCTTCTTGGTCTGGAACTTTCCGCCCCCGAGCACGTCCCAGGGCGCCAGGGCCATGCCGAACTTGGACGCCATGGGGATGATTTCGCGCTCAAAGTCCCGGACCATGACGTTCCACCGGCCCTGGTAGATGACAAAGGGCGTCTTGCCGTGGTCTGTCGCGTATGTGTTTGCCGCGCTGACGACCCAAGCAGGCATGTCCGACGCGCCCAGATATAACACCTGTTGGAGAGGAGAGAAATTAGCCAAGAGGGTCCCGGCGAGTTAGTCTGACTGTTTCCGTTGTTATCAACGCACCTTGCCCTGCTCCACGAGGATGTGCAGCGAGTCCATCAGCTCCTTGATGTCGACGGTGTGATCCCACCAGTGGACATAGAGGATATCGATATAGTCCGTTTGCAGCTTCTTGAGCGAGTCCCGGACGCTCAAAAACATGGACTTCTTATGGTTGCCCTGGAAGTTGGGAGCTCTCCCCTTGCCCAGCTCGTGGCTCTTGTAGTCCGACGTGAATTTGGTGGCAATCACCAGCTGGTCTCTGACTCCCCTCTTTGCCGCCCACTCGCCGATCCACGCCTCCGACTGCTCGTCCTGGTAGTTGTTGGCCGTGTCGATGAAGTTGCCGCCGGCGTCGAAGAAGGCGTCGAGCAGCTTGAAGGCGCTCTCCTTGTCCATGGAGCCCATGAACTCGGACCAGCTCTCGCCAATGGACATTGCGCCCAGGGCGAGAGGCGACACTCGCACGCCGGCCTTGGGGGCCAGGACACGGTAGCGCTGGAGCTCCGTGGTGGCCTCTGGGGAGAGCTGCATGAAGGGTGCTGTAGCCGCCTTGCTGCCCATTTTTGCTGGTGGTGAACTGTGTGCTTTTGAAACGACCTTTGGTTGTGCTCTGAAGGGACCGGGTTTGGTTGCGGTTTCTCAGGACCTGTTTTGTTTGTTGAGTTCCGTAGGACTTGTAGTGTCTCGACGTTGGCTGTTTCTCGATGCTTCTGCTGCCCCTCCTTATATGTTCCATTATCAATTATCTCATGACGTCGATTGAGAGCATCCCCGTGGCTTCGCTTTATCTCCGAAACGTCGCTCAACCACCAATAGGAATCGGAATTAGGGCGGACATAGTGCCTCGATCACGCATCAAGTTGCGTATCTGCTCAACGATGATTGCAATGAAGACATGATCCATTTCACTCACTACTTTATTGAGGGGTTAAACGTCGAGATGAGGGGCGGGTCAGGATGCGTCGGCTGTTGTCGTATATGGTCCGATACGCCCGATCATCTCTGTCAACTCGCTCGTCGTGTAAGCACTCAATGGCACAGATTAAAGACAAAGACCAGACTGAAGCAGACAAGAGCATTGAAATTCAGTTGCCGCGCCAAAAACGCCATTCCGCTAACTCTAAAGCAAGGATATCGTCCCCCCCCCCTCTTTAACACCGACAAAATGCATCCCCGACTCTGCTACAATCGCCGACGTCGACCTCCCACTTCAGCCACCGACTCCCTCCTCTCTATCACCGGCCCATCATGCTGAGCACGGCTCGTTCGCCTTGCAACCGTCTGGCAGGCTGTCCACCAAATCGACATTCAGCTCCCCCTTGTTGACGTCGTCCACGCCCTTTGCATAGAGCAGAGGCACCGCTCCGCAGATGCCGCATCCGTGGTCCAGAAGCTCCTGGAAGGCGGCCTTGATCGCGGCGCCCGAGACGGTGTCGTCGTAGTTTTCGATCCATGCGCACAGCGTGCTCTTGAACGGGCCCTTGAAGTTGAGCGAGTCGATTTCGATGCAGGCAATGTCCTCGCCGTTTTCGTATTTCCGCGTGTCGTCAATCTTCTTGATGACGGTCCCAAGGTGTGAAAGGCGGCCCCCGCTGAGGTACGCGATGCCTGGGATGGTGTTAGTTGAGAGGGGGAATGGGAAGTTGAGGCGTTGCAAGGTTGTCGTGATATGTGGACATACCGCAGCGTGTGTCGCCGTGACAGTTGATCCCTAGCCCGACAGCGCTCTGAGCTGCCGCAATGGCGACGGCGACGAAGCTGGCGAGACGCATTGTAGAGGCACTGGAACGTCTAATCAGTATTGACTCACGCCGCCAAATAGAATGCAGAGGCCGTACATGTATACAAGGGATATCCTATTACAGCTGAGATCGAGTTGGGCGTCAACGAACGAAGAGGCTGGACGCTGAGGTAAGGAAAGATTCGATTGGTTATATATCCAGTGGAGTCCAAAGACACGCAGACAACGATCAATGCAGGCCTCGGGTTGTCGTCCGTCTTGTTGGCACCCAATCTTCAATATGCTCGAATCCCGTCCGCTGATATAAGCGCTAAGCAGAGCGTCGCAGGTCTCTAGCTGGCCGCCTTAGCCGGACGTGATCTTGATCCCTATTTATTATTTGGTTGAATGCAGTCGAATGAAGAGAAAGACTTGTCTGTCATTGGATCCCGTTTGTCATGCGGGTTTGTTGGGTGCTAAAAACAATCATCCCGCCTAGCAGTAGCTCACGATCCTCGAGTTCGGCTCCAACAATTCCGGACTGTGCCTCATTGCTTGACCCATCCGACTCCAAATGAACGTTGCCTTGTTGAAACGCTTGTATGGATGGACAGGTGTGTCCGAGTCTTGAATCATTTGTATTTGTTCATGTTGGACTTTACGATGATCTTGATCAAATCCATCTACGATAGCTCATAGGGAATTCTTCGACCCGACTCTCTTGTGCCCGGTTTGTGTCCATGCTTCGAACAGGCCGGCACGGTCAGAAGCTTTCAATACCTCGAAAATGCGAGGACCCAGAGCTGGCGGCTAATCGGACCCTGTTCTTGGACCAACACTTTGCTTGGCGCCGGCTCGAATCGATGCCGCCGCCAGGGACGTTATTTTTGATGAGGCTTGTCCGAGTGGTGACTTCTGAGGCTAAATATAGAACCCATGAGTAAGGCGGAGCGGTAACTGTGACTGTGGGAGAGCCAACAGCGAGATCAGATGCAGGGGTCAAACTGCTGGAATTACAGGACCTTGGTTGTAACAGCCACCTTGGAGGCAAGCTGAGGGCATCACACCTTTTCGATCATTTATCAGGTATACAGCACAACTCTTCCATCAATGCTAGAATTCGAAACGGCATGAAGAAGATTCCAGTCAAACGAGTGTTGCATCAGAACGGCCGAGGTCGTTAGAGAAGCTTCCTCCAATGAGAACGCTTTTGGGCATGACACGGCTCGTCTTCTTCTAGCCATTATCGTGTATATTCATATAGACTGTTCAACCGTGACCCTGACATGTTGCTATTGACGTTACTGACGTTACACTCTCATCAACTGCTGAGCAGAATCATGCCGAGCCCTCTCCCAGGGCGTCGCGAATAGCAGTGACTGCAGCCCTCGTCAACAACCAATTGTTCTTGACCCATTTGCGTTCTTCCACCTCCTTCTCCGTCAACGCCTTCTCTGGTGCCTCAAAGTCAAGCCGATCCAACAGCAGGCTTCGTAGCCAAGCCTCCCTCCGGTCCGAAGGCGCCAGAATCTGATCCATCCAACTGGCAACGTTGCTCGTCTTGAGCACCTGGATGCTCCCAAGCATGGCTGTGCGTCCACTAAACCGGCACTTCCACGCCTTCATGCTCACATTCTCCCTCCTAAGCCAACCGTCGGCAAGCTTGTCGTCGTTGTACAAAACATAGTCGAGCGTCCAGGCCACGACGATGAGCACCAACAAGCCCACCCCGTCCCAGCCTTTCTGCGCAGCAACATAGGTCATCGTGACAATCTGGAACACGGCGAGAGCCCGCAGTGTAAAGGCCAGCATCGTGTTTGGACGAGCGGTGATGTCCAGAATCATCGGCTTGTTCAGCAGACCATCGACAACGGCCCTCGAGCCTCGGTATAAGTACCATGTTGAAGCGTTTTCGTGTATCGCCGCCAGCATGCAGCCGTCGACCTGGTTGGGCTCATTGTTCTCCATGTAGCCCGGAGGCGTAATGACTTGTATGTAGCTCCGTGTCGCGCGAAATACAGCGCTGAGGAGGATCGCCGCCGCGGTTCCGTATAAGCCGAACAAAGCGGCCACGGCACACGCGCCGAGCAGAAGAAGCAAGACAACGACTTCGACAAGATTTGGCAGCCACGAAGCCGAAAGGGCGGCCCTGACGCCTTTCCTCCGCTCAGCGTTGATGGTGCAGTCGATGATGTACAGGGTCTGGTAGCGACGGAACGGAGCAACCGCAACGCTCTTCTTCTTCTCTTCATTCTTTGTCGACCCGTCCTCCTCCTCTGTGACGCCGCCATCCGCAATTCCGAGCTCATACGCGCGCGTCAGCTCAGCCAAGTCCTGCGGAATTGCAACCTCGCGCGCGCTCCGAATGACATGCCTCGCGAGGATATCGCTCGCCGCCCCGTTGGCGCAGGGAAACACGCTGCCGAAATTGGCATCCCAGACCGTCCGCCTGAGCTCGCTGATGGACGACGCGCGATCCACAAAGTCGGCGCCCTCGCGGAGGAACGCGGCGATGCTCTCGAGCACGCCCAGGCGGGGGAACAGGCTGACGGTGATGAAGCCCGCGAGCGCCGTCCGGCCTACCAGGCGGTGGGAGAAGCCGGTGCCCGCGAGATAGATGGCCAGGGGGAGGATGCCAGCCCATTCGAAGAAGACGGAGAGTTGAGAGGAGTGATGCGTGGCGACGGGGAGGATAGGGGGAGCCACGCCGTCTGTGCCATAACTTGCTGGGGTGATGTCGTCCGATGCATTCATTTCTTAGGTGTTTAAGACTGAAGGCAAAGAGGAAAGATAAAGTCGAGCAATCTCGACAGTGTTGATTGGCAGCTAAGCCATATGAGAGGGATGATGACCTGTCGTGGAACGGGCGATCCTTCACAGAGCTCAATTCTCTACCAGTGTTTTCATGGTGGATGCTGCAGCCTGTTGTCAAGCGGTGACAAAGTGTAAGAATGCCAGTTATTACAGAGAGCCTCGGGTGGACGATAGCGAGAAAGCCTTGCAGCAGTCTATGGATCGAGCCACACAACCCTTGTAATTGTGAAGCGACACCCACCCGCCAGGGCATCCTGAGCTTTGCTACGGTGTAGCACAACGATGTAGTATCAATAGGCAGCTCCCAGTCGATAAGCAGCAGGTGTCTACATATCGCACAGGGAGTTGCTAGCCAATTCGCCAAGTTTCATGTTGTTATCGTGCGTTATAGTATACCCATTTCTATCCTTCCTCTGCTACTATTGCCATGAACCTAGATAGTAGAAATGCCCACAACTATTTCAATATTTGGCTCTTACCGTGGAATATTCTTCTTCCTCTCTCTACGAACGACCTATATCAGGACGAGCCTTTGACTCTGCATTGATAAACCTGGATACAGGTTTCAGGGGCTCTTGGGAGCTATTGCTGCCATTGAGTTAAGCAATGCCATCACACAGTTGTCCACTCATTCGGCAACTCCATCCACTTTCCAAGGACAGAGGTCACCGGCCTATCCCGTGCATCACTCAATCAAAAACCCCATCGTTCGGAACTGCGGCAGGACAACCCCCTCATCCAGCTCAAGCACCCCCTTCCACCTCCAAGCCTCCCCATCATCGGACGCAACCACGGCAAAGACGGCCTTTGAGAGCCTCCTCGGATGCGGCACCCACACGTCCCGCCGATACGTATGCAGCGGTCTCAAAGTCGCACACCACGTCTCCCCGTCAAGATACCCGCCAGCCGCCCTCTCCAACGGCAGACAGCCCCCCGTGAACCTCTCCAGCACGCGCTCCCACGCCGTCCGCTTCACCTTGAACCTGTACGCCCACCAGTCCCCGTGCAAGCCCCTCTCCGTGATTGCGCTCACCCGCGTCTCTATCCCGTGATACGGAAGAAGCAGCTTGTCGTAGTCAGTGGGTGAGTCCTCGCCGTGCAAGCTAAAGTTGGGCCGCGAGGGCGCCCAGCTGAGCCCCTTGACGCTCAGCCGCTCGTAGCTGGAGACCAGCCAGCCCGACGGGACGCCTCGCCCTTGCTGGTTGCGCCAGATATCCTCGGCCTTGTCAAACACCGTGTCGCCGCAGAGCAGGCTCCATATGATGACCGCGTCGCCTGGCCTGCTGGCTTGTCGATGCGACAGCAGGCCGGCTGCTTCCTTGATTTCGACAAATCCCTTCCTCCTATTGACGATCCATTGGGATGATTGATAAGGGTGATCGTTGCCTAGCCCGTGGATATATGCCTGTGAGGGAAGAAGGTGCTGCGCAGAGAGGAAGAGGGCCGCAATGTCGATGCTCCCCTGATTGCACACGTCCATCAGCACATCTTTCAACGAGACGACCACATCGTTCTTGCAGAGGATGTGGATGTTCTGTCGCCCCCTCAGCGCCTCCAGCAACGTCCACGCACGCACGTTCCAGTCGCAGACCAAAACCATGGAGACTATAGCCTCCTTGGTGGCAATATCCTCGTCTTGAAAGTCAATGGCCATCAGGTCCTTGTCACAGACGAGCGTCAGCTTGCTCGTAGCAAAGATGAGATTGATATTGGCAATCGCCTCCCCTCGTAGAACGTGATCACTCGGAATACACGGCGTGTCCATCCAGAAAGAATCGCATCCGTACATCTCGGCAACCCTCGAATAGCGCCTGAACAAGCAGCTGTTGAGGCCGGTTCCTCCCTCGTCTTCCGGACGGCCGCCCTGGCCATGGCTCCAGACGTGAGATACGGCCACCGTCTTGCTGGACGCTTGAACGTAGTTGAGCCTGCCATCGGTGCCCAAGACCAGCGACACAGCCGCCGCGCCGCCGACGCCTCTCCAGGATTCCTCGTTCCAGTACAGTGACGAACAGCTTCTTCCGTCGCAGTCTGGCGCGTGAGCGGACTGGTTTGTGATGCGCATCCCCGACAGCCTCAAACACTTTCCAGGCTGCCTGCCGTCGCACGCCGCGGGCTCTCCGTCGCTCGAGATGACGCACCGCGCCTCCCTGTCGGAAAAGGCTTGCGACAAGCGCTCGAAGAATCTCCTGTAGTCTTGGCCGACGACCGCCTTGTCCTCTCTCAGCAGTCTCAGCGCCCACTTGCAGATATAAGGCGGATGGCACGCGTCCGCCCTGGCTCGATTCAGATTCTCCGCGATCCGCATCATGTCAGATCCCTGCAGCGGCGTCTTGATCACATCCCTATGCTCGTCGTAGCCCCATGTCAGCTGCTCCTTGAGCACGTAGTAGTGGTAGAGACTCGTCCCGCGCTGCCACGAGGTCCAGAAGAAAGCCCTGACGATGAACCATCCCGGCCAAGGGTCCTCCCGCGATAGACTAATCATCTCTCTGAGAGCCTCTGCTGTGGCGTCGAGCAAGAGCCGATAGTGCTCGGCATAGTTTGAGTCTCCTCCTAAGACAATCTGAATCTGTATCGCAATGCGCAATACGTTGCGGCTGACAAAGTTGGTCACACGCAGAGTCTCCCAACACGGTTTCGAATCGGGGAGAAAGTACTCTGCGTCGTAAAGGCTGTACGGCTGGTCAACGAGCGGATCGTGGAATTCGTCAACCACGCGCGGAATCCGCTCTATGACGCCGCAAACTTCATTGACAAGCTCTTCCACCTTCTTGTTAGGCTGGAAATGACATTCAAGAAACTTGGAGTACCACTCATCAAGGATCTCAACATGCGATGCTGGCTCCTTGAGCTCCGCCTTCAAGGCCATGCACCACTCCCTGACCCTCTGCTTCCTTCTTGTGGCATTGTAGACTTTGATAGTCCCGTTGACGACCTCTCTTTCAAAAGTAAAGACGTCCAACTCTCTCGGTGATCCCCTATCGCCTTCTTGGGCGAGATAGCTTTCGGTATGAAGAATGTTTCGCGTGGCGTCCCGAGTCGATCCAAAAGCTGCCATGCTTTTGCATGCGTTACTGCTCGTGAATTATCATCAAGCTCCGATAAGTAAGGGCAGTTCTTGAGCAGGAAATGAGTGTTGTGCCGCTGGAATGCCGAGCGTGAATACAGATAATGCTGCCTAAGGCGAGTAGTCTGCTGACGCCTCGCGTAAGGCTGCCATACATCCTTGTACACAGCCAGACATACTGTCAAGGATAGTACATGCACCAAGTATGAGGATTTAGCCGCGGGACTTCATGTTCTCTACCTATCTAACAACTGCGGAGGCGTATCTAAGGCTTCACGTCGGATAGTATGATATATATATATATCCTGGATGTAAACATATACCGTCGCATTCTGCTATCATTATATCCAGGCAATGATGACCGGCAAGGCCATCCATTTCGTACTTTAGAGAAGCCTACTTTCCTGCGCGATTGAACTTGGTTTTGCAGCGTCGTCACGCATCCTATCAAAGCTTATAGTATCAGCATGCTTGACGAGGTGCCAGTCATCGCCATCACTAACAGAAGAACGGACCAGTCATCGTAACTCATCCATTGTCGACTCCAAGCGTTTCACCAAAAGAGCGCCAATGGGTTTACAGTAGAGGAGAAGTACAGAGGCATGGAATACATACTGTTTGATCCCAATGAATCCCTTGGAATACCGCACTTGCTGCCATATTATATCGAGGTAATCATTCTCACGCTTCCCATTCTTGTAGACCCCTTGAGCAGCCGGCAGACAGCAAATTCCAGATGTCTAGCTTGCCAGCAAACCATGTCAATTGCTGCCATGCTCCAGAGTACAAGAATAGCCTCATGTTACATCCACATATGTTTTGCTGAGCATCTTCGCCTCGTATGATGGCTTCTCATGTCACTTATTCACTGTTAGAAGCCCAGTGAAATGTGTAACCAAGTGGCTCCGATACATGGACAGTCGCAGCGTTCCATCAACATCAACTTCGATGCTCCCTCAACATCCGGAAGCACCCAAGCAGCAGGCTCTCGGCCACCACGACCCATGCCGTTTACGAGAGAGAGTATACTCAGCGAGTGGAAGACCTGCCGCGCAGAGGGAGAGTCAGCCTTCATCAGCGTGTTCGTAGTCGGCAAGCCCGACGTGGACGGGCGCTGGTCTCGGGAGATGGAAGCTCGTGGGCAGCCGGGGCCCTCACAGGAACCACCCCGGGTCCTTTTCCCCGGGCCAAACTCCGTCGTCGACGTGTCGCGCCGACCGCAATGGTTCTTTCGAAGAGCGCTCTTCAAGCGCACAGTGGCGAGGTTCAGTCTCCGGCATCTGGAAGATGCATTCGCTGAGCTGTCGCCGACGAAGTTCGCGGCCCCCAGCACTGAGGAGGGAGAGAAAGCCATTATCGATCGTGCGTACGGCCTCTTGTCACGCTTGCCGGAGACGCCGGTCCCTCTGTCTGCCCTCCCGGAGGTGCCTCCGGCCGCAGAACCGAGGTGTTGGCTCCAACTGGAAGCAGGCCCGTGCCGCTGGGAGGATCTCGAGCCGATCTGGAGCGTCTCAGCGCCGATCCGCATGGCCTTGGCCATCGCCGTCACATGGGACAGACGCGTCGAGGCAAACACGCGTGGCAAGGAATGGCATCAGTTCAGAGAGTACCTGGATTCAGTTTCAGAACTGATTGACGCGGCGTCGTACGAGTGCGAGAGAGTTTCCTCGTCTGGGAATAAGCCCCATGCGTGGAGATGGTTTCTTGTCAAGACTTATCTCTGGAGCGTCTGGCAGAGATGCGTGGCCTTGCATTACTGGTAAGTGCGCGAGACTGTGAGTCGAGGTGCACAGTTTGCTGAGATCAATGACAGGCGCATCCTGCAAGACAACTTGATGACGGGCTTCGACTATACGGATCTCGGTGAGCTGAGCCTCCGCCCGAACATGGACTCGCCTGCCATTCTGAAGCAGTACGAAGCATTGAAATCGGAATACATGTGCAGCCTGGCCTACCAGATCCTCGTCAGGAGCAGGTCGACTGCCCTCCTGGACTTGCGGCAGTTCCACCATCGGTTCAGCGGCCTGTTTGGGCAACATGCCGGGAGATGCAATGACGAGAAGTCCTGCGATGGGACGTCTCCCGCCGGATGCCGCAGAATCAGGGGGGCCGTCGTTATCGACCAGAGCCAGCACGATGTCTTGTGCGAAGGCGACGGCAAATGTCGCCGCATCCTGTGGGATGAGGCGTCATATTGTCGACTGACCGGTGCCCGTGCGGTCTCCCTATCCGACCTAGAGGGTTCCCAGCAGGCCTTGCTCGAGTACGTCAACGCCGATGAGTCGACGATTGTCATATCGCACGTCTGGAGCCACGGTCAGGGGGGCCGGCCGGAAACGGGACTGAACGAGTGTCTGCATAGACGTTATTGCAGGATCGCACGGGACTTGTGCTGTTCGAGCTACTGGATTGACGCTGCGTGTTAGTAGTAGAATCACTGATCTGGACATGACAGAGCCCCCCCTGACGAGTATGAGCAACGGCGGCTAATACACACCCTCTGGCTACATAAGCATACCCAGTGACCACGCCCTCCGCCGCGAAGCAATCATGACCATCAACCAAGTCTTCATGGGTAGTCGTGCCATGGTCCTATGCGACCGAGACCTGATGAGCATCGACATCTCGGCCATCCAAGGCCCGGATGACGCATCTCACGAGGCCACGTCCCTCATGGAGTCTATTCTCTGCTGCCTCCTGGCAAGCGACTGGAACGTTCGGGCGTGGACGCTGCTGGAAGCCCTGCGCGGCAGGAAGGACATCCGCATCCTCTGCAGGTCGGGAACCGACAACAACAACAAGCTCATCTCCCTGCGGGACACGTTGCAGACCGTGTGCATGAACGGGGCCATCAGCGTTGGCATCTTGCTCCTCGCCAGCTACCACCTGTTCCCGGCGCCCCTGAGACGGAACTGGTTGTATATGCACTCGCTCACCACTTCTCTGGCTAGCAAAGCCAGGTCCGGTCAGCAATGGAGGCGAGAGATGGTGCAGGGGACGCGCGACGGCCAAATCATTGCCGATCGCATCGCCGACGGCTTCCTTGCCGTCTCGGAAGCCGCCACTCTGCTCTGCCAGCGCTTCGCATCGCGGCCCGGCGATGACGTGGTCATCTGGGCATTGCTCGTCGGCGAACAGCGCTTCGAAGACGCCGCCGAGCTCTGGACGAGAGGCCACGGCGGCACGGACCCGATCCCCATGGACAGGACCGTCTATACCGGATATCTCATCTCGAGCGTGCCCCGGCTGTCCCATGACGGCATCTCCTGGGCACCCAGCCAGCCAGGCGTCCAGTTTGCCGCCGACGGCAGCGGCACCTCATACGACTACCCCCCGTATGATGGGATGCTTTCACGTGTCGGCACGATCATGAAGTATCCTCATAATCTCCGTGCCGTATGGGGCGTTTCGCCCATCAACTTTGGTGGCAAGAGGGTCCCCTTGTACCTCCAACGGGCCGGCAACGCCGTTGTCAAGGACCTCATAACAAGCTATGATGAAGGCATTCTGCTGCAGCCGCTGCAGGAGGTCGACGCCCAGGAAGACGCGGGCAGTCAAGAGCCAGCGGTTGTGCTCCCCAGCGTTTACAAAGGCCATTCGCGGGGCCCTCTACTTGCCGTGTGTGGGAAGCACCGTAGTCGACCGGATATGCCCTGGAAGTGGCTTGGGGTCGTAGACTGGGGCTCTTCCCCCTTGCCGAGATTCGAGGTTCAGGAGGTTGTCGTTGGATGACGACAAGGAAGCATACCTACACAGTATGTAGTTCGCCATCATGCGAACCGATAAAGAGCAGGTCGTCTCGACAATGATGCAGAGTAAAGCTTGAGACCGAGCCATCCCCCGTCAGGAATGATACCAAAGCATGCACCTTTACCAGGTGCCAACGAGGCGAGCAAAAGACCATAGGCTGTCCAACACTTCGATTGTACCTGTCTGTCATAAACTGTCTAGTAACGTATGTATTCTCCAATCTATATCAACAAAAGAAATGGCCTCGCGCGGCCTGGGTATTTCCAGTCCCAAAGTAATTGTACCCAAGTGTCCATTCTGCTCGCTCAAAGGATTAAATAAAACGCCAAGGCCCGTATGCAAATTAAAACAAGGAAGAAATGGCAATCCAGCCGGTATGATGCAAACCCATGATGGCCCAACAGATGGAAAACCCCCCTAAGACTCTCAAGCCGTCAAGCGGGAGTCTCTGTCTGTTGCAAACTTTCAGACAAGGAGCTGTCGACCGCCTCGGCCGTCGCCCTGCCGGCCCTCCGCTGCTGCGATGCCCAATACTGCTGAAATCCCGGAATCGCACCGGGCTGATTGATGCCGGGCGCCCGCTGGGGTATCTTGCGCTCCTTCTCCGCGGCCTTGGGCAGGCTCTGGCTCTCTCCTCCCCACGGCCGCCAGCCAACCCACCTGCCCAGGCCGCCGGCGGTCCGAGAGGCTTGTGACGAAGCCGACATGTCTGATGTAGGGGTCGAACTTCTCTTTGGCAAGAGGCCGGCAAAGTTATCGCGGAGGACGGCATCGCTACGCTTCGAGTAGTTGGTTGACAATGTCGGCTGGGCAGTGGCGTCGCTGAGGACGGCGTCGGCGCCCCCGAGCGGGCGGAGCGTCATCTGGCTGGGTCGGATCTGCAGCGTGTGGATGTCAAGGCCGCCCGACAGCGACATGATGGATTCGTGAGAAGGTATGCGGCGCAGCCGGTGGGCGGGTGTTGGGGTATCTGTGGGGTTTGCGTCCACCGAGTCTGGAGCGTCTTTGGTCGCAGTCGGCGTAGTGGAGTGGCCGTCTTCGTCCTCTTCGTGAATGATGCCGCTGGTCAATCGGTAGGGATTCTGCGTCTGCAGGGTGGTGCCGGGCTCAAAGTCAATGATGGAGAGGGATTGGAAGCTGCTGGACGAGGCTGCCGAGGGACGCTTTCTGTGGGAGGCCCGCCATGTCGGAGACGTGGGGTCGTAGCTGGTGGTGGGCGACATGAGAGAGTCCGTCTCCGTCCCGCTGTGATCAAACAGGCGTGGCGAAGTCGGCAGGGAGGAGGAAAGTTCGGACGGAGTGGAAAACTCCCAGGCCGCAGAGGTGGCAGTGATGGGCGTGGTTTCGCCCGTCCGAGAGAGAACCGGGCCGGTGGGGGACGACACCAAGCGCCGCTGAGGCCACGGGCCCGGCGAGGAGGCCCGAGAGATGGAGGGTGGCGGCGTAAAGATGCCGGGCAGCAGGCCGCGCTTCTTCTTGGGCTTCCGGGCCTCCTGCTTGGGTGTGACGTGGTAGTGGTGGTGGATGTGGAATTCCTGCGACGGCCGCGTCTCGAACAAGGACGGTTCCAATTCTGCCTTTAGATTCGAGACGGGATTGGGCCCGTCGGCCAGCGGCTGGTGAAACATGAGCTGCTCCCGCAGCACCTGTATCTCGTCGTTGGAGGTGATGAGCATCTCCCTCAGCTCGGCAATACCGAGCTGCAGGTTCGCGTTGTCCTGGAGCAGGTCGCGCACGAAATGGCCGACAATCTTGTTTCCCTGCCGGTGCTCGGTGATAGATTTGGATGCCGCCGCGCCCTTGAGCCGCACGGCTGCGGCGTCCAGATGCTTCTCCACCTCGCGCTGGCGCTCGAGCTTCTCCATCATCTCGTCGTGGCGCTGTCTCTCGAGGAGGGCCTCCTTCTCCATGCGTTCGAGCTGGTCCTGCATGTCGAGGATCCCCCGCTGAGCCTCCTTGAACCGCTGCGCATGGGAGCGAGCTTCCTCCTTAGAAGCCTGCAGCTCTCCAGTCAGCTTGTCCTGCTCCTCTTCAAGGATCTTGAGGTGGTGGTCGGCCTCGGCGGCTCGCGCCGCGGCGCTCTCGAGGCGGCGGATGGCCTGTTGCGAGGAAAGGAGGCTTGCCTCTAGGCTTTTGATCTTGGCGTCGGAATCGAAGACGGTGCTGTTGAGGATCTCGAGCTGGTCGAGCAGCTCGTTGTTCTCCTCGACCTTGGCGGCATTGTCGGCCTCGAGCTGCTCCTTGTCCTGCTGGAGGCGCTCGATGCGGGCGTTGAGTCGCAGCCGGTCCCGTTCCGCGTCGGCCATGTAGGCTTCGTGCCTGGCAAGCAGCGCCTGGAGGGCAAATGTCAGCGGCGATTCCGTCTGCCGGTAGCACAGCATGCTGGTGTGAGGACATGTCGGATGCGTACAGGCCGGTTGCCCCAAAGTCTCTTGACTGCTTGTTCACGTATGGAATGCAGGACGCGAGAAGGGAGGCCGCGGGAAGCTTAGAATTGCAGCGACGCGTGTAGACAATGGATGGGAACAGGAATGAAAGGGAGGGAGGATGAAGCGAACAAAATGTAGTAGCAGCAACCTGCAGCCAAGCCTACACACCTTTCCCAATTGAGCTGCCACTCGGACATCCTTCTCTACAGCCTCCAGAACAGAGCAGTTGTTTTTGAGGTTGACGCAGTCCGGACTGCCGCAGCAGCACTGCAGGGACGAGCGGGACGAGGGTCGAGAGCCGGTCTCTGGTGGAGCGTCGAGCTTTTCCATGTCGGCGAAGAATAGGGATACTGGATGAGATGATGGCTTAATATAGTCGGTAGATGTCGATCGCAAGCGCTGCTCGGTCGAGGCCTCGATATGGTAGCGATGCCGCAGCGACCAACATGGTCTTCGCCGGAGTCGCGGGTTCGAGGTGAGTCAACGGCAACAGCGGCGAGGTCAACGGGCGAGGTGAGCGATGGGAAATAGGGTCGGCATCGAGGAGGAGAAGCTGTAAGAATAGACGTCGTGAAACGAAATGAACTCCCCGCCGAAGACGGTGATTAGGCACAACAGCCTCGTCGATAGGAGGCGGAGGCGGGAGCTGGAGCGTGGGAGTAGCGGTACTCGATAGGAGCGTATTCGTAGGAGCAAGGCGATGATGGAGTGCGTGTCGGTGGTACTGCGACTTGAGGTCGGATCGAGGAGATGCAGGAGGGAGGATGGATGGACGAATCTGATGCCTCGAGACGAAGCTGTGCCTGCAGATGGCAGATGGCTGGTGGTGTGAAGCCGGACCCAGCAGCAGACACCGCCTGGACGCGAGGCAGCTGACCAGGTACCGCTACTCGGCGATGGGCGCGGCAGTGGTGGTTGGGGGGGTATCGGGTACGGGGTCGTCTCCCTGTTCCTGAAATTAGTGGCTGCACCTGCAGTAGCTCGCTGTAGCTGGCGGGTGGCTGTCTAGCCTGGCCGCCGCCTATTGGGGCGGACGAGAGCCCTGGAGCTGAAAATTCTCACTCTGCATCCGCTGCATCCAGCGCTGCTGCATCCCTTTTTGACTGAGATTCCCGTCAGGTTGTCTCACTGTCTGAGCCTTGCGAGTATCACCTATGTATACAGTAATAACCGATGCTCTCAATCTTCAGCTGACTGCGTCACGTTGGGCAGTTTCACGACTCAGACTTAATCTCTGTTCATCTAGTACAAGTGCCTGTCCATCTCCATCCTCACGTGGCTCCTAGTCCGGGGCCGTCAATGCGATGGTCGTGACCAGCCGCGGTGACTTTGCCTCGGGTGCGGATTGCATGGGGCTCGTTGTACAGTACCGGGTCCAGTGCCAGCACAGCAGTCCCACCCGTTTGCTGGCTTTGAGCGGGTCGAATCGTGCCGCAACAAACCTTTGAACATTTGCTGATGGGTGGCAATCCGGATCCCGTGCCTGTGAGCGCTGCGAGTGACAAGTGCGTGAACGGAAGACATGCGATGATGAGGTATGAAAGGCTGGCATTCACAGTTTTGACGTGTAGGTGCTGCGCATTCAGCTCAAAAAGCAGTTGGAGCGTTCCGTGTTAGTGTTGACATGTCTACTAGTAGTGTCTAGCGAAATCATGACTTACACCGTAAACAGCATGACTCGAGCAAGCTGTGCAAACGTTGCATGTAATACTCCTACACCTGAAGAAAGAGCAATGCACATCCGAAGGGCAATTCATCAGTCAGCCATTCACAACCTTGTTCAACTGAGATTGAAGCCGCTCTCAATGCGGATTCTGCCAGGTCTCTAGGGTACGTAGCTCGGTAGTAGTACCAAGCTGGCAGTCGTAATACACCAGCCGGCCAAACGTAGGACCGCAATGACGGCATCACTTTCGCATACATTGCGTCATCCGCCAATCAGCGTCCGACGGTTGCAAATCAAGCTCGACATCGCAGCTTCGCTCACCAGCTTCATGCTTGATTATTATAGCCGGGCTGACAAAAGTTCAGCTCCGAGCTCTGAGAAATGAGCTGACTATCAATGAGCTGCCTGTTTGTAAACAGTAAACAGTTGAAGCTCCCTCAGTAGACTGCAGACCTCACACCACTTTGGCAGCTGGGTGGCACTCACTCACTCCTCTGCATTCACTCCTTCGTCACGTTTCTCCCCTTACGTGATCTCCCGCACTATCTCCGATCTCACTCGCGTCATCTCGAGCTTCTCAACCTCCTCCCAGGCATGCTCCTGCTACCCCGCAACCCCGCCCTCCGTCATCTGCTCCCATCAAGCCACCGTCTGTCCTTCTTCCATCGCCAGTTTTCGTTTGCAGCAGCCATGGCCCAAGAGTACAAGCTCAAGGGCGTCTCCGCGCTCCCCAAGCCCGGCCAGAAGCAGGAGGCCGAGGTCGAGGGCATCCAGGACGCAAAGGTTCTCCTCGTCGGCCTCCAGACGGCCGGCAAGGCAGAGGTCAAGGCTCTCGGTGCCAAGTGCACGCACTACGGCGCGCCGCTGGTCAAGGGCGTCCTCACCAGCACCGGACGGCTCACCTGCCCATGGCACGGAGGTGAGTGGCCCAATCTTGTGCGTGAGACGATGTGCTAACAGATTAGCCTGCTTCAACGCTGCCCAGAACGGTGACGTCGAGGACGCTCCCGCCCTGGATGCGCTGCCCGTGTTTCCGCTGACTGAGCGTGACGGAGGATACTACATCAGCGGCGAGGAGTCCGCCATCAAGGGCTCACGAAGGAGGCCCAACTTCCCGTGCAGTGTGTCGAGTGACTCCAAGGAACACGTCGTCGTCGTTGGCGGTGGCTCGGGCATGCTCGGCGTCGTCGAGGGCCTGCGTGAAAAGGGCTACCGGGGCCGTCTCACCGTCATCTCCAAGGAGGGCTACCTCCCCATCGACAGGACCAAGCTGAGCAAGGCGCTCATCACAGACGCCGCCAAGCTGGCGTGGCGCGACAAGAGCTGGTACGACAGCGGCGCCGTCGAGTGGGTGGACGGCGAGGTCAACGGCGTCGACTTTGCGAACAAGCACGTCAATACCACGAGCGGCAGCAAAATTCCCTACACCAAGCTGGTCCTCGCGACGGGAGGCACGCCTAGGACCCTTCCCCTGCCGGGCTTCAAGGAGCTCGGAAACATCTTTACGCTGCGCACGGTTCACGACGCAAAGAACATTGTGGACGCCATCGGCGACAAGGGCAAGAAGATTGTCGTTGTCGGCTCGTCATTCATTGGCATGGAAATCGCCAACGCCACCGCCGGCGACAACTCGGTCACTGTTGTCGGCCAGGAAAAGGTGCCCCTCGAGCGCGTCCTTGGCGAAAAGGTCGGCGCCGGCATTCAGACGTTCCTGGAGGGCAAGGGCATCAAGTTCTACATGAGCGCCGGCGTCGACCGGGCCGAGCCGTCCAGCTCGGATCCCTCCAAGGTGGGGTCTGTCCACCTCAAGGACGGCACCAAGCTGGATGCCGATCTCGTCATCCTCGGCGTCGGCGTCGCCCCCGAGACGACCTACCTCAAGGACAACAGCGCCGTTCAACTCGAGTCTGATCAGTCGCTGCGCACCGATTCTTCCTTTGCCGTCCAGGGGCTCACCAATGTCTATGCTGTCGGCGATATAGCCACGTACCCCTACCAATACGGCCCCGGCGGCGACGGCAAGCTGGTCCGCATCGAGCACTGGAACGTGGCACAAAACGCCGGCCGGGCCGTGGCCACCCACATTGTGGACCCGTCTCACAGCAGCAAGCAGTTTATCCCCGTCTTCTGGTCCGCCCTGGGCGCCCAGCTGCGATACTGCGGCAACACCATGGCCTCCGGGTGGGACGATCTGATTCTGGATGGCAACGTGGCTGAGGCCAAGTTTGTGGGATACTACTTCAAGGGAGAAACCTGTGTTGCGGCTGTTACGCAGGGCAGAGATCCCTACATGGTCCAGATTGCCGAGCTGATGAAGCTTGGGTTGATGCCGTCCAAGAGCCAGCTCCAGAGGGGGGCGGACGTGTTTAGCATTGACGTAGCGGCTCACGCATGATCCCGAGTTCGATTAGTATCGTCAGAAAAATATTGTACATTGCCCGTTTCTTGACCTGACTGTTAATGACTGTGACGCTACCTTGTTTTCGTCTCTATAATGTGTCGTGTCGGTAGTTGACGAGGAAAATTTGCTAGTACTGCTTAACCGTCAAGCTGGCATTGTGAAGCATCTCAGGTCACGAGACACAGGCCATCAAGGTTCTCGTGCCGCAACCGGACAGTCGGACCGGCAATGAACAATCAACTTGCTTCACCATTTCCACCAGAAAAAACCACAATCCACATCAAAGCGAGAGCAATGCAAACGTTCTCAAACGTTTCCTGGTTAGCCGTCTCACCAGATCCGATGCGTCTTATACTCATGTCATACACGCGCCGCCCTGATTGGGCTCGGTCACCACTGAACCTTAAGCCAGCGGGGCTCATCTGATAGCCGATCCGTCATCACAGCCGCATCTTTCGACCTCATCTCTCGCCTCACCTAAAACAACTCTCTATCGCTGTCGTATCAAGCCATCCATCAAACTCACGCACCACCATGGCCAACGAACTCTACCACTACTCCGTCGTCTCCTCCCTCATGGAAGGCATCGGCGAATCCGGCATCCCGTACAAGCTCCTCATCCAACACGGCGACCACGGCCTCGGCACGTTCCGCCGCATGGCCGGCGAAATGATTTGCCTCGACGGCAACGTCTACCAGATGAAGTCCGACGGCTCCATCGTCGCCATCGACTCCTCCGCCGGCACTGATGTCGCCCCGTTCGCCATGGTCACGCGCTTTCGCCCAACCCTGACCACACCTGTCCTCTTCAGCAACAAACAGGACCTCTCAGACGCCATGACGAAGCTCTTCCCCAGGACGAAGAACCGCTACCTTGCTTTTCGCGTAGATGGCTTGTTTTCCAAGATTGCAGTGCGAACGGCCGACGGCCAGAGGTACAAGCACGAGAAGCTCAGAGAACTGCACAAGCGGCAGACGACGTACGAGTTCACCAACATCCGCGGAAGCCTCATCGGCTTCAGGTCCCCCGAGTTTCTGCAGGGCGTCAGCGTCGCGGGCGATCATCTGCACTTCATCTCTGACGAGCGGGACCGTGGCGGGCATGTGCTGGATTGCGTGTCAGACGGCGAGGTGCAGTTTTCGGGGGCCGTCATGAGTACCATTCACTTACAGCTGCCGGAGGACGATGAGTACAATGATGCAGAGCTCAAGTTGGACTCGGATGGCATACGCGTGGTGGAGGGATGAAGACTTGGCGACCTGATGGATGTCATGAGATGAGGGTTTACATGCCAGTCATGGAAGGATTGCACAAAGTCAACGATGTAGGGTTAGTCGTCCCCAATGATACGTATTCAAATGACTTGATTCTCTCCCGCTATGCCCAATCTTTGGTTACTTGTACCTTTGCACGCGCTGCAGGGCAGTATCCCCCGCCGCCAGTGCATTGCAAACCAATGGTGCATACCGCCCTTTCCAAGGCCCTTTCGGAGAGTCATAATGAGGGATCAAGGGGATATGGCAATGATATTGTTACCTTCTCCTCCAGCAAGCTACAGTCATAGTCCGGACATGTGCATCAAGACTACATGTATCGGTGTGGCCAAGCACAGCAGCTCCAACCAAAGCCAAACGGCCTGCCAACGATGTTGACGTAAAACGACCACCAGCGAAGTCGCCCGAGAGAGTTGACAAGCCTCCACATTTTGGGGTCGAGTCGCTACGGTGCCACCCGTAGACTCACTCGTGCATGCTTGATCACGCGCTTGGCCAGGGGCAAATGGGAAACGTAAAGCCCATCGCGATGTCAGGCACGTATGGGCAAAGCGCAGAACGTAGTTCGGTACAACATTTATAGATACGTGGACGAACACATCATCAAGAAGCCGTAATAAAAGAGCTGCTACCAATGGGTAGCTTTTATTTAGTCCTCTTTGATCTCTATCAAGTTGCAAGGAGTAGAATTGATGTGTAATATCTGCTATGAACTTGTGAACTACTCACAATTAGTAGATATAGATGTCTCCAGTCAAGTGATGAGATAGTACGAGTAGGCATAGATATGGTATCAATTATAGAGAGCATTTAGCGAGTCAAGAAAGGTTGCTTCCATGATTATAGTTGAATATACAACATATTAGGACAAGAAAAGTATGCCACGACTCTCATTATTGCCTTGAAAAACCGCTATTTCATCAACATGTTCACATCCTCGTGTCTTGGGGGCAGCAGCAGCGACTGTTATCATTTCAGCCTGTGAGATCGACGTTGCTGGTATGGAAATGAATGTATTACCGAGCTGTTCGCGAGCTCTACGCCGGCGGAGAAACGTTGCTTGGGCAGCAGCGCCGCGTCGACTCGATTCGATGTCAGCATGGAGTGTCAATAAGAGCGGCGAATATCAAGAGTACCGACGGGAAGACACTGGACGGTAGTGAAAGGGACACGCATCCTGTCGGCCACAGCGGCTGCGCCCACAAGCTTGTCAACACGTCCGTCGGCGTGCATGACGTCGAGGATGGACCGCAATGTAGATATCTGGATATCGAAACATCAGTATGTCGCAAAGACAGAGCACAAAGCGCGCAGCAAGCAAGGCAGGAGAGCATGAGTACATACTTTGAGAGGACCTGGCACCAGGCCAGAGAGAGATTCGAAATTACTGTTGCCATGTCGGCCGAGAGTGTGATGAGAGTGCAGAGAAGAAATACTCACAACATCGTCTATTACACATGGCAAAAGAAGGAAAATCTGGAACACATTGTCAGCAAAGAAGGCATTCAAAAGCAATATTGCGGAAAAACACCAGAGCAAATCAAAGAACGGGAAGGGAGGAGATATCAGCAGGCAGAGGAGTGGGATATTGCGTGAATACAGGATGTAGGAGGCGGGGGATGAGGAGGAGAAAAAAGAAGAAGAAGAAGAAGAAGGTAACGCCGACTCATTCTGGCAATGTACACAGAGTATGGTGGGAGAAGTCTCGATTAAAGTTGATATCGAAAAGTTCGTCCAAATGTCCACTTTGGCGGAATTTCTGGTCGATGGGTGCTGGTGATGTTGCTGCCTCTCCTCATATACCCGACGTCGATGCTGGTCCTGGAGGGCCATTTCCTCAAGCTGGGGGTTGCGGAGCAGGTCCTCTAGCTGGCGTCTCGACAGGGCGCCGGCCACCTTGATGGTTCCACTTGTAAAACGATCGAATCATGACCGGAGACCACCCTGCGACTTGTAATATATCTACTTTCCGCTACTATCAATATCTCCTACTTCTTCCTGCCAAAACCCTCCATGAATAGCGTCAATGCTGCGCTGAGCTCCTTGAGACTGGACCCGGCATGCAGGAAAACAAAGTGGCCACTTAGAAACTGGAATAGAGGCCGTCGACCTCGATCACGGAGCGTTTACCAAGAGTGAAGTTGCAAGTAATTCGAGCCGAGACGCGTCGGGATCATCATCGGAATCATGTGGATGCGGCGACCGGATTCACCTCATCGAGCCGAGGCTCAAACGGAGCGGGATATTTTCCGGTGAGGACGATTCGGCCCCATTCACGGCAATGTGGGGCCGGACTGTCGATTGTAACATGCGCGCACACCAGAAAGCTCTCGTTGAGAGACTACAAGGGAGAGAGTTGAGTGCGAGACGCGCTGGTTGGCCATCAAGTTACCTTTATCATAGGAAAGCTCTTTGACTGGTTGCTACCGGTATGTGATTATATTCAAAGAAAGTCTAGTCTATGTACTCCATATCGCGTACTAGTTCCATGCTGATATCTCTAAACCCGCTGCGCTGACCTCGAACCCCAAATTGCGCTCTAGATAATAAAGGAAAGACAAAATGCTCATCTCATATATGACTGAGTAAATAGGGGAGCTTAAAACCCGCTGAGAGGGTTGGGGTTCGCGCGCTGGAAACCGCCCAGTCTGCCGCCTTGCACGACGGGGGGCACAACAGGCTCGACTTTGGCGGCGAGCTCCCTCTGCTTCGAAAGAGTGTTTTGGCTGTCAAAGTTTTGGTTGACGGCGAGGAGCATGCCCTTGGTGCAGTGGGCGCCCTTTGGCTGAGGGCAGTAGAACCAGAGCGGGCTGTTGTCGATGACGGTGAACTGGTAGACGTTGGGGTTCTGGCCCTCGGAGGTGGCAAAGTTGAAGCCGGCAAAGAGGCCGGTGCCGTCTGCGAGGGGAGTGCACGGGTGGGCAAAGTCGGATTGCGCGATGGAGTGGTTGGCGGCGAGGAAGTGAATCTGTGGATATGCTTTAGTCTTTGTCGTACGCAGACAGTTGCTTTCAAGTTTTCAGAACACTTCTTACCTCGACAGTATCGCCGGGCTGAGCAACCACGTTATCGGGGTCATAGACAAGCGCTCCTCCCCGTCCTGCGACGACAGAGTGTGTCACTCCGGTAAGGAACGTTCTTGAAGGCAATCTGTTGCCGATGGTAGCGGTTCCGGCAGGGATCGCGGCGACGCTGGCGACGGCAGCGGCCAGGATGGTGAAGACGTTGAAAGAAACCATCTTGAATGTAGTAGTAGATTGTTGTAGTGCTTATAAAGAGATTGTATCAAAGCTTGCAAGGCTGGTTTGCGGTTGTAGTTGTGGTGGTGGTGGTTGATGAGGAAGTTGAAGAGGACTGGAGGTTGTTGTCGTGATGATTGCTGTGATGATGATGATGATGATGAGGAAAGAACAACTTGAACGGGACCCGATCATCTTATTTATACAAAGATGCCATTGCGAATCCATCATTCATCCACAATCAACATGAATATCTAAATTTGACCGTCGCACAGCAAAGCTAGCACAGTACAGCCTCCCGGTTGAGAACCTACCCGAGCAGCTCCCAGCATGTTGGGTTGGGCATTTACCAAATCCGCCCACCTCAGCACTAAGCTCGCCATGTTCCGAACGCTCTAGTCGTTTTCCTGCACGGGACGTGATTGGGCTGTTGGGACAAACCATCGTGAGGCCAACGCCGTTTGTGGTTATTTCGTCAGCACCAGGAACAGAAATGGTCTGGGTCTGCGCCACCGGGTTGGTCTAGTGCCGTTCTAGTTCTGTTTAAGCTATGTCAGCCACAGGGCGACCTATAATTAGACCTTGCACTTGTGTAGGTAGATATGTAGTAGTAGTAGGCAAGGTATGTAAGACCTCGTTACTAAGAGACCTGGAGCTCTGGCTATGAATAGTTGGGCGTGGGAAGATGAGATGGAGATGAGATGCCAGTCTCCATTTGCGTCTAGTAGACAGATGTTGATGATAAGCTTGCTGGGAAGCTTTGCTGGAGCTGTTCAACACCGCTTTACAAAGCAGTCTAGGAATAGCTCGCGTGTTGGACTTGAAGTCTGTCACTACTAGGTAGGAGTTGCACAACCAACACGCAGACCCAATCCTTCAACTTCTGCAGCCAACAGCATCTGCAGTCGTCTTCCACCGCTTCGACAATGATGTCGTCCGCCTCCGTAGAAACCTCTACAATAGTGTAAGGCCACAGTAAAAATCCATCTTTCTTATTTCTTGGAGGATCCTCGGCGCAGCTCGTAGTAGAACAACAGCTCTGCCAGCTGACCACGTGGAGGCACAACTAAGTGCTGACGGCATTGTTTTGTTTCGTTTCTACTAGTCATCATGCCATGTGCTAGTCTCGTTGTAGTAAGTTTCCCAGCTGACTTGCGATGAAGCTGATCCAGAATAACGACATCACCGCGTTGGGCTCTGCTGTTGCAGACTGTCAATGGCGGGGGAGGCGCCGTTTTGGCAAGGTAACACAAGTCATCCTTGACCGCAATATGGAAAGAAATGTGAAAAGTCCGAGTGTATTCCGGCTAATATCTTGACAGTCGCTGTGCAACCAGCTAGTCTACCCTAACGGTAGGTCCACAAACAGAAGAAGACTTTCTTGACAGCATGTCTGTGGTCCGGCATCCCCCAAAGCACCAGAACTTCATAACTCATCAGTCGTACCGCTTTCCTTGCACCAAACTCCAAAAAAAAACCACAACAGCATCACTTGCCCAAACCCTTGAGCATGTCGACCGCTCCCGGCGTCTCGTACCACGCAGCGTAGTTGTATCCGAGCACCAGCAAGGCTTCGTCCTCCGTCTGGAGAGAGTACGCGTGGGAGGGTCTGCGCAAAACGCCAGCATCCGGATGGTTGACGAGCAGCTTCCAAAAGTGCGGATTGTATGCCTTGACGGCTCTATACAGCGCCTGGACCTGCCTCTTGATCTTGTCGACGAGCTGCGATGTCTCTTCCGGCTGTGCGAGGAGAATGTCCTGCCGTGCCCCGACAACGTTGCCGACAAGCTGCCCGCGAATCATCTCAATGACCTCGGCTGGAATGGAGCCCTTGAGGGCAATCCGGGCATTCTGGATGGCCTGGAGGTCGAGCAGGATTCGCACCTTGATGAGCACCAGCGCCGCGGCGTGGCTCAATGCCATGAAACTGGAGCGCACCAATCCGCTGGGGGGCTCCTCAAAGACATCCGCGTCCTTGACGTTGAGGAATGGTAGGCTCATGTTGGCCCAGTCGTAGTGAGGATCCTGGCCGGCGGTTGCGTACCACTTGACGAAGTCGTAGGCGTCCTGGTCCCGGCCGAGTCGAATGTACAGCGCGGGAACAAGGTCTCGCACGCCCAGGCTGTCGCTACGACTCAAGCGCAGCATGTCCAGGAGATGACGAAGGCAGGTTTCGGCCAAGTCGACAGGGCTGTTGGCGGTACCGTAGCTCATGAGCATTGTGTCAACATAATTATAGCGGGCGCGCATGTAGTCGCGGGTTTCCACGATGCGCCAGAAGCGGCCGACGTGTTCCTCAAAGAAGTTGTCGGGATCCTCACGTAGCGTCTTCTCCTCCTTCTCGTATAGAGTCCGCGCCTTCTTGATCAGTTTGCACGGGATCTTGTGGTCCGGCCAGTCTTCTGCTTGACAATCCTTTGAGCAGTACCAGATCGACTGGCATGAAGCACAGCGTTGGATGCCATCTTTGCGCTTGCGGCACAGCTCGCAGGATCGAGGAGCGAGGCCGTTGAGCTTGATGCCGCTCAGCTCGCAGGTGCTGACGAGCGGCATTGCCTCTGAGAGGGAGGGAAGATCAGCTGAAGAGAGCCAATGTTGATGAGGCTGAGTTTTTAGAAGAAGGAGAAGTCGGGAGCTGATCAATTGAGGTTTCGGTGAAGAAGAGAAGTTGGTGATGAAAGTAGGAAGTTGGAAGTTGATGTTCATCTGGAGGCACCTATTCACGGTCAATTCACCTTACTGCCGGTGGGGATGTGCCGATAAGTCTTATCGTGGCATCTCCAAGTTCACCGCCTATCACGTGCTTCGTTTGTCCATGCGCCCTCAGGGTGAGGCCGTGATGGCAAACAATCCTCCATCTCTAGGCATACAATACAAGTCCGACCCAGACACCGCGATGGAGCTTTTCATGCAGTCCATATCGGATTGAGATATTGCGATGAAGGAACCCGATATCGCCTCCTCTATTCATATAAAGCTGACATGGCCGCGTGATGAGTGAATCCATCCCTCGCCCTTTATTGATACAGAGCTGACATCGTGATGAGTGAACCCAACTCTATAACAATTTCCTCAGCCTATGCAGCGCTTCGACTGCACAAGCTTCGATTATTTGCTCACGGGTACCTAAAAGTTTCAAGGGGATTAGATCAAAGTCTCTCCATGGGCTCGAGAATGGCGGGTTCGAAGAGGGTCATACCTGGCAGTTTGTACCCATAAGAAACCGTCCCCTTTGGCCCAGCGATGCCGATATATACCGTCCCAACAGGCTTGTCGTCCTGCTTTTCCGGACCTGCAACCCCCGTTGTTCCTACTCCCCACACCGTCTCGCTTCCTTCGAGGCTGGTGACTCTGCGGGCTCCCTCGGCCATCTGCTTGGCGACCTCCGCGTGTATGACGCCCTCCTTGGCGACGAGCTCCTTGTCGACGCCTAGCAGCTCTATCTTCATAGCGGTATCATATGATACGACACCCCCTCTGAAGACTTGTGACGCTCCCATTGCTGAGGCTATCGCGCTACAGACAGCGCCGGCCGTTAATGATTCCGCCACGCCAACTGTTTGGCCGGCATCTCGAAGCTTTTCGACAAGATCCGTAGCAGTGTGGAAGGCCGTCTCTCCAATGCGTGGCTCTGGTTGAAAATCGGAATCCATGATGGCTTGGGGTTTTGATTGAAGTTGGATATGAGAAAAAGAGAAGAATCTAGGGTACGCGGTGCAACAGGTGCTTTGTGTGATTGCAGCAACCAGTCGATGGGTTTGTATCACTAAACGCATCAGAGGTCGCAGAAAATGTGAGGAAAAAGAGTTTGCCTCTTCTTCCAATGCTACAAGTACCTGGCTTATGGCCAGTTGTTAAAATATACCGGACATTGTACCGCCGTTGCCATGTTGGCCTGAGGGGAAGGGGCAAAGGCAGATCGGCGCCTTGCTTCGTTAAACACGCAGATCTGAATAGCATCGTCATAACCTTATACCTAGCCGATCAGTCAACACACAACAATCCGCGCCTGTAATCAACTTTTGCGCCATCGCCAAATTACTCTGGGGGTCTCATGGGGTCCAATTGGCTTCGGTCTGGTGGCTCCATGCTCAACGGGAATGGATTGCTCAGTGTTACATCATCAAACCCTTTGACCCGTCGCTGAGCACTGTGGCAACACGTCATGATACTGTCAGCCACAGCGGTTCGAAAGTCGCCATTTGCAGCCTCATCAGCACTCGCAGGTGGAAATGCTCCGGTGAGGAGAATGGCAAGAAGGTCCGGCGACGGTAAGCTCAACTTCACTTGAACGACCCTCAGCAATCTCGATCTCGAGCCTCCGGCAGCACCAGAGTCGCCACCGCCGCCGACCCCGGCTCCGGCTCCTGCTCCTGCTCCTGCTCCTGCTCCCGGCACCCCGCCGGCGTTATTCCCGCTCGCCGAGCCGGACCTCGAGGCTCTCCCCGACTCACCGAGAGGTGAGCGGATATGTCGACGGGCGGAGTGGCGACTCTCCCTTGCATTCCTATCGTGTTCGATCAACGATGCCGGTCATGTCTTTGTCGCTGAAGATTTCCGCCATCGACACGTTTCTTAGAATACCGGCTACTATCGCTACATACTTCTATCGCACATATATCACATACTATCGCATACAATGCATTATCCGTGAACAATGGAGCCAGTCAATTCTTCGTCCACGCCAATCCCTGACCTTCCGGGGGCGATTGAGCTGTTTATTTGATGTCAAACGACCGTTAGTTGCTGCCGTTCAGACTGGCGCATGAACACGTCTAGCTCAATGCACTCCCTACATACTCCGATTCTCTCATACCGCAGAGGCGTCCCGTCGAGAGGGCGTAGAATGAGAATATACGAGGTGATGGTCTCGGCAATCTCGCCCGCATCGTCAACTTCGACGAAGCTATTTCGCCCAAAGAGCAGGCAAACAACCTGCGAGCCCGAGGCGACATGCATGTCCAACCTGTAGTCCGGGTTGAAAGTGGCAAACTGCTCTCCAAGCTTCAGTCCATACTCGTCCGTGGCTCCTGCACCCATCAGAACATCATGGCCTTCGCTTTTCCTGGCTTCCACGATATCATTCCACTCCTGACCGTGGTACAACACTCCGGAAGCGGCATATCCCGACAGAGACAGCTGCCCGCTCACCATATCACCCATGAGAGCATCTCCGGCATAAACAACCTCGCTTCCCGAGAACTCCACGTCTTCCAACGATAGCTGCCAGCATTCAACATCGCCCACCACGGAGGCCCACGACCACGATGGCAAGCCAATGTCAGGCTTTGCCCGAGGAGGTTCAGCCAGGTACCAGAAGAACGACTCTTCGAGTTCCTTTTCCCACATCCCACATAGGTACTCGGCCGAGTCGTACCCTCTGACCGTCGCCGTCGCCTTTCCGATGCCTGCGAGAGCTGGAAGCCTGTCGGCGACCACCGTCAGGGGCCGCTTTGCATAGCCTTTGATTATCTCAACCCATGCCTTATCCGCAGCTGATCGCTTGTACGAGTGGCGAGTGCTCTGGTTACGCATGTTGCTGTCGTACCACCCGCACTCGCATTGGGTCGTCTCGAGGCATTCCCAGATGAGCTCGTTGCGCGTAAAGTGAAGCATTCGGCGCGACAGCAGCTGTTCCTGATATACCCAGCCTCTGCTCAAGAGAGGCCATTCTGCGTCGGGATCATCGACCGTAGCCTCCTCCGACCAAGTGAAGTGTGGTTTCCTACGACGTATAAAGATGGATTGTCCATTTGCTTCGCCGAGATCTACAGGCAGTTCACGGGGCTCGCTGTGATCTCGAAAGAGGCTTTGATGGGGCCTGTCACACCACGAAGCCGCTACGGTGAGTTCGGCATTCGTGTAGATCAAGGCCATTTTTGCTGCCTCTCGCTTCCAGTCGTCCTTGTCGTCTTGGACTATGCACAAGCTGTCGATCCATACGTATTCGATGCCCAGTCGACGCAACACCTGCACGACATCCTGCATCATCCGAGGGAGACTTGCTATAGGCATCCCATGCTGCTTCCGATCCGGCAAATTGGACGTCAACAGGGAGACCGTTGGTGTCTCGCTCGTCCATCTATGGCTCAAAGCTGCATATTTCACAGCCTCCGGATTCTCGACGAGATCGAGAACGTCAGTATCTTCCCTTTTGGATCCCAGGTAGAGTAGTCGTGTAGGCACAAATCCTGCGTCCTCGGCTTGACATTTCTCATGGGCCTGACAGTCCTTCAGCCACTTGGCTGCCTGATCCAGCGCATCATCATCTTCAGTTGTGCGCGAAATTTGGAAGCCTCTGCACAGAACAGCATGCGGCGGCGCGTCGTCGGTGAAGAACGCTGGCTCGCCCACTGGAGCCTCGCTGCTGCAGAGCTCAAAGACGTGCAGTGCATCATTGGCATCTGTAAGTTCCAGCGTGGGACTGCCTGGCGAGTTCAGGTTGGGTTGCCAGCTTGCCTCTTTGAAGTCAGCAACTCCGAGCTTCTCAAAGGCCGAGGCGAGAGCCGCGCATCGGTCACAGCCACGCTCCGAGGACTTGACTAGATCAGCAGAGGTAAACTCGCGAGAGTCGCTCTCTGCAAAGGCATATTCGTAGCGCCCGCTGACATCAGAGGGGAGAGATTTTGCGATCGGGGGGAGCTCGAAGAGACAGGCGCCGCACCACTGCTTTTCTTGCTTGTGCACCAGTGCCTTGAGACGATGCAGCATGGTGACGGGTTGTCGTAAGGCGACAGGTGAGTAACCGCAAGAAGCGTTCCGATCACCGTTTCCTCCAAGGGGCCGACGGAGCCTTGGACACTGCTACTATTCTGTCTATAGGCGGTGGTGATTGCCGGGGCTTCAATCACTTGCTGCGCGAGATGCCGGCAGGGTCGGTGTGGTGTTTCTGGTGAGGTCTCTGGTGAGGAGGTTCCATCGCCGACGAATGCCCTGGCAAATGCGCATCTGCCTGGCTAGTGCAAAGGATCTGCTGACTTGAGTTGTTTAGGCGCGCTTGTGGCCGAGTTACAAGGGTGCGAGACTGCGAGTACAGTATTCCGGCGATACTAAACGCAGGTTAGGTACATGTAGGGGGCTGAGAATGAATATTGGGCAGCGGAGAAGCATCACGATAGGACCATCGCGGCAATGTGTCAAGGAGCGAAGGCAAGGAAACTTCCCCAAGCTTCTGAATAACCGTCTGTCAAACGATTGGATGGCTCGGCTTATGGTACGAGGACGACCAGATGACCTGCCGGCACTAGACTAGGTCTCTGCCGAACGGCTACGCGGCTTATTGCTGATGCGGTGCAAGGGTGCGGGCTTAACGTCCTTCTGTGTTTGGCATCTTGGACGTATGACTGCGGCGAGATCTGATTATGTGTGGATGCTGGGGGGCTTTGCATGGAGGTGCGGGCGAGTCATGTCAGCTTGTCAGCCGTTGTTTGTCCGCTCGTGGTTTGCAAGTGAAGACGGAACATGAACTCTTGTAATACAGTAAGGAGTAATAATAAGTGCTAATAGTGAATCAAGACGCGGTCGATATCACCAAGATGATGGCAGCGCCACTGCCGCGTTGGCCCTGCAAACTGCTTCAAGGGTCGTGGATCTACCCGATGGCGCTCTTAGACATGCTATTCTCCGCTACTATTGCTACTTCCTTCTGATCCTGGCATCATATCTACAAGATAGAGCAGATGAAGAATTTATACTCGGGGATGGACTCTAGAATATCATGTATACATGGGATGCTGGATATATACGAGTACCTTCTCATTCTTTCGACTTCGATATGACCTGCTCTGGTGAATGTCTTAGCTCTGGGTGTATCGTTGGCAGAGCCGTCAGCTTGAGTGCCCTACCCCCCTAGGCCAGCGAATGTACCTCGCAGCGTGGGATCTGACGCAGGAGTGCATGCTCCCAATCCCACGTATCAGCGTCCATCCTGCCGGGCATGAGGCTTATGGCCGGAGGGGATGCTTCTGGGTGGCATCAAGGAATCATTCAGTGCATGGCTAGACGAGATGGAGCAACTGCAAGAGGACGCCTGACGGTAACATCGTTCGTGGTCAGCCTTTGGCGTTACATGGGTTATTTTCCGTGTTTTTGTTTCCGTTGGAGGCTGACGGGGCTGTGGTAGGATAGCTGTGTGTGAAGTGGTTAATTGAGTCCTTTAGATCGTTTGTTGAGGAGAGTGGAAGAATGGGTAATGATTGCTTCAACTCTGATCCTCGCGAATTGCTAGACAGAGTTATACATGGCAGCTGTTGTACTTGGCAAATAGCGGCGATTCGTGGTAGCGGTTGCAAAGACAGGACAACTACCCCAGAGTGCGGAGAAGGGGCTAAACACAGGGCGGTAGTTCATCCGTCGACAAGGCTGTGTCAACAGCGACATGATTGTAGTACTACCTATCGGGCACCAAGCGCCGATAGACAACTCAACTTGCGGGCCGCAGAATGCGATGGCTGCGGCAGAACTTATTGATGAACATGTACTTTGGTGGATCTGGGCTTCCATAACACTGGCGGAGAAATAGCAAAGCTAGGGGGCTCGACACACTCGTTTCTAGAGTCTGAACAGCACGAGTTTGTCAATTCGGCCGGGGTTGGACACATCAATCACGATCTGACCGGCGTGCCGTGGGTGCTACGGAATGTGGTTGACTGCCGGAACCCGCTGCGTCTCTTCAATCCCTCTTCTCTCAGTATTCCTTGAGTTGCCTTTTACTCCGTCTCAGCGGTCATCGGCGTCCCGTTGGTGGCAAAACCCGGTCAGGCCTAGGCAATTATGGGGACGGAGCCTCCCCCCCCCTGGCTAATTTAAAGGTCCCTGACGTTGACATCCCTCGGCCCTGACGGTTCACAACTGACCAAGGCTGAGTTCGGCAGGTCGGATTCGTGAGATGGTTCAGCTGTAATGGACAGATGAGGAAGGAATTAAGTGTGCCGTTTCTCTGAGATTCCTCGTATAAGGTGATGGCTCACGGCAGTAACTCCAGGCTTACTCTGCGGGTCTCGGCGTCTGATTTGTATGCCAATTGTATGTTTTCCGCAAACAATGAAGCCAAAGACCAAAGTTTTGATCTGAATAGGGATCGAGTCCCCATATGGAATGGGATTTTAGGTTGATCGGCCTCGGCTGTTGTGTTGGAATTATAGAAAGCCACAACATGGAGCATCCCAGTTTGCACTATGTAGGAGTTGTATACTGAAAACTGCTAGGACTCAACTAGTGCGCATCTCCAGTGTAAGCCGCGTCCAAAACCATGGCACCGATCGCGAGCCATCCGGAATTCCGCAATTCTTGTTTACTCAGGTGGGCTCGCCCTGACCGGTAGACAGCCTTGCGGCAAGCCTTCAAGGTCCCCGGAATGAACCAAACAGGCACGTTGCCAGCGGCCACGTAGGGCGTCGAGTTGTCGAGTATATGGTTTCTGGCTTAGCTCGCTTTAGCCGTGGTGGGTGCACTAGAGCCTTAAGGGGGAGGGACATCGAGATGGATAGGGGGGGGGGGGCCGGACCAGGCTTTCGCTTCGGACCGATCTGGTATACCTTTATGGCATGTTTCATGCTATGCCTGGGACTATCGCTGTTGTCAAGGAGAGGATGTCGCGGAGATATAAAGGGTTGGGCAGGTGCCCGATCTGAGTGTTTCGTGATCCTCACGCCAACGGCCATTTACTCACAATGTTGTCGATGGCGAGCCTCCGCCGCCTCGGGCTCAGTGCCCTTGCTGCTGCAGCATCTCTGTCTTCGCTTGCCAGTGCTGACGTCTCCGTCCGATCTCTCGAGTCGAGACAGACTGCCGCGGACAAGCTAGTGTTTGCTCACTTTATGGTAGGTATACACGTTCGGGTCTCTGCGATGGCCTCCCAGCTAATTGTATATTCCCGTAGATTGGAATCGTTGGCGATCGTACTTCCGCATCAGACTATGATTCCGACTTCCAGCTTGCCAAATCCGTGGGCATTGACGCCTTCGCCCTCAACATCGGCACCGACTCGTACACCGACCAACAGCTGGAGTACGCTTATACGTCGGCTGCGAACAATGGGATGAAGGTCTTCATCTCCTTTGACTTTAACTGGTGGAGCACCGGTGACGCCGCTGGAGTTGGTGCCAAGGTCAAGCAGTTTGCCGGTCATCCTGCTCAGCTCCAGGTTGACGGCCGTCCGTTTGTTTCGTCTTTTGCTGGTGACGGCCTCGATGCCAATGCTATGAAGGCTGCGTCCGGTGTTAACCCTTACTTTGTGCCCAACTTCCATCCTGGTCAGTCGAGCACCGATGGAATTGACGGTGCCTTCAGCTGGCAGGTAAGTTGCGAGCTTCTGTGTGGGGTAGGGTTGTGGTGTAAGGCGTGATGCTGACGTGCTGGATAGGCCTGGGATACCAACGGCAACAACAAAGCCCCGACGCCTGGAGCCAACGTGACTGTTGCTCAAGGTGATGCTTCTTACAAGAGCTGGCTAGGTGGAAAAACGTACATGGCGCCCGTCTCGCCCTGGTTTTCGACGCATTATGGACCTGAAGTTCTTTACAGCAAGAACTTCGTTTTCCCTTCAGGGCCATTGTGGTACAATAGGTGGCAGGAAATCTTGACCGGAGGCTTTAATTTCGTCGAAATCATTACCTGGAATGATATTGGCGAATCGCATTATGTTGGTGTGTATAAAATCCGACGGCTTTCCCCTTATTCGCATCAGCACCATCACCAGATCACAACTCCACCTCAACGCAAACACCACAACACCACCCCGCCACCACCCATCACTAATCGATCATTGTGGCAAATCCAAACGATTGCTCTTGATTCAAACATTCTAGACATTTCATTCACATGCTCCTTTTGCTCAGTTTTGCCATCTGAGACAACATCAAGCTAACCGTTCCGTAGGCCCTCTTTCCAGCAAGCACGGCGACGATGGAGGCAGCAAATGGGTGAGCATCTTCCCCTTACATGGATCTTGCATCTTACAGCTCTCTAACCCGGATATAGGCAAACGATATGGACCACAGTGGCTGGCTCACTCTTGCAAAGCCCTTTATTGCTGCCTTCAAGAACGGAGACACAGATGTTTCCAAGTATATCGAGGATGAGCACGTCATCTACTGGTATCGCCGCAACTTGAAGTCATTGAACTGCGATGCCACCGACACCACCTTCAACGCACCTGCCAACAACGCCAGCGGCAACTACTTTGAGGGAATTCCTAACGGCTGGCAGACAATGGACGACGACGTGTACGTTGTGACGCTGCTCAAGAGCTCCGCAAGTCTATCCGCGACCAGCGGCGGAAACTCGCGCTCCTTCAATGTCCCGGCGGGAGCAACCCTCAACACTGTGCCCGCCGGCCTTGGCAAGCAGAGCTTCGCCGTCAGCCGCAACGGCCAGAACGTCCTGTCCGGAACCTCCCTGATGGACATCACGGACGTGTGCAACTGCGGCATCTACAACTTCAACGCCTTCGTCGGCGAGCTGCCCGCGGGCCCGCGTGATGTCCTCGGCCCCGATGGTCTGACCTCGCTGACCGTCGGTCTGCATGTGACAACCTGCCTCCCGCAGCCGTCCTTGGGAACGAACCCGTCTGTGCCCGCCAGCCAGCCTGCCACCCCCACGAGCGCCAAGCCGTCCAAGACGAGCAGTGCGGCGCCTTCTGATCCAACCAACTGCAATGGCGGCACCGTTGCTCCCGGCGAGTCTGGCAACTTTACCGGTCTCTGCAGCTTCGCTTGCAGGTAAGTCGAGATGCTTCTAGTTTGTCTCCTCCTCAGCTAACATGAAGTCAGCTACGGATACTGCCCTGTTGGCCCTTGTGTCTGCACGAGCTTCGGCCAGGCTCCCGCTCCTCCGGCGGGCGATGGACGGGACGGATGCCCCATTGCGGGAGAGCCGTCTTCGTACTCTGGCCTCTGCAGCTTCACTTGTAGTCACGGGTATGTCATACTCTTACAGCAAGCCCAGCTTTGGTTCAATGCTAACATACCGAATATAGATACTGCCCGGAGGGAGCTTGCCAGTACTGCTAGACCCGTTGATTATCTCGTTGGCAATTCTGATCATAGAAACTGTACATACCTACCTAGAATAAACCGTAACTACCTACCTTATATTCCTCAGAGTGGTACCTTGAAAACGTGATGCGGAACGTGGACAACAAGCTTCGCAGCCCGCCTGCCAACCTGCTTCTATTCTTGGTAGCGCCTGTTCTATTAAACCTTCTATACGTCCCCTTTCGACGACATGGAACGTTCGGTGGTTATCGCGGATACTTGTTGGCTTGACTCGTGCTCTGTATACAACAGACGCGTACTGATCACGTATTAGACGTCGTTTGAGGGCGCTTCAACCAACGCACTGCAGCGTCACATTCTTGGACGTGTCGGCGTTGCTTCCCCCATGCTCCAACAAAGCAAAAGTGTAGCTTCCTTTCTCGAGCTCCCACTCGTCCTTCCTGTTGATTATCTTGAGATACCTGTCAACTTCGAGCTGGATGTTCGCAGTCTTCTTCTGCCCAGCTTCCAGATAGACACGCTGGAAGCCGACCAGCTGCTTCACTGGCTGGGTAATCGTCGATACGCGACCCAAAAGGTACACCTGCGCTACATAGCTTCCAGCAACCGAGCCAGTGTTCTTCACAGTCACTGAAAAGGTAATCCAATCACCCGAGCCAAAGGACTGACTTGTTTGAGCATCGACGCTGGACCTCTTTGAGCTGCCGCTGACAGATGCAGTGGGAGAAGATGTCGAAAAGGTGGTATAAGAGAGGCCGTATCCAAAGGGGTATATGGGCTCCGACGGAATGTCAAGGTACTGGGCCGCTCGGGCAGATGGCTTGTAGTTGTAGTACGCTGGGATCTGTCCAACCGACCAGGGTACTGTAATCGGCACGCGTGCTCCCGGGTTGAAGTCGCCAAAGAGTACATCGGCAATCGCCTGTCCACCAGCTTGACCACCGAAGAATGTACTCAGAACCGCAGAAGAGTTTCCGTAGTGGTCGGGAATGGCCGATGGTCTTCCGCCCTCGAGGACAAGCACCACGGGTTTGCCGAGTGCAAATACTTCCCTTGCCAGTTCGTCTTGACTGGGCGCAAGTCCTAGGGTGCCGCGATCACCCGACTCTCCGTCACTATTCCAAGCAGCGCCCACTGCGAGAATGACAACATCGCTGTCTTTGGCAATAGACACAGCTTGATCAAGGGCTTTGCCGTTGGGAGACACAAGGTTCCACCAAAAGATGAGCTGCGAGTTGACAGAGTTGACGTTGGCCGTCTTCTTGTAGTTGTTCCACGACTGGAACTCGATGCGGACGTGGTGCTTGGCATTCTTCTTGAACGTAAACTCAACGCCGCCCTGAGGAGGAAGAGTGGAATTGGCCTGTGTCCAGGCATACCCCTCAATCGTCCCCAGGAGGTTCCCTGAACCGCTGTAGCCTTTGGACGAGATCAGCTTTCCGTCGACGTAAAGCTTTGAAGTGCTGTTTGGTCCAATTGCAAGACCAATCCATCCGTTGACGTCGAGGTCAGTAGGTGATTCCAATTCACCCTCCCAGACGGCACTAAAGTTGTTGGAAGAAAGACCAGGCGGAGGATAGAGGCCCCAATCCTGCGCGGGAACCTCAACTCGCGTGGCCTTGGGAGAGGTAAAGTTGGTATGTGCATAGTATGTGGCCTTTAGGCCGCCAGGCTTGCCATTGGTAGAGAGGAGGTAGCCTGGGATGACATATTGGTTGTTGTATTCCCACGAATTCGTGCCCCAACTGGTGCGAACTGTGTGGCCGGATTTGTTTGCATGGCGCAAGACGCCCTCCCGAAGTGTTTGCGTGTACTTTGCGGGATACTGTCCAAGCGCACCAGAGTAGTCGCCGAGATTAATGGTATCGGCAAAAGGCCCGATGAGAGCAATCTTCTTTGGGGAGCTCAGCGGGAGTGTCCGGTTGTCATTCTTGAGCAAAATGATACTTTTGTGCGCGGCCTCCAGGGCAACGTCTTGATGGCTGGCGACAACCGCGAGAGGATCAATGTGCTCCGGGATATAGGGATTCTCAAAGAGGCCAAGGTCCCATTTGACGCCCAGAATCTTGCGGACATGGGATTGAAGCGTCTTGAGGGGTACAGTCCCGTTGGCGACAAGGGCTTTGGTGATCTGCTCTTGTCAGCACTGTCCACCGTTTGTTACGTGTGGCTTCCTACATTGATCTTGCTGTCCAAATCGAAATCGTAGAAATCAATTTGTCCACCTGCGTTGTACCACTGCTGGAGCGTGTCTGCTTCAGAGGTGGTAACTCTATGCTGTGTGAGGAGGTTACGCATGGCCCTATATCGAGTAAGTAAAAGTCTGAAGCCAGATCAGTTTACTTACGTATCATCGCCGATGACAATGCCGTCGTAGCCCCAGTCATCCAGCACCTCGTACAGCATCGGGTTGACGCAACTCGGCACGCCATCAATTTCATTATAGGCCCTGCGCATGGTCAGTTGGTGTGACTTCATGAGCATCTATACTCACGTACATCATCACGCCCCTCGCTCCTCCCAAATCATAATTTGCCTTGAAGGGAACAAGAAGATCTTGCTTAATCTGTCGAGGCCCAAGACCTGTAAACGGTGCTGTGTTGTGGCCGGCTTGAGCGGCGCCATGAGCGGCAAAGTGCTTCATGATGGGAAAGACAGCGTCCGGGTCGGACCACGTCTTGTTCTTGGACAAACCGGAAGAATAAGCCGAGCCAATGTGGGATGTCAATATCTTGTCTTCTCCAAAGTCTTCCTGAACTCTTCCCCATCGAGGGTCTTGTGCGAGATCAAGGACCGGTGAGAAACAGCCATGAATGCCAATCGAACGCGCTTCCGTTCCGATGGCTCTTCCGACCCGGTACACAATGTCGGTGTCAAAGGAGGCCGCCATCGCAATGTTCTGAGGGAAGATGGATTGCTTGAACGAGCCCACGCCGTGCAGACACTCTTCTACAAGCATCATTGGGATCTTTACGTGAGAATTGTCCAGCTGGAGCTTCTGGAGAACGTTAAAATAAGACTTGTTCATGGGGTACCAGTCGTGGATGGTTCCAATGGGGGATTTCGGACTGAGATGCATCGTTTGGTCTGGACGCGTTAGACGACGCTCGTGTTGCAATGGCAATGGGGAGAAGTTTGAGCCTTGTCAGGAGAAGCTTTAAAGTGAGGGAGAGGCAAGATGTATTATACCGTATAACTCATTGTGTGAAGCAGCTCCGACAATATCGTCGGCAAACATGAGATGGAGTTGCAAAACTATAGACGTCAGCTCTAAGATGAGACGTGTATCTGGTATAGGGCATACCTAGATCTTCCAGGGTAAGTTTGGAGATCAAGGACTCAATAAACTGGTCCTTGGTCGGCGGCCTTGTCGACGACGATGTATCACGACCAAAGTTCCAAAAGCCGGCCTCCACCTGGGAGACAATGGAGGCGGCCGCAAAGGCTGCTGTTTTCCAATGTTTGAGCCGCATTTTGGCGCGTCGTTCATACTTCCCGTGAGATCTACGGTGGACTCGTAATGTCAATAACAACACTCAAGTCATGTTTTATACTTCACGGGAAAGGTACACCTCAATCATACGTTCTCTCATAGAATGAGGGGGATCGACACACTTCGATCTAGCAATGCGGGGAGTTATCCGATCGTGTAAAGTGGCTAAATGGTGTTGCCGATTATGGGTACAATGCGACTCTATCCAGGATCTATTATCCTACGGAATTTATTCTTGCCAGTTCAAATGCCGTGCTTCATCCCCACATGCTGTCATAAGCCCAGTGATGGACAAGGTTCTGTTGAAGCGAAGTACGAATGTGCATTAGCTACTACGGGTGATTCTTGATTGTCGGAACTTGGTATTAGGCTGAAGATGTAGCTGGAAATGCCTTGAGTTGTTGGATGTTATTGGCTAGGCAAATGACTGGATGAGGAGAATGATCCGTAGGATATAAATGTTGGGAATAAGAAGGTGCATTTTCCAAATAACCTTCACAGAACGTCACATTGCATGTCGTGTTTGATCGAATGCGGTATCGATTCGCGGTCGTATTGCTCGTTGCCCCCGAAGTGACAGGTTGGGTGTCACCTAGAGTGTTATTCATCTAGGCACAATACCCCATTATCGTGACCGTGAACACTAGCATATAAGTCTTGAGTAACTCTGAAAGTTAGAAGAATGTTTCTTTTCTCAAGGACACCACTGGCAACATATTCAAGCCATGAGTACTTGGGGAAAAGAGCCGCAGAAGTCAATACCTAGTACTCGGTCTCAGGCATGGAGCGGGCGACTTGCAGATAGCTTTCACCCCATAACATGATGGCGAATAGATTCACTTACCCCGAGGCATCAACTTGCGGCTCTCAATCAAGCCGCTGAAATAGAACATTCAGCTTCCCTTGGGCAGGAACTATTGTTTTGTTGCAGTATCTCACGATATATCAAGCTCGACCGTTCAGACACGGCTGCAATTTCAGCATGCTCAGTCAGTTCTGGAGAATTATGCAACCCAACATGGGCTGTTTTCATGGGATAGCAAGCTTTGAGGCCTGGTGAACAGCCTCTGTCCCACCTTCAAGTAGGGAAAATGCGGGTCGCCTGAGCTCGCAGTTGGCACCAAAAGTTACTTGGAGGATACCTACACCATCACAGTTGTTGCTGAAAGGTCTCCTTGTTAGTTTCAAGTAATGCTGACGGATTCTTGGCAAGCATCACTGAATTTGGCGGCCATCATAGAGCTTTAGCCACATGGATAATATCAGCTTTGGAGCAAAGGTCTTTATCACGGTGACCATTCCAACATCAAGGCACATATGGCTCTGGATTAAACTCTTTCATCAAGAGATGGCCCAATGACAAAGTACGTCAATTCCACGACGATACAGGAGAGTAGTTGGTTTCCGAAATGGACTGTGGCCTCATGGTCTTAATGGGCTGCATCCTGAGTGTCACGAGGTGTCTCGGGTCATACCAATTGACTCGAAATCTAAAAGATCTCTAGACATGAGGCCCAATTGCCTGATTAATTATTATATCTTATCATATAGGAGTCAAATATCAATACGGGTATCCAAGCTCAGCAATTTCCATGTCATCAACCTAGGACAGCAGCAGCGCCATGCCCAGAGAGGCCGCAACGATTCCAATAGACGCCTGAACAGAGCCCGCCCCGGAGCAAGTGTCTCGCTTGTAGCCGTTTCCGTTGGGAGCCTTGTTGCCTGTAGTGCAGGATGTAGTGGTAGCTGCGGGAGCAGCCGTTGTCGTGGCCGAGGACGTCGCCTCGGCATTGGCAACAAGGCGCCCTCCAAAGACGGTAGCCGGGTTGGAAGCACTCTTGACGGATTTGGCGGCAGCCTGGTAAGCGTCGAGCGTGTCTCCTGAGGAAGGCTCGTTGACGACGCCGCTCATCCCGCTGATGCAGTGTGAAAATTTGTTCTGGGAGCAATAGAAAAAGATGGGGTCGGTGTTGTTGACAGTCACTTCAAACGTCTGGCTCTGCAGGGGCACTGTTAGATCGAGGCATCACCTTCAAGGAATTTGGGGTATACGTACGCCCACTCCGCTTGCCACGGGCATGAAGCCGGAAAAGAAGCCTCCCGTCTTGGCCGGGGCACAAGGGTTCGCAAAGTCTCCCATCACGACCGAGTGGTTGAGGGGATGGAAGTTGAAGGAGAGGACGTCGCCGACTTTGGCCTTGATGTTGTTTGGCTGAAAGGCGAATTGGCCGTTGGGACCGACATCGATCTTGATTGTCTCTGCACTGGCATGGGAAGCCAGCGCGATGATGGCGGCGGAGGCGAGGGCTGTAGCACGCATAATGGAGGAGCGGAATGGAACTTTTTTGAGGATGCTCTGTTGCTTCTGCTGATATTCGTCCATTGCGACATCCGCTTAGAGAGTAACTGTAGAGCTATATATCTATCAGTTGTCTGTTAGTCCCTGAATTCCCGAAACCAAATTCCAAATAATACCATCCGATATTGACCTAGAAACGGCACAACTCTGCGAGGCCAGGGAACGATTTTCTCTCCGCTCTGTTCGGATCGTTCCCCTTAACACGGCTACGATGCCTGCACATGAGCACGCGGCGAGTGGATGGAGCTCAGCTTCATCCAGACAAACTTCATGACAGGGCGTCCAAAAGGAGCAAGAGACGGTGGGATTGTGTTTCATTCCCGAACAAACGGATCATGCATCGGATGCTATATTAAGAGTCCTGCTAGCCATATCGGGGCGCGGGCCGGGGTTGGTCTGGCTTTTTGCGTCTGTCTCGTTGGAGTGCCCCTCGCGAACAACTTCCAGTCACTCCTGTCAGCCCGCTCGGTCGGGAGCAATATTTGGGCCGGTCTAGTTTGTTGGGAAAGGTTCACGAGGCAACTTCATAGTGCTCGGACTGGCCTCACTTACACAGGCGACCGATTGGAGGTGAACTTGTTGAACATGCTGAACCTGCTGGAGGCCCTGTGAGATGTTTCCCTGCTAGTTGCGCCCCGTCATCCACTAAGACGGCTCACGGCTTCGTGTACCTGGATGAATCTCACTTGACGGGAGCATGTCATAAGCTGTCCATGTGTCTTGTAGATTTTACTCGATGACGTCTTCCTAGTCAAGTCATGTGCTTGCAAGTCCGGAAAGTGGCTGACAACGTCGTCTCTCTTGTGCATTTGTGCAACCGCCTCAGCGTGATTGATGGGGATGTTTCTAGTGACGCATGTTGCAGTACCCTAAGCTGCCCCTTGAAAGAATTCACAGATTGCGCATTGAGATTTGGCAAACTATCTGCTGAGGTACAGCGATTGGACGCGTTCATGGTGCCAATTCGAATCCGCGCCGCCTGCATCTCGTACAATTACAAGCCACGCTCACAATGGTGAGATGCACTCTGATGTGGTATCGCTGGGAGTATCTCCTTGGCTGCGTTCTCACCGTATCACAACGACAGCAAAGCTACGACATCACCCTGCTGATAGCCTTTGCTACCCCTTTAAAGCTTGAGCATGATATCAAAGTCTGCAAATGGTTTGCATCCTCTTATAACCTACGCCCCACACATTTATCAGTCTATGGACTCTACGCAATTGCAAAGAGTAAAAAAGCAACACTTATGGATCGAGATATTTGAAGAATGGTAAAAGGTTGGCCTATCCCGACTCGTTGTGAAGACAAGCAACTGCGCACGCAATACATCGCGTCGTGGTCAAGCGAGGTGATACGCTCAACTCCCGATGCCATGCTATTATGCAAGAGTTCATCTCCAGGGCTGAGTCTCGACACCGCTCACGGCAGTCTTGTATAAGTTGTGGTCCACAGTCTCCTGCTGACGGGCAAGGAGCTCGTCGCGGTCCCAGTTGGCCCAGACAAAGCGTCCAGCCAGGAAGCTGGCCTTCTCAGACCCCAACCAGGCCGTGAAGTCGCCCGTGAGAGCTGCCTCCGTAATCACTTAACTATCAATGACCCCGGCTCTTACCCCCATCTCGATTTGTACAGCGCCTTGGGGGTATCACTAGTTCCTTTCTGCGAGTTGAGGTGCCGCTGTAGTCAACGCGCCGGAGGGCGGCAGTGAGGCCGGCGTACCGGGAGGTGTATTGCTTCATGTTGAGTGTTTGAGATAAGGAGTAGAGAAGACGACTGTTGATCGGTTCTGGGATGGCTTAGATGAACCATGGCGCTCTTTATACTATCGTCAACCACCTCTATGCATCAACCGCGTTACCGCCGAGCCCTTCTGTGTCCCCGTTATAAAGCCCCTTAAACATCGTCAACTCTGTGCGCATAATGCTCTCGCGCCGCTCGTATCGTAAATGTATGCTAATAGACGGCATTAAGGAATTCCTGCGGCTAGTTGAGAGGGCTTAGATGGAGTATTTGCAAGAGGCGGCAACAGAGGAAACTTTTGGCGATGTTTGGTGCTTGACAGGGGAGGCGGCCGTTGAGGCTTTCGGATCTAGTTCAGAGGGAATGCTGGGGCCAAGAACCGGCGTGAGTGAATATTCAAGACGTTGAACGGATTGTCGCTTTGACTTCAAGAACTGGATTACATGTGAGCAGACTGAGAGTGTCGTGCAGAGGCGGGTTGCCGCAACGATTACCTAGGTGCAGGGAGATAAGGAGCCCTCTCTGTTGCGGCTTCTATCAAAGGTCTCCCGTGAGAACCTGCTATGTCTCGTCTAGAGTCTCATTATTGCTCATTACCAGTCTTTTTTTGACGATATCGATGCTCCTCGTCGGCTCACTTACATCACGTTCCACCTCTCTCCTGGCCCTGTGAGACCTCTAAATCACGGCAAGGCGTCAGGCCCAAGCTCGGGTTCAACACCAGCATACATAGGACTCACCCGGCACATTGGCTCCATGCTTCATTGGATTCGGGCGATTCTTGGGTCTCATAGAAGGGCATCACATGCAAGACGCATCCAATGCTTGCCAGCCAGGTATGACATAATCAAAGCTGCGAGTGCGGAAGAAGAGGCGGAAGAAGCGGAAAAGCAGCCATCACGTGATGCATGATGACAAGCAAGTCGTGGATCGAGGTGGTAAAGAACCACGACAGTTTGTCTCTTCTCACAGCTTTATAGACCAAAAAATATCTGCCGAGATGCGACATGGGCAGAGAGCCGACCAGTGCCAGCTGTCATACGTGTCGCCGCCGCCGGATCAAGTGTGACCTGGAGAGGCCGAGCTGCGGACAGTGCCTCAGATCGAGATACGAGTGCGCCGGATACGAAAGAGTGTTGAGGATTCAGAGCCATGGAATTGGGCGTTCGAGCCTGGTCAAGATCGGGCAATCGAGCTCATTTCCTTCTGAAGCGTCAGTGAATCATGGCGAGAAGGACGGTAGCCGTTCAGCTCGAGGCAGCGGCAGGAACTGCAGAGGGAAGCCCGACGTCAAGTCAAGGCTACCGAGTCGCACGCAAGAAACGCAGCCTCTCATCAGCCAGCCCAGCCTCGACCCGTTTGTCGACAATGTCACATTCTCCTACTTCTTCGACGCCTACAGCTGGATCAACATGCACAGTATTCTGTTACAGGACACGCCCATGCGCCAGCATCTCACCCAGCAAACAGACGAGCTTGGCTACGACAGCCTTCGGGCGCTTGCCTACGGAATCTTTGGTCGGGATCATGATGTCGCGGGATTGCAGCAGAACGGTGCACGACTCTATGGCATGAATCTCAAGAGGCTGCAGTCAAGGCTGGGAGTAGCGTCCAAGTCAGAATTGGCCACTCTCATCAAGCCCATCTCCATCATGGGGTCGTATGCTGTAAGTTGAAAAAAGTCCTTTACATGCAATCACTTGACTCAGAAATGCTACGAACAAGTGATTGGTGAACGCTGACCAAGTCATTGTAGATTGCCGTAGATTCCGACCTTCGATTCGTCCACCACCAAGGGCTGGCTCGGATCCTGGAACACTGCGGGCCGGAATGCTTCAACGACGCATCAATTCTGCCACTCTTTGAATCCTGCAGATTCACAATGGTGAGTGCCACTGGCCTCACAAACTCTTACATACTAATCATTGATAGCTGGCCAATGCTCTCGTGCAAAGGCGTGGCACGTTTCTCGAACAAGAACAGTGGAAGACGGTGCCCTGGTCGAAGTGTCCGGAGAACAAGTCAAACACACAGAAGCTACTCGACATCATCTCTTCCCTCCCGAGGCTTCTCGAGGAAACCGACCGAGTCCTCAATGAACGTTCCCAATGGGTCGCTGGCAATCGCACCATCGTTCGCGAGGAGACGCCAACCACAGTGCCCATTCTTCAGCAGCAGCTCGATTCTATGATCTTGGACTTGATTGCCTGGCGTTATCACTGGATTGCGGACAACCCACAAGCACAAGACATCCTCGACTGGGCGTTGTACAGAGTGAGCGACGAGTCCTATCGTCCCGGCATCAATGACGTCCACGGTCCAGACGTGTATGGGCTGAACGTCGGCAACATCCCCTTGGAAACATTGGGCACAGAGCCCGAGGCGAATGCAAACACTTTTGCGCTGATGCAAGAAGCCGCGCTCTACATAACTGCCATCATCAGCACAGAAAGGCTGAAAAAGAACCTCGCCGGCGCCGCTCGTGCCCCAGACGCCATTGACTTTTACAATGCTCCAAACTTTTCCACATGTCGATGCTACTTTGAGAATCCGGGACCATCGAGAGTCTGTCAAATATTTCCCGAGCCCAATGACCGCGTGAGTCAGGCGGCCTCGTGGAATCTCAACAGCGCCATGATAGCTGAGGCTCCCATCAAGTCATCAAGCAGCGACAGCAGTGAGGCTCTCGCCAAATTGAGCAATCATTCAGTTCGTTCCACATCATCGTCCGTTCCAGGGATGACCCTTCTGCCAGGAGATGGACGCTTCGCTGCTCAACTACGGATCTTGAACTCCCTGATCAAACATCTGCCACAGAGCCGCCCTTATGTTCTAAGCACCCTCGGGGCCATGGGACTAAGCCACTGCGTCCACGACGTTAGGCCCATGGATGAAAACGGAAACGAGTATATCGCGAAAGCAATTCGTGAGACCATGCTGAAGTCGAGATTCGGGGATGCAGCCGACGTACTGCTGAAGCGGTATCGGTGACCCTTCCAATGGTGTTGCCGACATGACTGCGGACAGTTTCTAGCTTACCTGTCCTTGGGGCATCTAAAATCTTGTCGATACGCTTAAAAGTTGCGGATAGTCTCTATTACGAATATGTATCTGTGGGCAACTCATCAGACAAGGACGGATTGGGACGAATCTGTAGAGTCTGGAAACCCGATCCACCCATCAACTACGCAATGCGAAGCGGGCGGCGAGTCACGCATCATCAACACCCACGACGGAGAGTAGAGGACGGAACCTTTTTCCCCCCTATGATCCAGATCATTCTTAGGGCCTGGAACTCACCGACCGCCTAAAACGATATCAAGCCACGCTCTCTCAACAAGCTCGAAGGCTGAGTGAACCCAACGCTGGAAGGGAAAATTGAAGTACTCGTTGCCAAGGTTGCGAATGTGCCCAGGCTGGTCCTGGGGGCTTGAGGCCTGCTTTTTCCAGTCTCAAAAGGGTAATAAAAACAGCCTCCAAACTTGGCTCCAGCTTGGTGATGCTCAACAAAGGCAACGAACAGCCTCAAAGCTTGATATTAGCTTAGTGGTGGCTTCACTATTAACACGAATTGTTCCCCGAAGACGCTCACGAGAATCTTTATTGCTCATACCTAGGTAGGTAGTTCTGATTCAATTCATTGATCGAGACATTTCAGCTTTTGGAAACATGGACTGTGTATCTTCAAGGAGGTAGAGACAGAATAAAGCATCGCACTCACATCTGATAACTTATACAGAGCCACGACTCTCTTTCCACGCGCTACTCAATCCTCATTTACCCAATCATGGGCATGCGAATACCAATTCGGGAAAGAGGCGGAGGCGGAGGCGAAGCCATCGTCTGGCTTTTCAGAAACCTTCGACAAAGTCAACAAACGCCACCGATTTCTTCATCTGTCCATCGTGTGTTCATCTCTCGAACCTTAATCATACCTATATAAACCTCACCGTCGTCCAGCTTGTCTCCTCCCCTAACTTCCGCTACCATCTTTCTTCATCAACAGTCCTCGGTATACTGACTACCAACTGCTGTCGACTCGACCGTCTCCTCCCAAAACACCAGCATACCAGAGCACTTACACCATCTCGGCACATCTGCCCGCCATCTTTCTCGCTTCGCTTCCCCCCATTTTTATACAAACAAAATAAAAATGGGTGTCACCACTGCCCCTTCTGCGCCGACACAACGGCAAAGACGACCCAGGCCAACAAGGCCTCGCACGGACGAGGAGCTGGCCGGTAAGTCAATTATGCCTGATTTCCTTTCTTTCAGGACGAGATAAGCTAACAGCCATATCAGCACGGGAAGCCAACAGAGTGCGCAGATGGATCAGCCGCGTCCGTGAGGTGCGAATCCGTCTCACTGAAGAAGGTATGCTTTTACACCCTACCCACTCTCTCACGTGTGCAGCACAGCTGACTGGATTATATAGAGAGCCGCATCTACAACGGCCTCTCTCACCACGACGGAGATGGACAGGTCGCCCTGGTCTGGAGCTCTGGCGAGTGGGCCGTCTGGAGACGGGGAGAGCGCTTGAGGGCTCTTGTGGAGGAGGAACTCGACGTCTTCGCGTTTCTCGAGGTTTTGTGCTTGATGGACTGCACAATCGAGGAGACGGCATCCAATGGACGCCGGCGGATGACGTTTCAGCGGGAGTGAGCGCTGGGGTTCGAATTTGTTGCCTTGGTTGGCTTTTATTTCCTTGGTGAGCAGCTAGCCTTGGGACTCACGTCAAGTTATGTCTAAGCGCTGTGGCGGTCGTGTTTGGAAGTTTACGATTCAATATACCCACTTTGTTCTACTTGTCCAAGCTCAAGTCATGTTTTGCCAAGCGTCAGTTATTGAATGAATGTTGGGCAGCATGTCGTTCCTCCCCACCGGATATGAATCTCCATGATCGTGCCTCCGTCAATTGCTTGTATCCTTCGTCCATCGTATCTCGTCCTTGCCGAAGACGGGGTGATGTCGAAGTAAAGCTACAAGGTCGATGCCCGCTAGATGCGTCCATGCGGTGAGCAAAGCTGCTGCTGCCTTCTACTTCTACTGCCGCTACTAGATACTAATGCTGCTACTGCTGCTGCCGGTCCTGCTAACACTGCTTTATGGATGCCCTCAAGATGCCCTCCGGGGGCTCTAACGTGAGTCCAGCTAAGGTAAGTACGCTTAATAAAAACCAAGGTACCTCCGGCCTCAGCGGGGATAAGGGACTCGTAGACCTAGGTAGCCAGACCAGACACATCGGCCGCCGAAGTTGCCTTGCCCTGCCCAAGTCCTACAGCCGAGGGAAACACCGTCCCTCCCTTTGTGGTCACTGGCACTGCGACAACTGGTACAGGCATCCCTCCTAACCTTCTCTGGACAACTAGACGCCGGCGTCCCTGTCCACTTTCCATCACTAGGCCCTGACAAAATGTTCCCCCCTGCGGGACATATCGGGCATGAATGAATGAAATGGGATAAATTGGGGCGGCGGGAGGCAACACTAGGTCGAAAAGGGAACGAGACCTAGGGGAGATCTATGACTTGACGTTAATACTTTACCTTATGCACAGGTGATGGCGAGGACGCCATCATTTCTTGGCCGGGGGGATGTTGGAAGACACATGACCTGAGGTCACCTACCTACCTACCTCCCATATATAAGGTACCTAGGTAGAGCCGTAAACACACCAGTGCTACTCAATGGTAATACTACCTAATAAGCTAGGTAGCTGTATATTGCCGCCTCTGCATTCAAGAGTGTGGTACTACTAAATCCAAGTACCATCTACAAGTATAAGGTAGGTAGGTACTCAAAGGCATGGGCATTTGTGTGTCGTTTGCGGCTTTTCGGCTGCATGAGGCCATCACTACATAGTATCAAGGTGTCAGTCTTTCTCAACCATCTGGGATAGAAAGTTCTTGAAGGAATGTTCTAGGAGAAGTCAAGATGGGTGGCACAGTCATGCCGGTTGTGCTGCATCACCCCCGCATCCTGGATTGTAGGCCGCCCCGGAAGCACATGTCGCGACTGTCACACCCGCTCCGTCCATTCACCTTCCACTAAAAACAACGAGATGCAGGGTGACGACGCTGAAAAGTCTCCGGTACTGTGCATATACGAGGCCTACTCTTTGCCGAGTGCTTGCATTTAGCCAACCGTTTTTGATAGATCATGAGGAGCATGCAGCTCGGCTCGTTTGACGGGGAGATCCCGCGGGTAGGGACACCTCCCGATGCCTACCTGGAGATGCAATGTGTGAGTAATACCTTGATGGAAGGGCTTGGAAGATGTTAGATCACACCTAAGAATCGATGGTAGCAGAGCGGATCGAAATACAACAGGACAGGTCGACAGAACGCAGGGATGACTATATATAGAATAACACGAATCATACAATAAAACATCAATCAACCTATAGGCCTTTCTGAAGGCAGCGACGATTAAAGATGACCCGGCAACATCTATGTTCGAGTCACCATTCCAGCCCCATCTTGTCTGAAGAACAAGATCCCTTGTTCCAATCGTAGAGACCTCCACGTTCGAGAAATGCTGCTTCATCCCAGAAAACTTGCTCCAACGCGCGGCGAACACCAGCCTTCAAGATGGACTCGGATGGAGCTTTCCCATCTCTATCCAAGAAACGCATGTATTCGTCGAGAATCAGGTAGGATTTAGCCATCAAACGGTTTGGTTCCGGAACCAGAGACGCTTGGCCGCTGTGCCTCTTGCAAAAGTCGTCAAACTCTTCGTCAGAGATAGTCAGGCTGTGAGCGTTGCGAAGCGTGGCATCGGAGTCGTTCTCCCCTGCGACGATGAGCACTTGGAAGCACTTCCAGCGAAATGGCTGTAGCGCGCTGATATGCTGATTCATGTCCTCGAGATGATTGAACCTGTTGACGACGGTGTTGAGCTTGAACTTGATGCTGTACTTTTGGCACCAAGAGGCAATTTCGTACAGCTTCTTGACCTGGTTGCCGGATCCTCGACCAATTTTGACGTTTGTGGCTTCGTCGAAGGAGTCGCAGCTGATGGCCAGGATGTCAATGTTGTGACCGTGTTTCTGGAGGAACCGCTCCTTGATCAGGCTCCCATTTGAGACGATGGAGACTGATTCAATCTGGAGAGTGTCTTTGCAGTAATCAATCATTTCTCCGAGAAACTTGGGGTAGAGAAAGGGCTCTCCGCCGGCGAAGTTGCACTTCTTCATGCCCGCTTCCTTGAGGAGCTTGAGGCCTCGTTTGGCGTTTTCAGGGGTCTCAATATGGGAGGTTGTTGCTGTGTGGAAGCAGAAGGCGCACGTCATATTGCATTTTCGTGAGAAATGGTAATTGACAGATATTGGAGGAGATCTTCTACGTAGAAAGGGAGCTTTGACAAATAGCCAGAGAAGGACGACGATGATAAGAAGAAGGGAAGTAAAAGCAAGCATGGTCAAGTTGTATTAGCTGGTACCAAGGTTGAAGGGTAAGTTTGTTCAATTAGAAGCAGAGTGGATGGAAAGCAGAAGAAGAAAAGAGAATGTGTAAAGCAAACAGGCTTTATATGGCTTTTAAAGGCAGCAGACATCTACCCGTGCCCTAATGTTGCACAGCACAATTTCCGCACATACATATTGCCCACGGAGACTGCATCAAGCCGTCGGCCTCCCGCCCAAACTCCATCTCTATAGCCAGCCAAGTCGCCAGTAATCATGGAAGCTGCTGAGAAACGCTTCATATTCGTGCTTGGTAAGTCAAAACCATGCTCAACCAACTCAGGAGATCTAACGAGCCTGTAAAGGTGCCCCAGGAGCAGGCAAGGGATCTCTCTGCAAGAAGCTTGCAAACAAATACGGCTTCACGCACCTCTCCATTGGCGACGTCTTACGAGGAGTTGTTGCAATGCCCGAAGCAGACGAGACGGTGGTTGAATATGTCAGGCGTGGAGATCTTCTGCCCACCGAGTTGCTCTTTGATGTTCTGAGGCCTCATGTCAATGCGGGCGGCACAATCATCTTGGACGGCTTCCCTCGGCGTCTTGATCAAGCTGAAGCATTTGAAAGAGAGGTAACGCTTGTCAGTCTATCATAAATAATCATCTACGATTCTAACTTGGCATAGTTCCAGGCTCCGTTGCTCGTTTTGTTCTTTGACTGCCCTCGGGCTTTAGCTGAAGGACGCGTCATAAACAGGAAGCAAGGTCGCGAAGGCGACAATATCGAGACTTTCAAGAAGCGATATGACGAGTTCCAGAACCTGAACCCCCCTCTTCTTGAGCGTTTTGAGGAACAAGGCAAGCTCATTACGGTCAGTCACCAGCATGTCGCCGCATAAGGGTTGTGATGCTGACTGATGCCCCTGCTATGCGATAGATTGATACGAGCGGTTACACCAACAATTCGTATGCGACCCTGTTGGCTCTCTTGCAAGGCAGACTGTAACAGGGCATGTGTGACGATGGCGCAGGATGAGATGCGGCGGCCTGAGACATGGTCGCGTTATTGCCGTAGAAGCACGACCATCCAAAGCACTGGGATGAACGGACTGTTGCATCAAATTTCTTCCACCCCCTGTAGAGGCATGATGGTTACAAATCGTAATCACAGAAAAGCTTCATTCAGGCCTCGCAATAAAAGATCTCAACCATGCAACTGATCATGGCATATGTGGCAGACAGAATATCATCAGAGCCTCCATAACCGGGATCAAAGAAACCGCGTATCAAGGCTATGCCACCCAAGTTTTTTGCCCTCAAACCATTCAGTATCCTCATCTGCTCTCAGACACCGTTTTTGCGCTTCCACTCAAAGTACGCCGTCACCTTTCCCGTTGCACCCAGGGTAAACGCCCACGCATACGTCTTCATGAAGTCAACAATCCTCTCGTCCATGAGCTGCATCTCGGCTTGCTTCTGCTGCTCAGTCGGGTCGTGCCCATCGACGCCGAGCAGAGTCTTTTGCAGTTCGACCTCGCCAACCTCGTGTCCAAAGTCCATCTTGTCCAGCACAATCCGGAACTCCTCGTCAGCAATCCAGGTATTGCGCGTGGTGGTGAAGACGGCAATGGGCTCCAGGCCAAAGTTTCGAGACTCTGACTCGTTGATGCCGGTATGGCGCCGAATGTATGCCGATATCGCCTCGATGCTGCTGAGTTCCTCGAATCTCGAGTTCAGGAAGCTTCCGCCCTTTTTGAGCTTTGCCTCCCAGATGTCGTCTCGCTTCCGAATCCAGGCTCCAGACTGGGAGAGGAGTTTGTCCTTGTCGTAGTAGGCGTCGTGGATCACTTTGACCGGGAGCGTTTTGAGGCTTTTGAAGTGAGGGAGGCCGCCATATTGCGTCAGTTGGGGGACTGCGAGCGAGCGAAACTTTCTCTCGACTTCGAGGATGCACGTCTTTGGGAGGCGTCGGGAAGCCATGGGCGAGGCCTGATGCTTTGGCTGTGGGAGGGACACACATGGTTAGCCTTTCGTTAGAATAGGTATGGTGAAGCAGAAGATGTCCAGTCCCATGGCCGACCCTTGCCAGCGCCTGACGAGGCTTTGATGCCCAACACTTGCCTGAATACAGTACTACGAGCTTCTGGTTGGCAGAAGGTGAAACAGACGGGAAGGATTCAGGCTTCACATTCCAGCTGAGGAGACGGAATAACTGTGGCCCGTGCATGAGGGTCGGAATAAACGGGCATTGGATGATGCAGGCGATGGGCAGCTGGCAAATCGTGGCAGGTTTGTGTTGGTGTCTGTCTGTGTTACCCAGCTGTTCTCGCCACTCTGCTTCCACCAGGTGAATTAACAAGTCAGGTCCTATGTGATGCTGCCGTTGTGCCTGGTTTGATCTCGTCAATTCTTATTAATTGAAAGCAACTTGAATGGATTCCCAAATATCGCGATGTCTATCTGACGATGTGGCAAGACCAGTGTTGTCTCGTTGAAGCGCGATCGACTTGCGCCAGCTGGCCGGCCGCTTCAGCCACTTATCAGATTTATATCGACAATGTATGATGGCAACAGAGTGAAGAATAGTCGGTTTGTTTACCAAGATCGCGGAGTCGATATCGCTCGAACGCCTCAACATCCTGTCAGCATCCTGTTCAAGGCAACTCGCCAAGACACGGACTGGCTGTCTTACATCTGGCAATCAGCAAATTGAAGTCCTATGGGATCGATCGACTCCATGTTTGCATCTCGGAGGTTGCCGTTTCTGGAGAGATGAAGCGCTGGTATCACGATACTCAAACAGAGGCGAATCCTTCTCATGTCAAGAGAAGCGGGCTTGAAGCTGTAGGACCATTGTCTCAAAGTGGCATCGCTAATCATTTGTGTGGTGAGAGTTGCCAGCATCATATCAGCAGGTAAGCCATCTGGGCATCATGGAGATTCCTACGGCTGACATTTGACATCACTCTGTCTCACGGAGATGTTACCAAAGCAGTCATCAAACGCTGATCTGTTGGACTTTGCGTCGCAAGACGAAAATGACCGTTACACGACTTGAAATCAGGCAGCAGCCTTGCTCTTCGTGGGCTTGCCAATCATAACTAATTAGTGAGAGAGAGCCGAGACATTCTCAAGCATGGAAGATGCAAGGGATAACATGTCGACCAATCCTATATATCCAGTTTGGGTATAAAAAGGCAGAACCATCTCCGTCTATCTGCACAGTAAAGCCTTTCAGTCACATCGAATTCATCATTTCGACCTCGAAAGCTTCTACAATGCAGTTGATCAGCTCCCTCATCTGTCTCTCCCTCTCCGCCTCCGTGGCCCAAAGCGCCATCGCCATTGGCAATCAAATAAGAGAAGGAGGAACGCACTACAATGTGGCGTGGATCGAGGGCATCAACCCATGCCAAGCCGACGTCGCCATCGGACCCGAGAGCGGCCGCGAGTGCAACAAGAACTTCCGACTTGACGGCACCGACTACTATCTCGTCGGATGTACCGATCCCAACACGGGCTACGCGCAGAATCCGCAGAGGCTGAGGCGGGTCAAGGATGATTCGCTGTATGGAACCTGTGCGCCGGTGAAGAAGAAGGAGATTGACTGCAAGGGGTCGACTCACAATGTGGTGAAGCGGTATCTGTGTGGCTAGAATCGAGCAATGGGAAGCTCGCGTGGAGGCTGTCCTTGACACATACACAGCATGACATGGCCCAGGGTGGGATTGATGAATGACTCTTTGCATACGAGGACAAAATTGTAGTCGAAAGCATAAAGGGGGGGTCACGCATTCAAACACGGTACCTACATGTAGTCAAAGCTCACTATTAAAGGCTATTAAAGGAGCCCAAGTCAGACTGCCGTCATTGAACACTGTTTAGCAGCCAATTTGAAACGCACAGTGCCCTTACAATTCCACAGCCCGGGTGGTTGTTGTATGTCTAGTGCTATGATTGCCCTGTTATTTGACCTTGAAGCACGTTTCTATTTGGGACTGTAACAGTCTCGTGGTTGATGCCAAGCAATAGCATGGCCTGATCAGACGTTCCAACCCCAGCTCATGGCCGGATCACCTACATGATAGGATGCGGAGAAATACGGGGAGTGTCGCCCGCTTTGCATGGCCTCAACTCCATTACTCCGAGAATGCGGGGGGAGCTGCGTGTCCTGTCGGAGAATTGCCTATGCAGGCTAAACGCTTCAGCAGCAGCGTCTCCTATTTATGATCCGAGGCTGCCAGCCATCTCGGTCAAAGGACGGCGGTCGTCCTCATCACAGCGACGTGAGCACACCTGCAACTATACTATGGCAGTCACCGAGACTCAGACAACGGTCGAAGACGCAATCGAGATTGCAGATCTGACGCAAACTGGCCGTCAAGATGCTGCTGGTCCAGAGCCAGAAGCCGAGAGCCGTAGCCTCGACAAAGCGATGTACTTGAAGCTCATCAGCGCTGGCTTCTCCTTCTTCGTCGCCGGAGTCAACGATGGAGCCATAGGGGCTTTGATACCCTATTTCATCCGTGACTACAATGTTACCACCGCAATCGTGTCCAGCGTGTGAGTTGCCGCTGAACAATCTTGACACCATCATCGTAAGGCCATCAACTAACACCCACGTCTTCACCAGCTACGGCGCCAACTTCCTCGGCTGGCTCTTTGCCGCCATTACCAATACCCACCTCCGCCAGTATCTCGACCTTGGCGCCATGCTCGCCCTCGGAGCCGCATTCCAGATCGCCGCTCACGCCCTCCGGTCCTGGGAACCTCCCTTCGGACTCTTTGTCGTCACGTTTTGGCTCGTGAGCGTCGGCCAGGCCTTCCAGGACACGCACGCAAACTCGTGGGTTGCCAGCGCCGTCCCAAAGGGCGCGCATCGCTGGCTGGCGTTTATCCATGCCATGTACATGGCGGGCTGCCTCGTCGGCCCGTTTGTCTCGACGGCGGTGGCTTCGGCGGGAGAGGTCTCGCGGTGGTACTTGTTCTATACGTTTCCGCTGGGGCTCGGAGTGATGAATCTCGTTTTGACGTGTGTTGCATTCCGGGACACGCTCGGGCTTCAGCGGAAGAGCTCTGCGAGCGAGAGTCAAGGACGAACACTTGGTGAAACTGCTGCTGCTGAGCCGAGCAACGAAGCAGTATCGAGAAACAAGGAGGCGACGCAGCTCATCAAGAAGACGGCGTCCACGCCCAGCGTCTGGCTGCTCAGCCTCTTCTTCTTCTTCTACCTCGGCTCGGTGCTCACGGCGGGCGGCTGGGTCGTCGAGTACCTGGTCAACGTGAGGCACGGCAATCTTTCGCAGATGGGATACGTGCCGGCGGGCTTCAACGGCGGCGGTCTCCTGGGGCGGTTGCTGCTCGCTGAGCCAACACATAGGTTTGGCGAGCGCCGGATGGTGTTTCTGTATGTTGTTGCGTCGATCGGCCTGCAGCTCATCTTCTGGTTGTAAGTTGGATAGAGCCTCCCCTCACCCGAGACGATAGGTATCCAAGATTCTAACTTACAGTCTCTCGTTACCCTAGGGTGCCGAACATTGTCGCCGCATCAATTGCCGTCAGTCTTATCGGCTTCTTTACAGGACCGCTGTTTCCGACTGTACGTCTTCCTTAGTCTTATGATTTCCGTACCCAGGCATCATCTAACTCATCATCAATAGGGCATCTCCCTGGGCTCGAAATTGTTTCCGTCAGACATTCACTCCACCGCGCTGCCGCTGGTTTTTGTCTTTGCCCAGCTGGGAGGATCCCTGTTTCCCATCATCACGGGAGTTGTCTCTGCCGATGCCGGCGTCAAAGTGCTGCAGCCCATGCTGATTGCCCTCCTGACGGTTACGGCGATTAGCTGGCTACTTGTGCCGTCGCCAAAGACTTCGAATGCCGAGCTGCATCAAGAGTAGTGGTGACTGATACGCGATCCCTCTACTTATGGCACGCAGACGGAGGCATCGATGGCCAGTTGGGAGTGCATATTGAACGGGCAGCGCGTACAAGCGCCCCTATCAAGCAATTGATGTTTTTACTGCAGGTGGCGATGTTAAAGGACCGACATCCACTGGGAAAATACAACCTGATGGGTTGTTTTCTTTCAGTGTTTGCATGGTTCAGTAAAGTATCTTCCTGGCGAAGCACAGCTTGCATTCATTGTATGCAGTGTAGCCGCTCGTCTCACACAAACACTAGAAGCAGTTTCAGTCCCGATTCTCCACGAACTTTCTCATTCAAGCGCGCCATTTCATTTCCCATATGTGATTCCCGGTTCAGAGCTGCATTTCGAACATCAGAAAGCGTCCTAGATCCATTGGAGCTTGTGCACTGACCGCCATTCTCTGGGTGAGGGGAGACCCTGAGCCCTTGATATCCCTTGCATCACGGCAGGAAGTAAACATTGCCGTCCCGCGCGATCAGCCTCTTACTAGTTTGAGCAGGGTTTATTTAAACGGTTCATGCCGCTCAGTGTCGAGCCAATTGATCACAGCTTTGTGACGCAAGGGTCATGCATGTCTCACAGCCTTATGGGGCGATTAACCATTTGCTTTCACCGCGTTGCGAAGCCATGATAGCGTACACTGCTCTGAGCAACGCTCCCTTAGAGATAAATACCACATGTCTTTTGATGCGAAAGAGGCGTCCAGGTTGACGGTACACAGGGCTAGGCGTCAACTGCGGCTCGCTGAGACGGTCGCAACAACAACCCGGTTGTGATGAAAGTGACAGTGATCTGTCAAGTTCCCCAGACCCCGTAGCAATGTGACGCTATGGATTTCCCTGCGTTGTAAAGATCGTCTCGAATACATGATCAACTCTGTTTAAATACTCTGTTAGGAGACCAGGCTTCTCATCTCGTCATCGGTGTTGGGTGGAGGAGGTGATGAGGAGATGATGCTTGGGCCGTCTGGCGATCAACACTGCACTACTGAGATGGCATCACCCGCCAGGAAAACCCGAGCAAGAGGCTCGAATTATTTTTCAACAATAGGTATCGCTGTAGCCATCAAGATCTGTGCTTCAACAGATTCGGGTACGAAGCGCACACAGACATGGCGGGTTTGCAGATACGCGAAAGCCCGAAGCTGCTCGATCTCGGTGTGACGGAGAGACATGACAAATACTGCTTTCGTACCTGCATGATAGTACATACACCTGTCGCTCCCTGCAGAAGAGCTTCAGCCGTACCTAGATTCGTCCAGCCTCATTTCAGCGTTTGAGGCTGGTCGTGATCTGCTGTCTGCTCCTTCGATGAATCTGTCGTGGAACAGATGAGAGCTAGAGTCAACCTCCAGTAGCCCCGATTGGAGGATAACCCACGATGCCTTACCGTAATAGCGTGGAGAGAGAGAGAGACAGAGCGACAATGAGCGGGATGACGGTAAAAGCGGCAAGATGGCAGGGCTATGCCGGCCAGTGGCTCTCGTTACACTGGATGTACCCCTGTGATTCGGCTCAGAGGGAAACAAGCAGGGGGGATACCAAGACTCGTCCACCAAGGCCACCAATCACCCAACAATTCAACTACTAAATCTCAGTGTTGGTATACTCGGCGGTTGAGGCCATCTACTTATACCTAGGTAACGCTCGTACCTAGACATCCATCTTGAGAGCTGCAGTTGGTCGAGGTCACAACACCTAGGATTCCGTTCGCTGATCTCGCAGCATAGATTTTACATACACACTCACACAACATTCAGGACGATAATACCAATGTAGAAAAAAGAGTACTAATTGTCATCACTCACGTCAAGTGTGCGTGCACAGCAGCAATAGTATATGCAATATGCGCTACAGATATGCACGATCGGTTGTTCAGCAGCAGATACTTTGCACAATCTGCAGGAATAAACATTGATGCGTACAATGACTGTAGATGCCGTAATGGGCTCCCATCGGGTCAGAGGGCATGAATGAGACTCCAACGCAGGGAAGGCGGTTTTTGTCTCGCAGCATCTGCAAGGGCTGACCGACCCCGACAATATGAGGCATGTCTCAGTCGACCATCCAGAGGACAACGGCCATCCATGGCTTCTTGGGTACTATTATGTAGTATCTGAGATCGCCACAACAGAAATGATTCTCATAAGGGACAGGCGACTTTTCCCACGATTGGCCGGACACCCTACGGGAAGAAGGTTGGTCGAGAGAGGTTGTGCGTGTAGTTGGTTGGCCCTCCTGTGATTCTCGTGGATAAAACTTTTCCGGTGGGAATCAATGAAGCTAGAGGCAATCTCGAGGAAAAAGAAAAGAAAAATGAACGTCCAAAGCAAAAGCTTCCAGAGCGCGCGCCTACACTCGATGGACGTGATGAGATGGTAAAAAGCATCTCCAGCCCATGATCCCGGCCCATCCATCCTCAGTCCTAGACCTGCATGCAGTCTCAGTCTCAGTCTCCTGCATCACACTGTCAGCTCCAGGTCACCAGAGAGACGGGGGGGGAAGCAACCACAACCGCCTTTTGCTGCGGTTGAATCACCCTTTGAGCACCAGGCCCCCGGGATCAATAAAGGTCTTGCTGCCCATCTTTGCGTCTTTGTTTCCTTTATACACTTTTGGTCAGCGACTGTCTCCCCAGCATCTCTCTCTCTCTCTCTCTTTATAGACCTGTCGTGGCCTGACAGCCTCCAAAGCAACAAGCAAACTTCCCATTTCCCTCTTCCGAGAAAAGCAGACTCATTTTCGCCCGCCCAGCTCGCCAATCGACGCCACCATGGGCACCGAGCTCGGCCTCACCGCCGACTCCAAGCCCGAGGCGCGACTCGACTCCGTCGGCATCTGGTGGATATGCTGGTCCGCCGTGTGGACGCTGCTCCTGCTCGCGGGCGCGGGCTTCCTCATCCTCAAGCGCAACACGCCGATGCTCCGGATCCGCGGCATCGGCCTCTCGCTGTCGGCCATCTTCCTGCTGCATCTCTTCTGGATGGCGGTGCAGCTCGGCTATGTCATCGGGCCGCTGTACCCCGGAGACACGCAGTACTGGATCATGGGCACGTACTTGCCCCTGGGCATTGGTCTCTTTCACGGGTCGAACTCGCGGTTCCTGCATATCGCGCAGCGGCAGAAGCAGTACCTTGAGAGTAAGAGTGATTCTCAAGCGGCGGCCAAGACGAGCAATAAGGACGGCGACGGCTTCATCAGCCGGTTCCGCCGACTTGACCACACGGCCAAGGTCATTCTCCTGGTGGGCTCTGGAATGCTGTTCCAGGTGAGTGGTGGCGGCCATGCGTTTCTTCGCCCTGCGCCCCGGACTTTTTTGCATGCAAACCCACGCGAGCTAACAATTCTTTGTCTCTGCCAGCTATTCATGACCATCTTCATGTACATCATCTCGCGAAAGTGGCACAGCGCTTGGGGGATTCCAGGTACAGAAGTTCACGGCAACGACATGGAGCAAAAGGTCCAGATGGGCCGCGGATGGGAGTGGTCAGTGGTTCTCTGATGAAGCTTCAACTCAGCTTTTTTGTTTGTTCCAAGTGTGAGCCTTCTTGCGCTGACCGTTGCTTTGAGCGATTCAGGTGGCCGTCTATTATTTGGCAGCTCTTCTGGGCGTGGGTTGTCGCCCCCTCCACCTTATGGAGTGCGCGCGCCATCAGGGATACTCAGGGATGGCGCACCCAGACCATTCTGTGTGCGATTTCGAGGTGAGATGAAGTGGCAACTCCCTGAGATGGGTTTGTCATCGCTGACGGCGTGTGTATATAGTCTCCATGCGGCTCCCATGTGGCTGATTGCCTTGTATGTTCCAGAAATGGAGGCAATCAACCATCACTTTATTCCGCCTCAGTGGTTCGTCCCCCTCCTACCATCTTTCTCAAGGCATCAGCACTCATCAAATGCCTCAGGATCGCCCTCTCCATCTGGTTGATGGAAATCTTCACCGTCTTCCTCCCCTGCTGGGAAGTCATCAGCCACCAGGCCCTCTGCCAGGAGACCCTCAACACGATTGCCCAGTGGGAGAACAACAAGACCGGCGTCGGCAAGGCCATCCAATCCATCAAGTCCAAGTCGACCGTCGTCGAATCATTCAAGAGCGGGTGGAAATCGACGCACACCTCCGGCAAGGCATCCTCCGTCGAGTCCATTCTGACGCTGAGCGCGCTGGAGCATGTGCTGCAGAGGAATCCCGAGCCGCTGCAGCAGTTTTCCGCCTTGAGAGACTTTTCGGGCGAGAATATTGCGTTTCTCACAAGTGTTGGGGACTGGAAGTCTTCGTTTCCCGCGTCGGTCTTGAATCGCAACAGCGATATCTCGGAGGAGACGAGGCGAGAGCTCGTGAGAGAGCGCTTCAACCGCGCTCTTCGCATCTACACCGACTACATCAGCGCCACCGACGCCGCGTTTCCCATCAACATCTCTTCTGTAGAGCTCAAGCGGCTCGAGGCCATCTTTGAGCAGCCCGCTCGCTCGACATACGGCGAAAAGCAAGGCGTCAATGCCGCAACGCCATTCGACGACGTGTCCAGGCCCGACTCTGCAACCTCATCGACCGCTGAAAAGGAAAAGGTCGACGGCGACGGCGTGCAATACTGGGGCAGTATCCCGGACGACTTTGATCAGACGATATTCGACGATGCCGAGAGGTCCATCAAGTACCTCGTCCTGACGAATACGTGGCCGAAATTCGTCCGGGACAGACGGAGCTCGATGGAAGCGTTTGAGAGTGCTGGAAGCATCGAGGCGGGCGGCATGCGGTTTCCGATTCCGTATACTACTAGTAGGTAGGTAAGCAGTGACTGGTGCGGAGAGGCCGCATTACAATATTCTTAATCAGGGGAGGCGTATGTTTAATTTTTTCTGGGCGGACGGAGAGCGATTATTTGGCGGAGAATCTCGGCTCTGTGCCTTTTACTAATTTCTTGATTTGTATATGTGGCTTTACGCCATGGCGCGAGACTTGATAGCCCAAGGCACCAGGTGGTTGTTGTCTGTGTGCCTCGAGATAGTGATGATGCCTTAGGAGAAAGGGGGGGGGCGTGGCATCGGGCAGTGTAATAGTAATCAGGGGTCGCTCAGGATGGCCAGTACATTGAGAGATCTCCAAAGTGAAAAATAGAAGGCCAATACCTACATCACACATAGTCTCTTTATTAGACGATGTCGTACCCATACTGGGGAAGAGAACCGTCTTCCGGGTTAGTGGCGTCAGCTCTTCCCATGAGTCAGTCTTGGCCTTGTCGAAAAAAATGTCGAAAGTGTCAAGCGTACGCCTTAGCTTGACATGTCGGAGATAGTAGTTCGGAATTGTCTTGGTTATTCGGAATCCCGCTGAATGGCTGCAAAACACCAACTCACTCGCCTTCAAAGTCTATATATATATATATAAAAATGATCACGACGCTCCCTCCTCTTTTCTATAACAGCACAAAGGATCAAGAATAGTGATAGAACTCACCTTCAAAACACCAGACTTTCTTCACTAGACTTCCGCTCTGCAGAACTGTCACAACCCCAAAACCCTCAGTCTCATTGACTCTCCGACTCACGCTCAACATCCTCATCAGCACACACACACACACACACACACACACACATACACACAATGGCCCCCATCTCCCTCTCCATCCGCAAAGCCACACCCAACGACCTCACCCCCATCCTCACCCTCGTCCGCTCCGCCTACCGCGGCGAATCCAGCCTCCGCGGCTGGACATCCGAAGCCACCATCGTCGACGACCAACGCATCGACGAAAAGGGCCTCCTCGCCAAAATCAACGAGCCCAACGGCGCTGTTCTCGTCGCTTACGACAACAGTGAAAACAAACCCGACGACATCGTCGCCTGCTGCGAACTCCTCAAGCAGAGCGACACGCTCGGCTACTTTGGCCTCTTTGCGGTAAATCCGCTGCGGCAGGCGGGCGGCATTGGAAAGTTTGTGCTGGCTGCTGCGGAGGAGTATGCCAGGAGCACATGGGGGCTGAGAGAGCTCGAGATGAGCGTCATCTGGACGAGGGCTGAGCTGATTGCGTGGTATGTGAGAAGAGGGTATACGGTGACGGAGAAGAGGAAGCCGTTTCCGTATGCGGAGCTTGTTGGCGGCAAGGCATTGCGGGATGATTTGTATTTTGTGGTCTTGATCAAGGCGCTATGATCCATGTGCTCATTGATGTCGGTGTTGAGAAAGGCGGGAGTTGGGGTTGTAGTACAGCGTTTGGTTTGCTTTAAGAATAGATATGAAAATGATGATATCCTCCAACAAGTCAAAGATGAGAGACCTCCTGTAAAGGCAGCCTCGCCCACTGATATCATAAGGTGAAGTGTGAAACCATTTGCGAACCCTGACAAGACAGCATTGCCAATGTCAATAGGCACCACCAAAATGAGGCCGCTCACAGCGCTCAACCAATCTGTCCTTCTCATCAGGGAGAAAGTCAAGATACATAATGGCCTTCCTCTCCGCCCACTCTCTCAGATCAAAGCCCTCCTGACCGGGCTCAATCGTCTGTCCATTGACACTGAGATACGAGCCCTGGTCAGGTATTCCATCACGCAGCTCAATCCGTTTCGGCCTCCATGCCTTGACAGAGCCACCGTCTTGCTCAGTCTCCGATCCGCCGCCAGCCAGGGCAAGCACCTCTGGCAAACTAACATTGACAATTTCCCCCTCGCCTTGAAAGGTGAAGCATCGCACTGCGCACGTCTTGCAAAAGAGGTAGTGCAGCCTCTTACTGTTGCACAGATAGTCGCCCAGACTGTCCAAAGGATCGAGTGGCGACAGCAAAAAGAAGTCGTCGAGTTCCGACACTGGTCGCAGATGAAGGAACCCTATCTTATGGCAAATCGAGCAATTGCATCTGTAGATGCGCTGGACGCCTCGACGCGGCGGCGGTTCCGAATTGACGTAGGATGGAGGAGGCACATTGAGGAAGACGACGTATTGAATCGCTCCGCAATGGCAGGAGCCTTTGTAGGGTAGACGTTGAGGCTGAGAAGCTGGCTCCGGTTGGTCGCTCATGATGATGATGATGATGATGCTGTTCTGAATGAATGACACAACTCTGTCTGTTGTAAAGATGAACACGAGAAGAGCTTATGATGGCTGTCTCGACTGTCTCTTTTTATATCATGAGTCTGGCTCGTAGGGCGTGAAGGATTCGGCGATCAATTCACGATTCCAGCTCGGCTGGTCTAGTCGAAGCGTGAATTCCAGCTGTCGAGCTCATCGGTAGGGCGCATATTGGTGACACCCCGCTGACTTGCGAATCATAGTGCGAATCCTGTGTCAATCACCCGAACCGAAGCCTTTAGACAATCTCAAGGAAAGAATTTTTTGGGTTGTAGGAGAACAAAGCAAACTCCAAGTAATCATTCACTGAGACCCTCTGTGATGCTGCCATGCTGCCAAACAGTGATTAGAACAAGAAATGGTGCACATCTCACAACTGTCTCAGAGTCCTTCACAACTTACACAACTCAACGGACCACAATGAGCTTCTCGTCACAAGCAGCCCCGTTTAGGCTTAGGCCCTCTCCGCAGATTCACCTTCAGGGAAGCCATCGCCGACGATTACTAAAGAAAATTGACCGATTTTTGACCGAATCTGGATGCTCTCGCCGGATCTCGTCCCTTGTCCTCTCATCTTTGCTCTCCCAACTCGCGTCTTTCTCGTCGGGGGAAAACAATAAGACGGCCGCTCAGGTTGTTCATCAGGCCACCGAGCCGTAGCGGAAATAGTTCAGGTTCCCCTGTGGCGTCCTGCCGGGCTTCTGGAGCTTGATGCCTGCGGTGAAGCACCCGTGCGTCCAGTGCAAAGGTCCGCTCCGTCCCGCGCAAACTCACCCAACTTCCCCTTTATCTGCCATCTGTAGCTGACTCGAGCCTTGCCAATAGAGAAGCACGTCAAATGTGAGAGAACCAATCCGCCGGTCCTGTCAGGCTCTGGCTGTCGTGCTGCTATATGCATGAATTCATTCCTCTCTTCTGCTTCTGCTGCATAGCCGGAGGTTGCCGCTTGCGTATCGGCGCAGAAGGCCTGGTGTATAGCTGATATGACCGGCCATAACATGCCATGACATGCCATGCTTGCCCTACTGAAGACTGGTGCCTTCAGGATCATATTGCTGACATGATGCTGCCGTCGGCGATCCACGATAGGTGACGAGGAACGCCCCAAATGCCGCCGGTGTCAGGTGAAGCTATTGCCATGCACCCGCCCATCTAAGAAGACCGTGTTCCGCCACGGGTCAGCTGCCAGCTTCTCCAAGGAGCAGAAATGGGTCAATAGCGAAGTAAAACATTGTACGTAGGCCGGACCCTGTGGCCCAATTGCCTCGTGGCCGTGCCGAGTCTAGCCCTGAGATCGAGGAGGGCTTGATGATTCAGTTGCTGACCGGCATGCAGTTCGCTACCATTCCCAGGGAGGTGCTGCCGTGGCAAGCCAGCAGGGACCTGATCAGTCCGGGGTACCGCAATCGTGGACTGCAACTACTCCTCCCGCAACCAGTCAGTCTCCGTACCCAACCACTTCGAGCGCCCCCTCGGGCAACTCGTCTTCAAACCACTCGCCTCATCTCAGCCACCAGCCGGAGCAGCAGACGTCAAGCCTCACCCCATATCAGCCTCTGGATTCGTTCGGTGAGCGGCCACCCCATCAGTACAGGAGCACCTCGCTTGGTCCACATATCCGCCCTCGTAGCCAGGAGGATGTTCATCATTATTCTTCCGCTACACACACCACAACATACCCCGCAGACGACAAGTCCGCATCATACGCTTCGTTGTACGAGCGTCATGTACCAAGCGTGATATCTTCACAAGAGAATGAGACACTTCGGCGGCGATTTCCCCTAGAAGACCCCCGAGAGGCTTGTCTCTTTCGATATTTCGTCGAAGAAATCGCTCATTGGGTAAGTCGAAGTCCGGACATGATGTGTGACAAACGGCGGCCTCGATGTGCTGAGATGTGTTGACTCTCGTGGACAGTTTGACTTGTGTGATGAGGACCGTCATTTCCAGCTTGCCGTGCCCCGGCGTGCTCACCACCATCCGCACCTCCTCAACGCGATTTTCGCAGTCGCCGCCCGTCATCTAAGTCGACTTCCGCAGTACAGGACGCCAGCCGGCATCTTGTATCATGGACAGCTCATTGCCCAGCTTAGCGAGCATGATGCGGTCGAGTATATGCTCAAATGCATCCCCGCGCTTCGCAATTTCCATGAAGTCGACGACGATGATTATCGCGACAGCATCATTGCCACGGCTGTCATCCTGCGCCAGCTGGAAGAGATTGACGAAGAGGAAGATGATGCGCCGGCAAACGAGAGCGGCAACAGCCAAGGCGACAGTGGCCATGGCAAGCAGGTCAACTTCCTCCCCATCATCAATGCCGTCCTGAGGAGCTCTGCGTCACAAGCCCTGTTTGGCCGGAGGAGCCTCATCCAGGCGGCATACTGGATGGCCCTACGCCAGGAAATCTACCACTCCTTCACCCGGAAACAGCCGCCGCAGTTGTTCCCCTCGCCCGACCTGTGGCATAGCGCTTCCAAGGCGAACAAGACGGTGATGCATACCGTCCAGGTGGCCAAGTGGCGCTGGGAGGACGGGTCGGAACGCGAATGGCGTGAGTCGGACAGTCCATTGGTGCTTGTGCGTATTGTATCGCTGCGTACCTAAGAACTGACAATTCATGTCTAGTGAGGCTCATGGATCAGCAAGAGTACCTCGAGCGCGAGATTCTGGTCAACTTCCGGCCCATCTTCAAGACGACGGCGGACAAGGCCAAGGGAGAAATCTTTCCCACCATCTGGTACGGGTCCAACCTGGAGGTGACGAGCGTGCAGCAGAGCATCATGGCCAAGTCGGTGCTGGTTGCCGAGAATCCTTTTCTCAAGTAGGTCATGTTTGTCATGTTCCGCACTGGATCAGTACCTTATTGACCGCTTGATTACCTACAGAGCTCCATCGGCATCGCGTGCATCCTGGCGAAAGGCGGAAAACGACGTGCGTCTGCTGCTGCTGGAGCTCTGCGGCATCGCCCTCTGCCATCCAGCCTCGCCGCCGGCGCTGCTCAACGCGGCGATTGGCATCCAGCTGTACGGCGACTTCTTCACGGACCGGTACGAGCGTCAGGCGCTGCGAGGCGTCGTGGAAAAGTATCGCGATGCGCGAGCCTGGCCGGTGCAGAAGCTGCTCGAGATGTTTAGGGAGTGATTTTTTACTGACTGGCGCTTGGTTCGAGCTGGCCCGTCGTACAGTAGGTATATAGCAGGAGCATCGTGTATATTGAACAGGTGGCTGTATCAGTAGTGTGTCGTCTCGGGAATTGGCAAGCGGTGATGATTCTGGGGAGTCCACGTCCAAGAGGTTGTGCTGTTGAAGATGAAGGCCTTGGATATCAAATGGATGTCTGCCCGTGAATGCGTGCGGTCAGGCCACAGAACTCAGCACCCGCTAGGTTGGCTGCTTCAGCGGCCCAGTTCAGTGGCTGGGGCGGGATTTACAGCGGCCTTGGCGCTTCTGCCTGCCAGACCGAGGCGCCATTGGCCGGGGCGACCTGGATCCAATCGATCCATGGATCTGTGCTGGGCTGCCCGATCATTGGATCACCTCCAGCTCTCAATACCTACCTATGTACCGCAGCCTCGTAGGAGTCGTGGAGTTGAAAAAACAACACACAACAGACGATCCTCACACAGAGCTCCAACCGGTCTACTTCTCAGTAGCCAAGTTCACATCCAAATTCATTCTGTTTCCCAACTCAACGCTGAGTCAATTGACCTATATTTAGCCCAACTGATGTCGGCGCTGTGGGCGGTTAGATACACCGGTGAGTAACGGCTACATTCACGCCTTTGATCGTCTTCACAATCACCACAATCCCGCCAGATGTGCCTGTTGACAGCATAGACTCACCATCAAGGCTATAGGCAGAACTGACACAATGCCGAACCAAAGAGTAACACGATCGGCCTCGACCAAAGCCACAGCAAAGGCCTCTTCATTATCACCATCATCACCATCCATATCCAGCACCGCCTCTACCAACCTCACCACATCCAGATTCAGGGTCACGACATCATCATCACCATCCCCAAGGACCGTCGTCAAGTCAAACGCCAAAACCAAGTCCAGACCTCCACCACACTCAAAATCCTCCTCCTCATCATCATCATCGTCAGACCAACCCATCAGCTTCCCCTCCGCCTCCGCCTTCGACCAATACCTCCTCCGATCCGGCCCCTCCACCCTCTCCGGCATCTGGCTCCGCATCACCAAGAAATCAAGCATCTCCCGCTTCCCATCAGTCACCTACCACGAAGCCGTCGACATCGCCCTCTGCCACGGCTGGATCGACGGCCAGCGCAAGTCCCTCGACGACATCTCCTTCCTGCAGCGCTTCACGCCTCGTCGCCCCCGCAGCCTCTGGTCGCGCCGCAACGTCGAGCGCGTCGAAGCGCTGACGGCAGAGGGCCGCATGAGACCAACGGGCATAGCGGCAGTGGAAGCTGCAAAGGAGGATGGGCGATGGGAGAGGGCGTATGCAGGGCCGGCGACAATGGAGGTTCCCGGGGACTTTGAGGATGCGCTGGCGAGCAACGAGGCTGCCAGAGCGGTGTTTGAGGAGTTGAGCAAGGCGCAGAGATATTCGTTTTTGTGGCGTATACAAACGGCTGTCAAGAGCGAGACAAGGGAGCGCAGGATCAAGGAGTTTGTCGACCTTTTGGCTGAGGGCAAGACGTTGTAATTGGTGCATGGAACAAGGCCAAACTGTATTGACATATAGAGCAACATTCTTCTGTGTACCTAGACAGTCAAGCAACGCGCGGTATCTGGTATCTTATGTGTGTAACGCCCTGAAATTTCCCAGATTTTGTCCAAATCAAGCTGCCATACCCTGTTACGCCGCAGCCATGTTCAATCTGACTCATCCGATTCCTCTGCGATACCGTCGATAAGCTCGTCTTCAGACCGTTCGTCGTCTTCGTCATCATCATCATTATCATCATCTTCATCCTCTTCATCATCCTCCTCATCATCAGTAGATTCAATCCGCCTGTTGCGCGACGAGCGATGCCTCGGCGGTACAAGTTCAAGCCGGGCAGCCAGACTCAACCGCCTTACATCTGCAACTTCATTCTGTTCCTCTTCGTCGCTGTCCTCCTCCTCCTCATCGTCATCGTCATTGTCACTAGTGCCGTCGTCGTCGTCGCCGTCGCTGTTCTCTTCATCATCTTCTTCTGGGCCAACATGTTTGGTTTTCTTCCTCGTTTCGCCATTCTGCTCGCCCTTCCCCCTTTCTTCATCATCATCCCCACCATCGTCACTCTCGTCATCGCTGTCCACGACTGCTGCACGTCTTCTGCGCTTCCTGGTAGCACTCGCCTCGTTGACGCCCTCATCGTCAGTGTCTGATCTGGTGCCAGATGAGGAGCCCCCGCTGCGAGCATGCTTTCTTCTGGGCACTTCAGAGGGAAGTTCATCATCCGAGTCAGCAACGATGCGTCGTTTCCGAGCACTGACTGTCCCCAAGACGGAGGATGGTTCTGGCTCGGGGCTGGAAAAGGCCGCCGCGTTCTCATTAGAGGCGTCGTGCCCATCACCATGGCCGTCTTCAGCGTCGCTGCTAGTGTTGCCCTCAGAGAAGTCGAAATCTCCAACACTGCTCGCGTCGTCTTCAAGGATTTGATCCCCCGATAGATTATCCAGGTCCCAATTATCGTGGAAGCCATGTTCCACTAGTTCAGAGTCATCTATACCTTCGCTTTCGTACTCGTCGATATATTCCTCATAATTGCCGCCGTCGCTGGTGGAGCTCCAGTCAGTGAGTTCGTCGGCGGCAATGCCCCTCAAATAAGCCTCTTGCCACGATGTCTGCAGCTTTTCAAGGGCCCTGTAGCCACCTCGATCCTCGAAGACGAACATGGGTAGAATCATCGCACCATGGCCGAGCTGCGTAACTTCTTCTGGAGAGGGAAATCCAAGTTCATTCATATTCGGAAGGGGAAGCTGCCGGGCAAAGTCATCGTAATCGTCGGCGTTTGGCCACACATGCATTTTGCGAAAATAGCCATTTCCCATATCCCTGATGGAGACTTCGTGCGTATAGACATAGTCGGATCCCGCCCATATCCTGTCTCCCATTGTCAACTGCCGAGTGGGAGGGAGATCAAAAAATAGCCGCTTGAGGTTAGGGAATGGTTCCAGGATGTGTGTGTATAGTCGGTTGATGTCGAGTCGTTCAAGGACACTTAGCGAGCAGCAGTCGATGGCAAGTTGGGTAACATTTTCTGCAAAGCCCTCAAAACGGCAGCGGCCTCCATGCTGCCAGTCGCCCCTCAAGCTGGCACAAAGGGTATCGAGAAACCTATCACCAGCGCTGAGATAAGCAACATCTCGGTCTCGATGAAGATGCACCGTTGCGGGGCCGCGGCCTGTTCTTGAGGGACCAAGCTTGAGGGTATGGGGGAGAGTTTTGAGCACCACGTCTCGAGCTTCCCGATTGACTGCGACAATTCTTCGAACATTCCGAGTCTCCTTGGCAAGCTCTCTGCTGGGTTGGACGGTCCAATCTATAATGACGTCGCCGTGGTCGTCAAGCTCGGTGAACGGGCGAGGCGAGAGGTCAAGGCCGAAATGAAGGATGCGAGGCTGCAATTCCCTAACAAGGGCAAGCTCCCAGACTCTGATGCGAAGTTCGGGGGGCAGCTTGGAGAAGGGGTGGAAAGTGCGCCCCTCGTAGGGATTTTCATCTGCGGCATCTTTTCCATTGTAAAATTCGTATTCGGCGGCCGAATCGTAGCTGTCGTGGTCCGTTTCCTGTGCCTCTTCAAGCAACAGCGCTGTGAGATCGTGCATCTTGAGACGTGTCAAAGGCCAAGAGGCCAATTGGCCCCTCGGATTTAATGAAGAGGGACGGTTTCCCTTGTGCCACAGTAAGTGTGTTTGTTCGCAGTATGGGTGGATGGAAAGGCGGCAATTTGATGAGCGGGCAGTCTGGGTTGATGAAGAGGAAGAGTTGAACAGACGAATGCACGTGAAGAAGATACCTACCTAAGACATGATTGCATTTTGCCGCCGTTATATTGACCGCCAACGTGCCGATAAGATAAGCTCAGCGCTGTATCACGTAAGTCGAGTCGCGGGTACTTGATTTGAGCTCCACTGCAGCGAATCTACCCAGGTACACGAGGTCTGGTGCATGTACTCGTACATGAGCAGTGACCCCGCTTTTACCCAACCCAGCTCCAGATCGTTGGGCGGTCAGGCAGCATGATGTTGGAGCCTTCCAAGTTGTGCTTGACTGTTGACTGTTAATAATGAGGTAGAAGACAAACCCTCTTTCTTCTTCACTCTTCCACTTTCGAACCCCAACTCGCTCGCAAAGTCCAGCTCCTTATAGTGCCCTACGATGGTTATGCGGAGAGGAGCTGCTTCTTGTCTTCCTTGTCACTCGCCATTGACGGCCATTAGACGCGTTGCAGCCCAAGCTGAAAGTCGCAAAGCTGCACGAGGCCTCGTCAGAACAGTCTCTCCTGCAGTAGCAGATGGCCAACGACTGAGTTGGCCGACGCCCTTGCAGCTGGCTGGGTGCATATATGCAAGGCCCTGGGTGGAATCATGGTATTGTGTTACTCTGGCCAGCAGTTTTCCATCTATGAATCCGAGGTAGTATTAATATTGATTGTGACTACATGTGCTTCTATCATATCCCGCCCATAGACGCATTCACACAGCGTTATCACGATTCCATCAACGCCCTCGCGCCGTCAAACTCCATACCAAGCCAGATTCAAAAGACCAACGGACATTCAACTCAAGCTCATCCAGATAAAGGCGCCCGTTGCGCTGCAGATAATCACCAGCGTCAAGACCACAGCTCCAGCCTTGTCTCCCGCATCAATCGGGTCCGGCTTGACCTCTCCATTATCTCCCCCATGGCCTGCGTTCGGGTTTCCCTTGGAAATGCCCCCCGTCGAATTGGTCACCGGCGGATTGGCTTCGGTAATGAGAAGACTCGAGACGGCTGCAAGAACATTCATGGCTTCGCCGGCACCGCTGGTATGGTCGACCGTCGTCGGTTCGAAAAACTTCCCGGAGCTCCAGTAGAAGCCGCAGCGTCGGCCTGACTCGCCTCCCGTGCACTGCTTGACAGCAGCCTCTGTTGACGTTCGCAGCACCGGCAGGATCTTGGACCGTGTGTGAGGCGCAATTTGCGTGACGACGGATAGCCAGCGGTGCACGTATCCCTTGAAGGAGAGCATGTCTGTGCTGCATGCGCCTTGTCGCGGCTCGCAAGCAGCCTCAAACGCGATGCCATCTGGGAAGAACCTCTCCAACAAGGCATCGAGAAGCTTGTCGACGCGTTGCTTCCAGACCTCCGAGCCATCGGTCTATTATACACCAGTCAGTCTACCTTCCAAGCCAGGTTTGACGGGAATGGTAAGTCGCAGTCAGCGTCTGCATACGTACATAGTTGTACATAAAGGCGGCTCCCTGGGTGAGGACAGCTGCGTTGTAAGAGAAGGCGGCAGGATTGATATCGGTACAGTTCTTTTCGACATGCGCGCCGTCGTATACGATCCAGCTTTCATGATCAATGTACTTGACTCCCCAGAGCCAGTTCCAGGTATCTTCGGCGTGCTTGGCATATGTATCGTTGTTTGTGTACCGAGCAAGTCGGGCTCCAAGGTTGAAGAAGCATCCGTTGGCAATGGCTAGAAACATGGTGGAATTAGCACTTCAATCCCCTCAGCTGGACGGTTGTCTGGCCTCACTGTTCTTGTAGTTGTATCCAGCATTGGAAAAGGGAATCTGCCACCTCAGTCCACCGTTGCAAGTCTCGTCGTGGCGGCTGGGATCGGCCTGCGTATTCCAAACTGCCTGCGCCAGAGCCAGCCACTGCGGCTTATCCGCAGGAGGATTCGGGAATTTCGTCTCGGCAGCCAGCATCGCAGACATACCCCAGAAGCCCTGGTCATCGTTTCCGAGGGAAGCCGTGTGGTTCTTGGGCATGTAATTTTCGTTCTCGCCGACCTGGTGCAGCAAGCCTTCCATCACCACCGAGTTGTAGCTCGAGTCACCCGTCAGATGCCAGTAATCGACGTATGTGCCCATCATTGCGCCTCCTTCCCACCAGTAATAGTCCCCCTTGCCCTCGGTTGGCGGACCGGGCAGGATGCCGGGGATCTGGCCCGTCTTGTTTCCTTCGTAGAAGAGCATGAGGTCGTAGGCCAGCCCGCGGGCGGACTCACGGATGTTATCTGCCGATTGACATGAGCGAGGGATACCACCAAGGCTGAGTGTTGTCATTTCCTTACCTGCATTGTCAATGCGATAGACGGCTTCGACTTGGGCAAAGAAGGAGTAGATCGTGATGATGAGGAGTGAGGAGAACATGATGCGAAGTGATTTGGGCTACGCCAAATTCCTAGAGACGATGGTAATGATGATGGCAACTAAGGCCTCAGTCTTGCGATACCTATGATTCAAAGAGCGATAGAAGAAAAAAATAAGAGAACGGCGTGTTATAAGCGAATGACGGAATCGAATAGAATCAACAGTAATGTCGACGCCCTACCAGCAGACGACGACCGCACTGCCAGTTCAAGCTGCGAATAGAAGCTGGAGATAATGTTGAAAGAAGCCCAAGGACAGAAACAGATATGAATGCAACGGGGAAAAACTTCAATACACGGCAGACCTAATCTGCGGTCTCATGTGCCGTCAAGTAGCTCCTTAACCGCTCAGCACCGTGCAACTCTAAGCATGTGGGTGCGCGCAGTGGCGCTCTTGGCTGACGGGCTACATTGTCGTGGAAGGCCTTGAAGCAAGGCTGTGCTCGAGCTTGGCCGTGGCCTAGCAGCTCAGTTTGGCTCTTGGCAAGGCTTGGAATGGGCGTCTGGTTGGTTTGCTCACGAGACTAAGCGGGAGATGACATCTCATGTATTCAGCTAGATAGGGTATAAAAATGTGGCCATGGAGACGGAAGAGTGCTCGTATCCGATTTGAAATGCTTGCGACGATGCAACAAAGAAAGAAGATTGGAATGCAGAGAGCTTTTAGAGGAGAGAGCATCACTCATCCTGTTGAAAGGACAAACATGGGGACACAGGCATCCCTCCCTTGCTGAAACCGGCATCTCGCAGCGGACAGGCACAGGCCAGAGAAAGACTAATCCTACCTACCGGCGAATAGGAGCGAATCATCCCAGAGATCGGAAGAGACACGCGGGATCTCCAACGGCAAATAGAAGAGCGGGACGCGTCATCGAAGCGGTGCAATTCAATGAGACAGGTTTGACGGGTGAGGGTTTGGGGCGCTTTGGGGGAGAGGCGCAGCAGACAGGACTGAAACCCTCTTGCGGGCTTGGCTGGGGTTTGGCTACCTTGGTAACTACTAGGTACCTAGGTAGTAGTGGGGGAGGCTAAGGTTTAAGGTTCTTTGGGAAGCTTAAAATGGGCGATCCGGTGAGTCGGGATTTATGTATGTTGATACGGCCTCTTTTCTTCCATTTCACCAAGGCAATCGCTCGTATGGGAGACGTCCTTGAAATCAATCTCTTGATAGAGATTGCCATCAGTTTGTCAAATGCCTATGGATGAGTCGTTTTGTTGAGTCTTCTTCGCTAAATAAAGGCTAGCATGCGGGATACAAAGCAGATACAGGGCATGTCGCTGTGTACTCGAAGTTGGCTCGCTACCTAAGGTAGTAGTTGCGCAATGCAATCCGCATAATCATCGACATGACCACGGCTAACGAGGACCTATCGATATCTCTTTGCCTCGCTCGAAACTCTTTTTATGTATCCTCGGTTTTAATACAGGAAATTGGCCGGTGATCGTTCTCCTTTGCACGCGGTCAAGAACAGGTAGAGAATGTTCTCGTGCGCGCCTAAGGTACTTGTAGGGGAGTTTCGAGTACAACCGCATTGCCCTAAAGGCAAGGGAACCCATTTGGTAATAGAGATTAATAAGACATCTATGAGGGGTATAGGTACATGATTGTTCATGTGAGACGGGTTGGAGGGACTTGGCGCTGCAATGCCACTCAATTGTGTGACATGCGCCTGTTTTATCTTTCTTGTCGGATTACCTAATGGGAGTCACTGCAAAAATGTCACGGGAGGAGCTGAGAACAGCTTATATCCCTGCAATCACTAGGCAGTCACGATGTTGGTTAAAAGAAGGGCGTGACTCTGGTGATGGGTGTTGGTGTCGTTTTGCTCCTCCAGCGGTTGACGTACTCTAGGTAGGTACCTTATGTTCTTCAGTTGCTGTTGGTGCTCATGTCTTTGCTAGTGGCTTCTATGTGTCCGAAATCAAACGAGCTCATCAAATAGCTGCACAGTACGGGAGGGTCTACGGCAAGGGGAGACAAAGGTATGACATTTCAGATGGGAAGAGGAGCTGCTGAAGTTATGCTCTTGTATGCCTGCAATAACGTCTGGGAACGACAAACTTGGTTGCGCAGACGTGATAGCGAGAACCGTACCCCTTTCTTATGAAGCCACCATCCCAGGAGAAAGGTAGTAGAGCGTTTGGGGCTACAGTATGTTCTTGATCATCGAGATATCCCGTCAAGGGCGTGAAGCATAGCCTGCCGTATCCATTCTCCCATTCTTCTACCTTTTGAACTCGGTGCAGTAACTCAACGTTCGTACGACGTTCTTTGACCGTTGCAAACGAATACATGTGCTCGTAGGCCCAGCCCGCCATAGCCAAATCGCGGGACCCTTGGATGCCTTTAAGTAACTCATGGGAAAGTTCAACCCCTCTGATCATGTATTCACGCACTGCTACGATAAGAGCGTCGTGTCACAGTTTGCCATCGAAAGAGCCATTCAATAGGCAAAAGACCGATCAACGCAGGTTTTTGGCAGCAAAGTGCCGGACGATATCAATACCAGAATATAAGGATTACGGGAGACTCACAGAGCACTTCTCTAGCTCAGATAAAATTGTTGTCAAGTCAGCGTCAACCGAGGTGACACTACCAATCTCGGAGAAGCTCTGAGATATGGCTCTCCTCCATGTCCCTCTGTATAATTTACCGTGGGATGATGTGACTGTTGGCAAGTTAAAAAGATGAGCCAAACGTATCTTGAAGCTAGGCATTAGCGGATACAGCGGCAACAGGTGTGTGTAACAAGTTGGGATATAAGTCGAGGCATCATGTTTTCCACATTATCGCCTTGGCAAATGCTCGAAAAAGGCCCGTTCATGATGTTTGAAAGGTTTGGATGTCTGATACGAATATGCCTCTTTCACGTTGATTGTCAAAGCCATGCATAGCCAATTGATTGGGGTGCATGATAATGTTCATTCAACAGTGGTTGAAATTATCCGAGCTCCCCGACTGCTCCACCCGTAATGCCCAAATTGAAGTTGCTGAAAGTAACCCTCATATCAGGGACGACGCCCGTGCAATGGCATAGGCTGGTCATCCCGAAATAGTGGTGTAGAAGACAGTTCGGGGCGAGTTATTAAAATTACTCTCAAGTTTGGACTGAGTTATATCCTCAGCTTCGTCTGCCTAAAAGCAAAGACGGCTTGAATACGGAGACTCTGCCTCCGTGATTACACAACATACATATCTTTTTTTCGATAGTGTAAACCCTTTGGGCTAGACCATCTGCCTAGGCTAAGTGAAGATCCAGTCATACGAACGCACTTCGTGGCATTCAGGTATGCAGGTATCTTCATTTGGCCGAGGATTTTGGTGGTGTTACATCGCAGGTGGCACACGCCAGCAAGTACGGAGTCCATGTATTTGTATACGATGGGCCTCTTGCCGGCTTGTATGGGGAGAGCTGGCGCTTAACACCTTTGTGTGACCTCATCAGACATGCTCCGTACGACGCAAAACATGTGTCGAGCGTATTACGGCGTATCAAGAAACGTCGAAGAGGATATGTCTTAACCCATCATCGATTTCACCCCTAATTCTGCCATAATGAACGGAGTAGTATCTGTAGGGGGCAGACAACTGGTCTGCTGGGATGAATATAGTATCTCTGTTTCATAGAAAGAGATAGGGAGCCACCTAGATATAGGATATAGGAGTCCGAAAGGCGGTATTCTAGTATACCGTTTTGAACAGGGTAAAATCTGCCTCCCGTCGGGTACGAATGCCCCCGTCCGCTGACCTGGGGTTTCGACCCTTGTCTCTCTGCACTCCAGAAAATGTTACCATAAGCTTAATCAACTCCGCATCAGCCACAAAAGCCACGATCAAGACCCTCGCACGGCAGCCAAAAGCCGCTGAATATCTATACCTGTTGAGACATACCGTTTTGTCAGCGGGCCGCGAGCTCACCCCAACTCATCCAACCTTGCAAATGCCGGATCGCAGCCTACTACTTGGTACTATGCTTCCTCTCCGCATCAAGACGGCCAATAACCGCGCGCACAGCGAACCAAACAAGCCTGGTAGTTCGTCTGATTCGCGGGGAAAATTAATGGCAAAATGCAAAATATGACCCCCTGGTCACTGTTCCCCCCCCTGTTTGCGACCCCATCGAGTTAATATACCGAGATGTCGCACTAGCTAATAGGTCCGACTCCAAACCCCCCTGGCTGCCTGCCTTCACAACAGGATCTGATGGATGTAAATCCACACGCAAGACGAAGGTCACTAGACTAGCTACCTAGTAGTCGTATAAACAAGTTTTCTTGGTGTCTGGGCAGTCTTTCCCAAGAACAAGCTTGTGTCTTCATTGGCAGCTCGGAATGAAGCTCACAGCTCCAATAAGAGACGCGCGACCCGATGATCCCCGTCCGGACCAGGCCATGCCGGATGTGGGGTGCAGGCGATGAGGTCGGCGATAATCCGCGAACACTACAACCCAAAGCCGTTGGGAGATCATGACTGCCAAGGGGGGGACCATGGCTACAGGAATGCCGATCCTCCCCGGCACGTGCTTGGCAGTTTGAAATGAAGGGGCCGTGATCTAGAGACGTGATGTTTAGTCGGCCGCAGCAGGCCAATTGCAAGAAGACCATCAGTCTCGAAGGCCCCTAGGATCTGCCCATTCTGTGCAAAGCAGCAACGTGATAATGATAGAGAATCGAACGTTCATATGGAAGGGCTAGAAAACCTCCTCGGAATTAAGACTGTTCGCAAGGCTCCGAAATAGACCTGGGTTAAGCAAACCATGCTTCTATAGACTGACTAGTGGACAAGCAACTGCCAGTTCCCGACATGGTTCTCAAGAAGCTTCAATGCTTGCTGACAGGAGGCCACGTCGATTGGCTGGACGGGTCGGCAACCCCCTGCTGTACATGGGGTAGCTCATACGACTCACCTGGCGCTGCATGTCATGTTATATGCCGTTTCCTTGCCCATGTGTATGGATAAGATGTCCAAACTGGCAAGTCGATGCCGATCTCAGCCCATTTAAGAGCGTCGAGACAACAAGCAATGACCCTGGAACTGGCATAGCTGGTCAGAACAATAGCTTCGCTCGTGGGAAAACGGTTGGCTGACGAGCAAACTCGATATTGGTATTCGCTGCCTACCGGCTTCAAACTCGTTTGTGAATAGCCAACTCAAGGCAAGCCACCTCCGCATCTGTTACTCCCCGACTTGGGCGCTTGCCGATGCATGCCCCAGACTTTTCATGGATGCTTCCTTTGGCCGTCTTCACCCCCGGTCAAGTCCGCGGTCCAAAATCCCCCTTGCCAGGCAGGGAAACGGGGTAAACGAGCCGCCGCGGGACGAGTCAGTAGGAGTCCACACGGCAGCTGGAGGAGATCGATAGAATATCGCCCACCAGCTTGTTGGAGACTGCAGCCACAAGAACGGCCGGGGACGCCACCGCCACCAGGCCCATGTTTGCAGTCACTTCGGCCTTGTCTTCTTGTTTCGTTTCACCTCTATCTAGTGGAACTATGTTCGACAGCAGCCAATGCCTCTCGTGCCCACACCAGCTGCTTCGGCCCATTGTTCGGCGAGCAAGCGTCAGATGATTGGGGGGGTTTGGTCTTGGAGGCTCACGAACATAGAGAGAACATGAGAAGCAGAGTCCCCAATGTGGCCGGGCATCCGCCTCCATCTCAAGCCAAGGGTTGCATCGCAGACCTTCTAGGCTCGGACCGATTCCGGATCGGCAGAGAGAAAGCGGCCAAGAGCTTTCGTTTTCTGGTCGTCCCCGATGAAGCTGTCCAGGAACGGGGATAGCTCTAGCCCTTGGAGATGGCCAGCGAGGTTTGGCCTTGGCGGCCGAGTGCGCGTTGGACGATCCGGGAAAGGCCTCAAAATAGTGTTTCGAAACTTGTCAGCGTGGAAGCAAGGATACCAAAAAGCGAATGCTACTCTTGGTTGCATTGGAGATAGGACTGAGAGCCAGGGGACTAAGGGGCTAGAGGACATTGAATGATAGTATAGCGAATTGGTATATAAAGGACAGAGGATCCCCGACTCTTGGTCTTGTTGCTCACCAGGTCGGTCATCAAGTCGTCTTCCAGTCCACTTCTCTCCAGCAAGCCATCAAAGAGCAACAGGCCAGGCCAGCTTCTTCCAAGCCATCACCATGACTCTCAAGCACTCCGCCCTCGTCGCCCTGGCTGCTGCCATCGGCGCTCAAGCCCAGGTCTTCACCGTCAACTGCGCCCCCCTGACTCAGTTCCGAGGTGACCCTATCGTGTCTCCTGGTGTTCTGTCCTCGCACGTCCACGCCGTTGTCGGTGGCACTGCCTTTTCCTTCAGCACGACTCCCGAACAGGCCCGAGCTGCCACGGCCACCACCTGTGACAAGATCCTCGACAACAGCAACTACTGGCAGCCCCAGCTGTACCACCAGCGACATGACGGCCAGTTCGAGCTCGTCACCTTCCAGGGCAGTGTAAGTCTTGACTGGTTGAGAAGCATCCCGAGATGATCGGATCGAGATGCAGTTGGACTTACACGAACTTGTTCAAGGCTACCTACTACATTGCTCGTGCCTGCGACTATGCTCCTGGCCGACAGAACTGCAACGGAGCTCCTCTCCCCATTGCTCCCCCCGCTGGCCTCAAGATGCTTGTCGGTGACCTGAACCGACGGTAAGCAGATATCCTGCCGGTACAGCTCCTCAGATATTATATATCTAACAATAAAAAACCAGCACCTTCAACGCCTCCAGCTTCGAGGACCGTGCCATCCAGCACGTGTGTCTCGACACCCAGCCCGTTCCTGACACCAACGGATTCCCTACCCGCCAGTGCCAGCGAATCCGCTCTGAGACCTTCTTCCAGTCCTGCTGGGACGGCAAGAACCTCGACTCGGCCAACCACAAGGACCACGTATGTCTCACATCTTCAGACCCGTTTTTTCCCTCACCATCTGCTAACAATGCCATGACAGGTTGCCTTCCCTGCCATTGGTGACTACAACACTGGCGTGTGCCCGCAGTCGCACCCCAAGGCCATCCTCTCGGTCTTCTACGAGTTTTTCTACGACACCGGCTCCGTCAAGGACTTCAACCGCTTCGTCTACGCCGACGGCGATGCCACCGGCTACAGCCTCCACGCCGACTACTTCCAGGGCTGGAAGGACCAGAACGCCCTCGAGCTCGCCATCACCACCTGCACGGGCCCCAACGGCGTCAACGACAAGGGATGCAGCTTGAACGTCGGCCCCAACGGCCCCGGTGTCTCTGGCCCGCAGAAGCTGCAGACTCCTGCGCCCACCGAGAACATTGGTCTCAACGGCCCTATTCCCGCTCTTCCCGGCAACAACCCCATCCACTAAATCGCTTGACGAACGGGTGTGAGCTGGCTGGAAAGTCCCTTGACAAGGCCGACTACAGACGCAAGAGCTTGAGTCGCGTGACCAGACGCTCATTGGGATGGCTGAAGACAGGGTTTAAAAGCTGGAGGAGGATAAGGGAGTTGGATGGATGAACTGATGACAAAACCATCAAGCTATGGCAATGGTTCTTTGTCAATATCAGCATTGCGACGGGCTGTCTCATGTGGTGGACTTTTCTCATGCACATAGTAGTTTGCATTTCTTACATAGGCAATGAATGATGTACATACGCATTGACGGTCCATTGGTGAGAATCTACCTACATACCTCGTATAGCATGGCGCTATTGTGAGCTGATGGCAGCCTTCGAAGCCCTGCCCTTACCTAGATACAGTGCAGGGAGACTGAACCTGGTTCAACAAATGATAACATGAGAGATCTGCGCAAACGCCCCCCTTTTCCGGATGACGGAGAATAGAACGCACACCGTGAAAGAGCCCTGCTAATGAAAGGGGCCGGGTGCAGCGGAATATGTACTAAATCACAGTGCTTCGGATCATGGTCTACCGAGTTAGGAATGTGTTAATGGCTATGTTATTACTACGTTCATTACAGAGTCCGAAGCACAGTGAACCGCTGTGCACCGTGTTGCCAAAGGATCTATTAAATGAGGAGGAGGTTACATCGCGCCTCTGCCGTCCTACACTCGTACTACATACATACAGTACAGTACATACTCCTTACATACCTTTACACATCTTCAGTCCGATTACCTGCAGTTTTGCCCAACATGTTTCACCTTGGTACGAAGCAGAACAGGGACACGGAAATCGGATTCGCATAAAGAAAACGGAAGAGGGGCAAGAAGCAACAAAAAATGCAGCCGCCCAGGCGCTTTGGACGAACGGGGAATCGAACCCCGGACCTTTCCCAGGGAGGAAGCTGAACCACTGCCAAGTTTGGTGGAGAGGTCGATGCTAAGGGAAAATTATACCACTAAACCATCCGCCCATTGAGACGCTCTGATTGGCTTGCATGGCGGCGACACTATTCTATCCATGAATCTTTCGCCTCGTAGGCAGACGGCGACGCTCCTTGCGAGGCCAACGTGTGTGAGGGAGGCGAGAGAAACGGACTAGATGATTGCAAATTGTGAGCTTCCTTCTTTCGTTTAGCATTCTCGTCCATGATCGGGGCCAGGAACTCAAGGAGCAATGCGGACGGCCTGAGTGGGCTGCAGTGGGTTACCGTTTCCCAACTTGTAGGGTAGTGTCTATTGTACTGTTGTCTCCCCACGAGGAGAACCTTGATTAAGATAACCTGGTTGCATGGCACTCAGCAAGTGGTTAACCTAGTTAGGCACTTTTAGTAGTGTCAGCTGTTTAGCCTGTTCTTTACTTATGCCTAGATTTATAAGAGCTAATAGATTATAAGATTTTAAATTAGGATAGAAAATAAAGCAACTATACCTTTTTTAATATAGTTTCTATATATAAAATTATATATTTTAACTCTATTATAAATAAAACCTTAAAACCCCTATTAGTAATATATTAAGCTAGCAGGGGCTATATAAATGCCTATAATAAGTATAGCAGTTAAAAATCTTATAAAATTCTACTAGTATTTCCTAATAATTTATATAAATATAATATACTAATATAAATTATTTAAAATAACTAGCGCACTTTTATATAACTTTAATAGTTAAGGCACTAGCTATAGCTAAGGAGTATATTATATATTTATTTATTATAAATAATAATAATAATATTAATAATAACTTTTAATATACTATTTTCCTATTAGCTTATATTAGCTTTTTTATTAGCTTAAGAAGAGAAAAGAAATAAAATAAAAATAGTAATATTATTTAAAATTTTACTTATACTACTTTTTATAAATATTACAGTAAGCTCCTTAAAGAATTTAATATAATATTTAATAATCTATTTTATATAAAAAAGGCTATATTTATTAGCCTTTATAAATAGCTAAGGATAAATATAAGTCTTAGCTATAGTTAGACCTAAAGCCTTAAGCAGAAGGTAATAGTATTTTTATAAATTTATATATATAATAAACCTTAATATAATATAGTATATTACTTTTATATAAGCTAGGCGTTAGTATTAAGGATCTTTTATAAGGTTAAGGATCCTATATAGTAATTATATATTAGTTTTATTTAGCAGCTAAATTTAATATATATCTTACTACTTATTAAGTTAAATTAAAAATACAGCGCCTTTAATAAAGCTATTAAGGCTATTAATAGTATATATATTCTAGTATATATTTTAATAGTAAGGTAATAAAAATTCTAATTATATAAAAATAATATTTTATAAAATATACTTATTAATACTACCTTTAATAGCCTATTTACTTATATTCTTACTAATAGTAAGGGATCTTTAAATAACTTAAATCTCTTACTGCAGGCACTAATATAATTATTAATAATCTTAGCTAGCTGCTTTTAGCTTATAAATACTAGATTTAGTATATAATAAGGCATTATAATTCCTTATACTAAGACTTATTACTATTTAAAAAACTAAGGAGATTTTAATTAATAACTATAAGATTATAAAGAATTATTTAACTTACAGCATGCTTAAAAAAGAATTATTATTAAGAATATATTTAGTAAATATAAGTAAAAGTAAAAGGTTATTTATAATAGCACTACTAAGTATAAGTTTAATAATTAAATCCTGCTTATTTATATAGTTATAGGTTTTTATAACTTTATTAAGCTTAATAGTAAGAGTCTTAGTAAAAGTTAATAAAAAGATATTAATATTTTAATACTAAATAAAAAAAAAGCTTTATAATAAGCTGCTTAATATATTAATAAGGTTATCTTAACTATAAGCAGCCTCTAGCTTTAAGAATATATTAATAGCTAGCTTTAAGAGATATATTATAATTATTAAAATTAGCTAAAGAAATTAAAATAAATAGAAAATAAAGTATTTAGTATTAAAGTTAATAATATAAATAAAGGTATATAAAAATATAGTTAAAAAAAGTAAAATTTAAAGCTAATAAGCAGTAAAAAATAGTAAATAGTTAATTTTAAGCTATATAAAAGTAAATTAATAATACTAGGATAATAATAACCTTATGCTATTATAGGATTTTTAAAGCTATTTAAAATACTAAAAGTTATAAAAAAAAATATTATAAATTATTAAGGAAATTAATTACTAACTATATATTTTATATATAACTTAATAATAATAAATTTTATATTAAAATATTTAGTAAATCTTAATAAAGCTAATAAACTAAATAGTTTATAAAAAGCATACCTTATTTATTTATAAAAAGAAAATAACTTTATACTGCCTTTTTAAAGTCTTTTATGCCTTTTACTTATAATCTTATAATATACTTATAAAGCAGCTAGGCAGCTAGCCTAGCAGAGCGGCTTAATAAGGCAGCTAATGCCTAACAGATACCTTTAAAATTATAGCTTTATTATTCTTTATAAGCCTTTTTATTTTATTCCTTTTTTATTAGCTAGCGCCTAGTATATAAGATAATAATAAGATTATTAATAATAAGGGAGTTAATAGTATTAGTATTAATAATATTACTAGCAGTAGTAGTAATAGTAATAGCTTACTAATAGTAAATAAAGTTTCTATTTCTTTTATCTTTTTATCTTAAGGCTTAAAAATAATATTATTATCTAGATTATTAGTATTATTTAATTAAGTAAAGCTAGTAGTATTTATTACCTTATAAATAAAATAGCTAGCAGGTATATTTATTAAGAAAATCTCCTCCTAAGTCTTAATCTTAATGCCTTAATTAACTAAAATGCCACTTTTAATAACCTAATAGCTATAAAGATAATACTATTAAATAATAAGCTTTTTATTTACTTTACTTATTATTAACTACCTAGTTTTAAAATTATAGGTTATTTTTAATAAGTTCTTAGCTTCTTTTTATACTTACTATAACTTCTAGTAGTTTTAATATTTATTTTTAAGGCTTTTTAATTCCTAAATATACTTAAAATAATATATCTTAAGCTCTTTAAGTATATTACTATAAGCCTGCTATATATATATTGCCTTTACTAAATTTAAATACTTATTATACTTTACTTTAAAAAGCAGCTAAAGGAAGTATAATATTTAGTTTATTAATTATTAAATAGTAGGTAATAACCTCTATAAGCTGCTTTATAATATATTCTTTAATTATTAGCTTATAATAACCTTTAAAATAAGGTAAAATATATATATTTTAAGGTATTATTAATTTAAAAGGCTGCAGAAATATTTAACTTTAATAAGATATAGTATAAAATAGCCTTAAAGGCAGTAAACTTATAACTAATAAATTTAAAATAGCCTTATAACTAGGGCCTCTGCTAGTATAAGAGTTATACTTTATAATATTTACTAATTAAAAGTCTCTTTTATATAAAATCTTATAATTTATTAGCTTTTATAAATCTAGGTATTAAGAAGTTTATATAATATAAAGTATATACTATTAAGTAGTCCTTACCTTAATAACTTAAGACTACCTTATAATATTATAGGCCTTAGGACTATAATATATTTATAGCTATTTATTTATTTTCCTTTTTTTTTTCTTTAACTAGTCTTTTATAAAAAAAGAGAGTTTATAATTACTTTTTATTAAGTTATAAGCCCTATACTCTTTTAAAAATTATAGAAAAATTATACCTAAACCTTTAAGTTAGTAATAAATAAAGTTATTATTATACCTTTAACTTAATATAGGTTATACTTTAATTTAATATAAATTACCTTTTTTTTAATTTAAAAAATTAACTTTCTTTTTCTTTTTTTATTTATAAAAACTTAAAAACTTTATTTTACTTATATATTAATAAAATAATTATTACTTAACTTTTTAAATTAAAATAATTTTAAATTTATTATTAAAAATAAAGACTTTAATTATAATAATTTTAACTTAAATTTATAAATAATATAATTTAAAAT